AAGCACGACATCGCACCGGTGTCGAGTAGTGCTGAAAGTTGAACTGGAGCTCGCTGGGCCGATATCTGCAGGGTAACAGGGTACTCGAATGGTGAGGATGGGCCCAAAGTCCGCATGGGTGAGGGTATCTCAGATAGGAGATTGACATTGTTGGTGGTCAGGAGAAGGGTGTTGCTGGAGATGCCAGGATCGGAGCAAGGTTTTGTGGCTTCTCCCTTGGCAGTACTTGCGTGGTGAGAAGGCCCAGGACAGGTGTTGCCCAGCTGCTCGGCCTTTACTGCAGCTGGACTTGGGCAAAATCCTGGATGGGTGCAGGTTCCTTAACCGCGACATTCGCCGTGCGTATCTTGTTTGGGCAGAGTTTGGCTATGTGGCCGGGTTTACCACAGTAGAGGCAAAGTTTGTTTGTGATGCGGTGTTGGCGCTCTAGCGGTGTGAGGGGTCCTCGCGGACGAGCAGCGTCAATGATCATAGGGTCGTCTGGGCGGTTGTCGGGGCTCATGAGGGTGGGGCTAGTGGTAACTGGCACATATGGCTGTCGGTTCCTGCTTCGCTCTAGACGGCGCTCAAACAATCGGTTGTCACATTGGATGGCCTGTTCCATCACGGTGTCGATTGAGGCGGTAGGGGGCATCGTGAGCATTAAGTCCTTGACGTCTTCTTTGAGGCCGCGACGGAAGGTGGCAATCAATGCCTGGTCATTCCACAACACGTCGCATTGCAGCTGTCGGAATTCAGCTACATACTCTGTTGCTGCACGGGTTTGTCGAAGGTTCTGGAGCTTGTTTTCGGATGTGCGGATCCTGTCGCTGTCTCCAAAGACTGCTTGCATTTGCTGGATGAAATCATCCAGGTTCGTAAGGGAATGATGGTCTTGTTCGACAAGGGGCGCCAGCCAGGCCTGGGCGGTGCCAGTGAGGTAGGTGCCAATAGTTCGTATCTTGGTCTGATCGTTGGGGTAGCGCCTGGGTTGGAGGGCGAACATGAGCCGGATCTGGTTGAGGAACCCACGGAACTTGCTTCGGGTGCCATCAAATTTGTCTGGGAGACTGATTTTGGGTTCGGGGGCGTGGGTGGCAGGGGCAGTGGTCTGGGTTGGCGCTAGTTCGGCTTGTAGGGTGGTATTCTGTGCTCGAAGTTCGTCAATCGCATTGCACATGGCTTGCCAGGCTTCGGCCGTGAGGGGAAGGGCGTCGGACATGGTGATTTGGCGTGGAGGTACAGCGGCTGGGGGTTGTTGAGCAGATCAAACTGTTATGAATGGGCGGAGCCGATGGAAATAGAGGCGACTTGTGGTGCAGGTTGTTGACAGGTAATGGTATTCAGACCGAAACAAGAACTAGAACAAGACTAGGAAGAACTGGTGTTGATCTGCTGGGGGATCAGGAAGTGGGGAGCCCAGGGGAGGCGGCTATTTATGTTTTTCTGGGAAGGCTGGGGAAGCGTGGGGAAGCAGAAGGGTACGGAATGAGAGGGAAGCCAAGAGAAGCGCCAAGGGTGGGGAAGCATAGAAACAGAAGACTGGGGATGGGGTGGCTACGCTGAGGCTGTGGGCGGGTACGTGGGGAAGTATGGAGAAGGGTTTGTAAGCGCCGAGTGTTGGGAGGTGTGGCTACGTGCGGCTGCGTGGAGAAATGAAGGCAGTGGCAGGTGTGGGGTAGCGCGGCTGCGTGCGGCTGCGAGGTTTGGCAGATGTCAGGTTTTGACAGGGAATTGACATTGACTGACTGTTGGGATGCTGTCATGAGGTAAGCGCATGGTATGGACGCGTCGTCCATAACAGCCACATTGCTTCTTTACAGGCGTCTGTGAGTGCCATGTATTCGCCTTCGGTGGAGGAGAGTGCTGTGGTGCGTTGTTTGCGTGATTTCCAGCTTACTGGACCACCGAAGGTGAAGAGGTATCCTGTGGTTGATCTTTGAGTGTCTGGGCAGCCTCCCCAGTCTGAGTCTGACCATCCCACAAGTTTGGGGGTTCCTTGGACGGCTCCCAGTCGAGGTTGGTAGTGTTTGGTCGTCTTGAGATACGCAAGAATGCGTTTGGCAGCTTTCCAATGTCCTTTGCCTGGATTGGCTAAGAACTGGCTCACAGCTCCAACTGCTTGGGCTATGTCTGGTCTTGTGCCGATCATTGCGTAGATCAGACTCCCTACAATGGCTCGATAGGGCTTGTTCTGCATCTCTGCAGTCTCTTCAGGGTTTGAGGTGCCATCTCTTTGATGAGAGGGCTTCCCACGACGCTGGGAGTTGACACAGGCTTGCAATCAGTCATCCCGTATTGTTATGATCTCGACGACGGGGCGGAAGCGAAGTAGAGAAGACAGGGCGAGTGTGATAGGCGACAAGAGATTGTATTGGCGAAACAAGAAACAAGGACTAGAACAGGAGATGAGAAGAACTGGTGTTGATCTGCTGGGGAGGAAGGGAATGGACAAAGAGAGGCCGGCTATTTATAGATAGGCAACCCAGCAGATCAGAGAACAACAACAACAAGAGGGGACTGGGGGGCGCCAGCTATGCTCCTAGAGCGTGCGTGGCGAGCGTAGAGAGCATTGCTACAGCTGCTGGCTATGGGGAAGCAGTGGGGGGTGTGGAGAAGCGTGCGTGGCGAGGGTAGAGAGCATTGCTACAGCTGCTGGCTATGGGGAAGCAGTGGGGGGTGTGGAGAAGCCGAGGGGGGATGGGTGAAATGAGAGGAGAGAGGAGGAGTGGCGATATTGCAAGAGGATTGGCGAAATGAGAGGAGAGAAGGGGAGTGGCATTGACATTGACATTGACGCTGACGTTGACACTGACATTGACATTGACATTGGCGTTTGACATTTGGCGGTTGACATTGGCGGCTGCCAGTAGGTGAGCTTATATATGGTATGGGCGCATCGTCCATAACACGTATGTTTCAAAGCATTTTTCGATGTACCCTGTCTGGTTGAGCGTCAGGAGTCGTTTGGCTCGGTCTCGAGTGACTAGGAGACCCAGGAAGTAGTGCAGGGCACCTAGATCATGCATTACGTACGCCTTCTGTAGTTCCTGGGCCTGAAGCTGTCAAGATCGAGTCTCTTGTTGCTCATGAGTATGAGATCGTCCACATAGAGGATCAGGATGAGTAGCCGGCCCTCAAGGAACCTGATATAGACGCAATGGTCTGAATCAAGACAAGTGAAGCCTTTCTCAATGAGAGTGCCGTGGATTTCGATGTTCCATTCCCTGGGGGTTTGTTGAAGACCATAGAGTGTCTTCTTGAGCTTAAGCACGAGATGCTCTTCTCCTGGCTTGATGCAGCCCGGTGGCTGCTTCATATAGATCTCCTCACTGAGTGTCGGGTTCAGGAATGCGGTGGACACGTCCATTTGGTCCATTTTGAGGTCCTGAGCTGCTCCCCATGACAGGAGGAGCCAAATGGTGTCGAACTTGGTCACTGATGCAAATGTTTCGTTGTAATCAACTCCCTCTTCTTGTGCGTTGCTTTTGACATCGAAGAGTCGCTTGCGGACGCTGCGGACGATGCGCGCGTAGAGCGCGTAGTCGGTCGTGAGGGTCCTGGCGGAGGTGCAGCTGGAGGGGCTGCGGGCGCTAGCGTCTTACGGGCCGTTTGCTTCTTCTTGCCGTCGCCACTCTTCTTGCCACTGCCGCCGTTCTTCCCTCCGTTCGCTATTGTTTCGCGTATCGTGTGGTGGTCTGGGATACGGTAGTTGAGTATGGGAACGTTGGTCTTACCTCTCTGGGGCGACTGACAGCTGTCTCTTGTTTTATACTCGCGTCGTTTCCTTCTTCTTTCATTTTACTCTTTCATTTCTTTCATTTTAGTCATAGCTATTCACCCGACGTCCGCCCGCTTTTCGCGTACGGCCGCACCATTGTACTCATTGTTTGTTTTATCTTTCACTTAGATAGACTCGTGAGTTTGAGTAGGGGTGTTGGAGGTATCATCCTCCCGAGGCCCCGGTTAGGGTTCCCGTACTTTATTTCCTCACGTGACTCCCCTCCCGCTTACGCCACGCTTCCGCGTACGGGACTTCACTCTTTTCTTCCCCTTTCGGACCTCGCGTCCTCTTTTCCATCACAAGACAATACATACTTCACAGTACTACATCTTACACAACATAGAGTTCGCTCAGTCATCTGCTTCCTCTGCCAACTACTGCTAAGTGACGGAGCTAATTGAGATGGACAAAGAGAGAATTTCGACAGCTCAATTGGCACAGGCAGCGACGGCTCGAGTCTTGAAGAAGACGCCATTCAGGCCTAGAGCGTACGGGACGTCCCACGAACTGAAGAAGCGCGGGCTCGACCCGGACACGGGCTTGGAAGACTCTGATGGCAATGTCGGGGATGAATGGGAGGTCGAGAAGATCATCGGCCACCGTCAGGACGACGACGGGAAGTGGGAATTCAAAGTCCACTGGAAAAACTGGAACACTTGGCACGACAGCTGCGTGGTACTCTCGGACTTTCGAGGGCAGGAGCTACTGGATACGTACTGTCGCGCAAACGGCATCACCATTGGGGACGAATCACCTATGGGGGACGCCCAGACCGGCGACGACAGCACACAATTACGCCGCCCCACGAGACAATCCACGCAGAAGTCTCAAAAAAAGGGGAGGAGATAAGAGCGGGGATACTACAGAGGCCGCAGGGTGGAGGCCGAACAAAGGAGGGAACAAAGGGTCAGCTGGTCGGCACAGGAGCAGAGAATGAGGAAAAAAGGGGAAAAGCACGCAACCGCGGACCAACCGGCATCTTCCACGTCGGTGGAGTACCCAGCGGCCCAGCGAGGGCAAGACGTGCCACAAGAGAATGCTCAGCAGGACAGAAGGGAGAGAACACCCAGAACTCAAGAGAATGCCCCCGCTTCGGAACTACATAAATAGCGAGCGTCAGAAGCCGCTCCCCTTGACCCTCACCAACCCCCAACTGACTACCGCTCCCCAGCACGCTCCTACGCTATCCCTTCCCCCCTAACGACCCTGGACCGGTACTTCGAGAACTCCGACAATCATGTCTCAAAGATTCTCCACCTCCTCCTCGAGAAGATCCAGCATCGCAGACCTGTCCAATGCGGTCTCGAAGCCGCCTATCCTGCGACCAACAACCAGGACCAAGAAACAACGCACGGACCCGCCGGTTCCCAGGACCCCTGTCTGCTCCGTGTACCCCCACAAGCCAATCGAGGTTGACGACTCTCCCCCTCAGATTGACAGCGCGTTCAGAGAAGCCACCGGCTCCCGTACTCCCGCCCCAGTGAAGGCAACGGGGAACAAGCGCCCAACAATTCGCCCGCCCAGGATCACCGTGCGGAATGCTGGCAACACTCCCGTCGACACCCGCAAGCAAAGGAAGGTGTTGGATACGCCCGAAGAACGACGAAGAGGCGAAGCGATCATTGGCTCCGCCACCCTCAGCGTCTCCGGCCTAGACCCGGAAGAGGATGAGTTCACGAGCGAGACCCTGACGAGAGACGTGGAATACCAGCCCGGAGAGGAAGAGGAGTACTACGGAGCAGAGAAGAACGGAGCTGTCAGCATGTGCGTAAACCCGGACGATAGCGCCTCCATTTATGGTCGCGTTGTCCAATGCGAACGCGGAGACCTCTGCTGTGGAAGCCAATTCTACCACCAGGAATGCCCCAACAACCAGAGACTGCCCCACCCTCAGGAAGACGAAGAAGTCCTGAGTGACTACTTTGCCCAGTACAACTTCGTTTGCCCGCCCTGCCTAGAAGACCTCCCAGAGGATGCGGAAACCGACGGCAAGATCACTGCGACCATGCACCCGAACGTTGGCAAGAAGCGGGGCCTGCGTCGGGCGCCCTACGACCATGAGAACGGCAAGTGGAGGACCGACTTTGCGATGAAGACCGGGGAGGGTGATATGGAGGAAGACCGACCGTACCGGGTCTCGGGGACATCGAAACCGTCATGCTCCCGAGCCTATACAAGGAGTACACGGACGTCCCATCCACCATGCACACCCGTGTACACGGCCTCTTCCCCCACCCAGTGCTGACCTTGTGATCGAAAGCCCACAACACATGCGAGACTGGGAAAAGGACTTGATAATGAAACAAGCCGTCTTTGTCGTCATCACTAACCTGGAACCGCACTACGCCCAATGTGCCAAGGCCCTTCGCAAGGAGCACGGCATCCACAAGACTTGGGACGGCCTAGAGGACCCAAAAGCACTGCTCCGCCAAGCCGCCTTCCCCCGAATTGACCAGCCCAACTACCTTATCTACGCAGGTCCCAACCTTCGGGAACTCGAGATCATTGTAGCGAGCTTTGGCCCCAAACCCAAAGACAAGCCGGAGGACAAGGAGATCACGTTCGGTATGCCAAGAGTGGAGTCCAAATTGTGGTCAAATCTGGCGTTGAAATAGCTCGCCACCGGCGACCTCTGTTCACTCAAGCCGAAGGGATGGAGGATGGCGGAGGGCGAACCGAAACACGCAGGATCACCGAGGTTCAGAACTCAACGGGGGCACCCAGCAGCGGACGCACAGGCGGTCATCCACGGAGGAGTGTGGACCACGACAACCTCCGGAGGAGAGACAAATAAGGGCAAATTCCCTTGCCCCACAGCAGAAAGTCGGGACTTGCGATAGCAGACGTAAACGTCGACCCTCAAAGTCAGCTCGAGACCCTCAAGACGAGCCTGCAGGACTCGCCAGACATCTACATCGGCCACGCTTCCATCGCAGCGGCGATGCAATCGGCAACCCAGACCACTTGAACGAAGATAAACGAAGCATGATGTCCCGTTACACCGTAGGCCTCGACAACTTCGGTCCAATCGCTCGCCTCAAGCAGCAGGAGGCTGCCCGCAGAGCCCACTGCAGCCTCGCCACCAGCGAACATGCCACCCTTGACAACATCCGGGACGCAATTGTGGCTGACATCCCTACCACCCCCGCGACCTCATCCCCGCAAACACCTCGTCCTACGCTCCAAGCTAACGTCACGCCCTCAACAACACAGCTCCTCAAGTACCAACACGTCGTCCCTTTTCCCGAGTCCGCCGCCGATCAAGTACTTCGCTGATGGTGGCTCGAAGTACGCACCCTCAGCGCAGAAGCTCGTCAGGGGGCAGCCCAGACCACGACTCCGGGGACGGCAAGACCATCCCGGTGCCGGACCATCCCGCGCTGTTCCATCCAGCGCGCGCTGATTGATCAAACCTACGACACCCCACGACCTCAAACAACAAACACCACTTCACCAACACATCCGCCCAAGTAGCGGAGGTTCTGGAGGCTAGCACACTATGGCGACATCGTGCAACAGGCTAGTTTCTGCAAAATACAGGGAGTACCACGCCGGAACCCTTCTGAGCACCCCTCCTAGAGGAAAGCTTCAAAAAGGGGAGGATGTGAAAGTGATCAGGTTGACGACGTACGAGGAGATGGGGAGATTCAAGGGAAGATTAGTATTTGTGCGCGCGTGACCAGCGTGATCAGTAGTAGGATAGAGACACACCCCCTTCCCCCCCCCTCCCACTATAAAAAGGACGACACTGGCTTATATTGCCCGGGGAGCATCTTACCGGCTATAGACTAGACCCTACGTTTGTACCATAAGTGCCCATTTGACCCAACTGACTAGCGTACCTACGCCTAGCAGTCCGGGGTTGCCAATAGACGGAGTACGCCCAAGCGTGTCTACATGTGTGGTGAGAATAGGGATTTAGTTGGTCTCTACCTTTTACCTTGCACTCTCCACGAGTAGATCATCTCCACCCGCAAACGACCCAATTTAGGACCTATCTCAGGGAATAATCGACCACTTTCACATAAGCCGCGTTGGGATGCTGGTCAGAAGAAGGGTTTTCAGTAGAGACATTTAATAAAGACACCATTTATGCGTCTCATTGTGCAATGGTGTCCATTCAAGAGGAACTTGCGGCTATACGCCCTGAGTCCGCTGATGGTATACTTGTTGATTGTAGCAATATCTCTGCTGTGGGGGCGCTTCTGTGCCGGCCAGATGAGACTGAAACCATTTTTCCGAGGCCTGAAGCACTGCAACTGCAACCTGATGCGTTAATCGCACGATGGGCATTTGTGGTTCTTGGCAAGTTGAATGGCAACATTTGTCGCATTCTGATATAGGATGCACAACACTTATGGTACATCAGGGATGGGTGTTGTGATGTGGACTACCTTCCACATGGGTTGTATAACTGACGTTTGTATGCAATACCTACTTTGCTGTAAGGTATTGTAGACGGACTGTTATGGACGACGCGTCCATTCCATGCGCTTACCTCATGACAGCATCCCAACAGTCAGTCAATGTCAATTCCCTGTCAAAAACCTGACATCTGCCAAACCTCGCAGCCGCACGCAGCCGCGCTACCCCACACCTGCCACTGCCTTCATTTCTCCACGCAGCCGCACGTAGCCACACCCCCCAACACTCGGCGCTTACAAACCCTTCTTCATACTTCCCCACGTACCCGCCCACAGCCTCAGCGTAGCCACCCCATCCCCAGTCTTCTGTTTCTATGCTTCCCCCACCCTTGGCGCTTCTCTTGGCTTCCCTCTCATTCCGTACCCTTCTGCTTCCCCACGCTTCCCCAGCCTTCCCAGAAAAGCATAAATAGCCGCCTCCCCTGAGCTCCCCACTTCCTGATCCCCCAGCAGATCAACACCAGTTCTTCCTAGTCTTGTTCTAGTTCTTGTTTCGGTCTGAATACCATTACCTGTCAACAACCTGCACCACAAGTCGCCTCTATTTCCGTCGGCTCCGCCCATTCTTAACACGGACTGGGTGTTCGTCGGCCCTGCTATTCGATATGCAGTAAAAGGACTACTCGTTGTGCATAGGAACGCGCAACGAGCACTGTTAAAGTACCCATGAGGTCGGAGTCCACTGGAGAACACTGTCTGGACGCATAAGTACCTCAGGAATTACCTGTATATTCCCAGTATATACAGGTATATCCCGCAAGGCCTGTCTCGCAGACATGTGGTTCCCCAACTAGACTGGACAACCCACATTACCGGTGTCAAAACATGGTTTTCAAACTTATAACCCCAAAATGCCCATTGATGTTGGCTGGGGTGACGATGGGCCATACCTTCAACGCCAACAAGCTATTTTGTGGCAATCTGCAGTTATGGGGAGATCAACGACACTATTCGCGAGAAAAGGGCTATCTCATATTCACTTGTATTTCATATTATACTTCCTTCCTTCTACGCGATCCGAGACCCGGGCTGGCCACCCAAGCTCTCGGTGATACATTACATAAGGCGCCAAGCCTCATAGAAGCCACGCAAGCCCCACTGGCAGCTCATATATAAAGCTGTCAGCCGTGCGGCCGCTGCAAAAAGCTTCCTACCTTTTTCTTCACTCCAATACACTGTTTTCAGCCCTCTCGGAAGGGCCCAATATCGTCTACGTTTCCTCTGATGTTACAGAACCGGGAGCTCTTTATCCTTTGTACGCAAGTAGCGGCCAAAGCCAGGGCTCATAACCAGTTAGTGGTAGCTGGCAAAGGAATGCAGACTAAGAGCAGAACCCTATGTAGGGGAGACGAAGCCCTATATTGTATGAAGTTATACAGTGTTGTCTTGTGTGAAGAATGGAGGATGCGAGGTCCGGGAAGTAAGAAAAGGGTGAACTCCTGTACGCGGAAGCATGGCGTAAGCGGGAGTGGAGTCACGTGAGGACATAAACTACGCGAAACCCTAACCAGTAGTATTGAAAGGCGTGGCGACTGCGGACATCGTTCAGCTGTAACTTGAGGCGAGCAGATTGGGTGGACCAAGGGGTGAGGCTGGTCCTCCTACCCTCAAGAAGATCGGGGTCTCCCCTGAAATGGCGAAGCTGAGCGATGAATGTGAGCAACTTGACAATGAAATTGCCGCTTTTGAGAAGCGTGGGAAGCGGTACGCGATGAAAGCGAAGCTGGCCGCGACCAAGAAGAAGCAGAATTTGGTGAGACTGGGGATTTTGACAATCGCTGCAGGCAAACTGCTGATCAGAAGATCTTCATGTTCCACCGAATTTCAGGACAGTGAAACCTAGTGGTTGAAGACACTCCGAAGACGGGAAGCATGCTCCAACAGTTCGATGTGATCTACAAGATTTCCCAAGTTGACTGCACCCCAACTTGCACGGCCATACATTGACTCAAATACTGAGGGCGCAAAGGCCACTAGCGCATGTAGAGAGGGAAGAGGGAGGTGGATTGCGCCAGGGGAACAACCGTGTTGCAAGATGTGGAGTACGTCGGCCTATAGTCTGTTCGCATGAAGCTGTCCCTCCTCTGAGGTCATAAACAACAATGATGGGGATACACAGCTTCATGCGAACTAACGGGTGATGCGAAGTGGGACCAAACTTCATTGTGCGGCACGATACACCACGCGTCGGGCCGCGAGGCGCAGATCAACGCAGCGGCCGCGACACTACTGCCGCTGGACTGGTGGGATCTGAGGGAGCGCCGTGTCCATCGGATCGTTCACTACATTTATGGGGGTCTCCCCTACGTTTAAAGTATTGTCCTGCGATTCATGGCAAGGTCTGTTGACGGAAATTGCCGTTGTGCTTGCGGGGGCACTATCTGCCGTTGAAACGAGGAGTGAAGAGAAACCATCTTCCTCACCGCGGCTCTCTCCGTTCTCGGATGCAAGGTTGCGCACTCCGAATAAAACATTCTTTATTGAAGAGCGAAGCCACATAAGGGAGGTCAGTGGGCGCGCTCGGTGCGGATAAAACGCAAGGTATAGCCGACTTCAGCCAAGTCCATACCTGCAGCTCTTCCTCGTCTTCGTCACTTGCGTCCAGACGATTCGGATCCGGCCCGAGGACCTCCTCCCTGACGTTGAATAACACCGCGTCTCTCCATCCGAGTATCATTTTGTGTCGTGGACAAAGCTTCACAATGCCGCCTCGGCCATCCGGGCGAGATCGTGTCATCTTGCTCGCGGTCAGCAACACCGCAACCGGAGACGTGGAAACTTCTTGGCTTTGCGAGAAGCCAGAAGACAGGGTGGAATAATTGCACTCCTGGTGTTGGCTGCGAACAGAGATGGTCTCATATGGTGCGCGGGGCAGGCAGACCTTTAGAGCCGCCGGTGAGAAGTGCCCTTTTCCTAGAGAAGGAAGTGAGGCACTACGCGCTGTCGAAATATTGCTGCGCACTACAGTACCCTGTCAAAAATTCCCCCACCCCTCGCCCCTCCATACACATACCCTTGCAGAGGTTAAGGGACGCAGGATGCTTTACCGTGAACAAGGGTCTCCTCGCGGTGGACCCGTAAGAAGGGGACGGTTGGTTGAGCACTGGGACCAGACTGGACTGGGATGACCGTAATGTCGACGGTCCCCGAGGATAGCGCAAGCGCCGAGCCATGGACGACGGATACCCCGACCCTAGCAGCAGTTTACCGTCATGGGCGGGATCGGGAAGCGGGCCAGCAGATCTAGCGGGGCAAGCGTGCGGCTGCACTTTCACAACCTTTTCCCCGAAGTACGGGCAAGCGAGTTCCTGAATTTCTGTTTATACGCGCATCGTTCAGCACCATCTCGCGAAGGTGTGATGTACTTTGAGACGTGATCCTCTCCTCGACGCCAGCCCTCTGCAAAAAATGGCGCACCCATACCAGTTCCAGCAAGTGGCGCTCCAAGGAGTGCTGCCTCCGCCGATGCAACTTATACCAACGTTGCTCCATCCATTCTTTGTCGGTGAGCCTTCTCAACAATGCACCTATCCGAGTCTCTATCCATACGAGGCGGGGTTAGAGTCTCGTCTTGAACCCCTCTCGCCGAGGAACTCGTGCACTGGCGGTGAGTTTCGGCGATGGATTAGTTCATTCAATTGGATACAAATTTTGACCGGCAGTTCCCTCCCTAGATGCATGGGCCGGCGCTGCAAAAAGTAAGGGGCATCACAATCCATTTAACAATCCTGTACGCTTCGTATAACTAACTTACCCCGCAATTACGAAGCCTCTGAGCCGGCGAAGGAAGGTAATTCACCTGTAGAAGTCGACCGTTCGTTGATGACAATGAAAGTCCCACGCGATGTGATAAAAACCATTTGGTAAGCCATGGAAGTTCCCTTTCGTCTGCCAACAGCTCTAGAAAACTTTTACTTTTCAAGGGTTGGCAACCTACCCGCCAGTGCGTCGGAAGCCGATATCCGCGCGTACTTCTCGAAATGCGCGCATGTGGTAAGCTGCCTTGCTTCCATTTATCCCACTATGACATTGTGACCTCAAAACGTCTTTGGTATGCTTCTTAATCTTCATTGGCCTAGTCTTTGCGACACCTGCCGGCTTCCCGAAGCGCATACATCAACTTCCAAACAACGGCGGAAGCTGATGCGGCTGTAAAGGAGTTTGATAGAGCCCCATTCAACGGATGTCTGCTCAACTGCAGGCGAAAGGTAAGTTATTTCAGCCGCTCGGAATCTTGTTCGTATATTCCGCTACTCGGATTCAGGTTCTCACCTCTCGTCGTCATTTATGTGTCTTTCAGAGAGCACGAAGCATCTCGGAAACAAGCTCCAGCTCCAGCTCCTCGTCGAGCCTCGCTCGGAGCCTGTCCGTAATGCTCCGGACGCCCGATCTTCGTCGTGAATCTGATGCCGCTGCGAGTGTCTTCAACGCTAGCAAAACCGCCATCACCGTGGGATGTGTCCAGAATTCCCAGCGCATTGAGGCCGTGGACCAGTTCAATGTCAAGTATTTCATCATGAAATCCTTGAACACAGACAATCTCGATCGAGCCAAGTCATTGAAAGTCTGGTCCACGCAATCGAAAAATGAAGAAAAGCTCAAGAAAGCGTTTGAGGTACGTTTGCGATGAACTAAAGTCCGCATCGAATGCACGGCACCCTCCGCTTAGGTTAACTGTTAACTACTGCCTGTCTTTTCAGACTACGAAGGACGTATACCTGATCTTCGGTGCGAATAAGACCGGAGAGTTCTACGGCTACGCCAGGTGAGTGGAGCCAAGCCCAAGCACTGCTTCTTCCATCCTCATTCCGATGACAGTACGTGCTATAACTTCCCTCCTACAGATTGGAATCATGGATCCCAGTCCAAAGCGAAGAAACCGTCGAATGGGTACCCTTCGTGCCGATTCAGAGTGCGGCAGACGAGATCAACGGCAAAGACCCGTACATGCCACCTGAATGGGGTGCGTGGAAGCTTCTACTTTCCCATCAATGGATGCTGAGATTTACATACGTCCTTGTTTAGGGAAGCCTTTCAGGATCCGCTGGGTACTGACGTGAGTTGTTCGTTTCGGCGCATGTTGGCAGATACCTTGCCCATGTCAACTCTCATTTTACATGCGATACAGTCAACCGTTGAGCTTTTCCCTTCTCAAGGTTAGTAAAGACCTTCGAAGAAATAACTGAAGAAGAACCCTACTAACTATCTGATCTTGCAGGATGTGACCAATGCGTGGAATGGTAACAAGAACATCAAGATCAGCCGTGATGGCACTGAAATCGACCCTCGGGCCGGCAGCTGGGTCTGTGAGGAGTTCCATCGTGAAAAAGAACGACAAAACAAGAAGATAGCCGCGGAGAACATTGAGACCAAAGACAATGAGAGAGGCGTCAGTGTTGCACGTATTGATGCTAGCACCGTTGATGCCGACAGCAAATGCGACGGATGCTCCGATGCGAGCGAGGGTCTTCCGCCCGTCGCCACACCGCTTTCAAAGGGTTCAATGCCCTCGAAGAGATCAAGAAGTGTTCCGACCACGCAGGCGAAACAGGATTCCGGAAGCGGCTTGAATGACAGTCCTCCCTGCCAGGACGGGAGCGGCCTTGCGAACGCAGCGCAAAATCGCATGGGCTTTGGGTATGGGCGAAAGCCTAAGAGCATTCGGATCCCGTGGCATCCGGCTTCCGAGCCGGCATCCTCGTAAGTCCATGCCTTCATCCTCGCAATTTGGGCATCATCATGGACTAATTTCCCGTTTTCGCTGCCTTTGAAGGACGCCAGTTCAGGTGCCAGTTCAACCGCTCCTGCCTTACTACGGGGCTCCTCCCATTTTATGCCCTCAGAGCTCTCTCTGGTCGCCATGGGTGCCGTATGCGTGCTATCCTGATGCGCCGGGCCCACCCATGCCGGTTCAGCTCCAGGGCCAGCCGTTGTCGGCTACCTTCCGCGATGTCGACACGAGGTGCCTGTCTTGGTGATAATAGCGGTAGGTTCGAGGACACCCCCATCTGCGTATTTTGATACAATGCGCACGGGTGTTTGCTCACTCTTCGTTCCTTCCTCGCAGTTCAATGAAGCCCCCGGTGCCATTTGGTTGTTCTCATATGATTGTCGATGTCAAAGGCGATATTTGCCCTCCCCTCCCTTCAAAGTTTGCCTTGAGCCACCCTCCGATTATCCACGAACAGATGCAGCCGTCGAGGAGGGATCGTCTGCAGAATAGCAAGCGGCTCCAACAGGAAGCAACCCATGCCTATTGAGCTCTAACCCCACGGGTATTCTTCTCCGTTGGGGATCCAGCTGAGAGGAAACAGCTACAAGGTGTGCGCTGTGGTTGTCATCTATTTTTTTCGCCTTCTCTTCACGGAATAGGTAGCCCGCGGCTTCAAACATTTCCGGTTTGGCGATGTAGCAGCAAGTACCTACTATATTCAAGGCATAGCCAGTGTAGTAGTGATATTCTCTATCATATATATAAATCAACATTATCGGAAAATGATTCCATGGGAGTTGTGTTTCTGCTAGCCGCGAGGTTGTGATAACCGTTGACGCTCTCATTGACTGTCCATCCGTCGAGCGGGTCTAGGAGGCTGAAACACCAATGCGCTTGCAGACAAGTAATACGCTTCACGTTGACCTTCCCGCAAACGCAACAAAGCTACAGACGGAAAAACACACGTATATATATTCTAGAACGACGCCAAAAAATAAGCAAAAGTACAAGATGTCAACAGCAGTACTACATCTACCAAGGACACGTATCCAGAGGCAGTGACAAGGAAACGGATGAAAAGCCTATTGGAAGTGAAGCTACGTAAGGAACGTTGTCAACCCACGCAAATAAGAATAGGGTGGAGACGAGTCCAAGGGTTTATGAAAGCCGCGACTCTGGGCGACGGCTCAAGAACTCAGCCCCATAAAGTCTCTCAGAAGATGCGGCGGCACGAAATCAGGATGCGTCAAGATCTTCTCAAACGCCGCAGCCCGTTCCTTGATGACCGAAGCACTGAAGCGCTGGAAAAACGTTTTCGGTGGGAAAGGCGGTAGCAGCTCCGCAACTTCCGGTTGAACTCGTGCTCGTGTGTTTAATGCAGTCGCCCGATGTTTAGCGGGCTGCATGCTTGTCAATGAAACGGCGCGTCTGGGCGGTACTGGCCGGGCTTCGTCCGATATATTACTGGTCAAGCTCGCCGCTTTCGCACCCTCATGCCACCTCCTAGCCTCGTTGTACAAAGCACGGAAGTCTGTGTACCGTTTCCTCACGACCGTCGGCACGGGATACGTGTGCAGCGTCACTTTGTAAGTCGTGTAAGGACGGTGAGAAGGAGGCGTTGACGTCAATGAAAACGACTGGAAGCGCGGTACTGGGAACGGTGATGTCGAATTCGTCGGTCGTAAAGTGGTCGTCTGAAGGCTGACGGGCCCCGAGCCAGACGATGCAACGGCGCGAACACGAAGTGGGTCCGTGACTGTGATTCGAGGCCATGTAGCGCGCCAAGCCATGGAGGAAGCGGACTCCTGGGATCTCAAGTGTTCTCCAGAGGTGGAAAACCGCTGCCGTATCGCACGAGTAGGAGTTCTCTCCCCGGCAACATCTTCCGACGATTCTGTCGGCGAAGATGGTGGAGGGAAAGTCAAGGAACGGTGCTGCCGGAGGTTCGGGAACGCGTCGGGCTCTCCTTGGTACGAATCTTCAAGGGATGTGCGCCTACGAAGTGGCGATAGCGGTGGCCGTGTGGACTGTGTGAATCGGGGAGTCGAGCCGTTCTGTATAGCGGAGGGATTGGAAGAAAAACGGTCGTCTCCGGGGCCGGTATCCTCAGACTGCCGGTCTTTACCGGCTCCTGAAACTGGCGCGGAAGGCAACGGAGGTAGAGAGTTGAGCAGTTCTGCAGACGCTGGGGATGTGGGGCATGACGCCGACAGCGAAGAGGGAGGGTTGAAGTGAGGTAAAGCGGGCGGCAAGATCACTGACGAGGCGCTAGCCAGGTATGAAGTGTCGAGGGATGCGAAGATTTGCGAAGAAGAGTGACCCGGTGTCCACCATCGATTGGCGTGGTTGTGGAACGCTTCTTCCTCGTCCTCCGTCTCGTGTCCTGTCGCTGATTCGTCATCTCGAGGCGAAAAGTCCCCTGAACGATAGGACTCCGTATCATCGGGTATAGATGAACGCTCGTCCTCTTCATCCCCATCCCCGTCATCCCCATGAAGAGAATGTTCGGTATCGTAATCGGAATGGAAATCCCTCCGAAGTCGTGCCGACGCTAGAGTTCCAGCAGTGCTCTCAAGATCGGCGTCGGACTCATCTACGGTGCCACGCTCGGACTCGGTTTCGAAGGCGCTCTCGTTGCCCACAATGCCGTAATTCCAATCTTTTCGCTTCTTGTATCCCCAAGAATCGGGGTAGATGCTATCGTCTGCCATACCAGAAACGCGCGTCCTTGTCCCACCACGCCCTCTCCGCCCAAGGTTGCCTCGCCGAAGCATGGATCGTTCATGGGCACGACGACGTCGGGTGCCTCTATGAAGGGAGGATCTCTCGCTCACTAGGCTTCGTGCGTCTGCACTGGAAGCAGCAACACTGAATGGGGGCTGTGAGTGCGAAAACGTGGAATAGGCTCCATTCGAGCTGGTATGAGGAACTTCGTCTAGCCAACCAGACGAATGACCATTCGCCTCTGCTGCACCGTACGACGCGCGATTGCTGGTGGATCGCGGTCGGACGCGTTCCTTCGATGCCCAGCTTCCCTTATGTTCGTGACTTTCCTCGGAGACTGTATTGATCTTCGCGTGGCCTCGAGCGAGCCAACCCGTGAACAGCCCAAAGAAGCCCCCTTCCTGCGTGCTACCAGCGCCTGCGCTGGGTCTCAAGGAATCTTCTGGTCTCCCCCTGGACTTGTTCCCGATGATGCTATTGATATCTGCCGATCTGCGTGTGAGCATGTCGTGGCTTCTTCTCGACGGGCCGGCCGAATTGTTCTGGGTCCCCTCTCTACCAAAGCTAGCTGGTGATAAAGGCAAAGACAACGACGCTGCACCTCTTTTATGGCGCCGATCGTTTGCTGGTCGCGAAGATGACGAAGCTGTGCTGTAATAGCGAGCTTGGGAATCCCATAGATCGGAAAGAAATCGAGCGCTTCGTGGTGAGGCGTCGCTCTCCTGTCCTTCGTCGGTCAACGCCGAGAAAGCACTATCGCGACGCATAGGATGGATACCTGTAACAATGACAGGCGACACCGACGAAATCGGCGGGGAAGCCGAGTGTACTTCCGGTCTTGAGTCTGGGTCCTCCGAATTCCCCATCTCCCCGCTTTCTTCCATATCGTCCTCATCTCCGAGCCTATCAACCGCATAGCCTGTCCTTGCCACTTCCGGGCTTCTCTCAGGGATGATGAGTTTGTTAAAAGTTGAGCTCGACGGGAATCCAAAGGAAATTCTTTCAATCGTTGGTGTCAGGTCTGGGTCGAAGGCTGACTCTGCGGAATGGAGACTAGAGTTGACCCTGGCGCGCGCATCCGCTAGCGTGATTGTGTTGTTTGACGCCATCGAAGAGGCAGTAGGGGAATCATGATAAGATGCTCGCTTCGATCGCCCGTCTACCGACATGATGGCCATAGGTTTCGCGGTTTCATAGGTATCTTCTGGATTCATGTGTCCGGATGATGCTCCTCTGTCGTCTGCGCCTTCGTAGTTTGACATGGCAATCCTCGCCGAACCCTCTGAAGGAGGGCCATCAGGCGAGATACATGATTGAGCGACGCTAGCGTCCTTGGACGAGCGTTGGAGCTTGGCGTTCCTCAGAGTCGCCGCTTCCTCGGTGTGAGTGGAGAAAGTCTCAGTGGAGAGGACAGTCTCATTTCCGGTCAACATTCCCTTGTCGTGGAATACTGCCGGTACTTGCTTTGGAACGGGACTGGAGCTTCTACAGGGAGGACGACATTCAAGGTTTATACATGCAATTTGACGTGCAGGACTGGAAACGACGGCCGCACGTCAATCGTCGGTCCTAAGAGCGGCAAGTTCGAGGACCCGGGACCCCGCCTCTGATGAACCTGGTCTCTTTCCGCGGAATAGCTTGAGACAGCGTCGCCCTGAGGTCCCCATACTGGTACAGACGTTTCCCACCCTCCTCGCTCCTGACTGGCAGGAGTCCAAAGCGCTTACCTGGTGTATTTGCGAGGTCCACTCTCTCTTCTTTCTGAATACGGTTGTTCTCGGGCGGATAAGCAAGCAGAAGCCTGCTGTGCGCGGCCTCTGCGTGGGCGTGAGACCTGCCGAGTTTAGTATCAATGTGTCCTTTTTGCGTGCCCGTCGAGGCAGAAAAACGGGACGCATATGTTCGCGCCTCATATCTTTTGACAGCACGTTGTCCGAAAGGCAAAATTGCGGCGGGGGGGTCGCCTCAAATGTTTGACCCCCCACTTACTTGGCGGAAACCAGCCTCGTTCAAGTTGGACCCGCTAATCAGTGTCACCTGCCGTGTGTCGACGCGTTACATTCGGGCCTTGTGCTGGCAATGAGGGATACCGCTCGTTGGTTCCCGACTCCTCACCCATTGGTCCAACAAAGTGGTTCCAAGACCGAGGCTGTGGGAAGCAGGTTTTCCTCCCATCCCGTCGACCGGATTCCTGGCCTTATCATGCAAATTCGCCAGGATACCACAATCCAAAGTCCCCAAGCACTCGCACCTAAAACCGTACAACTGCCGCCTGACAGTGGTTTGACACATTGCTCAGTGCTGACAGGCTTCAAACTCGTCGGGAGAACGCCTCGCATGCCGATTGCCAAGGAAGAAGTCATGAATGTATCCACTAAAATGAGGCTTTACGGCCTGAGGTTATTGAACACATCGGACTGTGATGTCCACCGAAAATTGTGCGGAAACCGAAAATGCAAAAATCAGGAGCTCTCACATCTGCATGACTGCCCTAAGGCGGTTCCATCATATACAGTAAAAGGTTAACCATTCCCTGAATGCGGAAGTCAGTAGCCCTGAGCCTCCAGCAGTGAGAGATGTCCGTTCAATGCAGACAACCGCTTGCACTCGAACGTTCCATTTCCACACGATGGAGGCAGTCTGAAGTCCCACTCAGCGTGTTCTTCAGGAGCTATGACACACACATTTGGGGAGCTCTTAAGAGATGATTGGAGCTCGTTTCCTATTCTTTCAAGCAAGTACCTTTGTACTAGCACGGAATAGCAGCGAACACATCATCTGGTCCGTCTATACTTCGATACCACTGCAGTATATAAGCCGAGGAACTGACTCATCAAGAATTCACAATGATAAGAATGTACATTGATTTTCTTCCACATTGAAGTCGTTGCTGTACAGAACATGCCAATGATGTAGCGACGGAGCGGCAGTGACTGCGTTAGATAACCCATGACTTTGGAGTGCAGCATGCGGTGTGCATGCGCACGGGATCAAGAGCAGCAGCCAGCCCTGGTTCGAATTCTCTACGCCATCGGATTGCACCGGTATTCAAGTTCAAGCCCTCCGCTCTATACATTCATAGGGCAGAAGAACAAGTTGGAGGATTATGTGTCCCTTTTCAGTGCGCAAAGTATTGTGGACTTTGACTTGTTCCGCACCACGGGCACATCTAACGAGCAGCGAGGAGGAGAAACGGAGGTGTCAGGAGTCGGTTCGTTCACCAGTCTCGACTTCTTCAAGTGTGCTAGGATGGACTCACCCTTTCAGCCATGACGAACTTGTTCCAATCTTCTTTGTTTGCGGGGCGTGTGCAGCTGCTGCATTTCAGCTTGCTCCTCAGGACGGGATATCCTAAAAGACAAGTGGAGGAAGGCGAATCTTAGCGAAGTGTCCATCAGAGGGTAAGAACAAAGTGTCTAGCGTAGATCCAGCTTACCAGTGACGACACATGGCTCCCAGGTTGTATGACAGCTGTAGCAGTTTAAGCTGGCATCGTAGATCTTCGTGCCGCAGGTATCACAGTCTCTTCGATCCATCTCCTGATTGACCTTCTGGTCGAGCGACATTTGCAGAACCCAGTCACGGACTTCCTCACGTTTGGCGTCCTGAGTTTCCATTGTAAGACGGTGAGTTGGGCCTGTTCTCGGATACCCCGATCTGTGCCGAGATCAAAAAGAAACTTACGGAAAGGTTCTCGGTTGGAAGGCTGATGTCAAATGGGATGTCGGTGTTCTCAAAGTCCGTATTGTCCAATAAAGAGACATCTTGGTCTTCGATAGCTTCGCTCAAGTCAAGGTATCTATTCCAGCAAACGAATGCCATGTTGTTCATATTCGCGGCCTACGTTAGGGTTTCGTAAGTGAGATGGAAGCGAAATGGCATAACCGTCACCATCTGACGGCATACCTTGGCAGCTTCACCAGCCTCGTAAAACATTTGGTCTGGTCGTAGCTCCTTCGTGTATCGCAACGTTGCAATCGCTTGCTTGGCAGCAAAGTATGATAGATCCTTCTTGCGCTTGCAGTAATTCTTGAGCGTTACCAGATGTGCTACGAATAAAAGCCTGTCGAATTCGGCAGGAACTCCGGGTTGTGGCACATGGTTCTGCCCGTGCACCTGCAAAATTGGTGTTGAGCTTCTCTGACGCCACGGTTCATGTTCAAGGAGCACCTCCACTCACCAACTTAAACAACATCTCACGCAACGCCGAGATTTCCTCTATTGATCCTTTCCCCAACGTCTCCCGCGCCAAGCGCATGTATAAGTCGAAGTTGTCCGGGACCGGCGGCACCCCATACTCAGTCAACTTGGTAACAGCCTGGTCAAATTTGCCTTCACGCAGCATGCTGATAGAAAACGACATCAGGTACTTGTTAAGTACCGCGGATCCTTGCGACGAAGCCTTTTGCAAGCATTGGTCCCATTGCCCGCGCTGGGCAAACAGGTCGAGCCCTGCAACTACATCGACATTCACGAGATCTTCGGCGTCTCCCGTGCTCTTCAGGTGCGTCACGTAAGCACTCTCGACGTACTCGGTATACTTGGGAGCATATGCTAGCATCTGCTTTGCCTTGTCCCATGCAGCACCGAGAATGTACGCATCGATAGCGTCTTTGTACATCTCCATGCCGGCAAACAAGTCGGCGGCGGCTTCGAAGCTGTTGACCTCCATCAAGCGTGAGCAGACGGTTTCGACAACCTCGGGTCCGCGGTCAGGGACAAACTTCATGGCTAGTTCAACGGCCTTTTCCCAAACTTGTTGCAACTGGCTTGCGTCCGTCGCCTGGTTGGGCGTGATCTTCAAATACATGTCGATTGCACGGCCATATTCTTGTTGCTGTTCAAGAAGCTTAGCTGTGGAGACGATGTCTTCTCGACCTTTGTCCCCTTGCCCCGACGTGAAGCGATCGTATTCTACGTTCAACTCCGACATCTTGTTTGGCAAGTACTCCGTCGCGAACCGCATGGCCTCCTTCCACATGTTTCCTTCTTTGTAGTACTTGATCGCCAACTCCGGTCTTTGCGCTCGTAACAGCATGGACTCTCCCTTGGTGTAATCCTTCCGTTCAAAAGCGACTCGGGCTTGTCCAATCAGGACATCACTTAGACTCCCCGGATCGTGCGCCTCGGCAACGGCGGTGGCGGCATCCCAGTCCTCGTTATGGATGTACATAAGGATGGCCTCCTTCGGCTTCCCCGCCAGCACAAAGGCCTGCTCGGCTTCTTTGAACTTGCCTTCGTCCTCGAGGTACATGGCTTGTTTGTAATGCACATCCGCCACTTTGGCCTTGTCCTCGCCGTACCGGCTCAGTTCAAACGCGAAATCAAACGCGCCATTCTCGGTCGCAAAGTCGATGGCTGAGTCCAGCAAATTAAACTTGCTGAGCAACTTCACTGCTGATTCCCCGCCTAACGATCTGGCCCACAAGTACGCTACTTGTTTGTATGAATTGGGACCTCCGTAGGATTTCGCAATCTGCATGAAGAAAAATCTCAGCCATAATCCGTTGGGTGACCAGACGCGAAGCATAGACAGAACCCACCCTATAAGCGTCCTCGTACATATTGTTCGCACAGTACATATTGATCGCCGACTTCCAGTCCGCTCCCTCGATGTAGTGATGCTCAGCCTGCTTGAAATTCCCGTCGGATTCGAGCGACTTGCCCAGGTACACGTGCGTTTCCGCAAGCAAGTCTTTGTGGAAAGCGGTGACCAATCGGATCATGTTGTCGTATTGTTTGTGGTTTTTGTACATGTTGATGGCCAGATCTGGCTCTTGAACGGTCAGGTACAGCTTTTCGGCGTCTTTCAGTTTACCTGGGAGACGTCAAACTTGGTGTCAGATGTGGTCCCTCTGGCCAAGATCCAATCCGAACTCACCTTGGGCCTCCATGTCTTTCGCTTGCGAGATGTACAGCACCGCCACCTCATCCGGCGCCATGTACGTAGTAGCAAGCGTATGCGCTGCATCCCACTTGCCCACCTTTGTATACATCTCCACCGCATCCTGCGGCTGACCAGCCATAACAAAGTACTTCTCCGCCTGGTTATACTCCCCAACTTCGGAGAAATGGGCGGCCAGTCGCTGGTAGTACACCTTCCCGGCCTCGGGCGGCTGAAGGGAATCGACGATGCCCACGGCTTTCTTCCACTGCTTTGCCCCGATGGCAGCTTCGATCGCTTTGAACGACCGTCCGGCTTCGATGTAGTGGTTGATGGCCCCGTCCATCTGCTTCTGGGAGACCAGCTGATCTCCCCACTGCTCCTCCAACTTGATGACCTCCTGCGGGAAGGTTTGTCTGGCCAGCTCTACCGCCGCCCGGAAAGCTTTGCCGCGACGGTAGGCCTCCAATGCGCGATCCGGGCTGCTCATCTTCTCGAATAGTTCGCCGGCCTTCTCGTACAGTCCTTGCTTGTACAAGGCGGCGGCCACACGCTCCATCAGCTCCGTCCTATCCGTCAATCTGTGTGCAAGAAGCGCCTTTGCCGCACGTGCGGGCTGTCCTCCCTTCATGTATAAGTTCACAGCGGACACAAAGTCCCCTTCTTCCTCCCTCATGGCACCAGCTTTGTCCTCTTGTCCCGAGTCGTTCAGCCATTGGAAATATTTGGCTTTTAGGGTATCTAGATCCGGATGATTCTTCGATTCCGCCACTTTGATTGATAGGTTCCATTTATGGAGCTCTTGATACATACTCATGGCTTCTTCTACTTTTCCCTGGTCCAAGTAGATAGACTCAGCTACCTTGAACTGCTTATCCAAAATCGCCAGTTTCGCTCGTACAGAGTAGTGCTCCGTGGCCTCAAGGTGATTTTCGGCGGCCACTGCCGCGGCTTGTTCGTTCACTTCATGGAGGTAGCGAGTCCGCGCCACATCCCCCAGAGCGGCGTAACACCTTTCCGCGATGATCAGGTTTTGATCCTTCAGAGCCATCTGGCTCAAGCTCTTCCACATCGCTTCCGTCTCTGGGGTGATCTCAAGCGTTTCCAGCAGAGCCACAGCACGGTCATAGTCTTTGTCGTCTATGGCGGTGCCGAACTCGATCAGACCCTCGTCCAACGTGTAGGAAACGGTATTCACGCCCTCATCCACTATGACCTCCGTCTTCCCATCGCTGCGCTCAATGTCCTCAACTTCCCCTTTGATAGGGAACATAGTGACACGCTCTGGCGAATCGATGGAGTACCAGATGCATAGGTTTCCGCGGTTCTGTGCGACCACTACATCACTGTTGGGAACCCATTGCACGTAGCTACAGAAATTGAGCAGGGTGGTACGAGTCTGCGTCGCGATATCGTACATATGCAACTGCCGGTTCTTGTCCCTGAAGAGCAGCTTGTTGGCCTGTCCCGATAATTCAAGCCAATCGATGCGGCTGTCGTGACTGATGGCCGCCACAGTGGTAGACGTGTTCAGATCAAGGATATTGATGCTCTGTAAGTCCACCAGATAGGCTACCCTTTTGACGTCCTCGTCGTTTTTGCGCTCGTTCACGCGGACGCTGATTAGATGTGGGCTGGTGTGCTCGGTTCGACACGATCCAAGAAGTTCGTTCACGCCGTATTCGACAAGCGAAAGCTCTCCGGCGTTGAAGACCATGCACACAAACGGGTTCTCAAAGTAGAATTTCTCCTGGCCCGTCCCTTGCCATGGAATCTCACTCAACTTGCAAGTCGACAGATCCCCCATCAAGAGCGTATCCGGCGTGTTCGCGATCAAATACTGGTCTCGGAAGATGTTGACTTTCTGTATCTCATACCCATAGTGCGACTTCAACACAATGCGGGAGCCGGTCGAAAGTCGCTTAACGATCACTTGCGACGGGGAAACATATGTGAACTCGAACTTTCCCTTGTATCGCGATCGTCGAAGACAGCAATCGAAGAGCTCCACCGCGCCGCACATGTTTCCGGCAACGAGACGAGAGCCATCGGGTTTCCACGACAGTGCTGACACTGTATAGAAGTTCTCGATGACCTTCACGGGAGCTTCCTCCCATTGTTGGTTAGCGGTGGAGAAGTTGTACACGTAGAATCGGTTGAAGCTCCCGATTACGACGCTCTGTCCGCTTGGGCTGAACTCCGCTCCGGTGAAATCCTGTACGTCGTCATCTCTGCTGTAGTCGAATTCCTGCATCACTCGACCTGACGCAAAGAGGAAACATCCGAGTCTAAGTCATGTCGTCCCGGCAGCCAGATGTATCGCGCAATACTCCCCTCACGCACCTTCCGAGTCGTAGAAGACCACCACTTTATCGCCTCCAGCAGCAACGACGCTCTCGCCCCAGGCCAGTGCAACGGGTGTTGTTCGATGAGCAGTAAACTTCCCCTAAAGCTTCGGATATCAGTAAGTGCGCCATCATCCAACCGGAAATCAAGACATCAACGATAATCCTGGCACCCACCTGTGAAGCTCCGGACAATCCATCGTCAAAGAAGAACCTGTTCATAGATCCGTCGAGATGTCCGGAAATGATGGCGTTTCCATCATGGCTGGCGGAAAGTGAAACCACGCAGCTCTCGGTTTGATACAGCGTAGCGGCTTTGTTCGTTTTCAGGTTGCCTATCCGAACCTGCGAGTATCGCGTTCGGAAGACGTCAGGATCGCTCCGCCGTCACTTCTCACTGACATATCCACCGCCTGCACGCCTACCTTTCCGTCGGCCATACCAAACACTAACGCATTGGGTTGCTCCCGCGGCCATGCCAGGCAAGTGATCTCGGCGGTCTGGATGAATTTGTTTACGATAGATTTCTTCTCTCCCCACTCGAGACCCAGTCGGTAGACAAACACAGCATTATCGGATTGGGCAACGGCTAGCTTTGTAGAATCCGGAGAGAACGCGAGTCCGACGATCGTGTATGATCTGGCAGCCTAGATGAAATTGATGAGAAAGGAGATCATACTTTTGTGACATCCGAAAACATACCTTCGGATCCCCTGGCTTCGTCGAGAAGCGGTCCTTTCGTTCCCCGGTCTCATCAAAGAGTTGTACGACACGGTCGGCACTTGCCACAGCAAGCTTTTGGTTGTTCGGTGACCATGTCAACGCCGTGATTCGTTGTGCTGTTTCCCCTTGTGGGACGATTGATTTGAGATACCTAGATTTGTTGTAAGACGAATCAGAAACGGGCCTCAATATTCACACCGTCTGATGGTCACTGTCAGGTATACTCACCGTATCTGCATGACCACAGGTTGACCGGGGTTATGGCGAGGACGGCCTGCGTCTCGATCTCTCCCAAAGCCAAAGCCAACTGCAATTTCCAAAGTCAAGCGAGACGCGTTTTGCTTATGTTATGGAACGCGTTTTTTTCGCAACTTTTTAGGACAACTTGGTGTTTCCGAAATCGAAAGCCACGACGCACATGGGTTCGCGATGTCCATGCCATTGCGAACAAAGTTCCCTTCGTAAGTACTTTGACCGCCTCGTCATATACAGTACGTAGCGACGGTAGCATCGCCCAAAGTTTGTTTTCGCCGACTTGGATGACGGCCTTTGTGCTCTGCCAGGTTCTGCCTCACGTGCGTGTGTGTTGATGGAGAATATTCGATGCAAATAAATAAAATTTAATATGCGATCTTGACCGCGGCCTTGGACTTGGTACGCCGAAATTAGAGTTTCTGGTACAACATGTCCTTATCTCTGTTTCGCATTCACGGTGGTTGTTACATCTGTCAGCCCTGAGACTGGTCAGGCAGCTATCAGCGAGGGAGCGCAGAACCAACGAGCCTTGATCTTGATGATCTTGAACGCCGACAGTGAGGCGATGCCATGCTTAGCCGGCATACAGTCCATACCTCGCTTTCCCCCACAAAGCGTTGGCACTGGGGCGCATCGCAGACAGCGCAAAAGGCCGCAGCGAGGATGCAAAAATAGCGTCTTTTTCCGGGTATCTCTGCGTTTGGCACGCCCTAGTGGGGGTCTGGACTTCCTCAGTATAGATCTGACAGCACCAGGATGATACTATACAGTACAGAGATAGGATGGCCAAGCCCATCTGTCCGCTGACCTGGGACCCGGGGACAGCATCTGATCCGCTGAGGGCGTTTGGGGGGGCCACGGAGGGATACAAATGTGTCTGATGCGAGTCTGAAGCGCCCACCTGCCGCGCGCCGCCCCCCGTGTTTGTTTGGCCCCACAAATAGGCCAGATTCCCCCACACTCGCAATCATATCATCCTCCATTCAAGTCAATCAAGCCATCGGCCGCCAACCTGTATCACACCAAGGCAACGGAAGGAAAGGACCGCATTTACCACAACACATTTACACAAAAGGGCAACCCTCATCCGCTCGGCCTCTTCCATTCTCATTCTTACCTGCCTATCCTCCGCTATATATATCCTCCTGAGCTGGTCTCTTCCCTTCCCGTCTGTACACATCGTTAATCCTACGCGTTATCCAAGTTCTCGCACGCTGGTCGTCGCACTTGGTTGTACAGTATCTGGAGATCATTTTCACCACGCCTACTATCGACCCTCATATCACCTAGTCTACCAACATGTCTGAAAAGGCAACGTATCAGGAGGACCATGCGATCCACAAAGGCGTATCCGAATCGACGGTTTACCATGAGACTCCCCTTTCCAACGGGACACTAGAAGACGGTGTGAAGCGAGACTTGAAGACTCGCCATATCTCCATGATTTCCATCGGTGGTACCATTGGGACCGGTCTGTTCGTCGCTTCCGCAGGGAATATCGCAAATGCTGGCCCACTAGGAGCACTGCTTGCGTACCTCTTCATGGGATTTACCGTATACTGCATCATGACCTGCCTCGGTGAAATGGCCACTCTGATCCCCGTATCTGGATCCTTCAACCATTACGGTGGAAGGTTTATCGACCCGGCTCTTGGATTTGCTCTTGGCTGGAATTGTGAGTATAGATAGGCTTTCCCGGGTTATGTTTCATCTGGATCTTAACCCACACCGTCTGCCTTCCTTCAGACTGGATTAGTTGGGGAACCGCACTCGCCACCGAGTTGGTTGCCTTTGCTGTGGTCATCGACTACTGGGGTGACACAATTCCCCATTGGGCATGGGCTCTCATTGTCCTGGGCGCTATCATCGCCTTGAACCTGGTTGGCGGGAAGGGATACGGTGAAAGCGAATACTGGTTGTCGATCATCAAGATTATTGTCGTCATCATCTTCATCATCGTCGGCATCTTGGTCGCGTCAGGCGCCGTTGGAGGCCACACCTACGGTTTCGAGAATTGGGGAGAAGATAGGGCCATCAACGTCGCTGGCGCTTACAATAACGGTTTCGTCAACTGGTTCGCCACCCTCATTACCGTTGGCTTCGCTTATATGGGCACAGAGCTGGTTGGTATCGCCGCCGGTGAAAGTCGCAACCCCCGCAAGGCCGTTCCCAAAGCCATTCGCAATGTCTTCTGGCGTATTCTCGTCTTCTTCCTCGGATCCGTCTTCTTCATGGGGTAAGTACTTGTCATTTCGGAGTTTAGATCACATAGCTTATGCTAACGCTTTTGATCATCATCCAGGCTTATCATTCGTTCTGACGACCCGAGCCTCGTGGAGTCCGAATCCGGTGCAAGGGCTGTGGTCACTGCCCCATTCACCACCGTGTTTCAGAAGGCGAACATCGGGCCAGCAGCCGATATCATCAACGCCGTTCTGTTGACCGTCCTGTTTTCCGCTGCCAATTCAGCTCTTTACTCCGGATCTCGTATCCTCATGGCCTTGGCTCGCGAAGGCAAAGCTCCCGCCTTCGTTGGCCGCACCAACGGTCGTGGTGTCCCAATTTACGCGCTTGCCGCCACCTCCTTGTTCGGATTCGCCATCGCCTTGGTGCAAGTCTTCTCCCCAGACGGCGTTTTCCCATGGATTCTGGGCGTTTCTTCCATTTCCGGTTTCATTTCCTGGGCCGCCATCGGTTTCACCCACATTCGTTTCCGCCAGGCTTACATTGCGCAAGGTCGCGACATCAAGGCGCTTCCTTACAAGGCCATCGCTTACCCTTTCACGGCATGGTGGGGTGGTATCATGTGTACCATCATTATCATCTTCTCCGGATTCTCATCCTTCACTCCTGAGTGGAACGTGTCGATGTTCCTCCAGACGTACATTTGCGTCTTCATCTTCATCCTGACCTTCGTTGGATACAAGATCGTCAAGCGCACGAGGATCATTCCCTTGATGGAAGTTGACCTTGACACCGGTGTCAGGTGGGCCGACATCAAGGAAGAGCAGGACGAGGCGGCCCGCACACGGTCGACAAATATTTTTGTCCGCGCTATTCAGTGCATCTGCGGATAAGCGCGCCTCTTGATAGGATTCTGATCCTGTCACGTATTCCCCCCCCAACACCCGATGTAACTGGGTTATGACCGGGTTCTCCAAGGCTGCTTCTTCCGCACAGTAGCGGAAAGCCTCTGAAATTCTGTACAGACTTTCCCCTCCGATGTAGTTGGACATGCACACTATCATATAGTTATAGGACCCCAAATCTTACAATCACATTGGTTGCTAAACTCAAAACTTCTCATTCGTCTTGCAAGTGGTCTCTGGGCTTTCTGGGTGTTCTCTCCGGTCTCTGTGCCTACCCTGCCGGGTTCCGTCCTGTCGGCTGTTCGTCCTGTACGATATGACGGGAACCTTGTAACGACGACTCACAACAGTGACTGCCAAAACGCCCTGGATTAGATTAGAACCCCGCTCTCGTCACTGTCTTTTTCTCCCGCTTATGCGCCTGCCAGTGCAGGATGTGCCGCTGCAGAGTTGGTACACATTTCGTTAAGTAATAACCGCTAGCTCATATCAGGAAAGGTTTAAGAAGCATCGCACTTCAAGCTTCATGAGGACGCTACAGATGAGAAGAGGAACTCCATACATAAATAATTTCCACGTATAGTGGGCTGCCAGATATCTGGTTAAGATGTCCCAAGGTTATCGACCCCCATGCAAACGTAACAAGGGGGACGAGTTACATTCTATATTTTGCGTCCAAAACGAAGCTCCCTTGGTACTTCGGATATGGGGAAGCCGGCCTCGCCGTGGGTTGTTGACGGCTCCGCCTCTGACTCCGATCCCCATTCGCACTATTCGCATCTTCCATACACTTCTGAGCCTTCGCGCACCTTTCGCGCGTAGTGACGCTCGTCCTTCGTCAGTAGGCGGAAGTCGCGGATGCGTAAGTCCAGCATGCGAAGCAAGAGGGCCAGGAGGTCATCGAAGGAGAAGCAGAGCGGGACATCATCTTCACCGTGTCTATCGTAGAAGATGACTTGGACAGGAATCTGTCCGGAAGCCATGTTGACCGCTGTCAGGCATTCCCATGCCTTTGCTGGCGACGCTGGTAGGCTGTCGGCCTTTGCGCAGACAAGGGCAACGATTTGAGGACGCTGAGACCAGGCCGCTGCTATCTGCATATGGTGGAGCATTGCATGAAAGGTTGGGCCTTTGTCCTGAATGTATGCCGCATCCAAAAGGTTGGCGTGTCCCTGCCCCAATCCATTTCGATTAAGGATAAGAGAGCGAAGACCTCGTGGGCAACGACGTAATGGGCGGTCGGCAGGTCGGAAAGGAGCACCTTCACCTTGGATAGCTTCGTGCCGTGGTCGGGACAGTCAGTGGCGAACAGAGTGGCGAAGGGATAATGAAGGAAGGGGAGCTGAGAGGAGCCATCGCTTGCCTTGCTCCAGGTACGATACCGGGTCGGAGGGCGAAGATCGCCCCCCAAGAACAAAGAACAGGACTTTGGCCTCGAGGAACAAGGAAAGTTCCACTTTCGAGAGCGCTTTCCGGATTCTCCGATGCTTTTTTCCATTTCCCTTAGATGCGGCCTGTAAGCAGATTTATGTGACGTCGGAGATTGCTTGCTGGTGGAAGAGTTTTCGATCTGTTACAGTGTTGACGATTGTAACCTTCTTGTCCCCATTTGGCCTTCTCGTAGAGATGTTCACTGATCATCAATCCGTAGTTGGCACACCACTTCCTGTGCGGAAACAGGTAAAACAGATTTGGGTCTGTTGTCGTTGTGAGGAGATGTTTGACAATCGGGATTTGGTGGAGGGGTTTCGTGTAAGGTTCCACCAGAGGTCTACCGTAGATCCCCGGTGCGATTTTTGGCTCAGGTAGAGCGGTGCTTCCTCAGCGCTCATCCCAGTTTGCACATCAATGGCGATTGGGTACCCGTTTCATCGTCAAGAGCCCCATCCCCTGCGTCCTCATGCTCTACATCCTTCCGTCCGTCCCCATCCTACTGTGGATGTATGTACTGTAATAATAGCATATTCACGTCAAAAGATAATTACAAGAAACGAATCATACGAGGAAAATTGGGCGAAATGTAGATACAGGGAATAAGCAATCGATGTTACTCATTGCTCCTCATGTTGCGCCGTCAACGTCGACGACGATCTCGAATGTGAGAACGGATTCGGGAAAAACGACGCCACCCCACTCGAAGCCCCCCGCCCTGATGACGACGGGCCCCGTTGATTATGTAGTCGTTGCCTGACGGCGCCCGTCTCCCTGTTACCCGCCACCGGTCCCCGATGCGGTCGATTGAACGCCACCTGCATCCAAAACCACGACGAAATAGTGGAAACCACGTCACTTATGTGGGCATGCTCGACTTGGTCTGCTACGCCTTCGCGGGAAACAGCGTACGCCTCGATCTCGAACCAGTAGGGTGTGACGTCGTTGATGTCCTCTCGGTAGCAACAGGCTGCTGTTACTGGGAGGGGGTTGCTGTTCCGCGCGATCGGTGATATGTTTGTGTTCTGCCCGGTACTTGTTGCCGAAGATGGCTGTTGCTCGATGTGGATGGCAGGCGCTGTTTCAGATTCTCCATGCTGGGAACTATGATCATCCGTTCTCTCGGGTAGGCGGGCTGGCTCGCTGAATGGCCGCCGAGCTGCGTGATCAGTCTCCATTGCACCATCAGTGGAGTGTCGTTTCCTGGACACGACTGATCCTCGACGGCGAAGGACTGGAAGCTCGAGTTGCCCTGGTGGTAAGCTGATGACGCTCGGCATTCGTCTGTGTGCGCTGCCACCGGCGCCGCTAGATAGGCTGCCGAAGAGCGGGGAATGCTGATAGCTCTGCGACGACAAATATTGGCTATTCCTGTTGTCGTGTTGCATTGGCGGCTCTTGTGTCGTAGGCTGCTGGGCGAATGGCGTCCTATGAGCAGTCAGAATGAAGTGCAGGCAGTAATCTTCGTTTTGGCGATTGAAGAGGATCAGGTGCCGTCTGAGACCGTCTGGACTCTCGTAAAGGTCCCGGGCAAATGGCTCGTAGAATGACTTCAGATGATTCAACAGCGATACCCAGTGTATGCACGGGACAGTAAACATCTCCGTCAGACTTGGATCGATGGTGCAAAGAGGCCGCGAGTTGGGCTCAATCTTTTCCAGGAAGAGCCTTGTCCATTCGTAGATCCCGTCATCGGTCAGCTGAGTGATCTCTTGATATTCGCCTCTCATGCCCACAAGCGTAGATGGATCTTGGCCTCTCAGGAGCTGACGCCACAGATTATCGCGTCCATAATATCGCATTGCCTAGATGTTCGTATAAGTCCCGTGACAGATCAAACTCTGCGATGCTAGTAAACGCCTCATACCTGCTCAATCAAACGATCAACCTTCCGTTCCGCGTTGCGCACAATATCCTTCAAGTAGTAGCCTCCAGCAAGATATTCATGCAACGGGTCATACAATATAGCACTGCCCATGCTCGACATCCTAGGTTGATCCACCGAAGAGTGGGGATATGGGGTCTTGACGTTCACAACTAAAAGGAAATACCGAAGATCGAGTTTCGTAGCGCTGGATGACTCCGCACTCGCTTTCCTCTGGTGTGCTGGCGGCTGGTCCAATCGCGTCCCTGTCGAATCACTTGCAGGGCCATCGCATGTCGAGTAGACGATGATGGTGTACACATGCTCTGGCTGCTCGCGCTTGTCGTCCATGTGTCCGCTTCCTGTGCGGCTGAAGTCTGGTGTGACCGAAGAGACGCAGCAAGCGATAGACTGCCCTTGAAAAGTGATCGGGGCAAACCCATATCGCAGAGGGTTCTTCAGGATGTACTGGAATAGCGAGCTAGACACCTGCCCGTTGTCAATGGAGTACGAACCGCGGTAAATGCGCGACCGTGCGAAATTGGCTTTCCGAGGGTTGAACAGACAGAAAGCCTTCATAACTAGCAGCATGTCGACCGGACAGGGCATTCGGTTGCGACGCTCCAAAATTGTTTGGAAGTATCGGATATGGAAGTCATAGGCGTCTGTTAGGGTATCAGGTTAGCGACAATACCTCTCCGAGATGGCCGTCATCGACCACAAGACACATACATGAATTTAAATGCACAAGGCCTTTGAGCTTATTGCATGCATCCGTGAACTCCTGTATTGCGCCTTCTGTCCCGCTCGGCGAGACGTGGGGCCCCCTGGGGTCCGGAAAAGACAATGTGTACAGGTTGAGGCAGCCAAAAATGCCATCCACACCAACTTGCGCAATTATGACGCCCGATGAGAACCAACGAACCAGGTAGGTGACGTCTGTCCTCAGGCTCAGACGGCTCGAGATCCAGTACTGCGGTGAGGCAGAGGCGGGGAGGGAAAAGCCTGAAGTCCTCTCTCCGGTGGCAGGAACTTCTTCCAACCCAAGGCTTTTCATGTACGCGACGTAGCCGTGGAAGTAAGCTTCCAACATCCCGTTGTACCAGGCGAGTATGGCTTCATCATCCATGGACGCAATTCCGGCCGAGGAGGGAGCAACGAAGTTCACCCCTTGGGCACTCAAAGGCGAGAGGAAGTCCCTTTCGTAATTATCAGATTCGGTGCTGCTGGGTGGGCGCGAGGACTCATGATGCGAACGCATAAGCTGATTGCGAAGGTCCGAGAAAATCAGGGGATACTTGACGAAGTGCAGCAACTTCACTGATCTCAGGATGTTCCCCATATCTGACGCCCCAATAGGTTCGGCTTTCCCTGTCCCAAACCATCCATTCCCTCCGACCGCTTCATTCCCGGATGATCCGCGTTTGGGCACTGTGATTCCAATCGGTGCATTCGGTGCTCTTTTTTTGGAACCATTTCCATACTCCATATGCCGCACAAGCCAATCAAAGAACTCCACGGCGTGCCGTTGAAGCGTGTCAACGTCCGTTGCAGCGCTGGCTTCCAAAGCGGATGCATCGTAATCTTCACTTTTGGCGACCATGCGCTGCTGTAAGCGCGAAGCGAGTGCCATGACCTTGTTATCGCCCCCGTAGCTGGCGGGTATGGTCTCCGGTGCCTCCTCTTCTCGCTGCGACTTGAAGGGAAGACGCCCTGCAGGATTCGTATGTTGAAGATGATTGAACTCTTTCTCCAGAAACTGGATTCTCAAGTGATTCCAGCTCAGAATTCTTAAGACTTGGCGAAAGAGCATTTCACTCTTGCTCTGCTTCCAGTTGTATGTCCATATCGCAACACGATTATGCTCAATGACGGTGAACACAAAACTGCTGCGAGAACCTAGTTCCAAGGAGGCTGAATGCAGCTGAGCGGAGTACATGACCGCATCGTCACCGGTGGCCTTCCCGGCAACAGAAATCTGCGCTTGTCCAGTACGCGAGCGTCTATGCCGCGGAGGTGCCGCCAAGATGCCCGTACTCGAATCCGAGCCAGCATCATCGTAAGTTAGACCGCGTGTACTCTGCTGAACTCCAGGGGCCGCTACCGTTGGCAGTGAATTTGTTGACATAATGTCAGATTCGAAGGAACTTGTCCGGTGTTCGAACGCACGCAAAAGGGAGCGTTTTGCGCTGAGCGTAGTCTCAAACCCCTTCAATCCCGCCACTACGACGAACAACGGCTGATCCGCCGATGTGCTTTCTTCAGTGCCTGAAGACCGCTTTCGATCCTGCCACTCCCCAGCGATTCCTTTCGTAGGCTTGAATGGCATAAAGTCCATTATGTCCATACTGTCGCGGCACCTTGATCCTTTCATAAGCAGTGGAGCGGCCATCACAGCCGTACCTGCAAAGGCGTTGATCATTTCTTCCAAAAAGCCTTCGATCATCCACGCCGGGAGAGTAGCTAATGAAATCATATGCTTGACAGTCGGAGAATGGCATTCCGCAGCCTTTAGGAGGATTTGGGACATGTCTGCAAAGAACCGCGAAAATCCCGGACCGGCAAGACTATCCTTTTCGGTCCCCAAGAAGCCTTGGTCGTCAAGCGTGGAGACGGATGTTGGAGATTCGCATACAATGGAGTTTTGTTGCACTCGTGTAACGCTCGGATCCGGGATTGAAGTGCTCATCTTCCCCTCCGTTAGTGTTTTTCGGAAACTTTCGACGGTCGATTCGATGGCGTAGTCCAACAGGGAATCCTTGAAAGCACTTTCAAGACTGGCAAAGAGGCCTTCGACGTTGATGCCGCCATGATGCCAAACTTCTATGACCACTTTGAATCCAGGCGACACCTCAGGATCGTCGATCCCCAAATTTGATTCTTTGAAGAGGTCCAGAGGTTGAAGAAGGTCTGCGTCGGTTCCTACCCGGGATTCATCGGAGTTGACCTCCGGAACCTCAATCATAACTTTCCCTGTGTCCCCAAGTAAGGCCATGGATACGCAGGCGATCCCCTGTCCGACGACCGTTTCCATCTGCGTCAGGTTCTTGGCAGGAACGGAGTTGTAGAGGAATGCGAAGTCTGAGAACTGAATCTCGTATGTTGTGGTTTTCGGCCCAGTTCTGTTCGGCCGGGGTTCAGCAAGGTTCAAAGTCAAGCGTAGATTATGCAGGGATGACTTTGTGCGTACCTCAGCTCGCTTTCGCTCTGGCGATCAGCCCATCCGTAGGCCTCTTCATATCGCGCTTTCAAACTTTCCACGACGCCGGCACCCCCGAGTAGATGCATCCACTGCATAAGTGGCTGCCTCCACAGCAACAGAAACATGTACGGATTGTGCACGAACGAAGGAAGGCGCAAGAATCGAGTCCGATTGGGTGGAACTCCTCGGCCAGTTGGCAGAATGAAATCCAGATCCGCCGGTGTGAGTTTGGTAGCCACGTTGCGAGCCAAGAATGAGCCCAACACCAGCTGCGTAAGAGAGTTGATCTTCAGCTGAACCATGGAAACAAACTCTCTGGTTATCTCAGGTCCCGGAGAATCGATCCCAAAGACATCAAGAGCAAGGAAGTGCTCGGCATTGCGCAGATTGCTCGTTGACCCGCCAGCAGACGAGACTGATTGTGCTGCCAAACTAGAGACCGTCGATCTCCTCATCAATGGTGAGGCAGCACCTTTCGGTGATTCAACTCCGGTGCGGGCTGCTCGAGGTAGTATGTCCGTATCATGCAGGAGCATATACGCTGGTTCAGAGCCTCCGTCATTCCCATCCTTTGTTTTGTCGACTTCGCCCCCTTCGATTGAGATCTTCATGTAGAAGGTAAAATCTTGGCTAGCAAAGACAAACATTCCTCTCCGATTCCCGATCGCAAATGCTTGCAAAGCCATGAGAATGGTGTTCAGGGCCTGTTGTGGTTTTAGTCTCCAATGCAACGGGAATAGATGGCGGAAGACCAGGGAACAAGCAAATCGCCCAGGAGGAAACCGATCTTCGACTCCGTAGTGCGGAGGTGACGGACTGGCATCCATTCTTTCGCGATAGATGTCGCGTTCATCAGATGACATTCGGGGGTTTCCCCTTTCTTCGAGAGTCCCCGGTATAAGATACTCACTGAATGAAGTCCCAAATACCACGGTCAGCTTTACAGGCGAATCTGAATCTCCAGAGAGACTCGTGCACATCTCACATACCTGGCCAAATGCGATTGACTCAATTGATCGAGAAGGTATTTTCGGTTGATGCGTTCACAGCAGTTTGTGATGCCCTCCCGAAACTTGCTCGTTATGGAGAGACGCATGTACCGATCAACATTCTTAGAAAAGAAATACATCTGCACTGAATGGTCCACGATGGTTGCAATGAGCCAGTATTGCGGTTCGTGTTGCTCCTCATGCTCTTCGAAGTCTGACCCAGACGGTTTGTCTCCTTCTTCACACATGTTCTGGGGTGCGTCCGGTGGGTGACCCTCGGTATGATGGGCAGGACCATCGCAGTTGATCTTGTGTTCGTTTTCTTCGAAGCTGAGATCCCCAGGTATAAAGGATGTCTCGCTATGCAAGCTTCTCAGACCCTCATCTGGGACATAGAAGACACCACTCAAAACGTGGACAGTCCCGATACCGATATCCAGACCGTTCAATTCAGCCTCAAACATTTCCATGCCGACTGACCCCGTGACGAGGCACAGCGGCACACTGAACGACATGCTCGGTTCAAGCTCAAGCGACGGCGGTATCGAACTTGGCTTATCCGCTTGCAAAATCGGTTGCGTGTCAACCCCATGCCGCTTCCTCAAAATGCCTTCGACGAGTTGCAAGATAGATGGCTTGACTGGTCGTATACCGAGCAAGGAGTGCATGATTTCATCCTCTAGCAAGCATTCGATGCCACGCGTCACTTTCTCGATAGCCTGGCGCTTCTCCGAATCTACATGAGAAACACCAAAATGATTGACATCGGGCGACTCCGTATCGCCGCCATTCTTGCGACCCGGAGAGCCCTCCATTTCGAATGGCCGAGTGGGCAACGCCGTCAGACATATGAGTCGCAAGAAAGCGGAGATCCCGTCCGAGCTTGCACCAGGGCTCACATCTTCCCCGTGCGCAATGGGCGGGAAGTCACGATCCGCGATTGTAGACTGGTCTGCTTCCCTAGCGGTCGATGTAAAAGGAACATGTTCCATTTTGGACATTACCGATGCTGGGTAAGAGGTAGGCAGGTCCGTGACGGGAACATTAAGATGCTCTGCTTCGTTTGAACCCCCTTCCTTCGCAAACGTGCATTCGACCCTCACGAATAGGGGCGTCTCAGCACACTCTAACAATCTCGACAAGGCCAGCGGATAATCTCTTTGAGATGCCCCCGACTCCAAAGCGCTGTTCGCATAGTCAAAGTGTAGTGGAAGATGACTGGCCTTCCCAGTAGCCGGGTTTGGTACCGCAGACATCGGCCGAGTTTTCGCGAGGAGCCGATTTGGGACTATCGGTGCGGTCTGCGGTGCAGAATGGATTCGGGAAGAACCAACGTTGGCCAACTTCGGGCGGAAGTAATAGACATTGCCACAATCACGCTCGTCGGCTTTCGGAATCGGCATCAGGCACTCAGAGAGTAGCAATCGGAATCGCCGTTGAATATCCGTCTCCTCACTGCCACAATCAAAGTTTCAGTGCATGAAAATGTAGTAGATGATGTAAGAATGATGCTATATTCCTGCAGGTACTTACGACTTGTTATCAACATGCTTCCGAGACTGTTGGCTTTTGTGCATACGCACGTTCAGGAACCGTGTAAGATCGATACTGATATTAGTTTGAACACATGGTGCGATTGCCTGAATTACATCCATCGCGTCGACGTGATAGCCCTCAAGCAGAGCAGCATACACGCTCTTCGTGAATGCGGTGTAGTATCCATCCTTGATGTGTTTGACGAACGCCGTTCCTAGGTCCGATATACGTGCTTCCAAATTTCCTTCGCTTCCAAAGTTACTTATGCTGGAGGTTGCAAGAGCACAAGTGGGACCCGTGGCTATCAACTGAATGGCTTGAGGCGATATGCCCCCTGCCTGGACTACCACGTGCTCCCCTGAAGTCTTTACAATCGGCAGCGGTTCAAATGGTGCAGTGCTTGTGATAGGGACGCCACCATGTGGCGGAGCTGTCCTGAAGCATTCGATGACCGTCAGTGCCAAGTGGGTGCATTCCTCCTCCTGCGCGTCTCCCGCCTCTAAACGAGAATGGTTTTGATCCTGTTCAAGAGCCGGTACAGTGGTGACACTGCTCCGGTGGGAGGGGAAGGTAAGCTGTGTTGACAACATGGGCATGAAGACTACGAGGAAAGACTTCTCGTCTCGTATTTTCACATAACATCTGCTGTCAGAAATCGCCGTCAGCAGCAATCCTCCGATTCCTGAAGTTGCCTCAGAGGATGCACTATGGGCCACGGCCGCCTTGATGCAAAGTAGGAGATCGTCATGCGCTTTGTCCTTTCCAAAGTTGCCCTTCGTCCCGACAAGACCTCCCAGACTTGTAGAGCTCCCAGCAGGTGCGTGATGGTCACAGGAAGAAGTGATCTCACCGTCCGTGATCCTAGCCAGAATTCGTTCCATGTAGCTGCATAAAGTCAGCCGCACCCACTCCCTAGCGTTTCTGGCGCGGTAGACAGCCTCCAATGTCGACCACGAACCGGGACTCTCCTTCGTTAGTGTGACCGGGAAGTTCAATCGTTCAGACGGTATGGACAAGTGTAGAGCCCCGTCGGGTGGGTGACGTCGCGGGGTTGCACCAGCGCTGGGGTTGCCGTCCTGAGTGGGTTGGATTTGAGCGGTATCATCTGAGTGCCTTTTAGGCCGGACTGTGAGGCGTGCTGACTCCGCGGCACCTTGAGCAGTAGGCATGGACTGCGGACGGCCCGTCGATGACGAAACCGTGACTGCTTCCATTGTGCGAGAAGGGAAGAACGGATCTTCGACTTGAATCGCGTTTTGATCTTCGGTAAGATCTTCCATCTCCTCGTCGACTCTCGGAAAGCAATACGCAAAAGTCGCGAAAGAGCCATCTTTGAGCACGTTGCAGAGGTTGAACTGCGTGCTGACGATTGTCGAAGACCGCTGTAATCCAAAACTTTTCGGATGCGGATTCCGACTTCTCAGTATTGCATCCCCTCCACCGGCCGTACCGATGGCATGGACACGATCGAAACCGTAGAGCTTCCCGATTACCTTCTTGTCCTCCACGAATATCCGTTCCTTCAGGTGATCGAAATGTTCTCGGAAAAGGGTCGAGACCGGCACGTCTTCCAAGCTTTCCTTGCTGACTGCGCCCGAGCCCGCAGGCCCATCCACAATGGGCTCCACGAATAGCTCCGTTGTCACTACATTACAGGTGGGATCACGAAGAAGTACGAACTGCACAGCGCACTTTGTACAATCTGAGATATTGTTCCGAGCGCTACCCTCTGAGGAACGGCCGGACGTGAGTTGGGCTCGCGCCCGTCTCTTTGGAAGTCTTGCTTCCCGATAAAGCGTGATAGAGTTTACCGACTCGCTAACGGGCACGAAACCTTCTTGTAGTCGCTTGTAGTAGAGAATCGTGAAGACCAGCTCATCGAGACGCATTTTTCCTCCGCGCTGCGACAGGTCGATCGCGTCAGACGGGATATCCGCCAGCCAGACAAAGCGGAAGTGGCGGAGGTACGATTTCAGCACCGCCTGAGGAACAAGAATGTCCCGAATCGTACTGAAAATGTGTCGCATTTTGCTGTCAGGCGACATAGATTGAGGAGGCGTTTTGACACCCTTTTTGACATTGACAAACAATGGCGAGTCGGCAGCATCGTCATTGGAATCACCCCCACTGTCATTAGAATCCGGCACTTGAGGAGATCGCCCACGATGAGGACTCTGACCGCCGCCGGGGTCAAACTCGCCAGCATAGCTCACGAGAAGCCTGCCTACGGGCTTGTCGCACACAATGAGTGGTTTGAATGCAACACCTGACAACCGGACCGAATGGTCGATACTGCCGATTGCTGTGACAAGGCCGTCCATCATAGATTGTCGTTGGTCGACTTCGACGTTGAAGAACAAGCCTTGAAGTTGAACGAGGCATTCGTTCTCCCAGAGAAGTTTCAGCAAGCAGAAGCCTGTAGGTCTCGTTGCGTGTGCCTCCTGGAAATCGTCAAAGTGTGACCCTTCCTCATCCACCACGTCCTGCCGTGGTTCCTTTTCGTCATACACGAATTTGACATGAATCCCACTCTCAATCGAGAACGTTCGCCATTCAGAGGCGATGTGATCCGTAAGATACATGGCCGCCACTTGTCGCCGTGCCGATAGGATATTGTCCCCTCCTCCTGACGTCGAGCGCAGTACAACGTAGCGCGATAGCTCAAGGAAAGCATCGGAGTACTGGTCCACGATCTGTGCAAGGACATGCCAGAAGTTGTTTTGCGCACCTGGACTTTCATTCGCAGCGGCGGTGTCCCTAGCGTGGATAAGGTCGAGGGGAAGCTCCGCAGTCTCATTGAGCCTTTGCTGATCATGGGCAGGAACCGCAGAGAGCGCGTAATGGGAGTTGAATGATGCTACGACCTATGGAACAAACCTATGAGTTATGCGTGGTAAAGTCGAGCGCCAAAGGGGCAAATATCCGTACCTTCAGAGCGTCATCACTTTCGCACAGCCGCCTCAAATGCTGATGCAACACCACTAGCTTAGCCTCCATAGAATGGGGAACGCTGATCCTCGCTTCTAGATCCTGAACATTGATAAACAGCACCGCAAATGCATGAGGAGCCAAGATATTCAACTCAATGCGGGCCGTTTTGCTCCGAGCGCGATTGGTAAGCACAGAGGTATGCGGACCAGGCCAGATGGTTTTGATGGTGTATACGACGGTAACGTTAGGAAACCACGGCAGAGTGAGCGTGATCTCAACCTTCGCAGGTCGGTTAGGCCTTTGATGCACCGAAACACATCTCAAGACAAAGCCGTCCCGGAGCCGGGCTTCTACGATGTGTTGCAAGGGGACGTTGACGGTATAGTCTCGATATGCACAGAGGATCTCAGAAACGACCGGGGGTTTGCTGTTAGGTTTCCACGGATAGAAGGCCTCTTCGCGTGTGATGATCTGGTTGACATCGACGTTGGTATGCAGGAGGCGATTGCGGGGGCAGTCAACTGGCCGGTCCCGAGTGCCTCTGCTTACAACGCGAGATGGATTCTCTGAGGACAACTTTGACAACAATCGACGATGCATCAGCAGATGCCGATGGTAGAAGTTTGGGCGAGGAGGAAACGCATATGCTGAAAGTTCTTCACCGGTGGCGGGATCCATGTAGTTGCAATCTGCGCCATACAGGAATGTTCCAGCGGCACACACGGCAAGAAACCGCAGGAACTCGTTGTCGGGAACGTGGCCAAAGTTGATGGCTGGGTTGTACCCGTCCTCCGAACCGATCTGAATTACTGTGCATACGGCGTTGTGGTATGACAACGCTCGACGTATCTTCTGCGCTACACTTTCCCCGGCGCCTTGCCCACCAGCGACGCCGTCCGTCAAGAGTACCACGGCTGCCAAACAATCGTCCGGCATGAGCTCGACAGCCGATAACGCGGTGTTGAGAGCTTTGTAAGTCGATTGCCGCGCAGAACGGATATTCGGGGAGCCCGCTTCGGTTTTCAAAACAGAATCCCTGATATCCGGTATTACTTCCGCATCCGTTCCATCGTCCTCATCTGCCTCCTTGATCACGTCCGATCGCAAAGCAGTGGCTTCGGCGGCCTGTGTGTCTCGCTGACGTTGTTGTACAAAGTCGTTTTCGTAGGCGCTCAGGGCGTCATATAGCCTTTCTGCGACCAGGGCCAGGTTGGACTGCGTGACGACTACTTGATGCAGCAGGACACGACTCGGAAATGTTTCCGCAAACGTGGCTGCTAACGGATGCTGCGATCCACGAATGAATGCACTTCCACATTCTGCGCTGACTGTTACATACAGAAGCGGTCTAATCTAGCGGGCGGATACCATATGAGTTCTGATATGTCTTCATTGAAGGGAGAGTCTGTCCCGCCGCCACAACACCCATTCTAAAGGCCTACCTACTTGATAAGCGCCGTGCCTAATAGTGCTATCAACGGAAAAAGCTCTCGAGAGCCCGTCCAAACATTTGCACAAGCTAGTTTCACATCCGATCGTCAAAGCCGGAACTCCTGTTCGTGAGCTCATCATACAATACGCAACCGAGCATCAAATGTTCCCCGCATCCCCATACTTACGTTTCAAACGCAACAGAAACCGAAACCTTCGCCTTCCCACTACTATCATCCACAATCGCCATCGACGGCGAGACATCGACTACAAAAGCGATACGATACCGGGCCGCAAAAGTATAAATCTTCGTATCCGGCAACAGCCTATACTTCCGTCCATCCTTTGGAAGCTGTCCAGCAGGGCGGCGGACTAGCCGTTCCGTCTCCGCGTCTGGAGCATCCCCTGTCTCCCCGCCGCTGACAACACTGTCGGGCTGCAATCGATCCTGGAAGGTGTCGGGAGATATTGGGCTGTCCACATCGGCGTCTTCGTGGCCTTTCGACCGGGCCCAGGGTACGTCGGCGTCTGTGGAGATATCTACCACTTCGATGATGTCGTCCTGTCAAGGTCAGGTTGGCGTTAAGATCATCGTCACACTCCATGCTCAAGACCCTGGCGACTCGGGCGGTGGCCCCAATTCAAGCAAGAGAAGTCCATTACCTCCAGCTCCGCCGGATTCCAGTCCCGCATGAGTTTGTTCAAAAGCCATGTTTCTTGGTCGCTCCGGGTGAAAAGCGCTGGGCGCTTCAAGTAAAGGACCAGGCTTTTGGCGTCCTGAACAGCCATCTTGAGCACGTTTCGGTGCTGCCTAACCGCACGCTGCTTTTGCGTCTCTGAAGCTTAGTACTTTGAAGCATGTCTCCGGCAGAAGGCCGAGGGATGCTTCATGGCCCAAGGTTTTCTGGGAATAGTTGTTGGGCTTTACTTTGTGTTGCCTTCGAAAACGAGCGGTGACATTATCACGCGTGCTTCTTCACAAGCTTCACATGTGTCCTTCGTTTTGCAGGCCGATATGCACACATGAACCCTCAACTTGCACAGTGTGATAAGGTCGATAAACGTCATTGTGATGGAGAGTTTCTATGTACAGTGCGCTAGCAGGCAGATGAAACGGTAGCCACATGGCCCGGTTGTCCCTCCCCTCACGACAACTTCGGCGCTTCGCTCTTACGCGAAGGCGTCGGCGCAACAACGACCGGCGGCGCCAGTAGGAGTTTCAGTAACATCCCTGCATGCACGGCCAGCATGATACCCGACGAAATGTTCGTCGAGGGATACACGTTCCACGCGTATTCAAGTGCTACGCAGGCGATGATTCTTAACATCGGGAGAGACATGAAGACAGGTGATTAGCAGATGGACCAGCGACGCAACCGTCTGTAACTTATGACAGACGTCTCACCTTACGATGACACCAACGCCGGCGCCGACGGGCGTGGTCGTTCTTCTTACAGGCAGCCAGACGAGGTACGGCACAGTATGCGCGTACCAGGACCAGAACTGGTAGTGAAGCGAGCGCGCGCATGTGATGCCGATAAGGTTGCAGATGAACATCACGAGGACGATATCTATGGAGTTTCTGGTTTAGCCCGGGAAGTTGTGGTAGTGAAGGGAAGACCATGAACTTACGTTCTGCGGGAAGCGGCTTCCTTCCTGTCTTTGATGTCCTCGCAAGCCCCTGCGCGACCACATTCCGAACGCCCCCAAACGGCGCACACCACTTAACAAGAAACACGAGCAAAAGGAACACGTGCGCAACCAACAACGTCCGTGAGAATCGCCGGCTCAGAAACGTGCCTTCGTCCACAAAGCGCCAGTTGACGGTCCACTTGTAGAAGAACGCGCGGCCAAAATCAAAGGCTCGACAGAGGTACGACGTCGCGTGGGTGGTGAGGAAGGGTAGGGCAAGGACGACCTGTAATGGTGGACGCTTGCAGTTAAGACGGACCCAGAGGAGAACAGGGTGACTCGCCAACGTACCTGGATTGCGATAACGATGCCAGCGTTCCGTATCGATTTCCGAAGCCCGAGAGCTTGATAGGTTAGGAGTGCCATTCCAGGTGCGAATAAGAGGATGTTCATTTTTATCGACAGAGCAAGACTGGGTACATGAGATGAACTTGCTTAGTGAATGCGACAGACAAAGGCTTCGGCGGGATCAAATACCTGTAGAACACAGTCGCAAGCGTCCACCTCCGTCGTGACATGGCCAAGATGCATATGTACAGAGGCAGCATGGCCACAGTGTCGTTGAATAACCGTAGAGTGTATATCGAGTGGAGCCTTTTCGAAAGGACGAGGGGGATGAGCGAATACGCCCCTTGGTTCTATTTCGCGAGGATCATCAGATCGAGGCCCCCTTAACATGCATCCACACCATCATCCAATGCACTCACCGGAAGTGCCCTACGATAAACGACCATAACAACCCCCATCGTCACCAAATACAGGCCCGCAAAGATATACTGCGCTAGCCGTACGTTCGTCCCCTGAGATGTGACATGCCATAATGCTGAATAGACATACACGAAGCCTGCTGGATATCTGCAATCATCGGACACCAGGTTCAGTACCTACGAACGGGCATATGCTCCGTCGCCTCCTTGCCCCGTTACTCACACCAACGGCCCCGTCTCGCCCTTCAAATTCACATAATCGCGCTCTCCAGCCAGGAACCCTTCCACCTCCTGCATATATGCGACCCAGTCGATATTCGTATCTACATGTGCGCAATAGGGGTCGTCAAGTCGTGTCCCACCGAAACGGCGTCGAGATCATATTGACCACCTACACTAATGGTCACGTACAGCTAACTTTATGGATTATGGCCACGTTCAATAGGCTTTCGAAGACCAGTAGGAGGCCGGCGAGGGCCCAGTAGTGGGTTGGGTTGAATAGGAGGTCATAGGGTAGCCCGGCAACGCGAGCCATCACCGACGGGCTCGACGGGAGTGATGTTGGCCGTGATGCCTGGCCATCGTGCCCTGCCGCAGAAGCCTGGGCTGCCTGAGCGCCGGTCTTGCGGTTGACGACAGGCATAGGCATGCGTGCTGCGTCTTCGAGTGGCGACCTCAGTGTCTTTTCGTCTGTTGAGTCGGTTGTTGTCGGCCCGTCGCGTCGTCACACATGTTTTCGAGTCTTTCGTCTCGTACTGTACATGTACGTATCCGGTTTCAACCCACATGTTTGCCGTTCCTTGCGCACCGTATGTGTCTCATGCCCACTCTTCCACACCTCATGGATTGCAACCACATTCATAAGTGCATCAGAGTTGTACTGTATATTACAAAAATCGCGTTACAGATATGGAATCTTCATCAAACGACAAACGATAGACCAAAAAGAAACAGCTGAAGAAGACCAACAGCTACTTAATCCTATGCCACCAGCCCGACATTACAACGCACTCGTGCCCTACCACCTCAACCCAAAAACTAAGATGAACAACTACACTTCAACATCTCCGCCCACCCCGGCACCTCCCCCGCCCACTTCTTTTCCTCCTCAGGCGTCCCATCCTCAAACGGGCGTTGCAAGACGCTCAACAGTTCATTCACCCCTTCAAACTTGCCCGCCTCGGCTTCTTCAATGACGCGTTGGGCGAGATGGTTGCGGAGGATGTACTTCGGGTTGGCTGCTTTCATGCGTGCGACGCGCTCTTTGTCGGCTTTTGCTAACGCGGCGTCGTCGGATGGGATGGGGAGTTCGGAGAGGAGACGGGCGCGGTAGAGGGCATACCACGACTCCAGTGGGGATGCCAGTGGGGGTTGTGTGGAGGAGGGCGCCAGTGCAAAGTCGGTGCTCAGTTGGCGGAAGAACTTTGTGTGGTCGGGGTTCTCTTTGCCGAGGACTTCCATCAGCGGGGTGACGATTTTCTCTAGATCGTCTTCTCGATTTTCAAGGAAGCCCAGCTTTTTGCCCATGAGCTCGCGGTACCGAGTGTGGAAATGCACCGAGTAGTCGGCCAGGATCTCTCGGAGCAGCTTTTCGGCGTCCTCTTTCCCTCCTCCGACTTCCTCGACGATGAGTGGACTAACGGAGGATGCTAGCCGTGTCAGGTTCCAGAGGCCGATGCCCGGTTGGTTGTCGAAGCTGTAGCGCCCGCCATTGTCGGAATGGTTGCAGATGTACTCAGCGTCGTACTTGTCCAGAAATTGGAACGGTCCGTAATCCAGCGTGAGACCGAGAATCGACATGTTGTCCGTGTTCATAACACCATGGCAGAATCCCACCGATTGCCAGCCCGCAATCATGATGGCCGTGCGGCGGACGACTTCCCGCAACCACTGCGAGTACTTGGTGTTTGTGAGGGCATCGCATTCAGGGTAGTGGTTCTTGATCACCCAGTCGGCTAGGCGCTTCATGTTCTCCACATCGCCGCGGGCAATGAAGATCTCGAAATTGCCGAAGCGCACCCAGGTGGGCGCAAGCCGAAGAACGACGGCACCTGTCTCCTCCTTTTCCCTCTGTACCAAGCGCGTTGACCCGACAAGCGAGAGCGCGCGTGTCGTTGGAACTCCGAGGTGATGCATTGCCTCCGAACACAGATACTCTCGGATTGAAGACCGTAAGACCGCGTAACCGTCGGCAAACCTGCAATGAATATATATAGAGAATGACTTAGCGCCCGAAGTAAAACTTCAGTCAGATCAAAGCATCATACATACCTTGAGTACGGGGTCATACCAGCCCCTTTGAGCTGTAACTCCCACTTTTCGTTTCGACTGTTCGCGATTTCGCCAAGCGTTATCGCTCGGCCGTCACCCAACTGACTGGCCCAAACTCCAAACTGGTGCCCTCCATAGCACATCGACCAAGAGTTGGTCGTCTTTGGAAGTTCGTTCCCACTAACAAACCCGAGAAACTCTTTTTTCGCTTCTGGGTCCTTCAATATCCCGGGCACGTCCAGGTCAAGCAGTTGAGCGCATGGTTCGCTGACAGAGAGCAGGACAGGGTCCGGAGTTGTTTCAGGCTGCACGTACGAGAAGTGCGCATTTGGCACCTGCCGTGGGGCACTGCTCAGTGGATTTCGGACGGTGGGGCGGACGAAGGGTTCCCCAGGGGTCCTGGCGTCTTTGACAAGATCTCTCGTGAAGGAGTTTGTGAATCGAAGGTCGGCAACGTGTCGTTTCAGCGAGTTCATATTGGCTAGATGACAAGGGTGATGTCGCAGCGAGCCCAAGTGTTTCCGCTACTATCGAAGCCGAAAGGGCTTCCAGTGAGGGGTGTACTGCCTTTGTATGCGCCTGCTTACTATGTACTGTACAGTAGGTCTATTTCTAAGAAAGTCCAAGGAGAATGGGCGGTGTTCTATTTGTAATGACGTTCCAAAACGTACAGTAGGTTCCGTGAAATTGACGGCACTTGGTTGTTATATAGGGGCCGGCCCCCGTCAGTCACCCCCAACGGCGATCTTCCCCCGTGTTGCCAACAACTGATGTATTCACAAATGTATACTGTACTTACAAGCATGAAAAAGGAAGCGCGTTAATTGCTAGCTATCCTAAAATCCAGTTGCCCCACCCCCCGCTTGCCAGACACTTGCGGTTCTCTTTACACATTCTCCATAGAGACTTTCCGCTGACAGGAATATTTTGCCACTCTTCCTTCAATGCTGTGATGAGGGCAGGTTTGTGATGAGGGCAGGTTTGCCACTGGGAAGGGGACTTGGTGCCCTAATCATCTGCTCCAGAATCCACCAAAGTCGTTCAATCATGTTGAGATTGGGGGAGCTGGGAGGCCAGTTCGGAAGCACCAGGATGTTGTTGTTCGTTTTGAATGCTGAAGTGGGCTTGCTAGTGTGAATGCGGGGCCCCGTCCTCTTGAAGAATATGTCGGGATTCTTTTGGTGTTTTTCAACCAAGGCAAGAATGTATATATATAGTATCCAGCACCTTCTCAGAATAGTGCTCGCTGTTGACTTTCCCTTCACAGATGTGCAGCGGCCCGACACCCTCCCATGAGATGCAACCCCACACCATAACGCTTCCACCGTTCTTCTGTACTTTCGGCACAAGGTTCCCTGCTTGGTACTTTGCTGCATCACCATGCTCACGCCAGATCATGACACGTGTCGAGGAATAGATGGAGAACGAGGATTCATCTGAGAAAACCACATTCTTCCACATCTCCTCATCCCAATGCAACCGAGCTTGCGTCCAGGCCAAGCGGAGGCCTGTCTTCCAAGCATCGAAAATTGGCTTTCCGGCTGCTTTGAACTTAAAGAGCTTGGCTTGCTGGTCGGAGGGATCGGATAGGGTAATGGATTCCTTCGGCATCCTCGATGATGCGTTGAATGGTGACCAAGTTCTCACGGTTGTTCTTGGTGACGGCCTGATACACCCTGTGTACCTTTTATATACCCGTTGGCTCTTTTGTTCACTCTCCCACCGCCACCGCACGACAGTGGGATGATCACACTATAGGGGATAGGAGGAAGGGATGTATCGATATCAAGCGAGGTATAATTCACTAGAAATCAGTAGGAACAGAAGCCAAACAACAAAAGAAATTTTCCTTTCTACATCCTATCCTACAACCCTAAACAAAAACTTTTCGTACGCCTTCGATGAGGTTCATGTGACCTATTTCGAGTTTGCCAGTTGAAATCTTGCCGATTTGACCCTCGGACTGGATGGCTCCGCAGGACGTTATGGCGACATCCATCACTTCCACACGTCTATCTGTGGTCCCCCGGTGCTCTCCTGAAGACCGTCGCGGTGAGTATCCCAAGCGCCGCAACCGCTGCCCCTACGATCGCCATTCCCACGAGTCCCTCTGTAAATCAACTATAGTGTGAGTATCAACATTGAGCACATTGCAAAACCAAGGGAGGACATACCAGACTTGACTTTCGCATCAATCAACTGCCTAAGAGCCAGCCCCTGCCGATTGCTCGTCTCCAGTTGGAGGAGGGTTTCGTTGTACTTGCGGGCATACTGATGCGTGTTCAGAAAAGGGGTGAGAAACGATGATCCCCATTCCATTCTCCTGAGTAAACCTGCAATATACATACGCGATAATTGCCCATCTTGTACTCTCCCAATGCTAGGTAATAGAGACATTCGCGACGACGGCTGGGGACTTCTTTGTAAATCTCTGTAGGGGTTGGGTGACGGATTATTAGCGGCGTGATGATGCAGTTCACTCAAATTCCTCTGGTTCGCCAATAGCAATAGGTATAGAGGTAAATGGTGTGCCTACCGTGCAAAAGCTCAATCCCCTTCTCCTGGTCAGTCCTAGCGCGGCTTCGCACTACACCCCACAAATTCGTTCAGCAATTGCATCTGTCTGAACAACAAGGCAAAAGAAGGATACCATACCTAGCGCCCAAGCATAGTTGAACTTTGTCTGCGGGCGGGACTTTTCCTCCTTCAAGTATGCTTCGCGGAGGAGCTGGTGGGGAAATAACGTGAGCAATTGTCGGGAAAAATGCCTATAGTTCATAGGGACGCAACTGGAACGAAACTCACATCGACTTCCTGCGGAGACAACGAGATTTCCGCCTCGGTGGCGTTGGGTAGGGAGTCCATTTGGCGGGTGCGGCTATTGTGGTGCGGTGCGTGAAGTGAGGTGATCTAGGTGGTGAGTGGACGGAATGTCCTCGGGGATGGCGACTGAATGAGGCTGAGACTAGTATCGGTGTGGAAGCGGGTGGGAACGGCGCATACTTGGGGTATCAGAGGATTTGACTTTTATGCCCGCGCGTTTGTTATGCTATCAGCCTGCTTCTTGGCAAGCTCAGCACATGTCGGCCTCAAGGCGAAGGCCCACTCAGGCAAAGAAGCCTCCTCCCGTCGTGGAGGAGGAGGAGGACGAGGTAGCAGCGGTCGAACAACCACCACCGCCAGCAACCCCAGTCCAAGCGGCTGCGGAGATTGTTGAAGATGCGGACGCAAACACCTTCAAAATTTTGGTCGCTACCGACAACCATATTGGCTACCTCGAGAAGGACCCGATAAGAGGAAATGACTCTTTTGAGACGTTCGAGGAAATTCTTAAGTTGGCTCAAGAACAAGCAGTATGTACATAGATAGCACCTTTTAGCAGGAGTCAGCACTTATTAGCAGTGCTTCGTAGGTGGACTTCATTCTTCTAGGAGGAGACCTCTTCCACGACAATAAACCGTCCCGAAAGTGTATGCACAAAACGATGACGTTACTGAGAAAGTACTGTATGGGGGATCGTCCATGTCCCGTTGAATTCCTGAGTGATTCGAAAGAGAACTTTTCCAACGGGTACCTATCGGAAGGTTTTGGTTGGATATATGCCAAGGATCATGAAGCCTAACGTTCTTTGCGTCCGTAGTTTTGGGACTGTAAACTATGAGGATCCAAATTACAATGTCGGAATGCCGATCTTCTCGATACATGGGAACCATGACGATCCATCAGGGGTAGGGACCTAGTCATTTCTCTCCTCCGCTTGTTCATTCCTGAACTCTTTTTTAATAGGACGGAAGTCTATGTGCTCTAGACCTCCTTAGCGCCGCAGGATTGGTCAACTATTTTGGAAAGCAGGTGGAGGTGGACGACATCACCATCAAACCCATCTTACTCCGGAAGGGCGAAAGCAAATTGGCGCTGTACGGTCTTGGCAACGTCCGGGACGAGCGGCTGAACAGGACATTTCAGAAGAAGAAAGTGAAGATGTTTCGGCCGAGTGAGGGCACTGAGGACTGGTTCAACATGCTGGTCATACATCAGAACAGGTAGGACGTGCGTCGGAAGGAAGAAGGACAATCGATCTTAACGAGCTTGTCTACAGAGTTGCCCACGGTCCCAACAACTACATTCCGGAAAACTTTTTGGATGACTTTCTGCAACTGATCCTATGGGGTCATGAACACGAATGCTTGGTCCACCCAGTACAGAACTCGGCCCAAGACTTCTACATCACACAACCAGGATCATCTGTTGCTACATCGCTCTGCGAAGGCGAAGCTGTCCCAAAGTACGTCAGTGTACGGTCGCGGGTCATGACTCCGGTATCCTTACTTCCATTCGTCTAGACATGTGGCTATCCTGCGAATCAGTGGCTCAGACTTCAACCTAGAGCCTGTGCGCTTGAGGACGGTGCGACCATTCATCATGGACGACGTGGTGCTTCAAGACATCGAGGACCTCAGGCCGAAGGATGAGAAAATGGTCAATCAGTTCCTGCAAGAGCGGGTATGTGTTGTACGAAGGTCTTCCGAATGCCTGACGTATGTGGACTGACTTGCTGGCGGTGTGCAGGTCGAACACAACATCGACTCAGCACTACAAGATTGGCTCGAGTTAAACCCGGATGTGCCCGAGAAGGATTGGCCAAAGCCATTGGTTAGGCTGAAGGTACTGCAGAGGGAAATCTGTCGCAAACACAAGAGGTGGTACAAACGTAGCCGCATTCTAGGTTGAGTATAGTGGAGGCTTCACAACGTTCAACCCCCAACGATTCGGGCAACTGTACGTCAACCGCGTCGCCAATCCGAAAGACATCCTACATTTTTACAGAAAGCGCGCGCAAACGGGAGGTGCAGGTATGCTTGTATGAATCTAGATCATACTGTTGACTTGGGTTAGTGCTGACCGGGTAACCCCAACAGGAAAGAAGAAAGAAGCAATCAACATGGACGCCTTCCTCCCCGAAAGGCTGGAGAACTTCAGGGTCGAAGATCTGGTTGCGGAATACCTCACAGCCCAAAATCTGGATATCTTGCCGGAGAATGAACTTGGGGATGCGGTCCGAATGTTTGTGGAGAAGGATGATAAGGATGCTATCAAAGAGTACGTTTGAAGGCGGACAACTAGAACTCTTTATCGCGTGATGGTCGTTGACGCAAACCCCACACGGCAGCTTCGTGAGAGAGTCCCTAGTACGAACACAAACATATTTGAAAGGAACGTCCAACACCGAGGACGACGATAAGATCAAAGACGAGGTGGCTATTCCTGGCTTCGGTCGTTCGTGGACCATGAGTATGAGCTTACGTTCCTATCCTGAAGATCGAGCGGGAGAAAAAGGCCCGCTTTGACCAATTCGCCGCGGAAAGCGCGGAAAGAAGGAACAAACCCGAGATGCTTTCGGCAACGCGTAGTGGAAGGGTACGTCTAGTGGGAATCCTCTCAATGTATGACATGCACGTGGCTGACTCCTGCGTTGACAGCCCGCGGCCTCCCGGAGAAACGATGATGACGACATGGACGTCGTGGAAGACAGCTTGGAGGAAGACGAGGTTCCAACCACCCGAAAACCTGCTGCGAAGAGGGGCGCAGCCACCAGAGGACGGGGAGGAAAGCGCGGAGCGTCAACCGCCGCTAAAGGGAAAGGGCGTGGGAAGGTTTGTCCTCCCTCTCTCTCCATTACATTAGGACGGTGCTTACGTCTCCACATATTTATAGGCCGCCACCGTGATCGAAGACACCGACGACGACCCCATCGTGGACGAAGATCCCCTCCCATCCTCCTCCAAACCCACAACCGCTAAACGCAAACTCCCCGGCTCCATGGCATCCACCAACACCGGCCGGGCCCCCAAACGCGCCGCCGTTGCCGCCCCCGCCGCCGCTTCCAGCAGCACCAGGACGAGACAGACGAGGTTGGCGTTTGGTGGGAGCCAGCAGCAACCTATCGTGCTTGATGGGGATGATGATGATTTGTAAGGCGGGTGTGCGACGGAGGATAGGGGTTTTCTAGGGATCTTTATGTGAGATGGTTTACTAAGGCTGTAGCTAGCGTAGCTTCCGTTTCGTAGCTTTCATGTTCGGAACGCATTTTACGCACGGCGTGGGTTGTTTAGGTCCCGATTTATACAGTATATTCCACGACGGCGAATACATATGATGATTGCCAAGAACCACAGCAGAACATTCATATTAGTTTAAGACAGCAAAGGTCAAAAGGAGCACCACGATAAACAATCCAACGATGAACTCCTGGAAACCATATGGTAACATCGACCGATGATATAGCACACGCAAGCTGGCGTTGAACAGCAGCTACACATACCCCATTAGACGGGTTAAACGGGTATCTCCATCTCCACGCGGAAAAAGACGGGGCCATATCCAGCACGCAGAAACATTTTGCGATATCAACTGGAGACTCGGACCACGATCCCATGCACAGCATCTTGAAATCTTGGATTCCCCTTCTCCATCCACCCCCCTCAGAACCCCAAAGTTATGTGCCACAAAGAGTACGATGATGGAATTGATACCCAATGAATCATCGGACATCGACCATTCAAGATTGAAACACAAGTACCAGCCTACATCCCACCTCCCCTACACAAAAAACAGTGTCACGACTCGTCATCCTCCAAATTCAGCCTCGTGCTCAACGGCACCACGGGGCGCTCAAACAATTCCGTTGCATTCTTCTTCTCGCTCTGCAGGAACCGTTTCGCGACCGTTGTCCAGTGATCGCAATAACTCCTACCAAAAAAAGAGCCATCAGCACATCAGTTTCTCATCATCCCAATCAATCATCATTCATGGCATATCACCCCACCTCACAGAATCTTGCAAGTTTTTGTTATCTTCACCGATCGTCTCAACCTCGGCACAATCACGTAGAAGGTTGATGTTGAACGCGGCCAGATCCTGCAGAAGCTGCGAGAAGGCGTGGTCCCATGATTCGGAGGGGCGCTCTTTGCCTGCGCGCACGAGGAGTTGGACTGTCCAGGCGGTTATGTTTGTGTGGAGTTTCATGTTTTCTGATAAATAAAAATGATGAGTTTAATCGAGGGGAGGGGAGGGGAGGTGGGGCGAGGGAGATGGGGGGGTGGGGGTGGGGGCGTACCTTCGTTTTTGACATCGGTATCGGTGTTCAACTGGTCCGAGAGGCGGGAGAGGAGGTTTTCGACGTGGAGGGGAATTTTGTGTTGTTCTTTTTCGGTTGTGTTTGAGAGGGAGTCTAACGCGGGGGGAACATATGGGGGGTGAATGATCTGAGAGTGGGCGTGAAGGGAGTTGGGATTTGAGATGTACCTATGATGTTTTTGCCGATTTGGGAGGTCCAGGCGTATAGTGCGTCGCAGAGGGCTTGGCGGTCGGGGGTTGGAAGGGGTTTGGAGAGGTCTTTTGCGCCGTAAGTCGTGTATCTGCGAAGAGTAAGTGAGCTCAAGTGTTTCGACGAACTAACAACGAATAGTGTGATGGCGAGCCTTACCTATCTTCCAGCTGATTCTGCAAACTAATCACATGCGTGGCTATTCCGTCGTCGCCAGACACTCGCTGTTCGAGCTTATTCAGCCACTCCTGCACCTCGACCCCAATCCGACTCAAAAACTCGCTGAGCGGCGCATAATCCCTCCCATTCGTATTCCGCTCGTTGCGGCGGAGCAGCTTGAAGCACGCCTCGACCCAGAGTTCTGTCTCTCGGCGGATCCCGCTGATCTGCTCTTGAAGCGCAACATCCCGATCGGAAGTGAACCGGATCGCGACGGTGGTGACGCTCTCGACCCACCGGCGGAGATGGTCCGCGAGGCTCTGCACGTCATGGATCTGGATCGCTTTCACCAACGGGTGCTCGTTCTCGAGGAGTGGGTCCCCCGGCCCGGAATCGCTCGCCTCGAGATTCTTCATCACCATATCCATATCGCGCTGCATCTTGGCCAACGTCTCGATGTTGTGCTGGTCCTCCTCGACGACGGACTGGGACAGCCGAAGCAGCTTCGTGCGCCACTCGTCGATTTTTTTTTCGAGCGCGCGGAGTTGGGAGTCGTTGGTGTTGGCTAGGATCGTCGTGATGTGGTTCGTGCACCGTAACCGGGCATGCTCGTACTTTTGCAGCAACACAAGATCGGTCATCCCATGCTCCTGCCCGATCCGCAACGCCAGCGCCGTCGCGGCGTCCACCCACATGCGTTTCTCCTGCTCCGCAATCCGCACCGCGTCCTCCAACCGGTCCCGCTGCATCCGGTACAGCTTATGGTACTCCTCCAGGATCTCCTCGGTGTTGTCGCTTTGCGTCAACACGGAGACGAGCTTCTCCTGCGAGTCCTGCGCCTTCTTCGTGATATCCATATCATGCTTTCGGATGATCCCCAAGTCCCGGATAAGTTCCCCGACCGTCTCGCGCGAATGCAGCAGCTCCAACGTCAGCCTTCTGTTCAACTTCCGTTGCGCGACCAGCTCCATATGCAGGTGCTTGACATGTTTGGGGATCTTGGTGAACATATTCGCATATCTATTCCTGATCTCCGCAAGCACCTCCCCGCGCTCGATCATGTTGACCGTCACCTGCCGGATAAGCTCCTGGAAGACTGCGTCGTAGATCTTTTGCTCTTCTTGGATGATGCCGAGGAACGCGTGCATCTCGGTGGGGTACTCCGTATCCATGTCCGCGCCGACCTCTTTGACGAGGGTTTGCATGGTGTGTTTCAGGAGTGCGACCTCCTTCCGTGTGGCGGGTCGCATCGGGCCTTGCAGCATCGCAATCTCTTCGGGGGTGTCCTACACATTGGGGGCTCGTTTTAGGGATCACTGCGAAAACGGCGTTGTGAGGCAACGTAGGGGAGAGAGCTTACATCCTGCACATTGGGCGCAACCACGTTGAGGCCTTCTAGCAGCTGCCCGATCATATCATCTTTCGTCCGCGGCGCATTCTCATCCGCGTTCCCCTGCGAAGCATCCGTTCGTGGTGGTATCATAGAGGCAGTGTTCCCATCAACCGGCCCCATCCGACTCCCCGGCCGCGCAGCCGCCAGCGCGCCCAGCCCGGCACTCACCCCCGTCGGCGGCTCATACACAAACGCCAGGTCATCCTTCACCCCCTGTCTCGTCACGGGCCGGCTCACTTTGTCTCTCTCTTTCTGGCTCTGGCTCGTCGCTGTGTACTGCCGTTTCACCCCGCCTTGGGACTGGAGAGCGGATCGGGCGCCCTGTGCCGGACCCGGACTCCCTGGCGACCCGTACGCCGTTGCTTGTTTGGCGGGAGGGGAAGTTGCGAATAGTGTGTCGGAGAGGGCGTCCACATGTGAGGGGGAGAATGTACGGGCGCGGGTGGATGTGGTTCTCGTAGGGGCGGCAACTGGTGTCGGGCCTTGGGTCGTTAGTTTTGATAGGTCGGCTAGGAGGGCTGTTGGGATATAGGACATGTTGGGGGGGAAGGGAGGTTGACGGCGCTCTCTGGTGGGATGGCTTGCGGGACAGGTATCCTGTTTCACGGACGCCTTTTTCTATAAAGCATGTACCGGGCTTAGTCGGGATTTGGACATTGACATAATATGGCACAAGGAAATGTCCGTGCGTCTTATCCCACCTCCTAGATCGCATCATTCTTTTACCTAAAGTTGTGTGAAGTTGCTTGCGGCCCGTTCTCACATGCCCATATGTTGAAGCAGATCTCAATGATGTCCACGGCTGCCGTATCTTCGTTCTGTTGCGCGTTTCTCCGAAAGAAAACCGACACAACGCGTCACTGGGCGGAGCTACGCGCTGTCGCATTTGGCGCCGAGTTCCATCTGGACGGCACTTTTTCCAAGTTGCACGGCCAACCCTTCCTTAGCGCTGAAAAACAGAATTACAGCCGCAACCATCCAGCCTCCTCCTCATCAACAGGTTCATTGGCCCTCTGGAGCTGCTCACTCCTTACATTCCCCACAGAGCATCTCCGCATAGGCTACACAACACCGCAACTCAGGACCATGCACACAAACACCAGCAAAGCGGTGCTAGCGCCGCTCGCCGACGCCGTCTCATCCCTCATCGTAATCGTATCCGATGCCGAGACCGAAGGCACCCCTATGCCTAATCTCTCCCCGCTCGCGGCGGGAGTGGAGGCGCAGATCGCCAACCTGGTCGGCGTGGGCAGGAAGATCGAGGCGCAGCCGAGCGCGGATGCTCAGTTGAAGGCGGATATGCCCAGGGCGTGTGCCGATGGTGCGTAACTACTGAAGTTTGAAACTGCCTGTGCATTTGGATAAACACTTTTTTTTTGGATTTATTCAACTAACATCACGTCTATTCCCCCATACAGTTACAAAGGCCGCCCAGCTCCTAGTCTCCTCCACCGGCGATCTCGTCACCGATCCGTACTCCGCCTCAGGCCGCCGCGACCTCCTCGAATCCGTCAAAGGCATCCTCTCCGCAACCGCACAGGTGCTCTCCGTCTTCGACGACGCCGAAGTACGCAAAATCCTCAACGCCTGCAGCCTCCTCCGCACTTTCCTAACCTCCATCGCCAAAGGCTCCCCACCGCCCGAAGGCACCCAAGCGTACGTGCAGACCATCGCGCAGGCTTCACAGACCATCGTCGTGCTCGCGCAGCTCACCAACAAACGCGTCGCCGAACTGCTGTACCTCGTTCTGCAGACCCGCTTGCGCGCCGCGATAGGCAGCATCACGAAAGAGTCGCCCGTGCTGATCAACGCGTGCAAGTTGAGCTTGACGAATCCGGGGAGCGAGGCGGCGAAACAGTCGATTGTGGATACGTGTGATCGGCTGACGGACGCGGTCGGGGAGATTGAGATTGTGGTGCAGTTTACGACGGAGGATGAGGGGCATGCAGTCGTGGGTGTTGGCGATTATGGGAAGGTTAGCAAGGCGCTCAGGGAGGAGATTCTGCCGAAGGTTGTTAGGGCGCTTGGGGGCGGGGTGATGGAGGAGAATGATAGGCTGGAGGTGCAGAAGGCTGTGGAGAGTCATTTGAAGGCTACGGCTGCGATTGTGGATCATGCCCATGGTATGTACCAACTCCCCGTCCTCCCTCAATGTTATGCACCTCACTCACATCTCCATCTCCCTCAAAATAACAGACGTGGGCGAAAAAGTCCGGGACTCAGTGCAACGAGCCCAAATAAACGAAATCTGCCAAGAGATTGAACAGGCGCAAAAGACCCTCCCCAGCCTCGCCGCCAAATCCATTCAAAACCTCTCCAACGACGACGCAGACGCACGCGAGCAACACTCCCAAGCCCAACTCGCCACCCGCCAAAACATCGACACCCTCAACGACCGCACCACAGCTCTCCAAACCGCCCTCAACCGCGCCGTCATCAGCGACGCCGGCAGTATCATTGGCAACATCTCCAGCCGCGATGCAAAAGGCACCGTCATCAACCGAATCCACGCCGCCGCGTCCGTCGGTGATCCACACCCTCTCACCGAGTCCCTCCCGGCCTTCGCGGCCGAAACCACCGCCCTCGAACACATTGTCACCGAAGCGATGGAGAAGATCAGCGCGTCGGACCCGCAGACGACGCAGGAATTGCGGATCGCGAGGGATAGGATTAAGGGGCTCAGTACGGCCTACATTGGCGCCGCGAAGATGTTGGCGGAGAACCCGGCGGATGTGTTGACGAAGGAGCATTATGCGGGTGTTGCGAAGGCGTGGGAGGAGGCGGTGGGGGAGATTCGGAGGGTCGTTATTGGGCAGGAGGGGGTGTTTGAGGCTGAGGAGTTGATTTCGGGGAGTAGTGAGTATCTGCAGAAATTTGGCTGGATATGCCAAGCTGCGGACCAGGTTTTCTGACGACACTCTTTTCTTTTTCCGGGTAATAGAAAGCGGCTTTGAACACCATGCCCGCAGCCTCGCGACCGTTGTCGCCCAAGGCAATGTGATTGCGACCCACGAACATGCCGCGCTGCTCGTCAGTTCCGCACAGCAGTTTATCGCTGTCGCGCAGAAGGAGGTCGAGGGGACCGCTGACCCGGCCTATCGCGAGGAATTGGAGGGGAAGATCCATGTTATTCAGAGTGGTAAAGTACACCTACGATGAATTCAAAAGAAGGCTGAGATGATAACGGTATTGACGAAACAAATATATTGTGAATTTTCATCAGGCATCCCAGACCTCCTCAACTCCGCCACACTCCTCCTCGGCCTCCACGACGCCTACCCGCTCGACGCCGCCTCGGAGCTCGCCTCCATCGTCTCCCACCTCACCACCTCCCTCACCGACTTCACCTCCTTCCTCCGCGCCCACAAAGGTGCCCCGGGGGACGACCTGACGGCCCGCCCGCCTCCGCTAACAATTACCACCTCCACCGCGGAACGCAGGGGCAGCACGGACACGATCGACGCCTCCGAAGACAACATCGGCGCCGAACTCCGACAGCGCGCGCAGGAGATGACCGACGCGATGGACGCCGTCACCATGCGCGACCGGGCCGCGGCGTACAAATCCTCTCTCTGGCGGTCCGCGGCGTCCCTGGACGTGGTCGCGGAAGCCGATGACGAGTCCGACGACGGCGGGGATCTCATCGTCAACGCCCCGCAACCCCTGCTTTTGAGCTCCGAAGAAGCCGCTGCGGCCCCCATCAAAGCCGCCGCGCAGGAACTCCTGGTCGCCTCGTCACACTTCTCCGCGGCACAGAACCCGATCATCACCGCCATCACCCACATGTCCGCCTCCCTGTCGTCGCTGTCGACCCACCACACCAATCTCCGCCTCTCGCCCCACCCATCCACAAAGAAGGAGTTTATAGCCGCCGCGGGGCAGATAGGCGTGGAGGCCGCGAATGTCGCGAAAGCCGCGGGCGTCGTGGTGGGTGTGTGTCCGGATAAGAGGCTGAGGGCCACGTTGTTGGGGACCCTGGATCGCGTGCAGACGCTCGGGCAGCAGTTGAGGATCGTGGCGGCGGTGAAGGCGAGTGCGCCGGGGGATAGGGATCAGGATCGGTTGTTGATTGCTTGGTGAGTGATCCTTTCCCCCCTTCCCTGTGTCTGCCCATATGTTTCGCTTCACAGGCCCCAGTCCAATCCTAACACTAACACCACCCAACACCCCCCCTCTGTCTCCACTAGCTCAAACAACCTAATGAACGCAGTAAAACTCTCCCTCCAAGACTGCGAATCCGCATCGCTGCGGGTACCGCCGCACGTGCTGGAGCAGATCGGGGTGCGGTTCAGGAGACAGGTTCATCGGTCGAAGCAATTTGGGAGTTAGAACAAGAACGATAGACGTGGGGGGATATGGGGACGTGGGTCGGCTAGTACAGTCGAGGAAACGTTCTATGCGTGTACGGACCATCGTTCGAACGTCATACACCAGCGCACATTAAACTGAGAATGGAGAACATCTATTGAATTGCCCGAATAAATATCATGTTATGTGATGTGTTCTACCTAAAAGCCTTCCGCATGCTATGTACGCCCAATGAACCTCCTCCACTATCTATCCCTCTATCAACAAGTGACCGACACCTACCTACATACGCACATACATACATCCCTCTACTGTCCCGTACCCACACTCCCCCCCTCCCGCTCAGGCACAGACGTCCAAGTTCTCCATCTCCCCTCATCAGCTTGGTATAGACTGCTCCGCCGGTACATCCGCACAAAACATCCCCCCTCCAACCCTCACCGTCCTTCCCAACCCAACAACCCCAACACTCCCCACCCTCAATCCCCTCTCCCTCCTCCCCTCCTCCAAAACTTTTGGCGGATCTAGGTAATGCTCATCGGACATCATGAAGGTTCCCCAGTGCACGCCGACGGTATGTGTCGCGTTGATCTCTGTGTGAATTTGCAGGGCCTCGGAGGGGGAGATGTGTTGGTGGTGGAGGACGTGGCGGGGTTCGTAGGCTCCAATCGCTATAAAAAAAAGACCAGGAAAATCAGAAGATAAGATCAGAAAACGAGACATGACGACAGTTCGGCGAATATGAACGAAAACACGTAAAATACTCACGCAAAAGGGCCAACCCCACCTCCCCATATTTCCTCCCGATCTCTTTGAAAACGCCACAGTAGCCCGTATCCCCACAATGAAACAGCGATTCTCTGGGTCCTTTGACGATGAAGGAGGACCAGAGGGAGCGGTTGACGTCGAAGAAGTGGCGGCCGGACCAGTGTTGGGTTGGGGTGGAGGCTATTAGGAGGGTGGGTTGTGTGGGGGAGACAGAGGTGTGGGTGTGTTCTTGCCACCAGTCAAGTTCGATTACCTGGAGAGGGAAGGGGTGGGGCTTAGTTTTGCCAGTGTGGGTATAAACAGCGCAGTTTTGAGCGACTCGCTTGGGTGACTTACATTGGTGACGCCGTGCCCGTTAAACCATCCCCTAAGCCCCAACGGGACATACCATGTCACCGAGTTGCCCAACTCCTTCACCACCGCGCGATCTATACGAAAAAAGCATCAGTTCCCATCAAGCCACATCCCCAAAATATGCACTCACTCCCTCACTCCAATCAACATACCCAAATGATCATAATGATCATGGCTAACCAGCACAATATCCACCCTCGGCAGCTCACTCAATTTACACGGTGGCGGCCGTAACCGTTTGGGCCCGAACCAGCTGCCGATTGTGCGCGTGCTGAAGATCGGGTCCGTAAGGATGTTGTAGCCGTCCATTTGGACGAGGCAGGTCGATTGGCCGAACCAGGTTACTGTCATGTGAGGGGTGGTGGAGTCCGAGGGGGGCGGGAGGGTGTGGAAGGTGTTGAGCAGGTGGAAATCGGGCGTTGTGACTGGTAACGTCTGTGCCAATACCTAAAAGGGAATGAATGTGTAAGCGAAGCGATGGACGGTTGGTTGATGGTTGATGGATGAAACGATGCCCTGCTCGCTCCGCTCGCGACGGGAATATTGGGTTGGCGGAGGGCAGAAAGTGCACGCTTCGCTCGCTGAGGCTCGCTAATAGCCATGCTTAGGGGTATTGCGCCTTGGGCGCAAGGAACTCGCTTCGCCCACGCTCCTTTGCTCTCGAAGACCTTCGCTCGCTCCGCTCACGCCTTCCCTCACTCCACTCGCACCCACACTCCCTCCTAACTCACTCACTCACCTCATCCCCCGGCACCCCATTCCTATTTTTCCGCGTCAACTGCCACCTCAAATACTCCCACACATTCGTCGCATTCTTATCCCTCCACTCCCAAAACGGATTGACAAATCTCCCCGCAAAGCTCAAGCTCGTGTATATCCTCTTCATGTATCCGCCACCACCCCTCGTTATTGCGACCGCCTGCCGTGTCTCATCGGGGTTGGCTGGTTCCAGTCCTTCGTCGGTGTCGAGGTCATCGAGTTGTATCGAGTCGGATTCGCTCCAACGGGCTTGGAGTTCCTTGAGTCTCCGCTGCCTGTGCCATAGCCAACGGCCTTGTTCGAAGAGGAGGACGGAGGTGAAGAGGAGGAAGGGGAGGGTGAGGATGATGAGGGGGCGGCGGAGGGAGGTTGGGGAGGGGAGACGGCGGGTGAGGCCGAGGGGTTGGGGGCCCATTGTGGGGGCTCGTGGGGGGCGGGCGGAAGTGGGGCGGATGTGCAAGGTTGTCGTTGGTTGGCGGGGGGGGTAGCTGTCGTCGGTCGCAGTCCGTTGGAGTCAGTGTTGCAGTTGTTGCGGGGTGTTGTTTTCCTTGCAACTTGCAAGCCCAGTTCCGAAGGGCGCGGAAACCGGAGAGAGACTGAGAGCGAGACACGCGCGCTGACGACTCCTGGCGAGGCTGGCATCTAATACTACTTGCTTGCTTCGACGTCCCATGTTGCTTTTTCCCACGGCGACCAGCAGCCCCCCAGGCAATGATGCCTACCGCAGAAGACACCCACCACAACGACCCACCGACGACGGAGGAAGGTCTCCCTCAACCACCACCGCAGCAAGGAGAAACCGACGCCACACCCCCCGCATCCACACCCAGCCCATCCCTCGACACAACAACCAACCGCCAGACCCACCTGCAGCTTCCACGCACCGAAACACTTCCACCAGACGCTCCCGCCGGCGTCCTGCGCGTAAGAGTCTCGCACAGTAGTATCACCTCATGCAACCCAATAAACGTTAAAATCCCCGACGCGATTCTTACAGGTAGAAGCAGGATTAAAAGCGCTGAATTTACGCGACGTCGCCCGATTCGTACATGTCGAAAGCGATTATTATGACTGGCCTTTGGAGAAGCGGGCGTACGTACAGTACATCGTCACTACCTGTATATCCCAGCATATGCTCAAAAAGCTCACATTCTCCCTCCTTTCGATCTCCCAGCACCCGCCTCGCAGCACCCTCCCCCTCCCACCTCTGCAAAACAATCCTATTCGAAAACACGAAATACAAACCGGTCGACGGTGTAAACGAGCTGAACCCGCTTTATTCGCGGTTTTATGCCGTGTGTGTACAATATACGGATAAATTGAATGCGCAGAGATTGGGGAATTTCGTGAAGGGGTTGAGTGGGGGGTTGAATAAGGGTGAGTTTTGGGAGTGAGAGGGGGGGCGGGACGGAAGGTTACGGGCGTGAGGGGATGGTGTTGAGGGTGGCTTGATGACGAGCGGGGATGCACGCAGAGCCGGCGAGGACGAAACGCATCTGATGCCAGCAGCCGCAGTGACCATCCGCGGTCGTTTACGCGGGCCATAATTGCAGCATCCTAGGTTCTCGCTCGCCCCAATCGTTCCTGCGAGCGATCGCGAGACAATCGCCGAGGATTCAAAGTTCTCCATTATCAGAGCCGGACCACCCATTCTCCTCCATTCTCCTACCTACACTCCTTTCATTTCATCATATACATATAGAAGGCCGCGAACAACCCCGCAAAAACTTCAACATGCGCGTCGCCTCCGAGTCCAGCAACGAGGCCTTGACCGGGTTCGAAAAGGGCGGCGTGTGTCCATTCGGGATGCTGCAAAGGGTGCCGATCATCCTTACGGAGAATATCACTAAATTGGATGTAAGTTCCGCTCTCTGTGTAATACGTGTGTGGTGATGGGTGTGGTGATTGATCTTGCTTTTGGGTTTTCCGTTAGCCACCCATCATGTTCCTCGGCGCCGGGCATATCGACTGGAAAGTCGGACTACCTGTCGACACATTCCTAGACCGACAACATGACCCTAAATGCTTTGTTGCCGATCTGTCCTAGGAGAGGACACATGCCCCCCTGCTTGATTTCCGATCTTTTGAGTGACATTGGTTGGTCTGGTGAGACGGGTGCGGGAGGGTGTGGTATGGACATCATTACACATCCTGAGATATGAACGAACTCGTATCGGGTCAAGGGGGTCCGAGCGACGATGGATGGAGGACGCAGTGACATCCGCCTGACGAGATCGTTACCTCTCAATCACGTTCCGTCCTCGACTCAACACACCGACGGTCAAACACCCAGATCTCGCTTCACAGCCATTCCGCAGACACATAGGTAGAAAGACCGTAGATAGATTACACAGCAGCGTGGACTCAAACAGCATCCATAGGCGTATTATATCCGTCCCCCAATGGGAAAGATGCAACCGTGCTAGACTTGGCTCTTCCATTTCCTCTCTACGCAAAAAAAATATAAATAAATAACTACACTACGACCTACACTTTAACGCAGCCTCCCCAAAATGGATGATTTTCCCCCCCTTGTATCTACATCTAAACAGCCTCGGCCGGCTCTACCGCTTTCTTCGTTCCGTGCGCTGTACATACCACCACCGCCTCCTTCTTCTCCCCCTCACCCTCCGCCCCCTGACCCTTATCCCCCACGGGCACGGGCACCGCAGCGGCATCACCGGCCCCGCTCGTCGCTCGATCCATGCCAGGCCCGAGACTCCGACAACAGCCTTTACAGAACCCGAACGCGCATTTGAGCGAGGCGACGTTGGCGCAGGTTGCGGATGTGCAGATCGGGTGTTTCGGTGCGGGTTTTTTTGTGGTGCGGCGGGCTAATACCCCGTTTGAAACCACAAGCGAGTCAGATGGGTGTGTGTGAGTGTGAAGGGGGAACGGACCTCACACACCACGAGAATGGTTTAAAACGCACCCTTATTCTTATCCCCCGGTTCCGGGTCCAGACCGCGTTTGCGTGCGTTCTTCGCCTGCTGCTCGCCCTCGCCCTCGCCCTCCGCGTCCGCATTCCCGTCATGAACCGCAATGACCTCCTCATCCCTACTCAGCTCCTCCGCCTGGATGGTCGTCTGCTTACTCTCCTCGTCGAGGCGGTCGGGCGCGTCGGCGTTCTTGAGCGTGCCGTCGACGCGGAAGTAGGGTTGCAGGCACCATGTGGGGAGGACCCGGTAGCCGGCGGGGGAGAGGGTGTAGGGGGGGGTGTAGACTTCTTCGGGGGAGACTTTCTGTGGAGCCCCGGGGGGGATGGAGTGGGGGTGTTAGATGGTGGTGGGGAGGTGGGGAGGTGGGGAATGGCGGACGTACGAGGAGACGAGATTTGATTTGTTGGACCCAGTCGATCATTCCTTGGAGGGAGGGGACTTTGCCGAGGGCGGTGCGGAGGTCGGGGTGTTCGTGGAGGCTGTTACGATAATCGTGTGGGGGTTAGATACCACAGTTTCAGTTTGGGAGCGAAAGGCCAAAGGAAGGGGGAAAAGGGAGGGAGGGGATGGCAGCGTACCAAGGCTTGAACATTTTGAAAAGATGTCCCCGGATGGCGCTTACGGTGGAGCTGTTGGGGATTGAGGTGCATATTTCAAGGTACTGCAAGGAGCGAGATGCGAGGTGTGAGGGTTAGAAGGCGCGGGCGGGGTGGTTGAGGGCAGGGGATGCTACGTTACCTCTTCCGCGAGTTTCCAGGATGCGTAGTGCTTTCCGGTGAATATGCCTGGGTTGTATAGGTTTCCCTCTTCAAAACCATTCGTAAGTCAAAATAGGATGCGAATGCCGAAGAGGAGGAAACGAAGGGTCTTACCCGCAGTCATAACCCCATCCGCGCCCGTGGCCTCCAAACAGCGATCGATATCTTCCTTGTATAAGATATTCCCATTCGCAAAAACTGGAATCCCCACCGCCTGCTTCACCGCCCTAATCTGCTCCCAATCCGCCAGTCCCGTCTTATGCCCCTTCTGCTCCCTTAACCGTCCATGCACCGTCAACAACTGTGCCCCCGCGGCCTCAATCATCTTGGCGTACCGGATCGTCTTCTCCACTTCAGGGAACACGCGAATCTTGACTGTCACGGGCACCGCCAAATGCTCATCCAGGGTCTTCACCATCTCGGCAATAAGATCCCACTCATCCTGCAAGAACGCGCCATACCGGCCCCGCTTGGCGATATGCTGCGGACAGCCGAGGTTGATATCGACCGCGTCGCATTCGTGTTCGATGAGCTTCGCGGCGGCGAGGAGGATGGAGGGCTCGTTCGCGCAGAATTGGGCGATGAGGGGCCGGTCGTGGGGGCCGGTCTGCCAGTTTTCGTGCTTGTATTTGCCGTCGGGGGAGGAGAAGAGGCGGGCATGGAGCATCGGGGTATAGCAGAGATGCGCGCCGTAGCGGTTGGAGAGGATGCGCCAGGCCTGGCGGTGGAGAAGAGGAGGTATTAGCGGATATCCTCCCACTAAACTACTGAATGGAAAAGCGTCGTCACCGCCCACTTACGTATTCCGACTGCAAAAAAAACCACAGGCGAAACCAAAATATGAAGGATGACACCCTGTTAGGGACCCCTTCTCTCTCAACCCTCCAACATAGACGAAACACCTCGCCCCCCTCCCTCCCGTACGGTACCTGGTCGACCATAGGCGCGACAATGTGCTTTGGGCTCTTGAGTATTTTCTCGTAGAAGTCATAGCCCTTGAGCTTGCGGGACAAGTCCTTTGTGGCGGCCATAGCGACAGAGCGAGCGAGGGCTGTTGGCATTCAGCAAGGGCCTTTCCTGTGCCTGCCTGTCGTTGTTCTCCAAGCGTTGCTCTCTGTTGCTGTTGCGGGTTCCCTTTTCGCTCTCTTTCTTCCCGCCGCGCGTTTTTGTGCTCTCCCTTTTCCCTCCCACTGGACTCGCTACAGACTTGGTACCCGGAAGTTGCAGTACAGCGCGTGGGAACATACTCCCTCCCTCAAGGCGCAAATAGAAGTGGAAGCGGCTCCCGCAAAACGAAAGGTGTCAACTGCGGTGCTCCGCTGGCTGCAACTGGGAGAACTCACCGTCGGGGGTCGAAGGTGAAGGGAGGGACGTGACCAACAGTCATGCAGAACGAACGGGAAGGGCGGCCAAGACTGAACGGGCGCCATAGCACAGACTCCGATACCGACCCGACTGGAGTTTCACAGTCAGGAGGCTTAAAGGAACAGCATGTCGCACCGCAAGCCGGCCGCAATGCGTTCGAGTGCGACCCAGCGTCGCGGGATTCGGTGTCTCCAGAGATCATATCCATACAAATTCCCACAGGCCTTAAAAGCCGAAGGGATCCCGAAGACGATTCGTCCACTCTCCTACCGCCGTCCCCTAGTACACTACGTCGCGGCTTGAAGCTAGTCAAACGGAGGCCGAGAAGTAGGTCTCCAGCAACGGACGAGGTGGATACGACCACCGACGACGTCGTTTCGATAGGGAACCAGACGATGTCATCCGCCCACAGCAGTCTCGAAGAGACGCAGACGCAGACGGAGAGCGATGACGGGCCAATCATCGAGCTGAATGGGTCGAATAGCATAGACCTGCCCCACCAGCAGGCCTCGTCACCCGCAACAGATGATATCACGACCACAATGTCCGCGACGATCGTCAGTGCAGATGGGGCGCAGGTCCGTGAGATGGGGACGTTCGACGTGCAGGTGTCTGATGCCCCGGATGGTACCAGCTCTGCGACGGTGTACATTCCTATGGGTGACGGGCAGACCTTGACTGCAGAAGTGACGGGGGCACATTTACCGTCGCAGCCGGAGAAGTCCGTGGAGCTGCTTTTGCAGAACGGGGATGTGGTTGTGGTTACCTCCGCTGCTACTCCGCCCTTGTCACCACCGCCGGAGATGCAGCAGACACCGCCGCTTCATGAGCAATCTCCTGCAAGTCCGACTACGAAGCCGGCAGTAGTGGCAAGCCCACCATTCCCAGCCACAAGCGCACCTTTGATTCCACCACGAAACTATTCCCCGCGGAATGAGCTCGGTGCGAACATCAACAAACCGCTTCCATCTGTCGCAGCACCAGCAGCAGCGTCGTCACCTCCTGCTTCCACAACCCCAGGCGTCAGTAACACTCCCGTGCAATCGGCAGTCCCCATTCCGGTCAGAATGGCGAGCAAACTGCCCGTCGCAGATATCGTAGCCGGCACACTACCTCTCCCTCTTCCGGAAAAGCGATTACCATCGAAGCCGTCGCTGTTCAAAAAGAAGCCCACGGCGGCCGTTGCTGTCGACATGGCTCGCTCTCAGTCTGCCGAGGTGGGATTAGGGAGCCCTTTGTATGCCAACGGTCAAACGCTGCTGCAAATGGGACACTCGGCACCTGTGATCAGCACCTCAACTGACCTGACGTTGCAGAATATTGGCGAAGCGAGCCGACCGGAGCAGCAGTTGCTCATATCTGGGACGTTTGACCCGAACGGTGTTTCTGCAATCGGTGCGATGCCACAGCGGTCACCGCCGCTCGCGAACGGAATCATTCTGCTCAATCGAGATGCCTCAACGGACCACGTCAACGGATCACTCACACTCTCACAGACTCAGGCTACGGATATGACTCTACCGGTATCGACTACGTCGTTGGTTGTAGCAGACGAAGCCGGGATGCTTAGCAGGACCAGCGACTGTTCAGACGACAACACCCCACTCGCCGCGCTCTTCTCCACATCCCCACCGCAACCAACCGCCATCCTACCCATCTCCGCCCCGGACCGCGTCCAGAAACCAGTGACACTCCCCCTCCTCTCCGGCCTGATGGCGCCAGGGTCAACTACAAACCACCAAACCGCCATGACACTCCCCGCCCCATCCTCCCGCGTCCCACCACCGACCTCCGCCCGCCGCGGGTCCCAGACGCTACCCCGCCCATCGCCCACCGCAGTGGTCATCTCACCGCGGATGTCGTCTCTCGCGAATCCGACGAGGGAGGAGGTCAATCGGCGCCGATTCACGTACTTGGGCGGGGTAGATTTGCAACAACACTCGGAGGGCGGTGCTGTCGAGCCGTTTGTGGACGAGGTTGTGGATGAGAACGGACATGGCATAACGGAAGGGACGCCACACACTATCACAGATTCAGGCACCGCAACCCCCGAACTTCTGCTAATCACCCCACCCAAAAGCATCCCCGCCGCCAACACCGACGTCACCATCGCACCCCTGACCCCAACCGACCCGCACCTCACCCCCCGCGACCTCGCCACCTGCCCCCTCTGCGCCGACGTCTGCGAGCGCGCAATGCGCGTAACCTGCTGCCTCACCGTCTGCTGCTCCGCCTGCATCTGGCGCTGGCTCGCCCTTGCGCAGCACAACACGTGCCCGTTCTGCCGTGCCCCGATCGCCCCCGAGAACGTAAGACCCGCGGAGGAGGTGCAGCATCTGGTGGATCGGTTGGTTGTCAGGTGTAAAGTGCCTGGATGTGGGTGGATGGGGACTAGGGAGCGATTGAAGAGGCATGTTGTAACCGATTGTAGGGGTGCCTGCGATATGGTTGTGCTGAGGAAGAAGGGGAGTACGGTCCGACGGAGGAGTAGTCGCGCCAGTCTTGGAAGATTGAAACTTGCCCCGCCTGCTTCGTCTGCCCCCTCTTCGATATCCGACATTCAACAACAGCAACAACAACACCACACGCTCCCACATCCACAACAACAACCACAACAACAACAGCAACAACCCCCGCGTCGCCTCCCCCTCCTCATCCCCCTCCGCTCCTCACAACCGCGCATCCTGTTCCGCAGACTCTCGAGTGCTATCAGACCCCCCAGCAACGCCAGCAGGTTCGTCATGCCAATCCACGCCTCGGTCTCGGTCCCCGCGCGTATCGGGATCCCGCCACGGATCTCGTCGGCGGCTGCCGTCTCCACTTCAGGCGACGATGCACCGGCTGGTGATACGCAAGCGCCACCACAGGAGGGTTCCCCTGATACTAACCTGAACACAACACAACCCACACCGCCAATATCCTCCCCTCAACCCCTCACGGACCTCATCAGCCTATACACAGGACCGCCATCACCCTCCCGCACTCAAACACGCACCCGCCCAGCCTCCCTCCGCCGCCGCCGAAACAGCACAGCCTCGACGCGGTCGTCAAGGAGCGGTATCGGGGGCAGTGTGGTAGGCAGCCCCACTATCCTGGAGGGGGATGAGGGGGAGGGGTATGTTGATGTTGATGTCGGAGACGACAAGGCTGTGGTTAGTCCGGGTGGGTGTGAGACGCCGCCGTCCCCGAGGCGGGCGCGACCATCGAGTGTCTTGAGTGTACGCTTCAACGATGCGAATCACCACCACCTGGTCGGGGATTCGGGTGACCGTAGTAGTAGAAACCACAACGCCGCCGCGACCACGACGGCGAAACAGCATCGACAGCATACGTATGTGAGGAGACGGCACACCCTTGCGTTGGATCCTAGGCGGGATTATACGGTTTTGTCGGCCTCGTCGCCGAAACGGAGGAGTGTGAGGGGGGTCTTTGATCTTGTCCCGCCCATGGGGGTGGGGGAGACGGGAACGGAGAAGAGGGGAGACGTGGATGTGGATGAAGGAGGAGGAGGAGGAGGAGGAGACGAGGTGGATGTGTGGCATGATTGTACGGAGGCTGACGCGGACGGTAACGGTCAATAGAACACACCATGTCACCCTTTTCCAACCCCGCAGGACGGGGGTGGGGTGGAGATATGGGGAGAATGTTAGCAGACACAGCCGCCATGGATCTAGATCTAGATACGCTAGCGGCAGTAATGCTATACTACGTAGAATATGTCAATTCCCCCATGTTTCCATACCGAAGTTAGAATTACATGTGCACACAATAACCGAAGCCGGGTGTGCGATCGTTGAACTTGTTAAGAGCAGTCCGACTGTCAAATCCCGTCAGTGCCCACCCACGTCACGCACGACAGAAGGCGACCGAACACTTCCGCAGGAGAGATCACCCTCCTCCCGCTCATCCCATCTCAACAAACATCATCACCACCCACCTCACACCACCACAATGCCACCACCACCCGCCACCCCCTCGCCCCTGGACGAAGCAACACGCTGGTACAATTCCCTCCCCCCCGTCACCCGGTTCCTCATCACAGGCACGGTCCTGTTCTCGCTCGCCGCGGGGCTTGGCCTGTGTCGTCCGGGCCAACTCGTCTTTGACGGCGGATTCATCGTCAAGAGATACCAGGTAATGTGAATCCCATTCCTCGATCCTCCATGTGGTAATCCTATAGCTGGTATCCTGGGGAATGTCGCGACCGGGTATCTCATGATTATGCTTTATGAATTAGATATGGCGGCTGGTGACGTCCTTCTTCTGGCAGCCGCTGGGGCTCAATTTCCTCATGCAGGTGTATTTCCTGTACCGGCACTCGCTGGAGCTCGAGCAGGGCCTGTTTGTCGGGCGGGCGGGGGACTATGTCTTCTTCATGGTGTTTGCATTCTCGATCATCAACGTGAGTTGTTGGAATCGAACAGAACAGTCAGATTGGTCGGGGAGATGTTAATGTTTTTTGCAGGTGGCGGCGTATGTCTTGGACTTGGTGGTGTTGAGCGAGCCGCTGTTGTTGTGTGTGATCTACGTGTGGGCGATGCATCATGGGGAGGAGATGGTGTCGTTTTTGTTTGGGGTGCGGTTTAAGGTAAACGAACAAACTTGGGGCATACATATACATTGCTCGTCTTCATTCATGGCATCTTGGAGTCTAACCCCCCGTTTTTGTGGATTTTTGTAAGGCGATGTACCTCCCCTGGGTGCTCACCCTCCTGGACGTGCTGCAAGGCAACCCGTACCCCGTCGCCAAGCTCACGGGCATCGCGGTCGGGTATCTGTACTACTACCTCGATCAGACGTACCCGCTGCAGAATGGCGGGCAGAGGATCTTGGTCACCCCGAGGATTCTGCAGGAACAGTTTCCGTCCGCGGCCGCGGCGGGGGGTGTGGGCGGCGCGCCGGTGGGTGGCGGGCATAGGGTTGTGCCGGGGGCCGGGGCGGGGCCGGCGAGGACGGCGGGAGAGGGGGTGACCAGACGGCATGTGTGGGGGAGTGGGCAGCGGTTGGGGACCGATTGAATGGAATATCATTGAATGTTTTTTCCATACTGGAATCATATCGGTGTACGAAAACCCAATCCTCATGTATAATGTACAGTACTTTGAGCAGATGTCCATATGCTATGGTTTTGGGACACTCATTCACCTTTGCCATCCGCCGATGTGTCTACCACATGAACGCAACAGCCCGTGTCTACAGGTATTCTACGTAACGTATACCATCGCAAGCCGTCCCTACGTCCCCTCTCCCCTCCTTTCTAAATCACAACCCAACCCTCCTCGTAACCCCTCTCGGCATACAATACCTCGGATCAACCTCCACCAACCCGCCAAACTCCAATAACGACAGCCCGGCGAGTCCAAACACGGTGTGAAAGACGTCGGGGATGTCGCCCGGTCTGTCGGCTATTCCACCTGTTTCCGTGTCCTGGATATCGCCGATAGGTGATTAATAGAAGTTTTTGGAAAGAGGGGGATGGGGGAAGGGGAGGGGTTGGTTTCTTACCTGAGAAGCCAATATAAACCCCGCCAACGTCTCCTTATTGATCCAATGAATGCGGTCAAGGATGGCGAGGGCGGAGAGGACCCACCACGAATAGCACACCTGCCCCCCAAGAAAATCAAATCAATACCACCACCCACAAACCCCTGCTGACTCCCCCGTGATACTCACATCCTCCAATTTCTCCGGCCGTCCGTTCAACCCCCCATTAGGGAGCTGCCGTTCCGCGAGCCACCAGCAGAGCTTGTCGCGCTCGACGAGGTGCAGGTGGTTGAGGATGGCGAGGGTGCCGACGCAGCAGAAGACTGGGGAAAACAGAAACAAGATAGGCGAGGTGTCAGCGGGGTATCAGATGAGCTCGCGCCACGACCTCTTCCCTCTCCTCCCTCCCGGGCCGCCCGACCGGTCGGTTACTCAACTTACTCTGCCCCGCATGGCTCTCCGCCCCCGGCACAGTCCCATACCCCCCATCGAAGTTCCGACACCGATCAATAAACTCGGCCACCTTATCCCCATCAACCGCATCAAGCCTCCCCATCAGCGACAGCGCGGAGATCGCGCAGTAGGAGAACCGCGTGTCAGTTTCGCCCCATTCGTCGCCGGTGAAGGAACCAACGACGGGGTCGTGGAGGGTTAGGATGTCTAATCAAACAATGGAGTGGGAGTTAGAGGTGGTGGAGTGGGGGAATTGCGGTGATGGGAGGAGGGAACGTACATGACACGACCCGCTCCACATCGACCCTCTCCAACGCATCTAAGGTGACCAAAATCTGGATCGCGCTCAATGTATAGATCAGATGGGCGTCGTGGTCTACGCTTCCGCCGAATCCGCCTGTTGGATACATGACAAAACATACACATCAGCCCCACATTCGAGCTGTATTGGATAGGAAGGTTGTGGGGGTGATGGGTACCGTTTTTCTGTTGACAGGAGAGCACGAACGCAATGACCTCTTCGCGATCTAGCTCGTGCGGGCGGGACATGAATGCGAGGGCTGTTAGGGCCCAGTAGACGCCTAAAATATGTATCAGAACATGGGTCAGCCTCGGCCCGCCTGCTATGACCTCGCCCCGCTAAGACTCGCAACTCGCACCATTGAGCCGTAATTGGTCGCTTGCCCAGTATTCAAACACATCTTTGTTCTATTTGCAAGAGAGGAAAAGAGGGAGAGGAAGCTGGGGATCAATAAGTTTTGTGACGGAGGTCGTGCGTGATTGCCAATGGAGTGTTCTCTCTGAAGATAGCGAGCATGGGAATGAAGGGGAGGTGGGGGAGATGGGACGGACGAACCTTGTCAAGGTTGACGATGAAGTTGACGTGGAGGTCTAGGAGTAGCTCGGGTGCCTTAGAGGCTGAGGCCGTTGTTGGCGGTTGTGTTGGCGGAGGAGTCATTGTGAGGGTTGGGGGCTGGCTGGCTGCCTGTGACTTTGGCGAGAGTTGGCTGTTGGCAATGCCAGCCTCGTCGTCAGCAGTCGTCAGCTCGTCGTCGTTGGAAGAGTTTGAAGCAACAGCCACGCGTGAGAGGCGTGAGGTTTCTATCTCGACTTTCTTGTAGGGCCGCTGCGAGTCGGTCATGCACACGTACTGTATAAAGAACGCGTTGAGCGGAATGCAGAGCGGGATGGGAGGGAGGGACGGATCGTGCGAGTCTTCGGGGATGACAGTGCTATGGCTTGCCCATTGCTCATTTGCGCCGATGCCTGAGTTGGTATGAGCTAGCCGATATCGATCGGCGGGATGGAAGTGCGAATGCAAGCGAAAAACGGCCCTCCGCGCCATAATCCTCTCCCGCATGCACGTCTCAGAGCAGTTTCAAGATATTTACAAACTCGGACGAATCCCTCTATCCGACCACCAAGGCAGCCTGACCTATCTCATGAACCTATTTGAGTGCGCCGGGGACACTCGCCGATGATATGGATGAGGACCCAGCGGCGGATCTGTATATGTGCCCTGCGAGGAACGGTGATGTGCAGGAGCAGCTGATTTGTGTGGATGTCGCTATGGGTGGGGCATTGGTATGATGGGGGTATGATGGAAACAACGAGGAGTCCTCCGCATCAGAATCTGGCGATGATGAAGCTCAGAACTCTCTAGGGCTTCCGCTGATGATGAGGAGAAGCGCAAATTGCAGATGAATGGCGATTGCGTTGAAGTGGCTGTGAATTCAATTTGAGAAGGGGAAGAATATATACGTGTGGGGATGGATGGATGGATGGATGGATGCTGCATGTGAATGCGAGACCCCATGGGGGGTGGGGCACGAAGCACATGGGAGGGAGTAACTGGTTTACCCTCGCTTGTCTTGCAGTCGCTTGTCTTGGCTGTCGCGTCCCCCCATCTCGCTCGCGCGTCTCATCACGCGGCCACCCCGCATTCACGAGTACTTCTTCTCACTCTTCCCACGCTCCGCCCTTCTCCGCCCAACTGGGAACTGAGACCTGGGAACTGAGACAGTCCAACCCCCCCCCACTCTTCCTCACCAGCAACAACGTTAACCCGCCCTCAGCCCCCTCAGCGTCTTCCTCGCTCTGTGTGTGTATACGCTGGGTCGGGCCTGCTGCGAGGACGTCTGTTGATCCGGAAAGACACGCGCCCTCCGTTCGTTCGCTTCCGTCCGTGATTTCCAACAAGACAGGTCAATTCCGTCGCTCGTATTGCTTTTCTTTTGAGGATAGCGCTTCCTGAAAATAAAAGTCCAAACTCATAAAAAGCAGGCATCTTGTTGGGGGCCACAAGCCAGTCGGGCATCGCGTAACCACCTCAACCGCATCCCAACCACAACCCAAACCCCCCCACAACATCCATCATGCCCTTCTCAAAACCCCTCCCCGAGTCAATCAGCACCTTCCTCGAAAAAGCCACCTCCTCAACCCTCCCCTCCGTCCTCTCCTCAACCGCCCTCCTCCAAGCCCGCTCCCAACGCCTCCGCCGCACCGCCATCGGAATCGCCCTTGCAACCGGCGCACTCTACTACGCCAAGCGCCAACGCGACGCTTCCCGCTTTTCCAAAATCGCTAACCTCCGTGATGACTCCACCGCGATCGTCGCGGTCAAAGGCGACTCCTCGAAAATCAAAGTCGCCGTGGATAAGAGATTTTTCAGGCAACTGAAATATATCTGGGCAATCTGTGTACCCAACTGGAGGAGCAAGACCGTGGGGATTTTGGTGTTGCATACGGTGTTTTTGGTGCTGAGGACGTATTTGAGTGTTGTCGGGGCGAGGTTGGATGGACGGTTGGTGAGGGATCTGGTGGCGGCGGATGCGAGGAGTTTTGGGAAGGGGTTGGGCTATTGGTTTGCGTTGGCTGTGCCCGCGACTTATACCAATAGTATGGTGAGTAGTGCGAGTGATGATGACACTCGGGGGGAGATGCTTGGTTCGGTCCGGGCGAGCGCAGCGAAGTGCAGCGAAGTGCAGGAGAGCTTGAGGTTTGGTCCATCCCGCACATCCACTGAGAACTCTCCTTCAAATTCACAGATCCGCTACCTGCAATCCAAGTTCTCGATCGCGCTCCGCACCAGCCTCACCCGCCACGTCCACGACGTGTACATGGACAACAACACCTACTACAAAGCCATCAACCTGGACAACCGCATCGACGGCGCGGACCAGCTGATCACGACCGACATCAACAACTTCTGCACGGCCCTCGCGTCGCTGTACTCGAATCTCGGCAAACCGGTGCTGGATATGATCATCTTCAACTACCAGCTGGGCAGGAGTATTGGCGCTACGGGCATGTGGGGACTTGCGATCAATTATGCGATCACGGCAACGATTTTGAGGGCTGCTACCCCGGCTTTTGGGAAGTTGGCGGCTCAGCAGGCGCAGTTGGAGGTGGGTCAGATCTCGCCATATCGAGCATTGATTTTGGCTCAGGTCCACGTGCTCACTGTCTCTCCTAACTCCATTCCCAGGGCGACTTCCGCACCGCCCACTCCCGCCTCATCACCAACGCCGAAGAAATCGCCTTCTACCACGGCGCGCACCTCGAGCAATCCATCCTCACCCGCATCTACTACAAGCTGATCCGGCACATCAACCACATCTACCGCATCCGCATCGCCTACAACATGTTTGAGGACTTTATCATCAAGTACACGTGGTCCGCTGCTGGACTGTTGATTGCCAGTATTCCGGTGTTCTATCCCGAGATGGCGGGCGCCAGGTCGAAGAGGGAGGAGCTGAGGCTGGCGCAGTTGCAGAGTAGTGACGGCGCGTCGGCGTTGACGCAGCATGATCATCGGACGAGGAGTCATACGCAGGGGTTCATCACCAACAAGAGGTGTGTGCTTACACTACACTTATAGCTTTGTTGCGGGCGACATGCATTTACTGATCATCCTCCTCAATTCTCAACTAGGCTGATGGTATCCCTCGCCGACGCCGGCGGCCGCATCATGTACTCCTACAAAGAACTGAGCGAGCTCGCCGGCTACACCTTCCGCGTCTTCAACATGCTCCGGGTCCTCGAAGACCTGCACGACGAAAAGTACGTGCACACCGGCGCGCCCATCACCGGTGCCCCCGGCGAACCCGACCGCTATTCCCTCGAACACATCAAAGGCACCATCACCTACGCCACCGATGGCCTCACCCTCCAAAACGTCCCCGTTGCCACGCCCTCCGGCGATACCGTCCTCGTCCGCGACCTCTCCTTTTCCCTCGGCCCAGGCGACCACCTCATGATCACCGGCCCCAACGGGTCGGGGAAGACCTCTATCTTGCGTATCATCGCGGGGCTGTGGCCATTATTCGCGGGCAAGATCCTCCGCCCGCCTGCGAAATTGGACTCGATCTTTTATATTCCGTCCCGCCCGTACCTGGCGATTGGGAGCCTGAGGGAGCAGGTAATTTACCCGCATAGTGTGAAGCAGATGAAGGCGGCCGGGAAGACGGATGAGGATTTGGCGGAGATTTTGAGGAAGGTGTATTTGGATTATATTCCGGCCAGGGAGGGGGGGTGGGATGCTGTTAAGGAGTGGAAGGATGTGTTTTCCGGAGGTGCGTTACTCTCACATCATTACGTTTATTCCATATATGACTTCTTAGCTGTCAGCTCCAAATTTGCTCACACGTCCGTTTATCCACACCCCGCAGGTGAAAAACAACGCATGCAACTAGCCCGCCTCTTCTACCACCACCCTTCATACGCCATCCTCGACGAAGCCACCTCGGCCGTCTCCACCGACGTCGAGAACCTCCTCTACACAACCGCCAAAGACCTTAACATCACCCTCATCACCATCTCCCACCGGCCCTCGCTGTTCAAATACCACCACCGGCTCCTGCGCGTCGGGGAGGGGAACGATGGGTTGGAGTGGACGATGGAGGAGTTGCGAAAAGAAGGGGGTGGCGGGGTGGCGTTGAGTGTGCAGAGCGAGATTGGGAGGCTGGAGGGGGAGCTGGCGAGTGTGGAGGGGTGGAAGAGGAGGTTGGAGGTGGTCAATCGGGAGCTGGGGATTGGCGGGAAGCCCAAGGGGACCAAGGAGGAGGAGGGGGAGTTGAGGCATGCGAAGAGGACGCTGATTTAGCCGGCGATGCCGTGCGTGCCCCCCTCGAGTGTGGGGTGGGGTTACGGCGCCCGGGTAGCGCTCGCCTACTCTCTTTGCGCCCCGCCGTTTACCTATGTCAAATGGCCCTCTACTCGTCCTTATACAGTACTTCTGGCACCTGTTTTTTTTTCCCCGCGCGCCTCCGTTTTATAATGTATTTGATTCCTCTTTTCCTATATGGGGTTAAAACAGTCTGTCTGTCTGTGGACGATCGGGTCGCTGAACGGGGTGAGACCACACACAGATATCGGCGTTGTATGCCATATGCCATATGCATATGCATTGCGACACGCGAGGTACATATATAGGCGCCTATCCACTCCTCTACGGCAACTCCCAACGCATTTGAGCGGTGCAGACCGCGCCTACAGTATGCTGTGGGTTGGGGGTTCGGTTTGAACAACTGGAACGGAAAGACCACACAAGGCCGTGCGCTTCCGATGCAGCTTCCGATGGGGGTGTACCGTACGTCTGTACATGTGAGTGCAAAATGGGGACCTGCCTGCTGGACCGGTACGTATAGCTAGGCAATACTCGCGGCTCAGCATATCTTTTGGCCTGCTGGTTCCGGTTGTCCTGGTGCAAGGCCACGGAGATGGACAATTGCGTGGCTGCTATCAAGAAGGGTGCAGAAGCATGTCTGAGGAGGGATAGCGGATTGGACCCTTGGAATTGGAGGAACATGAAGTGTCGGGAAGGTGATCGGTGCTCTTTGCCCATTGATGTTTGAAAACTTGGGATTCGGACACATCGGAAGTCCCCGTCTGCCCATTTGGGCATGTGCCTGCCAAAGAAGACCGGCGCATGCCATGTGTATGTACAGTACGACGTGAGCAAGCAAACGACATCCCGATGACAGTCACGGACGAGCCTGCGATGCCCATGCACTTCGCTTCTACATCTAGTCTATGTTTGAGAAGGGTAGCCATGGGCTTTTCGTTCGTCTTTTAGCTGTCGTTGCGGGCCATGGGGTCGAATGGGAACAGCATCGATCGATGCCCGCCATGGACGGCCTGGTGTCGGGGTTCTATTGGAACTAAAGTCGTTGACATGGGTGCCCGGGGCAGCGACGCCAAAGCAACCTTTCTTTTCCATTCACGAATATCGGAGGTGCACGTATTACAGGACAGGCCCGTCGTGGCATCATCCCAGTGCAATGTCCTGTGCCCTGTTGCATCTGACTGACAGCAGCTGTCAGTTCCGCCCCCATTTTGAAGTCCAGGCCATTATGGCTTAACCCGAACCCAACCCCCCCACATGACCTCTACCTCGGGACGATTGACGTGCGTTGAGAGTCCGTAATTTTTTGGCCGGAGAATGCAGAGGATTGTAAGGCTAACTTAGTTCTGGTGTGGTGGGGAAGAACGTGACGGGAGAAAGGGGCTGCTCATGGTTTTCAACAAGCTGCGGGAGACAGGTGTGTTTGGAATGGGAGGTCTTGAAAACGCCACGATGGGATGCATGCCTCGGTTTCCCTGCTATGCGATGAGCTTTCCATGTCTTCCTACCCCCTCATCTATACGATAAAGGATGTCGTTGCGATACATAGATCGCGAGCTGATAAAGATATTTAATTGATTACCTTAACAACTTATTCAGCACAATATGTCTGGAGGCGTTCTTGGTTTCCCAAAAGAACGCCCGCTTCAGTCTTTCCGCTGGGGCTTTTTCGTGCACGTCATCTCCGAGGTCGCCTAGATAGTGACACCCAGAGGTCGTGTGGGGTGCGATATAGAGTTAACGCTAAAATGTCCGTAACTGGGATACCGGGGATGCTGACTCAAAGGCCATTATGGCTGAGACCCGGGGGGAGGTTTCCGTCGTCGTCGGGGGATGCCAGAACTGACAGCGAAACGACGAAAACGTACAGTACGAATAAGTGGCTGCCCGGCTGGTTGGTTGTGCTGTTTGTGATACCTTTGAAGCGGGAGACAAGAGACGCCACGATGGACATGGGTTTATGGTGTCATGGATGGGCGCTTCTGTTGCTTCGCTTCCGTGCTTTTCTTAGTTGAGAAGAAGCATTTTCCAGCCGCTGCTACGTTCGCGAAGAGAGGCGGTTGTTTATGCGAAAAGTGGGTGCATAGGGGGGAGAAATGAGGCGCACATGAATGCACATGCGTTGGGCTCCAACTGTTGTGTCCATTGGCCCAAGTTCTTAAGCGGAAGGCCGTGAACTGCAGCGCTCCATGTGCGTCTGCGAAATCTGAGAAATCTGCGAGTAGGAACATAGCGGTTCATGTTCCGCAGACTTCAAGTTCGTGAGCCTTATTACTCCTTCAGCGGATTGCGGAAGGTAAGGACCACTGGTCAACCTGCATGCATGCGCACGCCACGCTGTGACTGAGAGGGTGAAAAAGCGCACGGCACTTCCCGTAACTTGTTGCTCTTCCGGTCTTCCCGTAGTAGCTCCTCTTCCTAACGCTCAACGAACGTGCCGTGCCGCTCGCTGATTCATCTTCATCCAAGCCCTGCCTGTCGCCCTTCTCTCATAGATATCATATCAGTGAGTGGTGAGAGAGTGCTCTTACAGTATACATAGTCAGTTGAAGCCGCGGTATGTATCTCCTCCCTCGCATATGGCAGAAGGGCGCACAACAATTGACGCGGACAACAATCCTCCCTCCCTTTCTCTTCCCTCGTTCACAGGCTTCAACTTTCCAACTGCACTCTTCGGTCAGCAGCGTTACATACTCCACAAGACCCAGCCAGCTTCCGCCTCCGTGCGTTACAGTAGTTCGACTGTCCACAGCAACAACCACCACCGGCTCTATCGATATCCTACTCTATCACACGAAAAGTCCCTCGGAACTCTGTAAACCGTGGTCGTTCTCAGGCGCTCGTTTCTGCGCGCTATTCAGCTACCATCAACGAGTACTTCCAGCCTGTTCACCACAACTGCAGTGACCCATTCACCTCATCAAACTTCCTGGAGTATCTTTTGATAAGAGTATCCTGGGCAGTGAGCCAACGGCTGGGATTACTCCCAGGCTAACGGGAATAACACACCAAATTCAACACTGACGCACTACTGGACGACCCACTTCAAAGAGTTCAAATAATGGTCGGCTACTCAAGTTCCGGGGCCACCCGCACATACGCTTCCGTTGTTGTCAACGCTTCCGAGGAGAAGGATGCGGCGGTTTCGACTCCAGACTTCAGTTTCTCGGCGAAAACGGCATCCCCTAGCAATTCTCCTGCCCCATCATCCCCCATACCCATCCCTTCCCCGCTTGCAAGGGAACGCTGCCCCTATCATTTCAACTATGATGAAGCCAGCCGGCCTCGGGACGACTTCGCCCACCGACCATCGCAACGGTTTCATGACAAATATCGACGCCAGGGAGTGCATGCGGGGACGGACGGTCGGAATAACGGTTTCACTTTCGGCTTCCATACATCGCAAGAGCAGGTTGGCGAAACCGCTACGCCGCGGGCACCAGTATATACATTCTCACTGCGGGGCTTGCCATCTACGGCAAAGGACTATTTGAGTTATAGTGCAGGAGCCGTGCGGGATCGGGTGACAACGGCATGGCGAGTGACCGTGCGGCGGGTGGTGACAACAGCCCACACGGTCTTTGCCGTCACACTCATATCCGGATTTGTTGTGTTGACCCTTTATCTCTTTGTGGCGTCGTATGTCATTGCCGTGCTGTGCGCGATTGCGAAACGATTTCCCCTCGTCTTACATGCCGCCATGAGAGGGGCATCAAAGACGGCACATGTCGCATTTGGAGCAGGCGTCTTAGCGTTCAAGGCTGGCCGATCGGCGTACCATACCGCCCAGTCGATCTGGACCGACTACGGCGCGCCCTGGTACGTTCTGACTTGCTGTTGTATCTGATTTCTGGCTTGCGCTTTGAGAGTCTCTTCTAACCGCTTGGTTTCTTTCCATTCGTAGGGTGCCTACCGTAGCCCCCTTAGTACCGAAAAGGGTACAGTCCATCTTGGCCTGGAGGCCATTCGGGTTTGGTGCTGCGAGTCAGGAGGAGGAGTGTGCAGAGGAACCTAGACCGCACCTCCACAATGAGTTTTATGCGCCTTTCTCTAAGCCAGGGTGGAAAGCATCGACAAGCGGTGGAGTGCCCTGCCAGGACGACCCGGATGGCCTCCCTTCGCCGCCCGCATCCGCGTCGCCGTCTGTCACGCGCGCGTATAGGTACCCGAACCAGCGATTCACGCATCCGCACCGTCGGTCACAATCTTCAGACCCGAGCCCATCACCCACACGCAGCTTTATGGATAGCTACCACGATGGGGAAGAGTTAGAACCTTACCCGACGCCTGGATCGTCCCCGCGACCTTCAGCAATCCCAGATTTGGCAGAAGACACATCACCATCCGCAACGCCGATGAATGTTCATGTCGAAGAGGACTGTGTGGAGTCCGACCCGAACACGCATAGACCTCGTCGCCGTGCATCCGAACGCGCGTTCGATCTCGATCAAGACTTTATCGCGGAATCCGACCCAAACACGCCTATACCTCGTCGACGTGCATCCGAACGCGCATTCGATCTCGATCAAGACTTTATCGGAGAGACCGAGCCTAATACACCCAGACCCCGGCGGAGCGCTTCGGAGCGGGTATATTCAAGCAACGATCAGATAGACCACGTGTTTGTCGAACGGCAGTTCGATCTGCATGACGGGCAGCTGTGCCCCAACGTGCATGAATTCCCTGACAGCGATGACGAGGATGGGAGCGCCGGCAATCAAGGCGACATTGACGAACCGCACGGTACGGACGAACGGGGCAGTCATACGGAACGTCCGAGATCATCCCGTCGGCGAGAATGGAGGTGGTCACTTAGCAGTAGCACGGCGAGTAGTGATTACAGCTTCGATTCTGGATACGCGGAGCCGAAGGCGACCCGGGATGATACGCCCCAGTGACAGCCGGTCAGTCGTGGCCAGATGTCGCACCGTATACCCTCAACGACGCCTGGCAAGCGACACGAACCCACCGAGGACTTTTAGCGGCGAAACACCCCCCGAAACTTATTGGCAAGAGCAAAGGCGAGCGAGCGCGTAGAGCATAATGCGAGCACCACGAGACGTCGGAAGTTAGTCCCATCAGATACCCCACTCGGCGTGCAATTATCGGTGGACTACCCGTCACCCACCCATTAGACACGGTCGTCCGAAACATCCAGTCGGCACTCATGAACACTCGCCTGCGATACACGGAGAAGCATTCGAACTGCAAGCATCAGACGGGCAGTATGGCGTCGATCAGACGTCCTATGTTAGCCTATCGTCGTCAACGCCCGGAAGCCCAGACCACGCGTCGACCGTCTTGCTTTGGGCGTTCCCGTGTACATACAACTCCATGCTCCTGCCGCACCGTACCGCTCGCTGCCTTGTCGCTCATGGGTCCCGACACACCCCATCATATACCCATGCCTGCTTCGCTCGTTCGCCGCGTTTCGTTACGATCTGCTATCTGCTGTCAGGGAATACCACCCTCGCCGTCTGCTCGTCATCCTATCAGCACCACATCCACACGATCTCGCAACATCATCGATCTCCTCATGCTACCACATCTCATCGCAGCCCGCACGCGCAGAAGTCGTCCCACCACCACCGGCACACGAAACTACCATAACCTAGCCCATCCTAGCCCCTATAAACTCTAGCCTCACCCTATCATGAGATGACTCCCCCCCTCTCATCTCATCACCGCGTACCTCATCTTGCTTGTCCTGCCCTGCCCCGCCCTGCTCTGATCGTTTGCTGCTCGTCCCCCCCAGTATTGTTAACATCGTTTTTGAAGTCCCCAGTTTTAGTCCCAGTTTCCCCCCCCCCCTCTTTTTTTGTTGTTTCGGTGGGTTTTTGTTCCCCTTTTCAAAGATGAGTTTGGCGGTAATCAAAGGTCAGAACGTAAAAAAATTCGTATGATTGTTGTGGCGGGTGTTGTGGAAGGGGTTTGGGATAGGTTCGCGGGGTGTACGGATGATCCGCCCGGAGAGCCAAGACACCGCCCGACGGATGAAACCACCCACAGGGAAGATAGAGTAAAGTCACACCGCAAGCTGGGGTTCATCGACCATACACATTCTTTCACGACTTCACAAAACGACGTTCATTTATACATGAACATGGAAACATGCTACATACATACATCTACGATCGGCCTTTGGGGGCGTCTCGTCAACATGGATGCATTGGTGCCTGGTGGGTGCGGATTTCACGGGACGGGGTATGGGATCTCCCTCCGGCCAGTTCGCCGGGCTGGTCGGTAGGCCCCCTCTCCGTTGGAAGGCGGTGGTGGGTGAGGAGCCGAACGCGCCATAGAGGCGGCCGCACGGTCCGATTCGAGAGACGGGTCGGAGAAACCGTCGGATTGGGAAACCGGGCAGGCGAGTGTTTACGCAGTGTTCGGCAGCGGTACGATGGCATCCATCGGCGTGGGCCGTTGGGTCGACGGGTCCAATCGGGCTCGTATCGCGCGCTCCCTTCGTGGATGTAGCCGTACACGTAGCGTTGAAGCGTTTCGTGATTGATGGGGATTGAGCGAAGAGGGGGGGGGGGGTTGCATACGCCCGAAATCCTGCCCATCGCGGCACACATACAGTACGCCCCGTCCATCAATGCAACGGTCGCAATTCCGCTTGACGCATCTACCACGCCCCTCCCTACCTCCCCCGACTCCCACCGACACCCCCACCCCCACCCAACCGTCCAATATCCCCCTCAACAGTCCCGATAGCCCTCATCACATCCGCATACGCGCTGACAATGCGACTAAACTCATCCCCGGTTCCGACACCGGCGTAGGTCGCGAGTTGCGCGTCGAGGTGGTGGAGGCGAGTTGTTAGGGTTGTGCGGGTTTGGAGTAGGGTTGCTCTGTGGGTTTGAGAGGGGGGGCGTGGTTAGGGGGAGAGTGGGAGGGCGAAGGGGTTTGGAGGGATATACCTGGTGGCTTTGAGGTCGTCTCCTTGTGGGCCGGTGGAGATCGCGAGTATGATTTCGGCTTTCAGGCATCTGTATACGGGAACCGAGAAGCACCCGTCAGAATAAGGTAAGAGGGAGGTAAAGCTTGGGGGGACAGCATTTTTCGCAATTACCTCATCTTCAACGACGCATTCTTGACAATAGCCGCAAAATACTCCATAAAGGTCGCCTGTTTCTCTGGCTCCACGCGACACTTGTAGTCCGCTACGAGGCGCCACAGTGTGTCGATCGTTTTCGCCCATGTCTACATGGCCGGCGGGGGTATTCACATGATTGAGTAAAGCGCTGCAGAGGAGATGTAAGGGAGATAGCGGACGTACATTTAGATACAGGTCGCATTCCAGCGCAATCCGGACACGAAGGGTCAGCGCCTCTTTCTTTTTCTCAGCGATGCGGCGTTTTTGGGCTATGACGCGTGCGCAGAGTTGGCGGGCTTTTGCGGCGTCTAGTTTCGGGTCTGGCGGGAGTGTCAGACGTGATATATGACATCCGCGGGTACTCGAGTGCTGGGGAAGGTAGGCCTCACCAGCAGACTGCTTCCCGTACAGACTTCTGGATAGTGTTTGACAGGTTGTCGAGAGTCGTTGCTCTACCTTACTCAAAAGCATTTGTCTGAGCTCGTCAGGCACCTAAGCAGGGAGCCAGACCATACCATCTTAGGAGCAATATCGCAAATCAAGTCATTCCGCCCTCCTCACATCCACATCCCCCGACACCATGTGCGACTCAACGAACCTGCTGCACCGCCCGTCTATGCTCCAACGCATCCCACTGCTCCTTATCCATCCCTAGCAGGGTAGGTGCCTCCTCTTTATCTCCATTTTTCGACCGTTCATCGCCTGTATGACCCCCCGGACTGAGCTGATGTCGTGTTTCCGCTGATATCAAGAGCCGACTGAGAGGTTCCCAGAACTGGTTTCGCCGTAAGAAAAGGGATGAAAGGGGGACGGTCAATCATTCGCTATGTGGCTTGGCATGAGATGCAGGAGCCATCGCCCATGCTCGTGGCTCTCCCTTGTCTAATACTCCCCGTTATCTCCCCCCACAGCTTGCTTACCGTAGCCTTATCCCCAGCCCCAAGAGACGCGTCCTCATCGTCGGAATCAGCCTCAAGAAGAATATCTGTAGCTGCGTTGTACAGGATTTGCTGTTCGACGTATCGGCGTTTCGTTTCTGTAAAGTCTTCCGACTACATATTGAGCAAGTTAGCAGTTGGTTCGTTATGTAGAATGCGAATATATGGGGCTCATACCTCGGGAACGGTGGGTAAGTCGTGGGTTATGAGCTCGACAAGGACGTTGGCTGGGTCTGTGGTGGGTGCGGCTGCGGACAGCATCGCTCTGCGGGGGTTCTCTACGGCTTGTCAATGGTGCTCTCAGGTCACGACCATGCTCAGGCGAGAGAACATGTCCGCCAATGGCCGGCCCCTCGCGCGTTCCCCTTCGGACATCTCATCTGGGACATCTTGCCCGTCCACTCCATCGAGCCCTCCAGCGCTCTGCATGCCCTTCATTCCCCTCACACCCCTCCGCATCCTCCCTTCGTCAGCATTCCACTTCCCCTCGTGTCCAGAATGCCTCGTCAAACTGCAAGACGCGCCCCAAAGCGATGACAGCGTCCTTGTCTGTCCGCGCTGTCGGAACAGTTTTCCAAACAGTGCTGGGGATGCGCTGGATGCGGTGCCCCGACGGTATAGGCTGCAGATGCTGGCGGGGTGGGGTGATGTAGTCAAGAAAGGTAAGAGCTATGCTTCACATCGGTCCAAGCAAGATGAAGCTGAGTTTAAAAAAACGGTTCGTCTACAGTAACCATCTTCGGCGACACCCTCGAATCCCTCTTGGGCCTCCCCGCCTCCTCGTTCCACCACCTCCATCCACCCAGCGCACACGCAGCCGTCCACGCCATCCTCTCGCATATCATTCTCGGATCCCGCTTGAGCGTATCCGTCTCGCCCCGGTACATCACAGACCTCGTCTCAAAACCCACATCGAAGGATACCGCCCTGCGCGCCCTGGATGATGCGCGGACGGTTGGGGAGTTGGTTGCGGGGCTTTCGTCGAAGGAGGGGAGAGAGGCAAGGGAAGTTGGGCTGGTGCCGGGGGAGCTGGTGGTGGGGGAGATCGGGAGCGTATTGGGTGTTTGTGGGACGGTTGTCGGGATGTTGGCGGGGGAGGTCAAGTATGAGGAGGTGCAGGAGGGCCTTCTTCACGGCGAACCGAGCAGGGAGGTGAATGAGGGCTTCACTCAAAGCCTCCCTGTTTCGGACATGTACTTTGCGGACGACTTTGATGCCCACCTTGAGGACGTATCAGCGGGATACGTCACGACCATCCCCCCGTTCGAGTTCGAGGACATCACCCTTGAAACGTTATGCGGCTGGGCTCTTCCCTCCAACCCACCACTTACTTTCCCTCCACCCCCCTCTGACCCCGAAACCGACTCCCCACCCCCCCACCACGAAGACCCGGATATCCCATCATCCCAACTCTCCCTCATCGAACCCATGTGCCCCAGTTCCAACATTCCGCCTACACAATCCAATACCCAGCAAACCCTCACAACCCTCCTCGGAGACCTCTCCTTCGACGAGTTCACGGGTACATGGCGGTCTCCATCACAACCGACCACCCATCCCTCCCGCACCACCGTTTCAGATCCGAATGAAGAGGCGGATATAGCTGCGTTATTCGAAGGTCTGACGTTCCAAGACAGTGATTTTGATTTTGATATGGATTTGGATCAGATGGATGAGAACGGGGTCGGGGGTGATGAGGAGGGAGGGGGTTCGCAGGATGAGATGGTTGCGAGTGCGGCGGGTGCGCATGGGCTTCGTAGTCGGCGGGTGGACGAGGCTGAGAGACCCCAGAACCTTGTTGCAACCGACGTGTTGGACGATGACTCGGATGACGAGTTGATTGAGCTGCTGGAGGGACTTTCTGTTTACCAAATGCTGTGAATCTCACGAAAAGACATAGACTGCTCTGAGTCCGTGTAGATGGACGATACCCAAAGGACTGATTGTATATAGTAGACAACACTCGAAATAGAATCCCCCGGCCATAGACTCCACCCGACCACCGTTCCAAACCCACAACACACACTACAAAGCGCCCAACTTCCTCAACTCAGCCTCCATCGCATCACTCTGCGCCTGCGCCTCCGCAACCTCCTTGATATCCCTCCCCTTCCCCGCCTTCTTCCCTTTCTCCTCCTTCGATCTATCCTTCCCGCTATTCGCGCCACCCAACGAAGCCTGCCGCATGATCCCCTTATAAGCCTCCGCGTCCTGCTCCGCCGCGCTCAATCTCTTCGCCTTTTTTGCGTCACCCTTCCGTTCGTCTGGTTTCGCTGTCTTATCCGATGTGGCGGGTTTGGCGATACCGTCGACCTCGGAGACCGCAGCCGGGGTCTTGTTGTTGGTCGCGACGACACCCGCGGCCGCGCCGGCGTCACCACCCGCGGGGACATCGATGAGCGTGTCGGTGGATTGGGAGACCGGCGGGGGGAGTTTGCTGTGGGGGGTGGGTCCTTTTGCTAGTTTTTCGAGCATTTTCTTTGTGGGGGGATGGGTTTGAGCTGCGCTCCGGTGTACAGGACTGGAGAGGGTAGGGAACGAAAACGCCGTCAGCCCTTCCTTCTTCGACCCCCCTCCTGCCAACATCGTAGCCCCAAATTACCTCCGATTTCAAGTATGTTGTGAAGCAGCGAGCGCCTGGTTTGGTTTCCCAGCTCGGTTCGGTAGAGCGTAGATTCGTAGTTCTGCGTACCGCTTCCGAGAAGGAGTGGGGACTTTAGACGCCCCTCGGCACCCGCGTATGGCATCCCGTATGCGGGAAGCCAAGGAGTTTCCATCGTCCATCCATAATAGCGCACTTCTTGGGTGAGGTTAAGGAAGTGTCAGCCCGGGCAAGGTGGGGTGGGATGGGGGACGTTGATCTGTCTTTGAAGTGGGTGGGATAATATCAATTTCGGCTGTCTTTGAATCCTTTGACGGGGTTTTTGACAGGGCCGCGCGGTGTCGAATTTGTTGAACGGGGAGACGCGGATTCGGCAATCGACAAGTCAGCGAAGGGCAGCAAATTCCGTCGGGCAAGTTGCAACCAACATTCCTCTCCTGTGACTCCCCACGAAGCAGCCGTCGCCATCAAATATCAGACGCTCCTCGAGAAACTATGCCATTATACACAAAAAAAAACTACGTCTCAAAATCCCTACCCAGATCCACACGCCGCGCCTACTTCCTAAACCTTATCACTACGCGCACTCCTCCTTCGCTCCTCACTTCTTCCCCCCCTTCTCAAAAACCTCAACAAACCTCGACCGGCCCCCGCTAAACGGGACCCCGTACTCCCGCTCCAAAACCCCGCACACCTCCTTCACTTTGTTCCCCTGCACCATCACTTCGTACGTCGGGTGGGCGTTTGCTTTGCCGGGGAGGGGCGATACTGGAAAAGTCATATAACGCGTTAGTCACATAATCGTAGTGGGAACGAGGGAGGGGGGGGGGGGGGATTGTTACGCACGTGAGGTACTAGAGGCACAAACGCCCCTCAAAACCCCGGCAAACGTTTCCGGGTCGACCCCAAACCGTTCCAAACCCACGACCTTCGTCACCATCTTTCTCCCCTGGCGCTGTTCGGTTGTTATTTGGAGGGGTTTGAGGGGGCCTTTGCGCAGTTCTGTGACGGACCCTTGCGGGGAGGCGGGGAGGTTGAGTTGGTGGAATTGGGGCATTTGGTTTCTTAAGCGGGAGACGATTTCATCGCGGGGGAGGTAGTCGATTGTGGTGTATTCGTGTTTTTGGAGGATTGTGTCGCAAAGGGTTGGGTCGATTTTTACCATTCTATATGTGAGAGAAATTGTCAGTCCGGGCGGCAAAGCTATAGATTGTGAAGGGGTGATAGCCGCAACATACCTTGGATTAACATCATCCACTAAACCCTTAGCCGAAATATACTCCGTCACAGCCGTCCGAATATCCGCTGCCGAGTACACATCATTCTTGCTATACACGTTCCTGGTCAGCACCGTACATTTCCTCGCTATCGAGAAATCCGTCGTCATCCACCCTATCACCTACCTCCCACCCACTTCCTCAAAGAACCTCAGCTCCTTTTGGGAGGGTTTGAAGAACTCTGTTATTGAGATGATTTGATTGATGGATGGTGGGGCGGGGTTTGTTCCGTTGGAAGACCCGGGGGCGGGTCCGGTTCCGGTGGATGTTGTTTGGGAGTCCTTTTTCTTCTCGTCTCGTGCAATTTTACGTGGTGCTTCGAACTCCTTTAACCTACACCACGACAGTCAGTCCCAACGAGCAGATTTTCGACCCAACCCGAAAATGGTACGTACAAAGGATGCACCCCATTAACACCCACAAGCAAGGTCTCTCCGCCCCGTTCCTTCAACTTGATCAACCCCCTTTTCTCCATCGCCTTCAGAAATTTGCCCACTTTCTTATAGCTCGACTGTTTGATGTCCAGGTGCGTGCCGCGTGGGCGGGAGGGCATAATGTGGTTCGCGTACAGGATGCTGGAGGGCATGGGGAGGGTTTTGGAGTCGGTGGGGAGTGTTTTGAGGGCGGTTAGGAGGGCCGTTGAGAGGAGGGTGTCCATCTCTGTGTGTGGGGTGGGGTGAGTTTACAAGAAATGGTTTTGCGTGAGGGTGGTGAGAGCAACTCACCTGCTGGTGTGAGCTGTGGTATCGAGGAGGTGTCGTCTTCATCGGCGGCTTCGGTGTGGTTTGGTTGGGTAGCCTCGTCGTCTGGGACGCTCATGGATAGGCTCCGCACGCTGTCTGTCACAACGTCCACGTTCACTGGTGTGCTCATTCCCGAATGAGGATATGATATCTCGCTCCAACTTCCGCTCGTATCCGCCTCTAAGATTGAATCAAGATCTCAGACCCCCTCCCGAGCCTTCCGAAAGCTGAGACAACGTCCACCCACCATCTACCGGATCTGGCGGGGTCGACTTATCCCCGCTCGCCCATAATGTATCTCCAAAAGTGTGCAAAATATGCACGCCCTTCCCTCGCATGGCATAGTTGCTCTTTTTTATCTCGTCGCTGGATATCGCCATGGTTCCTACGGCCATCGGCATCCTACAGGAGACCACATAAGTCTCAAGCCCAAAGTATTCAAAAGTTCATTTCGATATCCACTCACAGACTCCCTCGGACTGTAATCGAGACGATATCGCCGTATTGCAGATCCCCGAAGCCTTCGGCTGGTATTATCACTCCAGGTAGCATCAGATCTGCGAGTGGTGAATCATCAGCTTCACCATGCGATCAGGGGGCGCGGTTGCGCAGAGCCATCTGAAGCGCACCTGCACCATCAAACAACTTGTGTAGGACCGGGCCGTGGGTCATTATCGATGGTAACATGTTTGGGACCGTCCATAGCGCGTATACTGTGCGCAAGTTGCAATGCGTCACTCATACGCGTCGAAGCTTGGTGGAGCAGATCGCATCGCAGCCAATGCCCGTAAGCCTTCATACCTGTTGGGAAAAGGTTCCCGTCTAAGTCTTTCCATAATATCGGCTGCCCTTTTATCGATATCAGAATTCCCTGTTCTCCTAAAGTACAATTGACGATGGGCAAATGGGCCTCCCTGTGAGTATTCGGGTACCTAAGTAACCCACATCCCCCAGGACTTTCCGCCCATGCTATTCACCTGAATGAGCAGTAAACTTCACAGACGTGACGTCGGCCCCTCCTCCGTCTCCAAACAGCTCTGCGATGCGCTCCTCTGTGGATGCGGGATAAGCAGCCAGTAGTTCTGCGCGCAGTTTCCTCCTATCTGAGGAGCGCAACTGGGACTCTGTCTTTGTTGCGAAAGGTTTCCGGAACATTGTTGAGTGTATGGGTGTCGTTGTCCTGATCTCGACAGGAACTCCAGAGGAAACCTGCAGTTGGCATTGCGTTTGGAGTTCTTTGGCCGTCCGTACATGACCGCTCGGGTCCTAACCCTAACCCCGCCGCCTCACTTCAGTGCAGTTGCTGCAGTACGTAAGCGGGCTCGTTCGTTGCGCGCAGTCGCAAGCCACATCTTACAACAAGCGCGCACCCCTTCCCCATGACATCATTGTCGGCCGCAATGACGCTTCATCCCCCCCCGCAACTTGCACCTTCGATTCCCTTGTTCCCCCCCCCCCCCCCCAACTCACTGCATCCTTATTAACCATGACCCTAATCAAAGTGGGACATATCGGCGACTTCTTTCCTCTATATAAGTGTCTGCGGTGGAGGCGCAACCCTTGCTGGTCCCCCTGACCTTTCCTCCCAGCTGGCACTTTCCCGCCCAACTCATGTCGTCGCCATCTCACCCTGCATCTGCCATGTCTATTTGGGGGTGTTATTTCGGAGGCGCTTCCCATACCGCGATGGAATGGATCGGATTGATGTCGTCAACTACGGGTTGTGAAAGATATAAAATGCCCGAGGGTCCCTGCATCGCTCGGAGGTTTCTTGCAGCACATCTGAGAAGCCCTACATAGATTTTTCCAACCACATCACATCCATTCATCAGCATCTGATTCCAGTATCCCTTCATACGGCCGACTCCATATTTCATCGGTGAGTGCCAATCAGCCGCCCATCGTTCGCGGCGACAGGAAGTGCGATGTCCGCTATGTAGTTGAGACATGGATTTGAGCTTGAGAGAGGGTGCTGGCAAAGTTGGCATCGCACAAAAACGCGTCGACCCACCAAGGAAAGCGGCGTCGCCCGCACATAGCACAAGTTATATGAATCTTGGTGGACGCTGTCTAAAACCGGGGGATTGAGCTGCCCAGATTCCCCACAACATGGATGCGATGGCAATCGATAATTGGCAGGATATGGCTGAGAGCCGAAGGATGGAAAAGTTGAGGGGAAGGAGAGGGAAGGAGATGGAGGAGAACGTTCAACGACGGGCGGAACGGCCATCGATGTGTCACCTCGTTAGATCTGTGAGCGCAGCTTTGCCGGAGGTCTCTCATCAGCAAAGGATGGGAAAAGTTGAAAGTTGTTGGCGTTGATGTTGAAGGAGCATTTGATGATGATGATGATGATGATGATGGGGTTGATTGTCATTGCCACCCGGGGGCCCGTGGGTAATAGTCTTGCGCTGCCCCCTGGCCTGACTGTCGTAATGGCCTCATGGGGCGTTTTCCGCGTAGGACAAGGCCAAACCACCCACCCGCCCGCCCATAACTGACAGTCATACTGTACTTTCCTTTATGATATATAGGGGCAAGCAGAGAAGCAGAAAAAAACAACGAACTCCTTCAGGGACCGTCTGCCTGCCTTCTTCCCCCTGAACAAGAGCAAGCCCTGCTCCGCGCCTTCCTCTTTCTCTTCGACAAACGGTTTCCTGAATCGCCGAGCCCCACTGGAGCCCGACATCTCTGGTAAGATGACCCCATCTTGCACTCCCATCGTCTACGTCATCCTGCCGAGATGGTCCCACGTTCTAACCCTCTTGTTTTGCACCATCTTCTGCTCGTAGTGCTGATCTCCAGCAAAACCACCCCCATTTTCACGATCATCTGATACACATTGCATCCCTATAATCTGAAAGCCCCCCAAAAAAAACAGCTGCCACAATGGCCGACAACAAGCAGGACATCACCAAGCCTCTGCTGTTCGAGATCGCGTGGGAGGTCGCCAACAAAGGTTCGTCTTCGAGTCCTTATGCACACCGGTAGAGAAACACGAGCGAGAGGATAGAATCACCTTATGGCTCACTTGAATACTGGCTCGTTGTTATACTTCATTCTTACCTCCCACCCATTTTTTTGCAAATAGTCGGCGGAATCTACACGGTCATCAAGTCAAAGGCGCCAGTAACATGTAACGAATACGGCGACCGCTACTGTCTCATCGGGCCTTTGTCCTACAAGACCGCCCCGATGGAAGTCGAGGCGGTCGACAAGCCGCAATCCGAGGCCATGAGAGTGACCCTGGAAAACTTGACGGCACGCGGCGTCAAGTTCCTCTACGGCCGCTGGCTGATAGAAGGCGCCCCCTACGTTCTGTTGTTGGATGTCAGCAGCGCGTACCACAGGATGAATGAGTGGAAGAGCGATCTCTGGACCACGGCGGGGATTCCTAGCCCACCGAACGACAGGGAGACGAACGAGGCTATTGTTTTCGGATACCTTGTTGCATGGTTTTTGGGAGAGGTGTGTAAATTGTCGGGCTCTGATCGGTTTGCAGAGTGGTCGCGGATCTAATTCTTCCACGCATTCCAGTTCCAACACCAACAACAACATCATGCCTCTCTGCCCGCGTCCGAGGTCAACGAGAAACGCCCCGCGAACACAAGACCCGCAGTCATCGCCCACTTCCACGAATGGTTGGCGGGCGTCGCCCTCGTTTTGTTGCGAAAACGGAATATGAACATCGCCACCATCTTTACCACCCACGCTACCCTGCTGGGACGATACCTTTGCGCTGGTGATGTTGATTTCTACAACAACCTGAAGTTCTTTGACTGCGACGCTGAGGCTGGCAGAAGAGGAATCTACCACCGTTACTGCATTGAGCGAGCTGCGGCGCATTGCGCGGACGTCTTTACGACAGTGAGTCACATCACTGCTTATGAGGCTGAATGGCTGCTGAAGCGAAAGCCAGGTTCGTTATCCCGAGACGCAATTCTGTCTACCTTCGTTCTCCATGCATGTCTCGGAGCACCTACTCATATCCATCGTTCACAGACGGCGTCACTCCCAACGGTTTGAACGTGGTCAAGTTCAGTGCCCTCCATGAGTTCCAGAACTTGCACGCCAAGGCCAAGGAAAAGATTCACGAGTTCACCCGCGGTCACTTCTACGGCTATAACGACTTTGATCTGGACAACACGTTGTACTTTTTCACCGCCGGCCGTTATGAGTTCCGCAACAAGGGAGTGGATATGTTTATTGAATCTATGGCTCGTATGTTTCTTGATGATATTGCAATTGATGGATTGGGGGGAACGGCCGGCCTAACATTTCTCCTTTTGTCTTCTTGAAGGCTTGAACGCACAACTCAAGCACATCAACTCGCCCATCACGGTCGTAGCCTTTATCATTATGCCTGCGAGCACACACAGCTTCACTGTGGATGCATTGAAGGGACAGGCTGTGATGAAGCAGTTGAAGGATTCCGTGACTGAGATCCAGAACTCGATTGGACAGCGCATCTTTGAGAATGCTGCAAGGTGCGTGATTGTACTGCGGGCGCCCGTTGATGCGGATGAGTGACCAACCTAACTTATGTCTTTTCTCAACCAACAGAGGAAAGATTCCGGACTCCTCCCTCCTAGTCACCGACCAAGACTTTGTCCTCCTCAAGAGGCGCATCTTTGCCCTCAAGCGCGACACTTTACCCCCCATCGTGACGCACAACATGGCGGACGACGCGACCGACCCAATCTTGCACCAGATGCGTCAGGTCAAGCTGTTCAATGCGCCGGAGGACAGGGTTAAGATGATCTTCCACCCCGAATTCTTGAGCTCCAACAACCCGCTTTTGGGGATGGATTATGAGGAGTTTGTTAGAGGGTGCCATTTGGGAGTTTTCCCTAGTTACTACGAGCCATGGTATGTGTCGCGAATCGGGTTGATACATGTTTCTTGAATTCAATCCACGTGTCGAAACACGACTGACGCATTTTTTTTCCGCACCATTAGGGGATACACTCCTGCCGAGTGCACGGTCATGGGCGTACCCTCCATCACGACCAACCTCTCCGGCTTCGGCTGCTTCATGGACGAGATGATCTCGCACCCGCCAGACTACGGCATCTATATCGTGGACCGTCGCCTGAAATCCATCGAAGAGTCCTGCCAACAGCTCGCAGACTGCATGATGGAGTTCTGTCAAAAGTCCCGCCGCCAACGCATCAACCAACGCAACCGCACCGAACGCCTGTCGGACCTCCTCGACTGGAAACGCATGGGCCTCGAGTACGTCAAGGCGCGCTGGGTCGCCGTCCGCCGTAAATGGCCCGACGCCGTCGCCGCCTACGAGAACTCGCACCACACGGAATCCGACCAGGATGAGTACGGGCACGGGAACCGGACCGGCGAGTTGCAGTACGGGTACGAGAGCGACGCGAACCCCTCGGGTCTCCAACGCGACGATTTGACCAATCTGAAGTACCACCAAAAAGTGCCCCGCCCCGCCTCGGCCCCCGGCAGCCCACGCATTCGTGAACACTTCCATGACGAGGACGACGGCACCGCGGGCCTGTTTGAGGGAACCGATGGCGAGCGGCTGGATGCCGCCGGGCTTATCGAGGGGTTGAAGGCGTTGGGAGTGCGTGGGACCTCGGCGAGCTACATTCCCCCGGAGGGCGATCGGGTCTCGTCCAACGAGGCATTGAACGCTAATGACCATGGACGGAAGTAGTTGAACATTCTCCCCGGTCCTGCTTGCGTTGGTCTCCCCCCGCCTGGTAGCTAGCTAGCTACATTGCTTATTGTTGTCTCGACCCACCTACTTTTGTTGCCGATTTTCCCCCCCTTCTGCACCGCTGATTCGCATTCCCCCGGTTATCGTTTGAAACGCTTTCGGGATGAGGGGAGAGGGGGCGCATTCCTTTCTGTGTGTGTGTGTCTGATTCCCGTTGGTTGCCCCGTGATTGCTTCTTTGCTTTCGAATAAGACTCTCTTTTTTCTTTCCCTTTTTCAATTGGCTGCTGCTTTACTGGGTCTGGTATTTTGGCGTCTGATGAGTGCGGTGTTGAACTGGATATGGGCTACGACTGTACATCAGCTTGTTTCTGCTCCAAATCCGTTTCCATATCCTCCCAAAAAGAACAAACTCCAAGAAGACTGAAAAAAGAAACAGAGAGAGCCGGATTGCAACAATAGAACAGTGGACCATCAAGGCCCGGCCGGCATCAGTACTATTCCAAATCCTCCACCTTACATCTGTGGTATGTACAGTACATCATCCTGACCATTTCGGGCACAGAGATCTCGAACCCTCGCAGCAGCCGCTACATCCCGCCCACCGCCGCACACCACTCCCCAATCTCCGCCACAACGCCCTCCACCATCTCGAGCCCCTCCCGTCCCCGTCCCACAACCGCCTTCAGCTCCGCCCGCACAATCCACATCCCCCGCTGGCCTCGCGTGACCCGGATCAGCGCCGCGCACCACGGCCGCGTGGGCTCGGTTTCGCTATCCCCCTGAACCGTCCGACGGCCCGCATCCACCCACCCCCAGAATGTCGCCGCGCCGTCCACACCCTCAACGACCCCCATCCGGACGCGTCTCCCCACCCGCGCCAGAATCTCATCGGCGCCCCAGCCTGGTCTCAGCTTCGCGATATGGAATTGGGTCGTTGAGGTGTGGACCTGCGCTTGTTGGAGGGATGCGTTGGCGAGGATGGTTGCGAATTCCTCGGGAGAGGGTGGGGTGATCACCGAGGAGGCGGGCAGGAAGTTGGTGGTGGAGGGTAGGACCAGAGTCGCAGCCCACCCCGCCCTCGCCAGCCCACAGGTGAGATGTAGCGTTTGGGGTGTAGCCAGGTACGGTGGGTCGTGGGCACGGGGGAGGTGGATTGTTAGGGTTGTCGTGTGTGCCTGAGTAGGGGTGCGGGGGAGGTGTATATCGCCCAATGGTGCTGTCACGGCGCCCGAGTCTGATGAGAGTGTGAGGTTGGGTAAGGTGATGGGGTGGGGGGATGTGTTGGTGAAGCGGAGGTGGACGTGGATGGGAAGTGGGGCGGTGGTGGATTCCGTGTCAGCACGTTCCCAGTCGTAGCTGACGGCGATGGTGTCGTCGCCGCCTATGTCTATCCAGTCCCTGGGTTCTTCGGGTTCGGGTTGTGTTGGGGTGGGAAGGTGGTCGGCACCCGTGGCCGTGTCGCCGACGGATAAGGCGGGGGATGCGACACGCTCGTAGGGTGCGTCAATGTCGATGCCCCTGCCTGCGTACAGCTGGGATTTGTTGATGTGGGCTGGGGACGACGGTCCCGACGCCGCGGTGGGGGTGGCGGGGGTTGATGTCGACGTAGGCGCGGGGTCAGCGATCGTTACAGGTGCCTTCTTCTTCTTGATTTTCTTAACCGGTTCCACCCCTACGTCCTCCTCATTCACAGTCTTCTTTTTCTTCTTCTTTACCAACCCCGAATCAGCATCCCCTCCCTTCTCCTTCTTCTTCTTCTTCATCTTCACACCTCCACCACCTTCCTCTCCCACACCCTTCTTAACCCCCCCAACCTTCTTCCTCACAACCAGCAACTCCCCCGTCGTATTCTTATCAGGAGCGGGCGGCGGGGGCGGGAAATCCCTCGGCTCCATAACATCAAACTCCCCATCAGCGCCAGCCGTCAAATCCACGCTCATCACCGCTTTCGTAATCTCATCCACATCCGCGTTCAGTGGGCTCTCGCGGTCATCGTCTCCCGCCGCTGGACCGTCGGGCATCTCCCCGCCGCGGTTGATGTTGTATGATTTCTGTGGTTGTCTTGATGATGATGAGGAGGGGGGACCAAGGAGGTCGTCAGCGCGGGTGGATTTGCCTTTTTTGCTTTTCTTGGAACGGCCCGTTTCGATTTCGCCAAAGGAGAGGGGCGGGAGATCTAGCCGGACGATGGGGATCTCGTTCACATCGATATCATCGTACAGCGGTTGTTGTTGTTGTTGTTGTTGCCCGCCGCTGGGGATATAGTACGGATCAAATTTCTGGCGTTCACGACGTTCGGCGCGTTTGCGGTCCGCGTCGGCTGGTGAGTCGGTGTTACTGTCAAATGTTCCCCCACCGCCGCCGCCGCTGGGTTTCTCGCCCCAGAAATCTGTATCGTCTACATCTTCGACATTGCTGCTTTCTTCGACCGGTTCGGGCTCCGGCTCGAAGATCCACGCGTCCAAATCTAACCCTTCGGGTACCGGTACGCGTTTCTGGGCTTTGGAGGCGACAGGGTTGAGTTCACCCTTGAAGAGGGTGTGTAACTCGGTGAGCACCAAGCCGCGTTGCTGCTGTGTCGAATCTCCAGGGGTGTGTGTGCAGTGGCGGTGGACCAACTGGATGATTTCAAAGACCTCGCAAGCCCGTTCTTGCACTTCGAGGTCAGCGGCCGTGCGGAAGGGTGCGAGGGCGGTGAGCAGTTCCGAGGTTGTCTGGCCAAAGGTTTCGGCGTTCAGTGGCGTTGTTGCGGGTGAATCCTCAGGCGTTTTCTGCAGATCAACCGCCCAATGGGCGTACAGCTTCAGCGCATTCTGCAAAAACACAGCCTGCACCACCGGGGGCAACGCCACAACACCGCGCGCCAGTAACCGCGTAATCAACCCCGACGGATCATCGACATGGCCCCTAAACTCGCCACAGATCCACGCAGCAGCCCACAGCACCGCGGCGTTGTTCTTCTCCAGCTGCGTCGCGGAGAGGAGCAGGGTATCGTCCATCAACAAGTCCCGCATGGCCGCCACCGCAAACTCTCGAACTTCCGGTACACGCACAGTGACGTTCACCAATTGCTGCGCGACGGCGTTGCCCACGTCCACGCCGCGGGTGAGCCGAACCATGTCGACGAGGGTGGTGAGGTACCACTCGAAATCGGTGATGTTGGCGTAGGTGTCCTTTGAGCAGATGTCGATGATGCGGGTGAGGACGCGGGTGCGGTCGGATGCGTCGAGGATGGAGGGGGCGAGCGAGGGGGGTGGGAAGGAGGCGGCGGGTGGGCTGCGTTGTTGTTGGTGTTTGGGGACTGTCAGGACTTGGCCCATCAATTTGCGCACTATTTGCATCAGATTGCTTTGGGTTACCTGTGAAGGATAAGTATGAGTCGGATCGGACCACAAGCGACGGATTACGGCATTTTTCAGGATGTGTCATGTGTCACTCACCATCCCAGTAACAATATCAAGCGCCCTCATCCTAATGCTAACATCCGCATCATCCAAACACGCCAAAATCGTGTCCCGATGCTCAATCACCGCTTTCGGGCGCACAGCAAGCAGCTTCCAAAGCGCATACAGTCCCAAATACTTCAAATTCTGATCCGGCTCCTCAATAAACAGCTTCAACTTGCTCGTCAAAAGCCGCGCAAGCGCCTGATCCTGCGCCTCCTCCTCCCCGCCTTCAGTCTCGGGTCCTATCATCCCGCCGACGATCACGGTGTGGATGCATTCGTAGAGCAGAGACATGGCGGAGGTGGATTGGATCAGGTTGGTGATTTGCGGACGCAGCTTTTTGACGAGGCGCGGTTCTAAGGGGGTTAGGGCTGCGAACTGGGTGGAAGAAAGGGGTTTTCAGTATCGCCCGACCAACGAGGTGAGAGAACGCGTTTGTGAAGAGTGGGCAAACGAACCAGTTTGATGATCTTGATCAGCATCCAGTTGTTGGTGGAGTTTGTCAGGAGACCGTACAGGCTTGGCGCGAGGTTGAGATAGCTCTTCGGGTTCCGTCTTGCGAGCTCGCATATCACGTTCACAGCCGCCGACACCACCGCTGTAGAGATGTCCAAAATGTCAGATCTCCTCCCTCCCTAAACGAGCATTTTCGATCTGTTTGCAAACGCGGCCGCACCTGGATCAGGATCATCCAATTTCTCCTTAAGCCTCGGAAACGCCAGCCGCAGCGCTTCGGGGTACTTCAAAAACACGCGATAGAGTACCAGAATCACTCGTTTGCGGATATAAGGTCGCGAGTGGTTCATCATGGCGATCAAGTCGGGGGCCAGGTCACGGCCGAGGTCGGGGGTTACGATCGAGGCGAGGCCGTGCAGGGCGAGAGCGGATTCGTGGTAGCTGTTGGAGGACAGGTCCTGCAACATGTATCCACCGTGAGCATGTACGTTCAAGCGATCAGTTTGGCTCTCTTTCGCAAATACCTTCTTGATGAGATTAGTACAAAGCATCAACACATCCGTATCCTGCTTGAACGATACAGAGGCAGCTTGGTACCCGAGCCGCTTGTACTGGATCTTTGGCGAGGACATGACCTCGATGACGTGAAAGGAGGCCCATGCCATGTCGTAGCCGTGCATATGCAGCTGCAAAAAAGTGTGGCCGCCGTCAGTTTCCACCACTCGACTTCGCATCCCCAATCTCCAGTCCATCCTCCAAACTCCAAAGCACATACATAAACAAGCTTCCGAATAGCTCCAGCCTTGATCTCCGGGTCATTTTTCCTGACTTCGTTCCTGATCTCGTCCAGGCATGTTGCAATGTATTTTTCCTCGTTTTTCTTGTTGGCGCGGATGCCGCGGATGAGGTCTGTTAGGGACTGGGGAGAGCAAAGGATGAGACTTGAGGAAAAGTTGTGGAAGTCATTTATTGGAGGGGTGGGCAGGTCGCTTTGGAGAGCGGACGAGAGGCCTCTCATGCCACTTCCATGCACTGCCAGCTTGACTTGTTTCTACATACCTTTTCGAACATGGCGAACAGCGCACTGGGTGCCAATGCAGTATGCGAGTATGTTCGACTCAGGCGTCCAACTGTCTGTCTTTCACGAGGAGGGGCTGAGGAGGGGTGTGATAGGGGATGCAGGAGGAGAGGTTGAGCCAAGATGAGTCGCTTGCCGGTTGGAGATGGCGCCTGCCGGAGGGAGGGAGGGGACAACCGACGCTTTCCGTGAGACTCCGTGAGAGCCAGCTTCAAGCGTCCCGTCGCTGCCATCCAGCTTCAATCAGCAGGCCAGCAACCCTCAGCAACCAGGCACCAACGCACACCCTCCGCCCTCTTTCGTCTCTCCGCCCGCCACTTGTTGTCGGTCTGGAACGGCCGTCGCTCGCTCCCAAACCCCCCCTGGCAATGGAAGGTGCACAACCACCACCACCGGACACCACTCAGTTCACAACAGCCTACCCTCTCCCTCCCGCCTACTTCAACAACTACACCGACCCTGCAGTCGCACCCTTCCCCCGCTACCAGCGCACGCAGACCGACTCCACCACCACCACCACCACCAAGAAGAATGACACGGTGACCACGCCCAAAGATCCCGTGGGATCTCCCATATACTCCTTCGACGTTGGTATACACGCAGAAGCGACCGAGGCAAACGAGAGAGCGGCAAAGGAGGAGGAGGAAGGGAAGACAACACGCTTGTTCCTGCACCCGCCAAAACCGATAGTCGGGCCGTACTCGGTTTTCGGAGCAACCCATGATGTTCGTGTCCCTGTTCCCTTTCCTGTATCTGGGGACGTGCGGGCTGACTTCTTCTTTTGCTCAGATAGATGTGAAGCGGAAGTCTCTGAAAGAGCTGGGAATTGAGCAACTGTATCCCGACGGGCCGATCGGTGGGTTTGACTGGAGGGCTGAACGGCGGAACGGCGACTTTTTCGGGGACGTCGACTGAACTGACTCTCTTTCTGGACTTGGCTAGACTTCAAGGCGGTGCTCAAGCACCTCATCCGCGCACTCCAGCTGAATCTGTTGGAATATCTTGACGTTGTGACTGAACGGACGGAGCAGGTACGCTCATTGACCCCATGTGCTTTCACAAGACAAGCTGTAACTAAGTGTCCTTTACTTCGAATGTGGCGTGCGCACAGTTCGAATACAAAAAAGAACAGATCTGGCTCATCCTGCAGAACATCCACCACGTCATCAACGAGTACCGCCCGCACCAAGCCCGCGACATCCTCCGCCTGATGCTGGAAAGGCAGATCGCCAAGAAACAGGCCACTGCAGAGAAATTGCGGGGGTAACTATTTCATATTTCATTCTTGTGTTTGCTCATGCACTGCAGGAGGTGTACTGAATCGGACACACACAGGTTCTGCAAAGCAGCGAGGGAAGAGTTTGAATCGGAGCGACGGGCGCTCTTGGACGCGCAACCTCCACATGAGGAGGATGGGATGAGAAAAGCGGCGGTATCGGACCCGAAAGTGCTACGGGCGTTGCAGAAGTATAGGGTGGCACAGCAGAGGCTTTTGGGGATGGTCGATGTATGACTTGGGGCATCTGCACATATCTTTTTTTTGGGCTTCAATCAATAACTCGCAATCATTTGCGAGACGGAGGGGATGACTGTCTCGTGGCATCATTGCTCTTTTCAATCACGTCGCAATGTACAGTCAATGTACAGTATCTATCCGGCGCTCAAACCTGGATTGGAAGATGAAGGGTCGGGGGTCAGAGATGAAATGACCCCATTGGAAAATAGGTGATGCGAAAAAATCTGAATATGCAGGGATGTTCATCTGTACGCCGAACGGGATCTATCATTTCGAAGTTGGGACACAACACCGAGTTTTACGCATCGGACCCAGGCCGCCTCCCTTCCCGATACCATTGCGGGATAAACACGCCCGTCGGGCCCTGCACGCCGCGTTCGATTTTCACGAGCTTCACGACCCGCCGTCGTCCTCCGCCTCTCCCATACCCACCCCCCCGCCTCGCGCCATCGTCCCCGTCGTCATAATCACACCGCACGGTATACACCACGTCCGCATCCCCGAACCCGACGCCGACAACGCCCCTAACCCAGTCCAAAAACGCGTTCCCGAAATTCAAACAGATCGTCGGATCCCACGGCGGCTCCCCATGTCCCCCTCCCCCACCTCGCCCACTCTGACTTGCCGATTCACGGACCATCCGCGGTATGCTCATTGTTTTGAGGGACTGGATGTGGGAAAGCCGCCCGTCGTCGTGGCGGTACCCGACGATGACGGTGGGGATGCCGGGGAGGAAGGATTGGGCCCAGACTTTGAGGAGTTTGTGGCTGGTGGGGGGAGACAGGTGTTTTAGTGGGTGGGTGGGGGGCGAGGGGGGAGGGGGAAGGGGGACCAATTACCGTTCGAAGGACCGGCGTTGGTTGGGGTTGGTGATGACGCGGTTGGTTTTGAGTTCTGCGTAGGCTGTTTGGGGGTTTGTTTTTGGTTTGACGTCTGCACACATGGGGGGCATTCGATCAGCATATCGAAATGGCAATAAACACCCCTCTCTTGACTCTGACGTACCATCAACCAAACAATCCACCTCAGCGCCCATTACCACCCCATGCCTCCCCACCCTCGTCTTCACCACACAACAATACTGCCGATTCGTATTCACAACCCCCCCATCCCTCCGCGCCAACACACCCTCCCTCTCCCCCTCCCCCATCCCCTGCAACACCCCGGGGGGCGTATCAACCGTCGCGAGAGACTCGAACTTGTAGCCCATGTAGGTCATCAGTTTATCACGCTCGGAGGACCCGTAGGCGGCGGTGGGGGGGCGCAGGTCATGCTCTTCGATGAAGATGGTGTGGTTGTAGAGTGTGATCCCGAGTTCGTAGGCATCGGTCGAGTAAGGTGTGGTGAGGATCTTGGTGAGGATGCCGCGCCAGGTTAGGAAGTCGGGTACGATGGGTGGTTTTTGGTGAAGGCTGTCAGCGGAATCGGCAGGCGTGTTGAGATGGAGGAGGACTTCGAGAAGAGCGTCGATGCGTTCGAGGACGGTGGGGTTGCGCGTGATGTACCGGGAGGGGAAGCCCGAGGAGAGGTCCGCGGTTGTGAGGTCAGGGGGGTAGTACCAGTTCTATTGGGCGGAGGGGAAGGACTGTGCGTGTTAGTCAGCTAAACCTAGCCATTGGGCATCGAAATGTCAACCACTAGCCATCAGCCATCGAACGCCAACCATCAACCACCCATCAAGAAACAATACCCTGCTCGCTCCGCTCGCGCTCAGGATGTTGGGTTGTCGATGTTGCGTTGATGATATTGGGTTGCGATGGGGAGGAGCGTAGCTCGCTTCGCTCACTAAGAACCGGTTGGGGGAAGCATTGCGCCAAAGGCGAAAAGGGGCTCGCTCCGCTCGCGCTCCCGAAGGCGTTCGGGCTAGTCGACCTCGCCTGCCTCGAGCATTCTCCCCGCTTCGCTCGGACTACGGCGCAATCCATCGCGCTCCGCCAGCAACCGCTCGCCATCGCTCCCGCACCCCCCATCCACATCCTCCCCCATCCCCCGCCTTCAAATCCCCGCAATCCCACCCCCAAAACCTACCAACTCGCTTTCACTCCCCATCAACAACCTCCTCCCCTCATCATACGAAAAGCACGCAATCTCCTTCGGCTGCTGGTACGCGACACACGTCGTTCTGAACCTTTCCAGTGGTTCTATTTGTAGTGGACTGTGCTGTGGTGGGGTACTATCGTTGTTGTTGTTATTGTTGGTGTGATTGGGATTGGGATTTGGGTGATGAGATGGTCCGCGGTCGCGATCGTAGGGGTGATGTCGCGGACTTGGGCGGTTTTGTGGTCGATGACTACTGCTGCTGGAGGTGTGGGGCCTGTACTCGTCCCTTTGCTGGTGGTTGCTGTTGCGGAGGTCTCTGTCGTTTGTGGGCCGTGGGTGTTCGTTGTCGTTGGGCGGTGGGGCGTCCTCCTCATCTTGTACGGGACGGCTCATCTTTTGCGTGGTGGACAGGCTGGGTAAGAGGCAGGTAGCGATGCGATAGTGAGAGTGGTGGGCTGATAGGGTGGGATAGGAGACAAGATAGACCGGGAGTAGGGGGTGGTGCTAGCTGCCGCCCGCCCAGAAAGCGCAGAAAGGGGTGACGTTTCTCCAAGCGACGCCAAGGCCCTCCCGTCCATTCCGCCCAGATTCCCACCCTCCCTACTTCACCCCGCAATCTGGACGCAACCCACCTGCACACAAACTATCAGCAACTCCCTCAACCCACTGCCAGCCACCCACTCTTCAACTCTACTCCAATGCCCGGGACAATCCTCCCCGAAGAAGAAGACACCGTCCGGCGCTCCGTCAACGGTCAGGTAAAGGCACCCATCCCACTTCCCCATCTGACCCACCGCCCTCTTACTCATACCCTTGTCGCCTCACTGTCGTTGTATCAATTCTAGGTCTTGTCAACAACAGCAGCCCGCATCTACAATGCCCGCAACAACAACTGGACTTATTCAGGGAACGTTGGGGCGCTGGTGCTGGCGAAGGGGAACGGGTACAAGGCGGCGTTTACGTTGCAGCTTGTTGATTTGAATGTATGTTTGGGGGGTTGGGAAGGGGTTGAGAGGCGGGTGGGATTTAGTGGATGGGTGTGAGGGAGAGTGGCTTGGGGAGTCGTGCATGCGGACGGCGGTGAGCGAAGCGAGCAGTACATCTGAGCGGCAGCGGACGGTCGCTTCCATCACATGTGCACATGATTGCTCAGCATCCTTGTCGCGAGGGGACCGAGGAGGATATCGCTTATCATGGATCGACGCTTGTTCATCATGCGTCACTCATCGCCCATCATCCTTACTCACTCCCTCCTTCCTCTCCATTTTAGACCGCCAGAAGCGTGTGGCAACAAGATGTGACAGACGACGTCAAGTATCAAAAGGACCGACCGTTCTTCCACAGTTTCATTGGATCCGTGAGTTTGTCTGCTTCCTTCGCGGTGTATTTCCCACTGTATCTCTCATACCTTTGGTTTCAGGACGGTCTAGTTGGACTCTCATTCGCAGACGAAGACGAAGCGGGCGACTTTCACTCCGCGTTCTTGAGCAAAGAATCAGCTTCTGCTGCTCCTGCTGCTGCCGCACCAGCGCCTCCCTCGAGGCCGCCCGCCGCTGGACCGGGACTGTTACCTCCTCGCGGTATGGGTATGGGCGGTGCTCCACCACCGCCCGCACCTGCGCCCGTCGCCGTGCAAAGTGCCGTTCCTCCTGGTACGTAAAGCACCCGTTGCAGCCAAACCCTCCATCCCCCGCGCAGTGAACAACTCACCAAATCTCCCCATCTCTCTTATAGCAATGATCGCCCACCAGCCCTCCAACTTAGTACACAGCGGAAGCACAGACTCTCTCAAGGGCAAATCCGAAGGACGGTCCAGCATCTTTGGACGCTCTAGCACGAGCAAGAAAAGCAAGTCGGCTACGAAGAAGGGCGGGGTTGATAAGTCGATGATTTCTGGGCCTGTTGAGGGCAGTTTTGAGCATGTTACCCATGTTGGCTATAGCAAGGATGCCGGGTTTACCGCCATGAACATCCCGATGGAATGGAAGGCCATTTTTGCGAAAGCCGGTATCAACGAAGAAGATCTGAACGACCAATCAAAGAAAAAGGCCATCAAAAAGTTCATGAAGCAGAATGAGGCGTTGGTGCATCCGGCTCCTGCCCCGGAGGTGCCTGCTGCTCCGCCAGCCATTCAGGCTGCCACCGGTGGTGAGTATCGCTCTCTACCCATAACCCTGTCCCTATAGTCTCGTCCATCTCATCGCCTTACACCCGATATCTTCCCAAAACGCAGACCGCAAAAAAGCGCCCCCACCTCCACCCCCCATTCGCCGCCAACCACCCCCACCCGCCCCCAACCAACGCTCATCTCCAACAACCGCCCCTCCACCACCCCCACCTCCCCGCTTCGGAGGCGCTCCCGAACCACCTATCCGCCAACCCCCGACCTCCACAGCTCCCCCACCGCCGGCCCCGCCACGCCAACAACCCGCACCGCCCGCATCCGGAGGCGCACCTCCACCTCCCCCGCCACCCCCGCCCGCAGGAGCCGGAGTCCCACCGCCACCCACACCTCCCCGAGGCGGCAACACCGACTCTGGAGGCGCACCACCCCCACCCGCCCCACCCCGCGCGCCCGTCGCCCAGGGCGGCGCAGCACCGCCCGTAGACCTCCTCGCATCCATCCGCGGCTTTGGCGGCCTCGGCGCGCTCAAGCAAGCCTCCGCGTCGGAATCGCCCCGCCCAGCGCCACCGGCAGCGGCGAGCAACACGGATGATATCGCGGCGGCGTTGAGGAACGCGATGATGAATAGGCGGAATGATGTTGCTGGGAGCGGTAGGTGTTTTTGTGTTTTGGGGGCAGAAGGAGGGTGAGAAGGAGGGTGGGTTTCGTATGTGGTATACTGATACGTTGTTTTCTTTTGGAAACTTTTGTTTGTAGATTCGGAGGAAGAAGACGACGACGACGAATGGTGAACTCCCACCCCCTGCCTTGTGGAAAGATATCTACAGATGATCCCCCTCCTCCTCCTTTCTTCACCTCTAATCCACACATCATATCTTCTGTTTTGCTCGAAAAAGAACCAGCTTCACTCGATCGGGTTATCCCATATCCCCCTTTCTCCATCCATTCTTGTACCCTGCGTATTCTATGTTGCGTTCATCTACAGAGGTTCTCAAGGGGGCAGTGAGGAGGTAGAAGCCCGTGGATGGTGTTGTTTGCAGCCGGCAGGGGGGAGTCATCAGCGACGCGCCGCGCATTGCATTTCACACCTCGCCCTCACTCTCTCGCGCGTCGAACGAGGGTCCGCCTTCGTCCTTGCTAAGTTGCTAGTTGCACCCTCCCCGCCAACAGCACCCTCATCACAGACCCGCCAGCCCTCCTAACCCTCTTTCCTTTTCCACTCGCCGCTCAAATCCTCTTACTTCGATCTTCACTCCTCGGTACAAAAAAACGCCTTTCCTCCCCGCTCGCATTTCAAAGCACACTCTTCAAGTCACCGCATGAACCCCCCACTCCCATTCAAAAGCAAAAAACGCACCCGCTGCGACACCCCAACCTGGTCCGCCCTTGCCAACCCCGCCATCGCCGACCTCCTCATCGCCGAATCCTCCACCTCACTCCCCCACACCCGTGATGCCCCACCCGCACATATCGGCCTCCGACGGACCGTCTCAGCCCCGCCGGCACTTATTGAGCCAACACGGAGGGATACGGCGAAGACGGTGTTGCAGGCGTTGGTGGAGATTAGGGGATGGGTGCCGGTGAATGTGCCGCCGTTGGTGTTGGTTAGCCAGGTGTATGCGAGTGTGGGCGATAAGGATGTGGATCGCGATATTGTAGGTGTTTTTGGTGGAGGGAGTGTTGGGGGAGGACTGAGATGGATTATGAGAGGGGGGGGGAGATGGGGTGAGCGAAAGGAGGAGCTGGGTTGCTTGGGGCTGGGTCGCGATGGAAGCGTGCAAGGCTTCGCGAGCGTAGGATTGCATGCGAGCGAAGCACCGCAGCCCAGCACGCTCGTCGCGAGGGCGGAGCGAGCAGGGTATCGTTTCCATCCAGGACATCCTCTCGTTAAACTATGCATCGTCAATGGGATACAATGACTGACATGTCGCCGTTTTCGTCCTTTGTTGTTAGGCCCAACTATGCCGTGTCGGCACTCTCCGCAAATTCCAAGTCGGCACCGGCGGCGAAACGTGCCTGATGCTGATGTGCGACTACGCCGATATCATCAAAGACTTGAGTGGGCAGCATAAACGCCGGTTTCGGGACGGTGGCGGTGGTACTACTCGCGACTGCGGCGATGGAACGAGCGAGGAATCACCCTCCCCGTCCAAACGACCCAACACGGGCGCCACACCACCACCACCACCCAGCACATCCCGAACCCCCGGGGCCACACCCCCACCACCTCAACCTCAATCCACAACGCCCTCACCATCGGACTCGGCAAACTCCACCATCCGCCCAACCCTCTTCGACCTCTTCCTCTCCCACCTCTCCATGCCCTCAACCCCCCTGTTCCTCACTACCGCCTCCCTCACCACCTCCCTTTCCTGCACCCCAGCCGAACTCCGCCTCCTCTTCTCCTCGGGCCTCCTAACCCTCAAAGACGTTGACACATACTGGGTATCCGTGCCCAACGCCGGGCGGTACTGGGCGGACTTGTGTCGGGGACGGAAGGAGCTGTGCAGGGTTATTGGGAGGGCTGGCGCGGGGAAAGGGCAAAAGGCGGGGGTTAGGAGGAGCGAGGTGGAGAAGAGGGAGTTGAGGGGGTGTGGGTTGCCCGTGCGGGCGGTGGTGGGGGATTTGGTGGGGAGGGGGGTGCTGGAGAGGTATGTATTTCGCGGAGAGATCGTTTTATGTTTGTGGTGGATCATAACTTTTTATATTTTCGTTTTTCAAGCATCGAGACGCCGTTGGGCACGCATCTTCGGCTTACGGGGAAGACGAGCAAGGATAACTTCCAATGGTCTTGAACGAATGCGTTCTCGCCCCGGAGTAACCCTCACCCCGCTCCGAGACTCCAGCCTCCTACCTGCCCCAGATGCGCGAACGGAGGCGGGATGCAGGGGAGGGCGCTTTGTCAGGGACGTGATCAGACATCACACAGCAAACGACACGCACCTCCCCGTCTTCAGTGCACATCACGCATACCTCAACTATGAAGGAGTGGGTATCGCTGGTCAACTGGGAAACACGGATATGGGATATGGATATGGACGTTGCCCTGCCCCCGCCTAGTGCACATACAACTAGGACCTTCTTACGAGCGAGACCACGCCGCTCCCCCCGGCCACGCGGCCTACGCTCATAGAACGGGATAAGTCAATGCGAAGCATATAGAGTGCCGTTTGAAGAATGTACAGTATGTAAGGCCGCCATGTAGAAGGTTACGCCGTTAGATGGCCGCGGATGGCGCAGGTTCGAATCCGGGCGGGGGGTGTGCGGAGGAGGGTCTTTTTGTCCTCTGGGAATGAATGAATTTCCCCACGCTGTTTGTCACTCCCCACCCACTCCTTTCCAACGCACAGCAACAACTGCCCCAACAACCCTCTCAACACCCTCCCCCCCCACCTAACCTGTCGCGATGGGAAACATCCTCGGCTGCATCGCAACAGAGGCCGCCTGCTGCTTCGGAAAGACCGCCTGTAACTGCTTCTGCAAGATATGCGGCTCTAGGAGGTGCGCACACAACTATCGTCTGTTTACAAGGGAGCCCTTGACACTCATAATCTATGCGTTGTTTTTTGTCCAGTTCAACGGCGACCCGTGTCGGGTATGCTTCCATGTTTGTCGTGACGGCTATCCTTTCTTGGGTATGTGGAGGAAAACAGGGCAGCTGGGAAAGGGATGAATGAACGATCAGTGAATGAAAGCGGCAGGGAGGGAGAGCAGCCGAAGGCGCGAGGGACTATGGGGAACGTGACTGGGAGCGAGACGGGACGATGGTTCGGTGGTTTTTGCTGGCATACCGAATGCCAGCCACAGAGAGGCGCAAGCATGCAGGTGGATGGCGAGCGTAAGGCGGGCTGAGTTTGCCATCGCGAAAGCTAGCGAACCCGCAATACGATGTTGGGCGCGAGCGAAGCGAGCACGATCTCTGTCAACCATGCATTGCGTAGCTCTAAAGACCCACCGCTCCACATCCCTGGATATCGTTCTGCGAGAACATCGGCAGTCGCCCCCGCTGAAGATTCAACTCATTTACTCTCCCTCACTCCCAAAGATCATGCAATCAGACTGGGCGGAGAAGAAACTGGAAGATATATCGCATGGATACTTGAAGATGGAGTGTCCGCAGGGCGACTGTTATGGGAATCTCGCGGTCTATCGGATCTGTTTTGCGACTACCGTTTTCGTATGTATCAGAAGGAGGGAGTGGGAAGGGAAGCCTTTCAATGTCCTTAGTAGTGCAGCCTATCTGAGCACCAACTCACACGCCACCCCCCCACCCCCCAGCACATCCTCCTAAGCTGCCTAATGTACAACGTCCGCAGCAGCCGCGATTTCCGCTCCGGAATCCAAAACGGGTTCTGGGCCTGGAAATTCCTCGCCTGGGCCGCCGTCGTCGTGCTGCACTTCTTCATGCCCAACGAGTACTTCATGTTTATCGGCAAATGGGTCGACATGCCGGGAGCGTTCGTGTTTATCCTGTTGCAGGTCGTACTGTTGATTGATTTCGCGTATACTTTTAGTGAGGCTTTGATTGGTGGGTGCCCCTCTCCTTCCCTCCAGTGTTCTACATTTAGTGTCAGTACTCATCCCCCTCTTTCGATTCGATTTACAGAAAAATGGGAACAACACTCCGACAAACGCTACCTGACCCTCCTCCTCACTACCACCTTCCTCTCCTTCCTCGCCTCCCTCGCCCTCACCATAACCCTCTACATATACTTCGCCCCGCCACCCTGCAAACTCAACCAATTCTTCATCTCCTTCAACCTCATCCTCATCTCCCTAACCTCCCTCCTCTCAATAACCCCGGCAATCCAAGACGCCAACCCTAAGAACGGCCTCGCGCAGGCGTCGATGGTCGCGATCTACGCGACGTATTTGGTCGCGAGTGCGATCGTCTCTGAACCGGTGGATGTTGAACACGACAACGTATGCAACCCGACGAACGGGAGCGAGAAAACCCAGACCACCACCCTTGTCATGGGGACGGTGTTCACCTTCATCGCGCTCGCATACTCCACCACGCGTGCAGCCACCCGGGGTGAGATCCTATCCACCTCCGCCGGGGACGAATCTACCCTCCCGCTCATCAACGACCACCAAGGATCGTCGCGGTCGTCGCATGTGAGGTCGGCGGTGGAGAGTGGGGCGTTGCCTTCGAGTGCGTTGTATGATGATGATGAGGGGGAGGATGGGGAGGATTCGTCCTTTGGACCACCGAAAGATGATGAGAAGGATGGCGTGCAATACAGCTATGCGTTCTTCCACGCCATCTTCGCGCTGGCTTCTATGTACCTGGCGATGCTGATGACTGCCGTGAGTATCTGCGAGCTTGGCGAGCATCGCCCCAATTTGCGGGAGCCTCCGGGTTTTGCAAAGTTCGGAATGTCGTTTTTTGCTCGGGGGGAAGGGGGAAGGCGCTGATTACTGATGAACTGACTGAAACTCTTTCTCGATAGTGGAACTACGTAGACAAAACAGACGGGATCGCCGTCGTCGGGAAGAGCATGGGCGCGGTGTGGGTGAAGATTGTCAGCGGGTGGCTTGTCATTGGGCTCTATGGGTATGTTTTCGGTTTCTCTCCTGGAGTTTTGTCACGGCATCTGTTCAGGGGGTCTAAATTGCGAGTTTTTGTGTAGATGGACGTTGGTGGGGCCGTACCTCTACCCCGACCGATTCGGCTACTAAACCGGTACCGCGCGCGATACCCCCACCTTTTCCGTTTCTCCCACCTCTCTTCCACACCCCAAGTTTTTGTGGTTTTTTTGTATCTTGCTTTTTCTTCCTGCTTCGTGCGTGCGCCCCAAATTTGATTATGAATCTGCGTTTCCCCGTTTTCTTGGCGTTCGGGTTGTGTTTCCGCGTTGTGGTGTGTTGTTCGCGAGTGAGCGTTTAGGTTGGGGACTGGCATCGTCTTTCGCAAGGCCGTTATGTCAACGCGAGTATGTATCTTTGTATTTTCATAGTAGCTTTGCGATACAAGGGTCTCGCGCACCGAACAAGTTATACGGGCGTATGTACTGTACATCCATCCATTCATTCCCACACCATTGCGTTTCTACGCCGCCTGTTTCAACACACCTCTACAACCGATTCTCAAGAAGAACGCCCCCATCTTCTTTAACTCCTCGTCTCTCTTCCCGCAACCAACTCATCACCGCCGAACACTCCTCCGCAACTCCCCAACAGCACTCTCCCGCATGCTCTCCAAAAACGCGTCCATCCGGCTCGTACCCTCCCCCCCGGTTCCCGCGACCCGACTCCGGTCGTCGATGTCTTGCAAGCGCAGTGCGAGCTCCTGAGCTTTCTTGTAGTTTCTGCATATGCGTTCGAAAGTCAGTGTGAGATGATTAGCCTGAATGGGGGAATGAATTGGGGGGAGGGATGGGATACGTACCCCGGCACGACCTCCCTTGTCTCAAAGTACATGTTATGCAGCGACACGATCATCTGCGGGATGTAGAGGTCGCGCAGGAGGGCGTGTTCGATATCTCTTTGCGTCGGGGGGCGTGCGTCTACGGCAAACAAAAACGACAGTCCGAGTTAATATTGGGGGGGCCAAGCAGGGGGATGATTTACAGTGGGGACGGGAGATAAAAGGGGGGGGTGAACGTTTACCGTCGGTATCACGCATTTCGAATTCGGATTCGGAGTCGTCGCGCGGCATCAGCCAGCTGCCGTCGAGGGCGAGCTCGAAGGCTTGCGCGGCGGAGGTTGTTCGCATCTACGGAGAAATTATTGTGTGGAGAGCATGGTTCATGGTTCGGTTTCCGCGTATATGGGGGGTGTAAGGGAGGAGGCGCGCGCTTTACCTTGACGTCATGCTCCCACTGCTTATACTCAATCGACTTATGTTCGCCGCTGCTGAACGCGATCCTGCAACAAAAAGGAAAAAAGGGTGAGATACGAAACCTCCATCCAATCAAGAAACAGAAAGAGCGTCCAACGCACCTTCCCTCGTCAGGCCTCCGATACCAGACCCCCAACCAAACAGCATACTGCTCCATCGCAACCACAAACGTGCAGTAATCGATATGCTCACGGACCGCGTCGCCCATCTCCCTCTCCACCCCTTCCTCTCCCTCACCCCTTGTATCTCCGACCCCATCTCCATACGCACCCCGTAACCACCCCGGCCTAACAAACTCACTCAAATAATCCTCCTTCCCAAACATCATCATCAAGTACCCCCTAACAGCCCCCGCGGAATTTATCCTCCCCACACACAGAAACCGTCTCATCAACAGATTGATAAACCACAACGCGTCTTCCCACAAACTCTGATCATCCAACAACAACCTCAACGCCACAATCTGCCGCGTCTCCACCGCAGTGGGTGCTTCGTTGACTTGCGCGCGGAGGAACGCCTTCGGGTCGATGGTGTCGATTTGCAGGGCGAGGACGCCGGTCGAGAGACACATGTGCACCGCGCGACGGGCGATCGCGGGTGTATCCAGGCCGTACCGTTTGGCAAGCTGGAGATACTCGGTCGCGTTCTCGTCTTCGATGACGGTCTGCAGGAACGTGGCGTAGATCTCGAGGGCGTCCGGGGAGGGGAGGAAGGAGGTGTAGAATGCGATGAGGTCGTTTTTGCGTGCGTTGATGAGGAGCTGTATGTACTCTTTTAGCAGTGTTGCGGCGGACGACGCGGGGAGAGCGGTGGGGATGTCGAGGTCTTGGAGGAGCAAGAGGAGGTGCGCGATAAATCGCAGGAAATGCGGGTCCATCTGTTTCTTCGCCCCGTCACTTTTCCCGGCCAACTTCCATTTCCCCGCAATATCCGCGACCAACCCGCCTACATCCCCCAAAATCACGGCCTTCTGAGCGATCCTGAACGGGTCGGCCGCGGCGCGACGGAGGTACTTGTTGTCTCCTTTTTCGATCGTTTCAAAGATCTCGGCGGGTTCGAGGGCGGGGGTTGTGAGGGCGATATCGACGCGGGATGTAGGGGGGTAGGCGATGGGCACTGCGCGCAGGTTCTTGTCGATGCAGGCTTGGATGAGGGCGAGGTAGTGGGACCAGAGGTGGTCTTCCCAGTGGGTGCAGACGGGTGTTACCTGAATGATATCGGGAATGTTAAAGATGCGGACGGAAGGGAAGGAAAGAGGGCTGTTTATGACGCACGTTTTCGACATCCCCGATCAAGGCAGCGTAAATGGCCCGCTCGTGCATGTCACACTGCTCGTTGGACGCGATTTCGTGACAGATGGCTTTCCATAGGTCGCGGTTCTGGGTGCCGCGTTGCTCTTCGTCCGTTTGATCTTGGAAATTCATACCACGTCAACAGGCAATTCTCCAAACAAATGGTGCACAATCCCGCAGAACTGACCAATTTCAGGATCACTCCACAAGTCCCCGCCACTTAAACTCGCCGTCCGCCATGGCTGGTCGCACATGTTGTACAGGTCAAATACTTTGTCCAGCTGCCCGCGGCGGATGTACTCGAAGGCCGTGCGGTGCAGGTTCGTTTCGTACGTCTGCATGTCATCATACCATCATACCAGACGCGTTAGCGAGTGAGCGGCAATACAAAGTTCGTGGCGTGGTACTCGACAAGAAAAGCAAACCTACCGCATCCTCTCCCGCCAACCCCCTCCCCTGCCTCATCGGCGCATCCGGGTCCGCCTCCGTAACCACGCCCTCATCCCCGCCTTTCCCCCCGCGCCCAAGCGCCTGTTCATGGATCCTCTTCGTAGTAGCTGGCCAGTACCCCGGTCTTGTCTCGACGGGCTCAAAGGGTGGTGCTGTATTTTCGAGCCATTCGCGGACGATCTGGAGGGAAGATCGGGGATGTTAGGGTGGTGTGGAAATTGTGGGAGGGGGGGACGGCTTACAAGGAGTTCGTCGAATGCGGCGTCGTGGAATTTCTCTTGGATGGCTCGGTCGCTTAGCCAATCGCCTGCCACGACCCGCCCGTCACCCATTGTATCTTTCATCGCGCGTTTCCTACACCAAAAGAAGTCAGTCCGGGATAACAGTCTGAACGTTTTTATTGTTCACGGCCCCTTACCCGACGAGAACCTGGACTATCGCCCATGTGTTGGCTTCCAGTGTCCAGCGGGAGAGCTCGGTGGCGTGGGAGGCAGTGAAGTGGGAGGGGGAGACGAGTTTAGCTTCTTCCAGTGCGTCTGCCCTAACGGATCATTAAATCGTCAGCACAAAGAAGGGACGGACCACGGGATTGACGTACATACTTCTCCCGACAAAACTCGACACACCGTTCCAGGACTTCGCCCTCGCCAAACGCGCGTGTGCCCGCCCACCCGCCGTCCATCCACAGGTGCGCGAAATCGTCTACTGCGTCGGTTAGGATATATTGTTGGCCTGTTCGCCGCATCACTGTTAGGTTGGGGGTTGTCGCAACGGAGTGGTCATGGGATGGGGATGATTACCGTCTTTCGTTTGCATGATGCTCTACGGGAACCAGAATTGGGATGTTGGTGCACATCCCTTTTCACATCAACATAACGCAAAACACGAGGACATACCTGTGAATCCCTCAACATCGATTTCCGCAATAATTCACCCGTCTCGTCCCTCGTCTGATCAAGCAAACCGTCAATAACCCCATTCCCATTTGGATACCCCATCCCCCGGTGTAAGACCTACCCGCCGCGTCTCTCTGAATGGCGAAGGGTGGTGGGTCGGTTTACGTGCTATCGGTTGAGGAGGGGGTGAGTGATGCTGATGGCAACTCGGTCATCCTGCACGGGTGTGGGAGGTGCATATCCTATTCCATCGTCGACACCGCCCTCTATCCAAGACCGTTCTCCTCACATCTCTTCCTCCTCTCTTGCGACCAACTGGCCCTCCCCTTCCGTCCCGACAATCCCTTCCTGCAATGCCCTCCTCATCCCCTCTCATCCACACCCCTCCAAACACCACCCAAAAAACATACATGAGCGCCCCCCAACCAACTGCCCTCCATCAAACCCGCGCACATTCCTCTCCTCCGCACCCCTGTCGCCAAACCGCTGTTCTGCAAAACCCCATTCGAGAAAGAATCCCCAGTCAGTGTCATGACGTCAATACCTCACCAGCGAGCGAGGGAGGGAGCGGAAATGACATAAGCGGGTAAGCCTGCCATACCTGGGGATTTGGCAGGGATATGCCTGGTGCGTGAGGGTGTGAACATTGTATCGGTGCCGCGTCTGGGGTGGTATATGTCCAAACCGCTTTTTTTTTCTCCCAAAGGGTTCGGTGTGGGAGGGTCCGGAAGCCGGGGGTTCCACGGGTGTTTGTGGGTGAGAAGCCCTGGCTGCGTGGGTGGTTGGAATGGGGAGGTGATCTCCACAAGATGTTTTGCAAGACCCCGAACATGCACAGCGCTTTTCCCCAACGCGCCCCTGTTCCTCCATCCAGCTCAGCATCCAGCTGCCGAACAACAACTCCTACATCCAACGCTCCTGCGCGTCCATAAATGCTAGGTGCATCGCAAGGGTAAGACTATGCCAAGTGGTAGTATCAAACTCTAAATAATTGGGGGCAGAACATTCCTGCACACCCTGTTGATGGACGTAGCAGGGCGGAGCCGCGTATAGATGTGCAGGCGTTTGCCCCACTGAGGGCCCTGTTTCTTTAAGATGCAGTGCGTGTTCGATTACAGATATACTCATAGGAACTGGAGTCGTATGTACAGTACAAGAAAACAGAGGGGAATCCGAACAAGACCCAGCCGAGAGGACATACAGATGGTGGCGCAGGGAGGATGTGTACAGATCGGGGGGTATACAGGGGGACCAACAAGATACAGTATATCCAAAGGGTATGGGAGAGCCCGAGACACGAGGGTCATCGAACCCTCCTCGTTCCCCGAACGGACCTCGTCCCAACCACCTCCTTCGCCTTCCTCTTCCCAACCACCTCCTTCGTCCTCCCTCCCCAGCACCCCCGCAACTCCCTCCCTAAAACCTCAGCAACCCTGCCCCCCTTCTTCCTAGCCTCCCGCACATCCGCCCCACACTCCACAAGATACCTTACAACCTTTCGTTGCACCTCCCCCCTGTCCGGGGCCTCCACCGCCGCCACCAGCGCCCTCACCCCGCCCACACCCGTACACCGCGCCCCGTTATCCACCAGCAGTTTGATGAGTTTGAGCCGTCTGTTGGTGGTTTGTGATTTGCTGTGGGTGTTGAAGAAGGTAGGCCAGTCGCACCGCACGGCGCAGAGGAGGGTGTAATCGTTCTGCCACCTCGGGTCCGCGCCATGCTCTAAGAGCAGTTGCGCGATATCGTACCGCCCGCACGCGACGGCGCGGACTAACGGTGGCCCACAGGGCGTGCGTATAAGGTGTGTGTAGTCCGCCTCTGACCATTTCCGGCGGGTTCGTTCGGTCCCGTTGACGTCTGCGCCGTATTCGATGAGGAGACAGACGATGTCGATGTTGCCGTAGCGGACGGCTTGGCGGAGGGGGAGGTTGTGGTTGTGTGATGCGTCTGCTCCGTTTTGGAGGAGGATGCGGACGTTGGCGGTGGATCCGTAGTCGATCGCTGCTAATAAGGCGGCGGAGACGGTGGTGTGGCCGATGCCTGCGGCGAGGAAGAGTTGGACTGCTTCTCCGGTGGTTTCGTTGGTGACGGCGAGGAGGGAGTCGTCTAGTTGTGGTGTGATGGGAACGTAGGGGAGGAGAGTGTGGAAGATTTCCTTTGCGCGGGACCGGGCGGCGGCGATCAAGGCTCGCGGGGTGACTGTAGCGCCCCATTCGAGGAGGATGTTGACGTTGGTGATGTTCCCGTTGAAGGCGGCGGCGGAGAGGGCGGTGCATTCGGGCATGTCGGTATCATTTGGGTTGGCGCCGAGTTCGAGGAGGGTGCGTACGACGTCGGGGTTTTCGCCGTCGGCGGCGAAGACGAGGAGGCCCGGTTCGTCTTTGATGAGGTGGGTGCCGCCGACGTCGAGGACGGTACGGACGACGTCGAGGTGACCGCCTTCGACGGCGGCGAAGAGGGTTGCGCCGATGTTGTGGGCCATTTCTGCAGGTTTCATCTCTAGGAATGCCCGAAGGAGTTCCAGATGCCCACCTTCGGCAACCTCATCAATGAAATCCCACAACGTGTCCGTGTTGGAATCTTTGTGCAGCGCATTATAGATCCGGTCTTTACAATGCTCCACAATGGCTACCGCGGACTCAAAGTAGCCCGCCATAACCGCGCGTTCCAGGATAGGCAGCAGCTCAAACTGGTCCTCCAAGATGAAAGCTGTCATGTTCTCGTGATTCGGCGATAGAGTCACACCCTTCGTGAGGGTCCCTTCCTTCCTGTCCCACCCTTTAAGGTACACTTTGAGCAGCTGCTGAAACGCAAGTTTCTGCACATCCGCAGGCGGCACAAAGCTGTTCATGGGATACTCCGCCCAATGCACGCCAGTTGTCAACGCCTGACACAGTGTTTTATGGCGGATAAGACCCGCGGCGTAGCAATGCGCAAGCACCCTCGTATTGACGAAATCGCGCACGGTTTTGGATAGCCGGCGCAGTTTCGTCGCGGAGCACCAAGGGAGGAACAAGATGATGTGGAAGATGAGTTCCTGCGGGAGGATGACGTTTGTGGTGAGGAGAGGGCGGTCCCAGGACGTGAGCTCTGTGGCAGCTGGTTCGGCCCAAGCTCGAAGCGACCGCAAACGCTTCGTGTGGGAGCGAAGTTGCATCGTGGAGGTGGCCGCTTATTTCAGATGGCTCCTTACGGATTTCGGGATGATATTTGGAATGAGCTAATGTACAGCAAGTCGACGAAACGAGGCACGCTATGGTGACAGCGAGGAGGATAGTAGAAGATAGTGTACTCTCTCCTCTAGTAGCCGGTGTTGGTGTAGTGTGGTGTAGAGAGTGTCGTCCGATGAGTCCACAGCGTGGCAATCAATGACGTGAGCGGAATCTACTCGTGAGAGGACTGAGGAACAAGGAGACGTTCGATGCCGATATTGAAGAAAGCTGGTGAGGGGGGGGAAGGTCTGACCTGGAAGCAAGGGCGATAGGAGCGAGATAGCTTGGGAGGTGAGAAAGTGGGTAGTTTCTGGGGAGGGAGGGTGAACAGTCGGAAGTGGGAAGTCGTTGTGGGTTACTTACTACTGTGGACAGTCGGAAGTTGTCCTAATCAGCCCCAATCAAAGGAAGGCATTCCCACTTCGCTGGCTTGATTAACGCCCCCTAATCAAATCAAACAAGACAGAGAGAGAGAGAGAGCGAGAGACGGTTGTAGGAAACGCGTTTGGCTGCGAAACTGCGCGCGTGACTCGCTGCCGCTATATGCATGACCGACTCTCAGTACACGCTGGTTATCCCTCGGTATGTATTCAGTGCCCGGCGGCGGCGCTGATGTCGTTATTGTTCTGGTCGTCCCATGTATATATATATTGATGCTTCCACGTCTTCCTCGACACTCGTTGTGCGGATGTATTTAGAAGAATCACCAGGCAATCTTTGCGTGTGACTGGCATCCCGCATGGATCGAAAGCAAACACTTATGCGACATGCCACACGAAGTATTAGAAGAACAAAATCATTGTTGTAAGTCAATGCTTTTATTCCCCTAATACGAAATCCTTCATGGTCCAGTGGTTAGGATCCGTCGCTCTCACCGACGTGGCCCGGGTTCGATTCCCGGTGGGGGAAAATCTCCTTTTGTCCGTTTTCCTTCTTTTCGTTTTTCTGGAACCCCTCAACCGGTGAGTGACATGGACTGAATACGCGGTGTTGTACCGTACAGACAGGTAATAGGGGTGACGTCCCAAAGCAACACGGAAGATCACTGGGGGGGTTTTTCCCTCTTGTTGACCCCACAGTATTGTCACCCACCAACCCCACACCTGCACCTTTTTCCGTCGTCGTCGCTTTATCCCTTACAGACCCTTGCCACCAACTACATCTTCCGCTTACTCTCGCCGCCATATATCGCTTCAACTAGCCCACTCTCGCCCCTCAACGTATCATCAGTGCACTTATTGTGAACCCCGCGTTTTTCACACCTCAACAAAGCATTGTTTGTAACGGGAAGGCATCACCTTCAAACTCGGCGCGTAAAGATCCGTTTTCGTACGTACGCAAGGCTTTCATATATACCCATACGCTACTAGTATCGTCGTTCTTTCTCCGGTAGCGCCAACGAATGCGTGCCTGCCTGCGTCGGCCGACCGTGCTTCGCGCCATTGCAACCTCTTTGGAAACTCACACTATTGTGAGTGAAATTGACTATTGCCGTGAAGCTCGGTCCCGCTCGGCTGTTTGCTAACTAGTCATGTCCATTTATGCAGCGCCGTCAGATCCCACCTCCTGTCCACCACCTCACAAACCGCACTTGCTCGCTTCGCCACTTCATGACCTCCCCCCGCCCCCATCTCCAAGACTCGGCCCCTCCACGGTCCTGGGCGCAGGCTCAGGCCCAAGAACTGCGCGAGGACCCAACTCCGCCACCGCCACCAGCCCTTTCTCCCGCAGCCGCCGCGCGCATCGTTCGATCCGACTCACCAGAAGCCCAAACGCGTCCGCCGACATTACCGTCGTCGCAGGTGTATGGCGAGCTGTTTGATGCGACACGGACGGTGTTGGGGCAGTATAGGGAGCTGTTGGAGGCGTTTGTGAGGGATGAGCGGGGGGAGGAGAAGTACACGAAGTTGTCGAAATATGTAGTCAAGTCTAGCGTCGGTTAGTTGATGGAATGCGCGATAGGGTTGGTGGGAGACTAGATGATTCTCACAGTGGGTTATTGATCTTAGGGAAACACGTCCGACACGTCCTGGAGCATGTTCGGATACTGTTCGCGGAGCTGATCAAAGCCTCGGACGAAGCAGCGTCGAAGAAGACCGGAAAGGCACAGGAAACACCCATGATGGTTAACTACGACCATCGGCATCCACCGGTAAGCAATACGTACCCACTCCTCTTTGCGACCTCTCAATCGGCCTAAAAATCTAAATCTCCATCGCCACATAGCATGACCTCTCAACCTCCCCCCGTGGCGCCCTAACCTTCCTCCTCACCCTCACCACCTACGTCGACCGTCTCGCGACCTCGTCCGCAGCCACCGACGTCGACCTCGAGAAACCGATCCGCTTAGGGGTTACGGTTAACCCGGACGGGGGGAAGGATGCGGAGCTGAGGAGTAGCTTGGGGAGGGAGATTTGGTTTGTGAGTTGATTCTCGGGAGTTTGCTACTGGGAGTGACCTATGAGCATGATTGACGACCAGTTTTTTTTTTTTCGACTAGATTGCACATCACGCTATACATCATGCAGCACTTATTCGAGCTATCTGCACCGAGGTAATTCCATATGCACCCTCTTCCTGCAAACCTTGTCGTGGTAGACCAACCCAGTCTACGCCTTACTAGCACCAGATCCACGTCCCATCGACCTTCGGCATCGCGCCGTCTACTCAGCGGCATAATGAGGTGCACAAGGGGCAAGATGATGGTGGTGGTGATGCGGAGAAACGGGGAGAGTGGGATCGGGAGCGTCCGGCGGAGCACACGCACACGTCCCGTTTGTGAGGGGCCCGGAGCGGGTGAGGATGCGAGAAAGGAGGTTGGTGCGGCGTCTGAACAAGCACTGCACCGGACGGGCACCACGGGGAAATATCATCCCGCGTTCATAGACTTTCGCCCTCGGACTCTTTTTCATTCATGGGCTGTCTCGAGTTTTGGGGCTGATATGTCCTTGCCTTGCACTCGCGCCATCTATCTATTTCCTCATAGTTTTGGGGTTGGGTTGATGTGTATATAGGTATGGAAATTCTGCATCTGAGCATATCCACTTCGACCACCATATCTACGTTCTGCACTCATACGGTCTACCATAAGGCGAAGGGGGGTAGTTCATCAATAGGCGCAGATTCCAACTGCGAAAGCTCTTTGACACTGAGGCAGTTGCGGCAGGCTTCTTCTCGTCGGCCGCTCGTCAGAACGTCGCCGCAGGTTTCGCAGCTTCCTTTGGCGGCATCGGACTTCTTATCTCCATGTACTCTCCTTCGTACAAAAAACTATCGTATAGTCTCCACAACAACTCGATTTGCGATATGCGGCATGTATATGCCATTTGGAACTGCATACACTTTCTTCTCATGGTATTCATTCAGTCTCGCGGAAAACCCTTAGATACAGATGATGTGTATTGCTGCCCTCACATGGATCACACAGTCGTGTGATTTCCATACCGGCTGTCGCATGTGCACATTGTCAGATCCCGCGGCGTCTCCATCTCCCCTGGTGATGCCACCCTCAACACACCGTCATGGCCGGCACCCCCCTCTCGACAACGCGGTCCCGAAAATAGCCCAACCTCGGATCCCCAAACACAACACTGCTCGCATTGTTCGGCTTGGCAGCGCCGTGATCACCGTGCCCATGCACATCCCACAACCCGCCGCGATCGCGGAAATACTTCCCCGTCGTCGTCGCATACCTCGCCGCGACGTCGTCAACGACAGATGCACCGGAGTTGGCGGGGAAGAGGAGGGCCTTGACGCCGGTGTTGGGCATGATGCGGGGGCGGTTGGCATAGCGGCCGCGTGTGCCTGCCCCGGGGGCTACGGGTGCAGGGAGAGTTGGCCACGTCTCTGCCGGCGGGGCCGCGATGCCGGGGTGGGTGGGTGCCGGCGGGGGGCGGTAGTGGATCTGGTTTGTCGTGCGTTCGAAGGGGAGTTGCCGGGTGGCCGGGTCGCCGATGGGGGGGAGGCTCGGCGCGTGTTTGATGTGGCGGGTGTGGGAGGAGGATGCCGCGGCGTGGTCGAGGTGCTTGGGGGTGTAATCGCGTTGGGTGGAGGTGGTGTAGTCCACGCGCGGGGGTGCCGCCCCGCTCCCGTTATCTGCGGCTGCAGCGTCGTCCCCGTCGTAGCCGATCCGGAATGTGGATTCGGTGATGCGCGCGCCGAGCACCGGGTGGCGGATGTACTGGCTGGATGTGAGTTCCGGCGGGTAGTGTGGGTATGACGATGCGGCGGTCGTTGCTGCGTCGCCGCGAGCACCTGTTGCGATCGGGAAGTATCCTGAGTCGCCTGTTGGAACCGATGAGTAGTTGCTGCTCGGGGCGTGCAGCGATACACCTGCCGCTTTCAGTTTGGTTTTGTCGTGCTCCTGTGGCGCGGACGGCGGTACGTATGCGGCCTGCATGCTCGATGTGTCGACGAGGGATTTGTTCACGGGCCGCACTGCGTTCTGGATGCCGCGTTTGGATACGAGCCGGTCTTCCAAGCCGGAACGCAGGGCGGTTCGCGCGGACAGGTAGGCGTCGGGGTAGGGAATATACGTCGCGCGACTTTGGGATTGAGCCGGCTCGTCATGGGCGGTTGTTCCGGCGGCGCCGTTACCAGGAGCAGATCCAAACTGGATGGACGAGAATCCACGGCGGTGTGAGTCGGGAATAGCGCTGGGTGGCAACACATGTGCCTGTGCTGGCCCTCCACTTCCATCGGCAGTCTTCCGTCGGTACGTCGCGTCCGGTGGTGGTGGGTACGACAGCTGCGTCAACGACACGAAAGTGCGATTCTTCGAATCCCCATCAATCGTATCGTCTTCATGAGACCCCGCGGCACCCCTGTTCATCTTGGTCAACCCACTGGTACTTCTCGGCCCCTTTTTCACCAACTTAATCCCGGACGCCGACTCCAAATAGGCCTCCACGGGATGCCTCACCCACGCCCCACCCGCAATGGTAGCATATTCCTTCACCTGGTCCTTATTGCCGAATGGAATGGTACTGGCTCGGTTACTAGCTCCGAAAGAGTGGGCCGTGTTGGCCGTCGTTGCATCAATTGCGCGGGCCGCGGTATCGTGATTGACATGGTAGGCGTCCTGATGGGTCGTGGTGTACGATTTGAAGTGCGTGTCGTCGATGGGCAAGTCGTGACGTGTGCGGAGGCCGCCTGTGTGCTTTTGGTTGGAGGTTGTGGGATTGGCGGCGGCGTGGAAACGTTGGGCGGGAGTAAGGGCGGTGCTCGAAGCAAGTGTGGACGGTAAAGAAAGGGCCTCTTCCTTGGACAGGTCTACGATGGATAAGCGTTCGTCAACCACCCGAATGTGCTCAGCCGTACGCGGGGCTATTGACCTACCTTTGCCACGATACTTGAACGCCTGTCCGCTCACAGTCTTGTACGCATCATCTTCCCCATCATCTAGCGCCATGCCATTCCCTGGAATCCCACCAGCTGATCCATCCAATCCGTTCAGAACAACTCCTCCTCTCCTCCTCGCATCCCCAAACGATATATGGTCCGCCCGTTTATTAGCGGTGTCAATACCCAAGGGCTTCCCCGCAGGCGGCAGCATCGTATTATCCACCACGACGCCTCGCGACGGGGTGATGAAAGTCAGCTTGCTCTTCGCTGCGCCGGGAATTTTGGAAAAGTCCTGCTTTGCATGGAAATCCCTGCCCGCAGTCGTAACGAACTGAGTGGATGCATCGCAGTATGAGGTATCGCCCAGCACGATGTCGGTGCCAATGCGGGGCTTGGGATGCTCTACATGCAGAGGCTGGGTCTTCTCCAACGCTTTTTGTGCAGCTTGCGCGGCCTTTTGCTGTTGTTGCTCTAACCGGTATTGGTTGACGGTGTTGGTTGCGCGCTGAAGCTGATATGGAAGAAGTGGGACCGCTTTCTTTGAAATGGATGATGCGGGGGTGTAAGGTGCCTCACCCCGCTCGATGGCGGAGGTGCTGTTGATGTTTACGCCAGAGATGCGCATTGCTGAGGATCGGCTCGCAAGTTCGCATAAGGCGATGGAGGTGGGTTTGATTTTGAACAAATGGCTTCGTTCGGATGCGGCGGGCGGCTGCGAGAGCGACCTTGGTGGCCGATTGGTTCTGTCTTAAGAGCAGAGTTACGGTTAAAGATATTCATTCAACGTCTTCAATCATTCTCTGCTGATGCGGCCTCTGCATTGCCGCTCATTCGAAGACGGAAAGGAGGCGGAGATTATCCAAGAATCAGTCGTGCAAACCTCTGACAGCACCAATCTCACCTGTCAAATTCAGCGTTTTGAGGACCACCGCATTAAACTCTCCAATCAAGTCACGTGGCGGTGTTACTTCGGGCTCCCCCGTCGCCGAAGAGTATCCAAGCGTTGGCTGTTACTTTGTGTTTCGAGTAACTGACCTTTTCTTTTTTCTCCGTTATAGAATCAATCGTGTCATTCCCCGTATCGGACTCCCCATGAGTACTAGCACGAAGAAGGCCCAAAAGAAGTTCCAGGAAAAACAACTGATGATATCGCGACTTGTGAAGTGTTTGAAGTGCGGAAATGAAAAAGAAATTTTCCCCCACCGGGAATCGAACCCGGGCCACGTCGGTGAGAGCGACGGATCCTGACCACTGGACCATGAAGGATTGCCTGTTGTGAGAGTAGGTGCAATAACTTATATTTGTTGGGGTGCTTCAACGTCCCACATAACTGTTTGCTTTCCGGACTGGCACTGGTTGAGGCGATACCGTTTCGACAACCCATCGTGATTAGTATTATGAGCGTCAACTGACCTCTGTTTGATTAGAAGCGCTAAGTGTCATGGGACGTCTTGGGTTCTGGTTCTAGGCCCGGTGACGGGTCGTCAAAGGGGTGAAAGAGGCACGCAGCCAGCCTCTAAACCAAGCCCAGAAAGCACGCAATCATATCTCTTTGAGCGGAGGGAGGAAGCTGTTTGTTGTTTTCCCCCTGAGTAATGTGGGTGCTGTGCTCCGATGTTGCGTGATTAGAGATGACACACGACCTGTGAGACTTGCAAATTCCACCCCCCCCCCCCCCCCCCCGCAGCGCCCGCCTATTTGGGCGTCCCTGACTCTGGCGGAATACAGTAGGAGTTACGTGTACAGAAAGATCAGTGATGACTGCCCCTATCTCCCCCCATAGACTGCAACTTTCCCACTCGCTTGAAGTGGACATTCTCCCACGAAACTAAAACCACTAACAACCACACTAAGCACCCGTCTTACGCACGGCTTATTCGTTGCCTTGAACCATACTCCGACCAGCCTGTTGCTGAGTGTGCGCTGTGCCTTTCTTTCTTTATTCTGCCACTCGTCTCCACAGCCATTCTGCTGAGCATCGTCCAACACGCGACGAGATAACGACTTCAATAGCGAGCCGCTCAGAGCATTCTGCAGCACCTCGTCGCTCAGCCACTACCCCACGAAGGGTTCTTGTATTCTCCGAAGCCTGCTCCGATAAGTCCCTGGGGACTTGCTGAAAGTGAAACCTTGAGTCCATTCTTCGCACCTGTGGGTGTTTCGAGCAACTTCAAAATCCGCCGCCGACGAGCCGCGACGACGCCTTCCAACTGCTTTCTCAGAGTGTAACTCGAACCCATTCGGTCGTCTGTCAGCCGGGTCTATACACGACTTCTGTAAACCTCGTGCCGGGAACAGAACGGCATTCCAAGCAATAATACTTCCGCGCTCTTGGTGGAGTCGAACAACGCAAGCTACGTTTGCTATTTAAAGAGTTGACGAAAGAGTGGATTGGCCCACTTTACGTCTGCTTCCTGCCGGAGCACTCCGCCGGAGTCGCTTTCCGGCCAGTATCATGGATCGTAACATCTTTTCGAGGATCCTGCCGCATCGAATATTTGTGCAGTTGAATAATTGATCAGGGCGTCCGATTGCACCTCCTCACCACTCCGAGTAGATCGCCTCCTGAACCCGCAGAGGTGAGATTCCGGTTCACGCAGTGGGTTTTTCACGTCCATCGTTGAAGCACTGACATCACATCATCAGCAGGCCACCCAAGATGTCTCTGCATCCGTCGACAGCGCCGTCAATGGCGGTAGGCGACTATATCATCGGCCATGAGATTGGAAGGGGATCATTCGCGACGGTGTACATGGGGAAGACGATAGCAACTGGGCATCCGGTCGCCGTGAAGTCCGTATCACGGGAAAAGTTGAACAGAAAGCTTATGGAGAATCTTGAAAGTGAGATCAAGATTTTGAAGGGGATCCAGCATGAGCATGTAGTGGCACTGCTTGACATCATGGTACGGTGACTCCTCATCGACCCGATGATATCTCAGCCTGACTTACTAACTGGGGCACCTTCCTTCTAGAAAACTGACAAGCACATCCACTTGATAATGGAGTACTGCTCGCTGGGAGATTTGTCAAACTACATAAAGAAGCGCGGGTTGGTGGGAGGACTTCAAGTCGAGGCTGGACAGTGGAATCCAATGTCCAGCGTTTGGGGAGGTCTAAACGATATCATCGTGAGGGACTTCCTGAAGCAACTGGGTAAGTACTGCAGAACCGTCTTCCCTCTCGATCATCACAATCTGACATCGACGTGCTTCCATTTAGCCTCGGCGATGGAGTTTCTGAGAGCACATGATTTAATACATAGAGATTTGAAACCTCAGGTAACGGCTGACCAGTCATCTCAAAGAGTCTCACCGAACGTCGGTCCGCACATCTACTTACTCCATCGTCGCTATCCTCCCATAGAACGTACTATTATGCCCCGGTCCATTCGACGCACCTGGGTTGCAAATACCGTCCTTTGTACAGCCCGGGACTTCAGTCATGCTACCTCCCTTACCGGTACTAAAGCTCGCCGATTTCGGATTCGCCCGCGCATTGCCTGCCCATTCATTGGCGTCGACGTTGTGCGGATCTCCTCTGTACATGGCCCCTGAAATTCTACGCGGAGACAAATATGGACCGTCGGCCGACTTATGGTCTTTCGGGGCTATCTTATACGAGATGATCTGCGGCCGACCACCTTTCAAAGCGCAAAACCACATTGATCTATTGCGGAAGATAGATCGCGGGGAAGGCTACATCAGATTCCCTGGTGAAGGCGCAATCGCCGCGCCTGCACATCGCAACAGCCTTTCTTCGTCGCCAAGTTCTCGTCTCGGATACAGCCCAAGTTCTAGTCCCCGCTTCCTTGCACCCAGCGGTGCCCAGGCTCTAGGAGACGATCTGAAAGATTTGGTCAGGAAGCTCTTGAAGCGAGTGCCGGCGGAGCGGATGTCTTTTGAGGCTTTCTTCTCTCACCCCTGTGTGATCAGCAATCGATCGCTGGCTTCTGCATCAGGTCCGTCGTCCTATGACGATGGTTTCTCATTACGGAGAAAATCGTCTTCTGGATCACATCGGTCGATACGCGGAGGAACACCGCCATGGAACGATTCTCCTTCCGGGGCGACATCAGATGCACATGCAGACACCCGGCACCCCGCCGCCATTTCTGAAGGGTTCGGACAGGCATTCGGGCAGCCAGATCGAGTAGATACACATGCCAACAAGTTCGTTCCTGTGGCACTTCAACGCGTCCACACATCTCCAGCCCGCCCGGAGTTCAAGCGAGGAGAGACTCTGATATTGGGTATGCCACATGACACCGCCCAGCAGCAGAGGGCCATGGCGTCCGAAAGCAAGTCGTCTTCACATCACCATAAGACATCCTACGGTGGTCCCTCCTTTGCCCCAATGTTGCCAAGACATTTTGGGGGCCCGGTGGAAATGACGAGACAAGTGTCCGCGCCACCATTGCACCCCATCAAAGGCAGTATCGGAGATTCATCGAATTCGGGAAGTACGGCGCACATCCATGCCAGCATAATACCCCCCTTTTCGACCGGCGGGAGTGTTCCTGCGCAGACAACATCGAGTACACAACATCAGGCTCATCATATCAATGTTGAAGCGCCATTTCCAGAATACGGGCAAGTAGATCCGGCCATATTTGGCGCCTCGGTCAAACCTTCTTCGAACGTCGAGCCGGAGCACCTTGCGGTATCAACACCCGACGAGCCACTGGAAGGCTCGAGAGGAGAGGAAAACAACTCGTCTCTTTCTTCCCTTGGAAGTTTGGAACTGAGTGAAGTCGACGAGCATGATGTTTATGATGATAATGGAGACGCCGGCGGGCCGAAAGAGCAGAATGCGAGTGGCTCCAAATCATCAACGACTGGCAGCACCGGCACGAATAACGGCAAGGCGAGCATAGAGGAGTACGTCGTAGTGGAGAAACGGGTTGTTGAAGTTAACTGGTTGGCCGATGAAGTAGCTGGGGCTTTTCGCGGTACGGAAGGACAAGGATCAACCGCGACTTTTCCCGCCGCCGCCCACGCTCCTGTGCACTATGCCGCTTCCGAGGCCGTTCTCTCCCGCGCCTCGGATCTGCAGCCAACTCCGTCAACAGATGTCCCAAGCCTGGGCTTGACACCTCCTACTCCTCTAGGGCAGTCACCTCGTAGCCTGCGTATATCTCCCAAACAACAATCCCGCATTTTCGGCTCCCTGCGCGAATCGACCCACCAGTTCCTCAACAGTCCCGGGCCCAGCAGCGGACATCCCACAAGTTCGCCTCTACCGACCACTACTCCACCCCAAGCATATACCGCCGCGGCCTCTTCCGCCGGATCACCAGGACGGAACGTCGCAGGCGGTTTCCTGTCCAGCCCACGATCAGCCGCCGACTCGGATCAGCATTCCCTCCTCACACCATTGAATCTCTGCGCTCTTCGCGGACACGCTGTCCAGCAGCTCGCAGACTCGCTCGCGCCGACTGCACCATCTGAAGCCCTCGGTTGCTACCTCCTCGCCCTGCGATGCTACCAAACGGGGATCGAAGTCGCCAAAGGGATATGGGAGGGCCTGCGCTCTGCTAGATCGTCCTCGCGCGGCTTGTCCATGTCTACGGCGACAATGGTAGGGATGATCAGCGCCAGTGTAGCAGGTGGAGGTTACTCGTCGCCGTCTTCTGCTAGCGCCGTCGACTTGAAGGTTTTGAGCGTGGGAGTGCAGTGGGTGCGTGAGCGGTTTAATGAGTGCTTGGACCGCGCTGAACGATGTGGCGTCGACGCGGACGATACCTCGGGACGACGTGTGGAGATGGTGGTGTATGAGGGAGCTTTGGAAGTGGTGAGTAACCTCTCTTTCTTTCGGGATTAGTTGTGCACGTCAGATGTCTCATTGTCGCTTTTCTGTCTCATAGTCCCGACAAGCAGCCCTTCTCGAACTCTCCAGCAACCCACCCCCATCTCAATGCGAGGACATGTACCGCCACGCCATCCTCCTCATCGAAGCTCTTCTAAGCGTCGAAGACTACTCGGACACTGACAGCGCCGGCACATCATCGAATCCTACCCATCTCCCACCATCCATCTCTTCGTCTGGCTCCTCCGCCAGCGCACGACCGACAGGAATAGGTACCTCCTCCCATCACACCCCCACCATGACGGACGACGATCGCCGGGTATTGGAGCGCTTTGTCGCCAGCTTGTGGGCTCGGGTCGGATCCGTCGCGCATCCCACATCCCCCACAGCTGCCAAGTAAATACCCTGGCATCGTTCTCCCTGCCTCGCCTAACTCCCCACCCGCCGAACATTCACCATTATGACCCCCCACAAAAAAACCGAACCTCCCTCCACGGAGCCCTTCACTATTAGATTCGCGGCACCATGATCGTAGACCTCTTCCTCCTCGTTCCTCTCACACCTCTCAGGTCGTTTGCTCTGATGTGACGAGGAGGGGATCACTCTATCAGAGTCTATCTGCAAAGTTCGCCTTTTCTGTGGGTGTTTGAGATATTTGTTATCTTTCGTAACCCCTTCTGTATATCTTTTTGTTTCTTAGTTTTTGTGCTTCGTTTTTGATATGCAATTTTCCTTTTTGTTTTGTGTGAATCTGTGCATTTTTTGTCTTGAAATTTCATTGGTTGTGAATGTCTGAATGGAGTTAGTGTTCTTGAATGTGATCTGAGTTGGTTTCAGGACAGGTCTTTAGAACTTCGGTGGATCTTCATCGGGCAAACGATGAACTTGCCCATTTCGGGTATTGTACAGTACAGTACATCTTGACGGAAATCGACAGCGCGTCGCTGAATGATTTCATGCGGTGAGTCAATGCGATCCAGTGTGATACCTCCCTTCACCTGTCAAACGCAAAGGCATACCCTACTCTTCTCTCTCAAACCTTCCCGCTCTTTCCTGACCTGCAAATATAGAAATACAAAATACAACCACAGTGACTGAGAAAGTCAAGGGGCGTCTAGTCACACCTTCCCTGGTTCCCACGGGCGGTCGTCAGTCTTCAAGTCTCCACACTCGAACTGAAAACGACATATGCCAATGCCGCCCAACAACCTCTTTTCGCCGACGGCGCCAACGGGTTCGGACATCGTGTTGGCCGATGTGGTTCGGCCAATGGCGGAGGCATGCATGACCGTATTGAACAAGCTGGTGGAGAATGGGCGGAGCGGTGGGACCAGCAGGATATGCGACGAACAAACGGGAATGGAGTCACCCACTACGAAGGAGGTGGTTATGGCGTTGGAGGCTTGTAGATTTTTGCTGGAACTGCCGTTGAAGACGGACGGGAGCCCGAAGGATGAGATGGATCAGGACCAGGTGGAGTGGATGGAATGGATGGGTCAAGGTGTGTTTTCTGTCCCAGACCATCGGAGACGAAACATGAGTGATGTCGAGGATTAACGACAATTACATACAGACTCCACCATCGAGTCCCTGAACGCTCAAACTCAAGCCCTGCTGTACAACCTCCCGCCACCCACTGCCGCACCCTATCTCGGCACCGACATCATGGCGTTGATTTTGAACTATGTCGGGGACACATTCACCCTCGATCCAACGCTACGCCTCAGCGGACAGCTCGACCTTCTGAAGACATGTCAAGTCAACAAGCGATGGTACAAGGACGCCAGATGCGTCCTATGGCGCGATCCGGTCTTTGCCAGCGTTTCGAGCGTTCTCAAATTTGGGCTGGGCGTTAGATGGAGCGCGGCATTAGTCGGGACACACGACAAGACGAACGACACCGATGATGATGCAGCCACAGGTGACGACAGCCTGCTCACGATAGGGGACGCGGTGAGGAGGTTAGCGCTGCCGGTGTTCCCGCGATGGACCGTGGGCGGCGCTCCGATGGTTTCCGGGGTTGTGATGGGTATCGCCGGCAAGTGCAGCAACTTGCGCACGCTCAAGTTCGAGAACGAGGGTGATGCGGTGGATGTGCCAGGTTTGTGTGCTATATTCCGAGCGTGTCCTCATCTGGACGCCTTGCGTTTGAGTATAGAGTTGGACGAAGAAGACAGTGACGACGAGCACTATGAAGATGATGAAGACAATCTCGACATGGACGAGGAGGATGGTTACGAGATGTATGCGGATCGCCCATTCAATGACGAGGCCTCCTGCCACAGCATCATTGACGGCATGGCGCGTCTGAGGATCCTCGATATCGCAAGGATTCGGACGTCGCATCGCAAGAACCTCACCGCTTTCTTGGCACTGGTTAGGAAAGGTCTTGCATCCAACCTGCAGCAGCTATACGTCAGTGCCCTTTACAGCACCAAAGATGCGTCATGCAGATTAAGCGACGTTCGGATTCTACTGCAGCGAATCGCCACAGAGGCTCCAGCGCTGGAGATTCTTCATGTGCTCCTGCCGCTGGCGACGGCACCTACGGACGGCCCTATCCCACATCTGATTCACCAGCACAACTATCAGCAGCTGCACAAGAACCACCATCAGCATTCCCATCACCATCATCACAGCCGCTATAAGAGCAACAACCACAGAGACCAAGTTGCGAGCCTCTGCAGTGCCCTACATGCCGTTCGCATAGGCTGCCCCGTACTTCGCATGTTCACTTTTCGACACCGAGTGAAACAATATCGGCCAGATGCATTCGCTCAAATCGATGACCCACTCACTTTCAAGCAGATTGAATCAGCCATCTGCACGATGTTCACTGGACTGCGATGTCTTACGCATCTGGATATCCAAGGTCTCGAAGCGACCGAACGCATCGTTACCTCGATCATTCATCACGCGCCGCGGTGCCTTACTGCCCTCTTTATGGACATCGACGCCTGTCCGCCGCCTGCGCTCGTCAGCCTCATCACATACCGAGGCGGAACCCTCACATCGCTCTCGATGCTCTCCGTTCTCACGTTTCCCCCACATCACGTCCTTGACGAGATTAGTATCCGCTGCCGTGGCTCGCTGAGGTACCTCGACCTGCGACACAAGCCGCCCGACCCGACCGAACACAACGGGCAAGTTCACTTTACGTTCCCCGAGCAGTGGCTGGCGAGTTTGCGCAACATGTTGACTGCTTGCACAAGACTGGAGAAGACGATGCTGAGTTGGGTACCTTCGGGAGAGTATGAGGACGCCGGATTGACGCTCTATGGCGAGTTCGGGAATCAGGTGTGCTGGGAACGATTTCCGGCCGAGGTGGGGGAGGCCGGTGGGTTGGAGTATCCGGTGTGGTAAGTATGAATCTCTTCGGCTTCCCGTCTAGGTGAGCGGGAAGCTCTCCTCTTGTGGGTAGAACGAATGTCGGAGCTACCGTCAGCGCCGAAGGCAAACGGGCGTGGGAATATCATGCAGAACAGATCGCAAAACTTGGCATCAAGTGCCATTGGAACCTCGACAAGCCGTCGACACATGAACCGGCGTATGTAGTTTATTGAGTCTAATCAACAATTCGGATAGCAGTTTTCCTGTTTGAGCACTGCTCCAAATATTCTCCCACTCAATAAATCATTGCCATATCCGTGTGCACAATGTTTCTCTTCAAAGTTGTCTTCCAACAATACCAAGGACGTGCGAGGCCGAGAGACCATCAACGAGTCACTCTACTCATCTCCACCACTGGGGTGGCCGAGTTCACAGCGCGGCTATGGCCTTCCTCCCGTACTGATGCCATGTCTTCTCAAGCTTGACTTCACATCGAATGTAGCAATCGAAATGCCACCTCTCCCCCAGCAGCATTTCATCTTTAACATCTTCTAGGCGCTAGGAGACATGCACTTTCGCCTGACTCCCCGCAAGTACGTTGCAGGCGACCTGCACAACAAAATAGAAGAACGCACTATCCTGTAAATTGAAGCTGGCGAGACTGGGAGCGTTTCGAGCAGTTTACATGCTTGGTGCAGTGCTGACCCATCACAGTCTTTCTGTTCTCAGGGAGCAGGTCGGGTGAAAATCGGTCAAGGTTTGTTTGCAGCAAATTTCAATCCGGGTTGTCCCGGTGAAGGAGAGCAAGGGGAGGAGACATGGAGCAATGTTGATAGTCTCTCGAAGACGTGCCGTGCCGCCTGTGCAGGGTAGGCCCGACGACGCTTGTCCTTATGTAACGTACACGCAGGACCTCTCCATGCCATGAGCGGTAGGGCATGGAGCGCATGCTCCAAAACCCAGAGCGTCAACACCTTCCAAGGTTCAAACTCGTCATGTCCTGCCCTTTCGGAGAGAACCGATATTCGCACTCACTTCTATGGTTCTACCCTAATCCTGCCCCTAACCCTAACTGGGGCACTTGACAATTAAGAGTATGAATGCCTTGAGTGCGAATAGAAGCTTGATCGGTGAGTGCGAATATCGGTTCTCCCCTTTCGGACAGTTCCCACGCGTCTCCCTCACCACCTCCCTTCGCCATCATAGCCCCAGAGCTTTGGACTTTGCCCACCTTTCCCGTGAGAAGGAACAGCCCCCTTGGCTACGGAAGAAAGCCGACGAGAGAAACAGCGAGTTGGTGAGTGAGCATATCGTCTGGCTCGAGCACTCCGCAGGTCAAGCAAAGTCTCTAATGCCTAGATCATTGCCAGCGAACTCCCCTTTCAGTGTCCTTGAGCTGAGCTGGGAACCGACCGGGGATCAAAAACCCAAAGTGCAAAGTGAAGATGGACAGCTACGAGTCGTTGAACGTGATAGGGTCTGGATCCTTTGGCCTCATCCGCAAAGTCAGGCGGAAGAGTGATGGCAAGGTGGGGAGTAGGCATTGAACGCGTAGAGTAATGTGCCAGGTTACCTCACACGGGTTCTCCTGGACTTGTCAGATATTTGCGAGGAAGGAGATCGATTACCGGAAGATGAGCGAGAGAGAGCGAAAGCAGCTCGTCGCGGAGGTGAACATTCTCCGCGAACTTCGGCATCCGCATATAGTACGGTATTATGAGCGGCATGTCGATAAGGGCAACTCGATGATCTATATTATAATGGGTAAGGAACGCATTGTGCATGCTGAAGCGGCTCAGGCCTTTGAGACATGGAGCTCATGTCCTTGAATCCCCGTAGAATACTGCGAAGGAGGTATGCTTTGTCTCGATGGAGCATCCACGCCGTCGAATACTGATGTCGGAGCAACAGGGGATCTTGCGGCCGTCATCCGAAAAGCTAGGAAGACGGGGTAGGCTGGCGTATGCTACTTCACTGAACGGCCGCGTTGACCTGTTTGCTGATCGACTCTGTTTTAGCCAAAGATTTCAAGAAGCCCACATATGGAACATCTTGGCACAATTGCTGCTCGCACTACACGAATGCCATCAAGGGTCCCCTGGATCGTCCAAAAGTGGATCACATCCTCCCATATTACATAGGTGAGGGAAAGCAACCCACTTCACCCTGTCGCATACGGCTGTACTAACGTCTTCATACAGGGACATCAAGCCGGATAACGGTATGTCGGGTTGCTCTCCCGATCGTTCCATGTAGATTGGGGGAGGGATGTTAACCTCTCCGATCAATCAGTGTTCCTGGATGGAAGTCATAACGCAAAGCTTGGGGACTTCGGGCTATCACGGCTGATGGATGGCGCGGACTTTGCACAGACATACGTTGGAACACCATTCTACATGTCCCCTGTAATTCCCGAGCTTTACTCATCCGGGTCCCGTCGAGTTTTGGGCTGATAGTTGTACGTTCATAGGAGCTTATCAGCGAATCGGCATACAACAAGAAATCCGATATTTGGGCGTTAGGTCAGTGCCGCGTGGTTCTGGATTATACATAGCTGCCACTGTGGAACTCATTTTTCTGCTGTTTTAGGATGCATCATCTACGAGATGTGCACACTCGAGTAAGCAACCTTTCAGACCGGATATCGACGGTAGATCGGAACTGACTATCGTTTTGGACAACAGACCACCATTTCAGGCGAGAACGCAAACCCAGCTCGCTGCGAAGATACAGCGCGGTATCATAGAGCCCTTGCCATCGCAGGTACGGAAACTCGTACCCGTTGCGCAAATCTGACATGTCGCTGATTGACCATCCGACCTGCAGTTTTCGCGGGAGCTGTACCAGGTTATGAGGGAGATGCTGCGTGTGAAGGTATCTCCGTCGTGCTCTTTTATTTACTCCACTTGATCGTTTACTTATGACGATTGCAGCACGAGATGCGGCCATGTACCAGTGCGTTGCTCGAACATCCCAAGATCATGCAATGTCTCGGTCAGGGCCCACGGCAGTAAGTGTCGGCAACTACGGAATGGCATTCCCTCTATCCCTCCGAACTAAACCTACCAATACTTAGTTCTGTGCCATCACCTGAAATCAAACCAAGTATTCCCACGGTTGAAGAGTTGCAATCCAGACTCAAAGCAATAGAGGCACGGGAAGCTGTTCAGAACGCTAAAGAGGCTGAATGGTCCAAAATTGTGGCCGAACGCGAGGCACAAATGAAGGCGTCCTTGCAGAATCACGAGGAGCTGCTGGAACGACGGTACCATCAAATGGAAAAGGAGCTGATGCTGGAGATAAAAGCGAAGGAGCAGGATCTGTTGAGAAAGCAAGCCGAGCTCGCTGAAGCACGGGCGGAACTGCAGGCGCAAGGTTCGATCTGAACACCGTGTTTCCCTCCACAACAATCGGACCTAAAATCTCCTACCACAACAGAGAAAGTCTCGCTGCAGCAAACTCGGGTCAGGTCACGCGCATCCTATGTCATGCCTCTTGGAGAAAAGAACTCAGACGATCGAGAGTAAGCAACCATGATTGCTGTTGCATGGTCCAAAACACCATTCATCTGATACAATGTCGTTATCGTTCATAGAAATATCTTCACGTCGGCGCTGGGCTCATTAGGGGTGCTCGGTCGGGGCAGAAGCTCCAAATCTTCACACTCGGCTCTGAGTGGCCTACCAACACCCCCAACAACCGCCCCTAGCAGCACGGGCATCCTCACATCTTCAAATCGGCAAGTGCTGACATCAACAAAATCAGAAACCACACGAGCGACAGGGTCAGGGGGTCGGCCGACTATGCCGGCCTTACGTCGTGTGCAGTCAGTGCAAGTCTCGGGCTCCCCAACCAGAACGAAGGTATCAAACACCGTGGAAGCCCTTGTACAAGGCTTCCAAGATTTTGCCGTCACCCCATCGCCTGCACGGTCGAGACACGGTCGGGACTATTCAATGATGCACATCTCGCCGTGATGATGTATATCATCAAACCCCGTCGTGACCGAGCTCCCTCGGAGAAACTTTTGGACCCATCGCCCCTCTCCCACGGTCCTCCCCCGAAACTGCAGGCTGGTGAACTCTCCGATAATGTCTGCAGTATGTATTATAGAACAAAAGACAGATCCCTCCCCACTTTTTACTTATGAACAAAGAATAGAAATGCGTGCGTTGTGTCTGTAGCAGCTGCGTCCCATGTAGGACAGGTCACGTTGCGAACTGACCGGAGATGAATGCGACGAGCGCTAGCACGACACACATCAGCACGCAATTTACTATAAACCTGTCTCCTTTCATGACCTGCATGTGCACGAGTGTGAAGATTTCCGATCAGCGTTTTCGTTCCTCTTCCAAGAGACTCCCTTGCCCACGGCTGATTTAGGGGACGGTACCTTATCGACAGCCACGCGCATTTTCACATTCAGATTGTCTACGCGATCTAAAGCCCCATCCACCCCTCGCTCGATGTTGTCTAGTTGCTCGTTTTGCCGGTCCAGCTCCTGTGAAACCGAGGATGCAAACCGACCGTCAGGAAATGTCTCTCTCCCCTGGTCCACCCCAATTTGAACGTCGTAACACCACACGTACATTCCCCATCTCATTAGCCAACTCCTTCAGCTTAGCCACACCAGCACCTATCTGATCCAGATCGTTGTCGATCAATTTGTTACGCTCCCCAATCCGTTTGAAATCCTCCTCTACGTCGATGTCCGGCAGATCTGTGTTTGTGAACGGGTCTGGTGGTGGCTCCTCTGGATCGGCGGCTTTGTTGCCTCTACCCCGACGGCGTTCTGAGGATTGGGAATTAGACGAATGGGACTGCCGGGACAGACGTCAGAATATTACGCACCGGGTGGTCTTGCTCCCGCCAGCAACTCGCTCCGGTCGGCGACATGCCCCTCATTGAACCGCCGTTTCTCGAGATTCTCGCACTCTTCGATGTGTTTTTGGCAAAGATCGAGGATCTCACGCCGTTGAGCTAGATTCGCCACAGATTCTGGATCTTTCTTTTTCTGCTCAACGTCAAGTCAAAGGGAAAAACTCAAAGAACGTCAGTTCATATCCGGTATACGGTCTCAACTGAATGGGAGCTCTGCTTTCCCGAAAGCCACTCTGCAATGCAAGTGGAGGAAGCAAATCACGCGCGACGCACCTTCCGTTCCTCCTTCGCAACAATCTCCGCCATCCGCGACGCCTGCTCCTTCAGTGCCCTAATCGCCACTCTAATGCGGTAACTCTTCTCCGCACTCTCCGTCGTGGTGCCTCCTAACGACATGATCTCCTCACGCTCCTTGAGCTCATTGCGGACTTCCTTGACGTCCAGATGGATCTTTTTGCGTATCCGTGTGAACTCATCGATCTTTTTGCCGTCGGCGCCTTCGTCCGCCGTGGGTTCGGGCGCACAAGCTTCGTAGACGACTTGCAGACGCCGCATGGCGTCCCGCATTGACGCCATGGCTGCTGACGAGACGGGGCTGGGAGCGTTTTAGGGTAGGGAAGTGGGCGGCGCCGGTGCCGGGATAAACGAACAACTCGAACAGTACACTACCGCTTCGGGTTTCGCCGATGACCAGAGAGTCAGTTGTGGTAATTGACTACGATGTTCTTCTTGCCCTTGGGATCCTCTCAGTGTCTGCCGCTTAAGCGTTACTGTCGTTACCCAAGACCAGCGACGTCTCGAGGCCGGCGCTGACGTAAGCATTCGCGTTCCCGAATTCTTGGTTAGCTGCCAGCGCTGCCATGGTGTGAACTTTTTAACATTTCTAGGACAGTAACGCACTCAAGATTGCACCACATCATATAACCTCCAAGATACTGTATTTTGCATGGTCTTGGTTAAAGATTCAATCCCGAATGTGTATGATGCAGTGAATTCATCTATTCCCCGAAGACGGATTCACTTAGGTTCAAACGATATGATCGACATTTCGTACAAAGGAAGCCTGCGACCGCATTTTGCCGCATGTTGATTGTGCCCCCGTCGCAGGACCTCTCGACGCTGTTAATGCAGGGCTTGAAATCGGAAAATGGGAGTGACGGTGCACATACAGAGCAGAGGCAGTATGTTGCAATACTGTATATCCGCGCGAGGAGATTGTCGGGATGTTTCGGAATGTGGCAATTTGGTCCCGATTCCCGCCGAAACAAATCGATACTGGTCTTCAAAATGGTCACTATGATAATAAAGAGCTGCGATTGGCTGTCAGTACTAATTACACACGCGGATGATTCATGCCTCCCGTGATAGATTACCCGCGGCGATCGAAACCTTAAATTTGTTTGACAATCGCCGCCAAGATTCGTAATTGCGATAGCACCAGGAATCCAGGATCCGGTTTAGCCCTAGAAACCGGAAACTCACCGCATGCTAATCACGAGCCTAATCAAGAGTTCAAAACGGGACGTCGAGATCGGAATCGGAGGCTTCCTTGACCTTCCCGCCGGATGTCAGGCGGTCGACGTGGCTTTCGGAATTTGGGTGCCGGAACGCGTGCGAAGGGTTGATGAACGTGTCATGTCGCTGAAAAAGCTGGGGCAGTAATTAAGTATCACTTACCCGCATCTGGAGATATCGGAAATTCGGAATGCTGCCGGCGTACTGTACGTATGTTTTTGCTTAAAGCAACTTCCCCGCAGCACGTATAAAAGGGGAGCATTGAGCGTATCGCCCCGATTTATCGCCACGAGCAATTCGAATCCCCAGCGAACAACCCAGAACCGCATCCTCAGCTACGTATACATCAACCGCAATATGTACTGCCAAACGTCACCCACAGCGGACCTGCCTCTCACGCCACCAAACACACCCTCCAAACAAACCATCTCCGACGTCCCATACGATTGCGACGTCTGCCCAGCCTGCCATGGGTCCGGCTACATAACATCTTCCTCCGATGACGAGGCTCCCTGCCTCACCTGTCCCGGCCCACAACTCTCGCGTTACCCAACGACCTACGATGGCATCGGCATGAAAGGCCAGCGACAACAACGAAAAGAAAAGTCATCCTCTAAGCAGTTGAAAGTCCGCGCACCGAGCCCTCTTATCATCGTCCGCGTTGACGAGGTGGACGTCTCGTCTAGCGGATTGGAGTTCGAGAGGGATGATGAAGCGTGTGTGGACGCCAATACGGTTGCGTACGTGCTGACCAACCCTCGAGCGCGCTGGTCGCTGAAGCTCGATTGGATGCGCCAACGGCATGCGGCCACCAACTCTCCTTCCTCCGCCGACACCATTTCCCCATTATCACCATCATCATCACCTGCCCAATGCACGTCCCTCCCGCTGGAATCGAGCTTCCCAACCAGATGCAAAGATGAGAAGCGACAGAGGAGGGGTTATAGACGCAAGCTGTTCTCCTCCTTCCAGGTCGGCATGGCAAAGTCTGCCTTCAAGGAAATGGCACCCTTCGTCGCTAGTTATCAGCAACGGCTGCAACAGGTTGCAGCATGAAAGCCATCGAGAGCAGACGCGGTAGAGAACATTCCCCGGACTGGGAGAACATTGCCCGGAACTTGTACATAGCCTTCTCTTTTTTTTTGGATGGGTCGCTTCTATACACCACAAATATGAAAATAACATTTGATACCCTGTACATACATACTTTCTCGTTCTTTGTTCTGACTGAAAGTGCGTAATGAGGTCTGTAGTACGGACCTTTGCGAAGCGGATCGTTGCACAACCGCACTGAAAGACGCATCCATGTTTTTAGAAAGCTCTTGAAATCGCAGAATGTCATGCGAGCCTTGTGGCCTAATGGTTAAGGCGTCTGTCTTCGGAACAGAAGATTGGGAGTTCGAATCTCTCCAGGGTCGCAAATTTTTCCAGTTTTTTTGATCTCATCATTACGATGACCCGGTTTGTTTTTTGTTTGGAAATCTTGCTACGTACATACGTTGAGGCCGGTCTGGTTGTCTCATCAACGCCAGAGACGAGATTATGGGCAAACACTCGATCTGAGAGCGAGGCTGTTTATTCCCCCCTCACCTACGAACCGTTGTCTATCTTACAACAATCTGTCCATAGCGAAATTTATTCATCGCGAAAGTATCTTAATTAGAATGGAAATAAACAACAAAAATGCGGGAGACGCCAATCATACAACGAAATCACATGGATAAACCATACGGCGGTGAGGGGGGGATCATGACAAAGCCAAGGGTCAGTCCGAGAAGCGTTTGTATCGGTTGCGCGCCGACGGCGATGGCGTACGTCGACTTTTCATGCCCTGCCCCCCATTGTTCCGAGATTCCTCTTGATGAGTGGCGCCATAGATTGTCACAGCGGTATAATGTTCGGTCGTTTCAGGTTGCGAAATTGCAGTCATGGTGTGCAAGAGCCTGCTACCCCGGCATAGGATATGTCACGGACGAACGCTCTACAGTGACCAGCGCCGACGCCTGATCAGTGTATATCTAGTTAGACTCGTACTCCTCGATAGGTGGGCACGAGCAGATCTGTGAACAAAAAGCAAAAGCGAGGAGTCAGTGTCTAATAGCCACAACCGGCCCAACCGGCACAAAAAAGTCGCTCCCACACAACATACCAGGTTCCTGTCTCCAAAGGTATCATCAACCCTCCCTACGCTAGGCCAAAACTTCTTCCTCCTCAACCCCTCGACAGGGTATGCTGCCTTCTCCCTAGAATACTCCCTCTTCCACTCGCCAACGAGCAGCTGATGGATTGGGTGGGGCGCGTTGGTGAGGACGTTGTTATCGCGGGGTTGCTTCCCAGCCTCGACTTCCGCGATCTCCGCGCGGATGGCGATCATGGCGTCGATGAAGCGGTCGAGCTCGACGAGGGATTCGGATTCGGTGGGTTCTACCATAAGGGTGTTGGATACCGGGAAGGACATGGTTGGGGAGTGAAAGCCGTAGTCCTGAAATGTGATGGAATAATGGTTCAGCATCTGGACTCGAACGCCAACGCTCCAGGAGCTCCTCCCTCCTTACGTGTAACCGCTTGGCGATGTCAATAGCCTCAATATGGGCAGACTCCAAAAACGGTCGGCAGTCGATGATGAACTCGTGAGCGCATAGGCCATTCTCGTTAGTGAAGAGGATCTTGTAGTGCTTCTCAAGGCGCTTCATGATGTAGTTGGCGTTCAAAAGCGCTACTTGGGTAGCTTTGCGAACACCATCGTCACCTGACAAATAAATGTGCCGAGCACGTACGGGGTAAGTAACGAGGCCCGCTAGAGATTCAGAACAGGATCCATCAACTTACCCATCATTTTCAGGTACGCCCATGAGATGGGCAGGATGCTAGCGCTACCCCATGGGGCAGCCGAGACGGGTCCGATAGCCAACTCTCCGCTGGTCTTCACGACGGGGTGTCCGGGCAAGAACGGCGCCAAGTGGTTCTTGACACCGATAGGTCCCATTCCAGGCCCACCGCCACCATGCGGAATACAGAAGGTCTTGTGCAGGTTCAAGTGACACACGTCCGCGCCGATCTCTGCCGGTTTGCACAGACCGAGCTGGGCGTTCAGGTTCGCGCCATCCATGTACACCTGACCACCGTTTTGGTGAACAATCTCACACGCTTCTGTAATGGTCTCCTCAAAGACACCATATGTGGAGGGATACGTGATCATGGTAGCTGCGAGGGTATCCTTGTACTGCTCAGCCTTGGCCCTCAGATCGTTCAAGTCCAAGTTTCCGTTCTCCTCGCATTTGACGATCACAACCTTGAAGCCAGCCATGGCGGCTGAAGCGGGGTTGGTTCCGTGCGCGGAGACGGGGATGAGGCAAACGTCACGGTTGGTTTGCCCTTGAGACCGAAGGTAAGCCCGGATTACACGAAGACCGGTGTATTCACCCTGGGCTCCAGAGTTGGGCTGCAGGGAGACTTGATCAAAGCCTGTCACTTCAGACAAAGCGTACTCCAATTCCTAAAGATATGGAGGTGGTTAGGATACCGAAATGGAACCATTTGTCAAAACATTTTCCTCACCTGCAGCATGATCCTGTATCCGCTGGCCTGATCCACTGGAACAAATGGATGTATATGTGCAAACTCTGGCCATGTCACGGGGATCATTTCAGTGGTGGCGTTCAGCTTCATGGTACAGGACCCGAGGGGGATCATCGCCTCGGCGAGCGATAAATCCTTGCTTTGCAGGTAGCTAATGTACCGCAACATGTCCGTTTCGGAATGGAACTTGTTGAAAATAGGGTGAGTGAGGTATTTTGACGTTCGAACGAGTTTCTGCGGGATGTTCTGCGCGGGGTTCTCAGCGGATATTCCCAACTCTTTGGCGATGCTGTCAAGAATGGGCGTGGGTGCGAAGTTTCCGCGTTTCGACCCGGACCTGTAGCTTTCCTCAAAAGAGGCGGTGGCAAACACACGCAGGAGATCGTACAGGTCTTCCTTTGTCACGGTTTCGTCGAGCGTAACGGCAATGCTGCGCGCGTCCACCTGGCGGACGTTGATACCAGCGTCGGCAGCGGCAAGGACAAGCTCTTCAGCATCATATTTGAGTTCGACGGTGATGGTGTCGAAGAATGATTCGGTTTTCACCGTGTGGCCAAGACGACGGACACCTTCAGCGAGGACTGAGGTCAGGTTGTGAACGCGTTGTGCGATTGCCCGAATCCCCTATGGGAATATAGATGAACGGGTCAGACGTTGTTTTCACTGGATAAAAGAATGTGGCGGGAATGATACCTCTGGACCATGGTATACTGCGTACATCGCGGCCATGTTCGCCAGCAGCGCCTGCGCCGTACAGATGTTACTGGTAGCCTTCTCTCTCCTGATGTGTTGCTCACGAGTTTGCAGGGCCAGACGATAAGCCTTGTTTCCGTCGACATCCTTTGACACGCCGATCAAACGGCCAGGCATATTCCGTTTGAGATTGTCCTTGACGGCGAAAAAGGCGGCATGGGGACCGCCGTAACCGAGTGGAACACCGAACCGTTGGGAGTTTCCGAAGACGATGTCAGCGCCAAATTCCCCTGGAGGTTTGAGAAGTGCGAGCGAGAGAAGGTCTGCGGCGACGGTGACCATGGCGCCTTTCGAGTGCGCCTTCTCTACAAAGGTCTCGTAATCGAGAACTCTCCCATCTGTTGTTGGGTACTGGGAAGGGATACACCAGTTAACTCATGTCGGCTCTGGGATTAACAAGCCTCTCCGCGAGCTTACCTGGATAAGCACACCCATGACATTTCCGGCATTCGCCTCAAAGTCGAACTTTTCGTAATCGCCAACAACGACCTGGATACCGAATCCCTCACCACGCGTCTTGACACATGCGATGGTTTGCGGGTGACATGCCTGATCCACGAAAAACATGTTCTTTTTGCGCTTGGCTTGCGAGAAGCACATCATCATAGCTTCCGCGGCAGCTGTTCCTTCATCCAACAGCGAAGCGTTGGCCACAGGCAGGCCCGTGAAGTCGCACACCATTGTCTGAAAATTCAGTAGCGACTCGAGCCTTCCTTGTGAGATCTCCGGCTGATACGGCGTGTACTGCGTGTACCATCCGGGGTTTTCCATGATGTTGCGGAGAATCACCTTCGGAGTAATAGTGTTCGTGTACCCCATCCCGATGTACGACCGGAAGACCTTGTTTTTGGAGGCGATGTGCTTCAAGCGCTCCAACACCTCCGTTTCGGGAACCCCTGGCCCTAATCTCGTCGCATTTCTGATCGTAATCGACGGTGGTACAGTCCTCTCCACAAGGTTCTCTAGCGATTTAACGCCGATAACTTTGCACATTTGTGCAACATCCTCGTCATCGGGGCCGATGTGACGACGCGGGAATGTGTCTAGAGGCTCGAATACAGGATTGGTCGTACTCGCAGTGGTCGTCGCAAATAAACGACGGGTTGCAGCCGCCGTTGTGGTGGAAGTCGCGGGCTTGGTAGGTCCTGTATGTGTCTGTCGCGCGAAGGTGTTGATGACAGAGCATCCTGCTGCACGGCGAGCCCCGGACGCGGCAAAATGGACTCTGACCGCCGCCGGCGCGCGAATCTGCAGTGTCCTAGAAAGCATGCTGGCCGGCTCTGCGAAAACGCGCTAAGGGCTGATCTACGAGATCTGTTAACGAAATGCCAAGACCTAAGTGGGCTGAATTCAGGGCGGAAAAAACCGGCACCGTTTGCGGGACGGTCCTCTGCTTGGGAGCGCTTTGAAACAGTGGCGAAGGGGACGAACCTCAGAGATAAAGTGCTAGTGGACGAGCAGTGAGACACGCAGAGGTGCCGTGGGGACTTGGGCCTAGCTACTTGCAGGATGCGTTGGACTATTTGACCTTTTTTCCCCACGCTTGCTTCCCCAAAAAAGTGCGCTTTGAGCGAGCGGCAGTTGCAGATGACCCTTTCCCATGGGCAGCGCGTCGGCCTCAGGGGAACGCGTGTAAACTATCACGCGGCTCTAATTGGCTGGCTGGAAGATCTATCTGATCTATGGGCATCGCCCTGGAGCGACGAAAATCGAAAACACTGTACACAAAGAAAATGGGCGAGAATCGTGTATGTATGTACATACAGTACAGTACTGTACCACACTACGTAGGAAAAGGTGAGCCGCAACCCCTCGTTGCCTCATATCCATTGGCTCCTACTATGCCGTCCCCGGCCCGACGCTTGGAAGGCAGGGACGTTCCGTACAGGGCAGGTAGTCCCTTGGTCTATCTCATGCACTTTCCCCACACGAAATGGAGGTGGCCTCATTGATGGAGAGATTGATGGTGGGTCAACCGTCGCCATACCAAGATCAGTCTAGTCGAACAGGTCCGGCTAAACACGGTCCAGCCGGAACGCTCAACTGAGCCCATGGCTTCCATTCGCAGTTGAAGCGTTGTACAGATTTGTGAGGACACCCTACTCAGACGGGAATGGGAGGATTTCCCGGCTCCTTCTGAATGGAATATTGACTCGCGTTGGATTGCCGTTCATCATTATGCCCGAACCTGATAAGGAGATGCATTGAGGCGTTGCGCGCCGCGAATGTGGGGAATAGTAGGGGAATAGGGCTCCCCTTTCTAAGTACCATTTGCGTCTGGTCCGAGGACCGATGGACGATTCTGCGTCGTATCGACCTGTACGTAGAAATCATCGTTGGCATCCTGATGAACATATATGGTTTTCATCCATAATCTGCGGCCTCCGTCTTGCGAAGCGTCTCTTTGGTTAGGGAGACTTGCCGTAATGAGATCCGTCCAGATCAAAGGGCTATGTACAGGTCGCATCTTCTACAAACCTCATGCTCAGCCTTTTGCTATTAGGAGCCATCATCGATAGTTGACCTAAGAGGTCGTGGTTCAGTCCTCTTGCCCAGCACTGTCAGCGTTTTCGTGCCGCGAACGCGTTCCCAGTCGGTGTGCCACATTCCCGCACTCTGGTCATCGCTATCGGATATACTAATTCCAACTCGGACCACAAGTCCTTTCTCAAACTCAGGAAGGGTGCGTATACGATGACTGAATTTGGGAAACTGCCGACGATAGTCAACGACCGAGGTGTGTACATCGATCCGTTGGCACACGAAAGCAGCTGCTTTCACCTGACTCTACACCAATCCGCTCTCTGTTTCCGCTCCACCGGGATGCGCAAACTACTCAGCATTCGAGCATGATAAGGCGTTGGCGCATATCGAGGCGTTTGAGCAGGCGTCGTCCTCAGGTAAGTGAAAAGGGTCCAGACAGAATTGGAGTGAACACAGCGGGGGCAGTAGTTTGCTTGGACATTTTGAGGGTCCTGGGAAAACATACGCATGTACCGCGCTGTAGCAGTAGTTCTGAAGCATATGTTGAAACGGGCGGCGTCCGGGAAACGACGGACATAGGAGGGGTTCCGAGACCCCATAGCATCCTCCCACATCGAAACGATCCTCACGAACAGCAAAACAGAGCGAGACACGACGGAACTCTTCAAGAATCTCGATCACCTACGACGAATGCAGATTGATATAGCATTGGAGCATCTGGCACTCGGAAAGCAGTCAAGCGAACGGCTGTAAGTTGAATGAGCCTCTGGGATAATGAATTGGGGGAGAAGAGGGACGGAACGGCAAGGGGTCGGGAATTGGGCTCTAAGACCCTGAGATTATCACAGAGGGGAGCTGTGTGTTCGAGGGATGGCAGCTATGGTACAACTCGGACGGTGACGGTCTTCCGTCATGCGATGTGCAAACCTTTGTCTGTCCTCACTCCTCCGGTATACCCAGATCGGCGCTGGACGTCAACCCTGATGAAGACTCGACGCGGCGGTATAAGCGCAACGCGGAGCGTTTCGCCAAACGGGAAGCTGAAGTCAACGGTTTGATGTCGCGGGTATGTTCAAGCCGTGGGGTCCCACCTCAACATGCACCTCACAACGACTTCAATCACATGCCGCACCATCCTCATCCTTGCTCGCGACCATAGCTTGAGGAGCTCAGCGAATCAATGTCAGTACAGGAGACCATTTTCATCGCGTTGTTCTGCGACCCACTACTGACGTCTCCCAAATCTCGCACACTACGCACCCACCACCTCACCACCACATAGGCGCAACTTTCATGACTCGATGGACCTCCTGCGCGCTGGCGCGTCAGGCAATCCGACGAGTGCCGCCCCTAGCGGTACCACTGCCGCCGGTGCTGCTGGTGGCACGGGTACCGCCCGCGCTGATACGGACGGTTCGCCTCGTGGCGGTGTTTAATCATACCCCTCGACGCAGAGAATTTGCGCTTTGATGTGGAATCCGGCGTGGATGCGTCCGGAATTTTTGGAGAACTGAGAGATCATGATTCACGATTCGCTCGCACATAGGCGTATGACTGGGTGGATGACATGGGTCCATGCCCTTTAGAAGAATTTCTATTTGACGTTGCTTACGTATGGGGCCAGTTTCATGAAGCACCAAAACTGGGCTAATGCGCTCAACCATGATTATGGCGGATGATGGTTGACAATAGGGGACGATGTGGGTTCAACTCAAGTAATCTACGGACAATACTGGTATATGAACTTGACGCCATAAAGTCAATTCCACAAATGCAAAAAGAACAAAAAATTGTGCACGAAGCGAGATTCGAACTCGCGCCTCTTACGAGATTGGAACTTGAGACCAACGCCTTAGACCAACTCGGCCATCCGTGCTTGTTGAATGCTAGGATTTGGTTACACATATCTCCATATGTAGTATATACGATTCTATTAGCAACACACACTCTGACACCGCGTCGTCTTTCCATAGTTCCATAGTTCCTAGTTCAATACAGATCATTTCCTTCCATCAGCGAAAAGCCTAGAGGCTCTGTTTCCTGCAGGGATATAAACCATTCTCACCTTGCCCTGAGTTCGGTGGAGCATTATGGAGTACTACATTGATAGTGTTGGGCTGACTGAGTTCTGATGAAGCGCCCATGAGCTGCTTGATATATTCTTTCAAAATCCCCAAAAATAGCAGTATTTCCCAGATGAAGTTTATGTGCACAATATCGGCATACAAGCGGAGTGTGCCATCAGTTCCTTGCTCAATGATAAACTTCCGGAACTTTGCTCCCCCGGTTTCCTTCTCTGCTGCTTTTCTGATCGGCAAAAGCCGACAAAGGTGGCTGCCTACGATTCGTGTTGCCAGCGCTGGTCTCAGGTTCCAGTCTCGCAACAGTATATCAGTGGGGCCAGATCGAGAACGCCCTTCAAAGCGTCATCGGACCTCGCAAATTAAAGAGTTATGAGGCGGCGAAAAACTACGTCTCTATTTGCGACCTCTGAACGGTCAATCTCTAATGCCCAAAAACATGCGTAATTCTTCGCATCTCCTCCCAAGTGGCTTGCCCACATAGAGTCAAGAAACAGACCCACATCGCTCAAACAGCACCGATACCGTCCTGCGAGTCTCCAAGCCCTTCAAGCACCACCCTGCACTTCTCGGACATCTCAGCCACTGTGGGTCGCGATGCAGGTGGCGTCAGCGCGGCAAGGATGAGATGGCGGAAAGCGGCGTTGATGTAGACAGGATGACTCCGCAAGGGCGTTGGTGGGGTGGGGAAGGAGACTCGGCCGGAGATGGTTGCTGTTGTTGTGCCGTCGACTAGATGGGTGAAGAAAAGGGATGCGTGTAAGTTGGGGGTGATGACGTGCAATGGATGCGAATGACGGCTTACATGGAGAGACGCGATATGCCATTGCGTACAGTGTGCATCCAAGTGCCCTACGATCATCGAGTGAGAGTGCTCAGTAAGTATACGCGAAGCGCCTTGACATCGCGGGGTGAAAGCCCTTACCAGACATCACTTCTCTCATCAACACTACCGTTGGTGGGCGGATCAAACAGCTCCGGCGCTCTGAACGGCGCCGTGGCTGTCTCTGCGCACTCTTCTTGAAGTGCGATGGCTTCCTTCCGCGACGTCAACGTCACGCGTGCAACTGCTACAGAGCCCAAATCCATCAAGACGGCTCGTCCGTCCGTGTTGATGAGGATGTTGGCGGGTTTGAGGTCGCGGAAGGCCAGTGGTGGATTATGCGTGCTGGGGATGTGATGCGATCAGAAAGAGAGCTCTCACGGACGGACGCACTCAATGCACTTACTGGAATGCGGAAAGCCCCGAGCATACGTCCATAGTAATCTGCAAGATCCTTTGTAATGCGATTGCTTGATCGGTCGGTGTCTGATCTATCAGATCCTGAACCGTACCCCTCTCATAGAATGGCAGCAACAGCAAACCCTCCACAACCGCATTCCCCCTCTTCACCACCTCCTCATCCACCAACTTCACCACATATGGCGACTGTACAGCCTTATGTGCCGCAATTTCGCTCTTCAGCCTCTCCTCGTGCTCCGGCAACTGTATCCGAACCCTCTTCAACGCGTACGTCGCCCCATCGCCCACATCCCGCACTAGGTACACGAACGAGAATCCTCCCTCCCCTAGCTGCTTCAGCACCGTGACGCGGCGTCGGCTGTGAGCGAGAGTGATGGTTTCCGCAGGCTTGAAGATGGTAAAGAAGCTCGACATTGTGGTGTAGAGCGTGGCGAAGAGGTGGGAGAGGTAGGCGACGACGTAGGAGGGGCGTGAAGTTGAGGCGCCCATGCCGCTTCCGTCGAACCCGCGGGATGATGACATGGACTGTGGAGGATAGTGGCCGGAAAACTCTTTACGCTGTTTGTGACGTTGCGGCACGCCCACGGAAGATGCGGGTGTAAGGAGGGCAAGCAGCGGCCGGTGTGTCAAGCAAGAACAGTCCTTTCAGCCTTGCTTTCAGAGTGAACTTAGGTCTCCTTCCCAGTATAGCCAGCTCAATGCGTCCGGTTGGAGGCCAATGTCAAAAACGCAAATAATGCGAGTGCCCAGGGCAATTGCAGACCTTTGCCCTCCTTTGCCAGTCCTTTTCAGAGTACAGTAGTTGCAGACGCGTTCACACTGACTTCACAGCCTCCACCCAGGCTTTCCACCTGCAACATCTGCATTCACAGACTTATTATAGTATAGGGTGTAAGGGATCCTGTGGTGTGATTCAAAGAAAGCTGCATCGACCTGTACATAACGTTTGTCAATACCGACCGAAGAAAGACACCGGATCGTTCCCGATGGTGAGTGCGTGCCTCCGACGGGAAGAGGAGTTCTGGAAATCGATAACCACCTGCAGGCAGACGTATGACTTTTTCTAATTCGCTATTCCCACCGTCCCCGCCCCGCAGTCCTCCCCAACAATGTACCTCCGCGTCAAACGCCAAAAAACCATCTACTTCCTCGAATGCACGCCGCAAGACAGCATTGGGTCCCTCAAAACCAAACTCGCGCACGGCCCACTCAACCGCGAAAAGGACCCAAAAGATCTAAAGTTCTTTGTCGCGACGGCACCCCGGGCAGAGGCGGCGCCGGCGAAGGGGACGGCGAAGGCGGACGCGAAGGGGGATCCGGCGCCGACGCCTGGGTATGCGGGGTTGGAGGATGCGGCGCTGTTGGAGCAGTTGGGGTTGGTGGATGATTCCGTTGTTTATTTGGCGTATTGGGTGCCTGGGGAAGGTGAGTACGATGGGGAGGGGTACGGTGGTCATGATCTTCCTAACTGTGGGCAGCTTGTTGATGTGTTTTCTGTTCATAGGAAGCGGTACAGGCGCGTGGGAGCCAGTACAGGTACCTGAATTCGAATCATTACACGAGGAAGAAGGTGGACATGATGCAGTCGAGCCGGAGGATCGGAAGGGGAAGGGCAAGGCGTAGATAGACTGGAAGCTCCGACATGGGGTCATTCATGGGGGTGGAGGATGCGGTGGATGGGCCTGCACTGAGACAGCTTCGGCGTTGGGATGTCGGGAGATTGAGGCCGCGATAAGTTAACATTGGGAGAGCAAGAACGGATCGACGTGTTTGGGCGGGGTGTATATTGGCCGGGAACAGTACGCCGGTCCCCCATCCGCGATCGATATCCATTCCATCAATACGCCGCGTCAAGACATGTGTATATGCACTGAGGAATGCTCCTCGTCTCTCGTAGTCAGATCCTTGCGTTCACGAGGTGAACGAAAGACCCTATCCCCATCCGTACTTTGCCTATGCGGCGAGGATACTAGATATACCCAAAAACCGATATACGGTGTTGTCTGTTATCGTACTGTCGAATACCTGGAGAGTGTATTCAACGCATATTAGTGGCCGAATGCATATTTTGGAGGCGTACATTCCCAGGCGGTTTCTTACATTTGGAACGCGTAGGTGGAGAACGGCGGCATCTCGTCCATGAGCATATCCGACCTTCTACGCGAGTAAACGTGTCAGATTGTGGGCTGCGTACCGACGCGAGAACCAGCACCGCGACACTTACACTGCCGTAGCCCATAGCTTCAACCCCCGAACATGCGTATCCTTTCCGTGCTGGTAATTCTCAACAACGCTTAGTTGTAGAACGTGGGCGCGCAAAGGTTTGCTGCGAAACGATACGACAAATCAGCCCTCCTCCCCATCCCTTGCCGCAAGAGTCTATGCATGTCATCAGGAACTCACAAAACCTCCTCATCCTCCGACAAGCTGAAATCCACCCATCCCGTCGTCTCGGGAACCTCGTGCTGTTGAAAATCCTACTGGGAAAATGGCAAGTCAATCTCTACGGTTCAAATCGAACACGCTCGCATCTCAACGATGCTGGTTTCCGCTTCCAAAACGCACTTGCATATCGTAAAATGAGTTCCCGGCGCGTATCAGGATATGCCTCGGGGTGTAGCTTTCGTCTTTCGCGTGGTCGATATAGAGCGATATCCTCTGTAAAAGTGAAGTGAGCCATTGTTCTGTTGAAGGCAATTGGAGGTACAGAGGGCATTACCGTCAATGCCATCCGTTGCGGGAACTCTACATTAACATAGTGAGGTTGCGGGCCGTCTGATCTGCAGTAAGTATGTCAGTTTCATTCTTGGGTCGCACCCTCCATCACAAACCCACGTACTGCCAATACGTGCCGGGATTCCCATCCCGTAACCGCTCCGGCGGGTGATCATCTTTGAAGCTGGAGACGGTCAGGCGGGCTATCGGCGTGACGTCCCGAAGGCCTGTGGGAGAGTCTGGTGTTTCGTCCATAGCTGGCGGAGAGTTTGGCTGGTCGAGTTGGAAGAAGCATGCCTCATGGAGGCAGCATGGACTCAGGCATGGACTGCATGGCAACTGCATGGAGAGGCCATAACCCAAACGCGTCCGAAGTGGCTTCTGTTTGAAGCCTGTTTGGAAGGACTTCCCACAGCCGATTCCGACTTCCCAGGCTTCTGTCCGAGTGTGTTGCCAGCTGCCAGGTTGTTCCGCTCCCTCGACAGCATGACGAGAGCAGCACCAGCCCGCCGCCACGGCGAAATCCTCACCATCACCGAAATCCTCGTCCGAACCACCGCAATTTCAAGCACCCCTCAACCACTCTCCGTCCGTGTGCTCGGAACGTATGTGTTTCAAAGTTGCGTACGGCGTTCATATGAGAGGCCTGTCTCTGACCGTATACTCATGTCTTGTTTCGCACAATTTCAGGTTAATAGCATACGATTCCAACAACTCGCTGGCGCTTATCGAGTACGGCAAGGCTCGTCTGGTGGTGGATACCGCCCTACTCGGGCCGTTCAGGCACCGGCTGAGGACGCTGTTGCAGTTTATTGGGGATGTGGAGTGCGATTGGCGGGTGAGTGGTGGCTAGACGGACTATTGCGTCGATGAGGAAGGGAAACGTCGAAAATAAACCGCATGCGTTTTGTTCGATCTAGCCGCCAAACAGAGTCTCCTTTGACCCACCGAACGTGGGCGTTGTTGTGCGAGCACGAATCGTGAGGAATGTGGAAGGGTTAGATGTGCGGTTGTACGAGCAGGCGATGAAACTGAGACTAGAGTTCGGCGTATGATGGATTGTGGAAAGGTGTATGCTCCATTTTTGGCCGTTAATGTTTATGCATTATGTATTGTTGAGGAAGAGCGAAGTCGGTGGTATATAGGGGGAAAGGTCTGCGACTATAGAATAGTAGTCTATGACGCTATGCTATCTCGAATCGGGTCTCCTATCGATCATCTATGCGTAGCGCTGCTGATGCGTTGCAATGTCCTCGCCAATCCGATATTCATTTTTGGTTTGTGAGAAAGGGACTCGAGCCCAATGCTTTGTATGCTGGTCGTTCCAAGGAATTCTGAGCGACTCTAATATCGGTGTGAATGTCGTCTATCAACGCGTCTGTATGTATGGGGAATGAATCCATATGGTGAGCGGGGCAGGTCGCAGTGATGTGCGAGTGTGACGGGGAACAGACCTAAAGATTCGTAGTTCTTCTCTGCCCGGATGTAACCTGTGACAATGACCCGGAGCTCTTCGTTGTAAAAGTCGCGATCGTATTGGTGGATGATGTGCACCTCCTGGGAAATCAAAACAAGAGAAGGCGTCAGCTCCAAGATGTCCGCACTCGCCTTCCTCCACGTCTCGAATGGACAACCACGCATACCGCCGACCGCTTCTGGTTCTTGTAATACGGGTTCCACCCGAAGCTCATAACCATGGGGTACACGTCTTTCGCCGTCTCCTCACCGCCAACAGACGCCCAGCCATAATAGATTCCGGTGTCGACAATTTTGCCAAAGTCTTCCGCGACATTCTCTGGTAGATTGGCTGGAAAAGGCAGAAGAATGGCGTTACTTCTCGGAGTCAGGAAAATGAACTCAAGTTGGAGAAATGAGTTCGTACCTGTTGGAATGCCCAGCTCCTTGCTTCCGCGTCCAAAACCTGCCGAGACTATGCCCTTCAGGTTGACGGGGTAAGGGGCGGAGGGAATGTCCTCGCCAACGACAGACGGCCTCTGTCCCGCTGGTTGTGCCTGCGCCGGTGGTTGCTGTTGTGACATGTTTGTGCTTTGTGCTGTGTGGGTCAGCTGGTCGGAGCGAAAGTTCCAGGAACGCCGTTCGAGCCTGTTGGCCGATATCGCCGTTTGGGAAAATCGATGACTCCCTCGCGCGTGTCTTCCACTAACATGTTCCTGCCTTCGCTTTTCGACAGCCTTGCAAGTTCCCAGGAGATCATCCTGCCTGCAGTTCGAGGCTGCCCCAGAGATATTAGACCAGCCACCTATCCAAAATGTCGGGGGCCCATATCGAGCGCTTCGTGGACCCTGTCGACGGCAAGGACACGGTCAAAACCAATACACACTGGTACTTGGAGCTCAACCCTGTGTATATTGACCTTGTGGGTGATTTTGCTGGTACCGAACTGTTTGTTGTCGACGGCGAGGCTCTCCTGGCTTTGGTTTACGAGGACCTTGCTGGTATGTTCTCGACTGTTGTATACGCTTATGTATCGTGCAAGCACTGACCTTTCTCTTCCGCAGGTGTAGATTGTCCCGCTTTTCTGCATGCTCTTTATTGTGCTGAAGAGCGCTTGAAAGCGCTGATAGACGTGAAAGCCAATTTTGAGCTGGCTTTCTTCGATGGTTGTTCGCCAGTGACGATTGCTCGCGATCTTTGAATGCAGTTCACTGATGTTCTCTATCCCAGACAGACCGGAGAAATCTCAGTGCGAACGCCCCTGAAGGAGCATATAGCAAAGAAGCCCACTGGCGCCGTCTCTTCCGATCAGCATTGGTTGCTCATCTTCGAAACAATACGGGTCTACGAGTGAACCTGTTCGCAAGTGTATGCACCGAGGATTGGGTATCTTATGTCGCGGAAAAGAAGGTTCGTCGGAGTTCATTAGACAATCTTTTCCGGAAAATTCGACAGCTCATCATCTAGTGGTCCCTTAGCCGTACTTTATCTTCACCAACGACGGAGGCTCCGCAGAGGATGAAAGCACGGATCAAGTCTCTATAAGGGAACGGAAACTTGGCAAAAGTGGCCAAACCCTCTGGTTAGAGTCAATGTACCTTTTCCTGCAACAAGGGCTGTCCGTTGCGCTACTGGCTCGAGATTCGTTCCAGGGAAACAGGGTCAGTGGCTCCCGTGTTTTGGGATGAGATGTTGTAAAAGGCCCATCACTCATGGCATAAACCATAGGTCGTTGCATTTGTGTTTCACACCCATGCGAGATTCACCGATGGCGACCCTTCCGCGCATCATCAGCAGTATATGTCCAGCGCGGCTTTCCTGAATGACAATTCGATAAAGAGTATCACAGATGCTTGTGATGCCGCCATTCACCTGGAAGGGTCTCTCCTAGTCGCCACCCTATCCAAGATCATTACTCCGGATCCGCTCTCTGTCGATATGGCCAAGCTTTTTCTTCTGCATTCCGTCATATTGCCACAAATCCCATTGGAATATCGAGCACTCCAGGACATAAGGCTCCCGCTTGATAGCAAAGCGCTCTCCTCGTATGAGGACTTTGTCCGCTCCTTCTACGCGACCGCGGAGCAAACAACATTGAAATTTGGGCATGACACCGAACCACTCCTAAATACCGTTGACGAACGATTCTTCAGATGCCTGGTTTTCGAAGTCGGACGGCATCTGAACACCAATCCCGGCTCATCGTTGCGTGCGGTGTTGGGGGATTTAGCAGTCGAGAACGCGAATCGCATCAAAACGGCCTGGGAAGCTATTTTCCCGGGCACTGAGATTTGGAGCCTCAGCAGCGAATTCCACGACTCTATCGACGCGCGTGCATTTTCCGTTCCGCAGAAAGATGGGCTATCGTCCCCACCAACCGATGATGATTACTCGCTTCTACCTTACGACCAACCGTTCCTGAAGTCGTATCTCCCTACCCTCCCAACTGAAAGCGAAGCCGCCTCCCCTCAACCAAACTTCGAAGACGTTCACATCCGTCACCACGAAACCACACACTGGCACGTCAATAAACCTGTAGCAACCACCCACGGGCCCAACCCGGTTCATTCAGCCCAGAAAGCCGCTGTTCGCGCGCGGAAGGCTGATCAACGGCATGCAAAGTTCATTCAGGACTATGCGAGTTCGTTGACAGGGGCTACTGGGGGAGTCATTAAACGGAAGACTATTGTGTGTAGTGCGTCGGCCCATGGCAATAAGAGCGCTACGCCGAGGAAGGCGCTAGAGAGTACGCATACGAGTAGTCCCAAAACAGCGAAAGCGGGCGGAAAGAAAGGCACTCCCCTCAGCAAGAAAGACGCAATTATCGCTGCCAACAACGAGCGCAAATTGATCGCGGAACGTGAGCCTGCTCTCAACAAATGGAAACAATTGCAACGGAACTCGCAGAAACACGACGATGTCGAGGCTGCTATCGCCGAATTGGACCGATCGCTGCAGAGTGATGCTCGGGCTGGACATGCTGTCAAATTCATCACGGACGAGAAAAGGCTGTACAAGGCAATGCTCCTTTTGCAGAAATGGGCTAGCCTTTGCGTGGGAGAGGATGAAGCGGATGTGAGGCGGCAGAAAGAAGGCGGAATGGGATTACTGGTGCAGATTTTCGAGATTTGTACGGAGCTTGTGCATGGGGATGGAACGAGTGGGGAGGTTGTCGATGAGGCCCGCGGAGTACTCGACACTATTGGACTATCCCCATCGGCATCTGGAACATCTACTGCTGCATCGACTAAGGAGAAGGGGAAGAGCAAGAAAAGCAAGGCTTCCAAAGAAAACGGTGTTGACTCCACGCCGTCCACACCTTCAAAAGACAAAAAGGACAAGAAGCACAAAAGTGACAAACCAAACGCCGTCTCCTCCGCCGACGTCGACCCATCCTCGATCCATGCTCTCTCCTTTACGTTCAAATACCCCAAATTACCGAGGGACAAAACGGCGCTACGATGTCCGTATGACGTTATAACGTTTCAATTGAAGCATTTTGGACCGTACATGGAACGTAATGTGGATTCGGCGCCGGATGTCCGCACGGATTTTATGCCAGATAGGTGGCAGAGGGATGTTTTGGACTGGTGAGTTTGTCTTCGTTATTATATTGATTTGACTTCATAACGACTCTAATCGGGAAACCCCTACAGTATCGATAGAGACGAGTCCCTGTTCATCGTGGCGCCCACGTCAGCGGGAAAAACCTTCATCGCTTTCTACGCCATCGAAAAGGTGTTGCGAGAAAGCAACGAAGGCGTGGTGGTCTATGTCGCCCCTACCAAAGCGCTCGTCAACCAGATTGCGGCCGAGATCTCGGCCCGGTTCACAAAAACGTATCCGCACCCGGGTATGAGTGTGTGGGCGGTGCATACGAGGGATTATCGGATACATAATCCTTTGAAGTGTCAAGTGTTGATAACGGTATGTGCCCTTTGCTGTTTATGTAAGCTTCCGATCTCGGGGACTCATGTTTGGAATTGTTCAGGTGCCACACATGCTTCAGATATTCTTGATGTACGGTTTAGTCCTTTACTTCTATGTTGAACCTTAGCTTTAGTTTATAAAGCTCTACTAACGGTTGGCGTAACTATAGGCAACCGGACGTGGCAGCACACTGGACACCCCGCCTGAAGCGCATCATCTTTGATGAAATCCACACCATCAGCAATTTGGAAGGCGGTGTGGTCTGGGAACAGAACCTACTTCTGTCGCCGTGCTCCATCATTGCGCTCTCGGCTACAGTCGGGAATCCGGAAGATTTTGGTAACTGGTTACGCGAAGTCCAAGATGCGAAAGGCCATTCGCTCCGGACCATTCGGCACTCGCACCGATACTCTGACCTTCGCAAGTTTATCTACCTCCCGACATCACCCCAGTCTTTTAACGGACTCAAGGAGCCGTCCCTCGAGGGCGTCACCAACTTCCAGCATATTCACCCCGTCGCTGCCCTTTCCCTAGGCGCGTCGACTATCCCTGATGATATGTATTTGGAGCCATTCGAATGTCTGCAATTATACGACTTGATGAAGAAAGAGGAGCACGACGCCCCTGAACAAGTTCCCGTGGACTTGGACCCACAACGGTACTTTGCACGTTTACCCAAGATCCGCAAGATTGACGTCGTGAATTACCAGACGGAGTTGAAAGCCGTTTTGCAGGCGTGGATGGGAGTGCCTGGGTCACGGAAGGCCGGCCCGTTCTTCCGAGTTCTGAAACAGTTGACGCGAGATCTCGACCAGAAACTTCTCGTGCAGGAGTTTGCTGCGGAGCGTAATGGGGCTCCCACGGCTGGCTTCGATTATGCCTTGAAGAACGTGACTGCCCTGTGCGCCGATCTGCATCGAAGTGGCAAGCTGCCTGCGATCCTTTTCAACTACTCGCGAAATAACGTGGAAATGCTCGCGCTCCGGATTCACTGTGATCTTGTGGCTGCTGAAACAAAATTCAAGGAGACGGATACGAGTTGGAAGCGCAAGGTGGAGGATTGGAAGAATTGGAAGGCGCTTGAGGCGGCGAGGCATGCTGCGGCTGCAAAGACGACCAAAAGCAGCAAGAGCCGCGATGATGATGATGCTGGCGACGATGGAGGAGATGATATGGGCGATCTTTTGGATTGGCACGCAACATTTGACCCGGACGCGCCTTTACCGCAATACAGTTTCGCAGGAAAGAGCTCGGCATCCGCCAGCGAGATCGAGAAGGAGATTGATCACCTCCGAAATTGGGTTGGGATCCCGGAGCAGTTGTGCGACGCCCTTCTTCGGGGTATCGGCGTCCACCACAGCGGTATGAACGTCCGCTACCGCCAGTTTGTCGAGCGCCACGCCCGTTCTGGCAACCTTCGCGTGGTTGTCGCTACCGGTACGCTGGCTTTGGGTATCAATCTGCCTGCAGCAACATCCGTCTTTACCGAAGATAGCGTTTTCCTCACGGCCTTGGAGTACCGTCAAGCTGCGGGACGTGCCGGTCGTCGTGGGTTCGACGTACTCGGAAACGTCGTGTTCTTTGCCATTCCGATCGATAAAGTTTATCGACTGTTGGCATCGCGGTTATCGGATTTGTCAGGTCATTTCCCGCTTTCAACGACGCTGGTATTGCGATTGCATCAACTGCTGGTGGATGGCGAGGCGAAAAACTCAGGAGAGGAGATGATGAAAGGCATGCTCGGTTTGGGACGGTTGTCGGTGGGGAGCCCGGCTGCACGACTAGAGGTCTTGCATCATTTGAGGTTTTCTATTGACTATTTGAGGTATGTGTGGACGATGCGACTGAAAGGATATCATCTGATTGAGCACCTAACTGGTGCCTTTGGCTTGCAACTTAGACGCGTCGGGCTTCTGGATTCGACTGGGCACCCTGTCAACTTGGCTGGTGTCGCTGCGCACCTGTACTGGACCGAGCCGATGAACTTCGCATTCGTCTATCTCATGGATTCTGGAATTCTCAAAGACATCGCATGCGGACCCGAGCCGGAATTGAACCTCTTGACGTGCCTCGCACATCTCTTTGCCCGAAGGAAGCGTCCGACAAAGATTGGCGACTTCAAGGAGGAAATCATAAAGAAATCACCGTCCAAGGTCTTCTTGGAGCCATTGCCTAGCAGTGCAGTGGACGCTTTGAAGCACCACAACGACCTTCTGTTCCAAGTCTTACGCTCATACATCCACACCTTCATCAAAACGCTTCCTCACGAAGAAACCGCCACCCTTCCCGTCTCAAACCGCACATTCGCTAAATCCGCCTCGCAACTTGCCCCGTCCCTTTCGTCCGCCCCACTCGTACAAAGCATCGCGTCCACACATAGTCTAGCCTATCGCGCGCGCTCACCCTTTGTCGCTCTGTCGGGTCTTGGGGACTCATTCACAACCATCGAAGAGATGTGCACCACCCTACGCGCCGGCATCTCTCTTCAGCACGCCGTCATCCCAATGGTCACGGAACTCGTCGATACATCCCCGACCGCGCCGATTTTGGACGCCTATGCGGTAGATTTCTACCGTCATGGACAGTTCAAGGCCCTGATCGATGGGAATGGGATCAGACGTGGTGATGTGTGGTTTTTCGTCAATGACTTCATGTTGATTATCGGAGCGCTGAGGACGGGCTTGGAAGTCCTGCTGAAGGCGTATGAGAAGAAGGTTACTGGTGATGTCGGATCGGATGGCGCGGTTGATGACGAGGATGAGGATGAGGACGACATCGAGACGGTCGCATCGGGTCCACCTACTGCGGCTGGCGCTGTACCGCCGGGCAAGAAAGCTTCGCGACGGCAGTGGATACCGCCGCAATCGTTCAAGGTCCGCGATGACCGCTTGTGGGATACCTACCTCGTTATGTGCAACATTCAGCGCGGGTTCATCGAGAAGATGGAGATTATGGATGCGTAGGGTGTCATACTTTGGGAGAATGTCCATGCGGTATATCATCGCATTGCTTTGGGAGTAGCTGGGTAGTCACAGATACACTACTCCCTCAACCCTAGGAAGCAGCTTAGCAAGGGATGTAGCGGGAGGATTTGAGGTACTGGATTCGCCACGGCGTATCTACAATATATAGGATCGCATAGCATCCCGTCGTTTAAACGCCTCTACATTTGTAACTTTTATTCAAAATTTGCACCTCACTTTCGTGACGTAAAAGTTTCCCTGTTGTTTTATATTCGATTTCCGAAGGTAGAGGATGCGTATTAAGAGCCCAACGTCTCGCTGCCTCCTATGACGCTATGGATAAGACAAACTAACAGAGAAAATTGCCGTGACTCACTCAGACGAGAAAGCATGGGTATACGCCGATTTCTTCCCCCTCTTTCTCCCACATCATGCCGGCCTGCAAATATGTCTTCCACCAACTACCCAACCCTCCAAAGCTTCTACACAGAAGCCAACACATCCAACGCCGAACAACACCCCTACATCGCACCCCCAAAAACCCCATCAAAATACCCCTCAACCCTCCTCCAATCGCCCATCCTCGCCACACACCCAACATACCCATCCGGCCTCACAACAACCACAGCATCGCCTTTAACGCCGTACGCCTCAAACACGCTCAGGCCGGACGCCGGAGATGTCGGCTGCGCAGCGTAGATCGCGTTGAAGGGCGGGCGGCGCGGTGTTGTGCTGGATGTGGTGGTGATGTTGAATCCGCGAGGCGGGCGGCGTGGGAGGAGAAGGAAGGTTTGGATTGGGCGGGGTGTTGGTTGGGATTGTAATGTTGTTCCGCTGGTTGTTTTGGGTGTGCAGAGATTTGGGAGGGAGATCTCGACGCCGCAAACGCCCGGGGAGCCCTTCCGGTCCTCTGTCGCGGTGAAATTGGCAGTCTTGTCGTCGTCCGCGCGAGTGGAGACTGCAAATTGCGCGTTATAGAAAACGAGAACTGTGAAATGGTCGTTCGGGAACGTGTCGTGGATGAAGAGTGCAGATTCTGTTGTGACGGAGCTCGATAAGATTCCTTTGCTGAGCTTTTCGATGAGGCCGTTGGGAGCTCGTGAGCCTGGTCGGAGAGTGCAGTAGGATGTTGCAGCGGGCGAGGCTTGAATGAGGGCGTTTGGGGAGTATGCTTTAGATAAAGAGCGCATGAGTAAATTGACAAGCGACTTCAAAGCCAAACCAGAAGCCTCGACCTTGCCACAGGTTCGACGTACCAATGAGAAGTCCGCCACCCATCCTGCGCATCCTTTTCGGCAAGGAGGGAAAGATATTGAAGATAATGGCGACTATGCGTTTCACGAGCTGTAATAGGAACACGGGACTGCGTGAATATGAAACACTAGGCGTAGGACATTCCGCACATACCAACTGCCATAATCCAGCTCCACCCAAAATCGACGCATGCAGCCGGCCCGAAAGTCCCAACACTTGCTGTGCTACAGACATCCTCTCAATACCATAAGTCGAAAACAGCGAATCGCGGTTTCCGTTATGTTTCAGCGCGAGCGCTATACGCCAGGCGAGCCCGTGTGCATCCTGTATGCCGGTGTTCAGGCCGAGACCACCTGCGGGACTGATGAAAGTACATGAGATTGTGTACCCCTTGAAACGAAGTAGCACACACTCTGCGATACCAACCTGTGCACATGAGCCGCATCACCAATAATAAACACCCGCTGCTCCACATCGACGGCTTTGGCCATGCGCTCCTGAAACTGCAGCTTGACCAGCCATTCAACATCTGTGATATCAAAATCGTGTGGGTGAAGGAGTCGACGGATGCGTGAGACAATGGGCTCGAGAGGCATGTCAGGTGCGGCGTCGGTGATCGTGTGGTAGGTTGGAGCTGCTGTGCAGCTGGTTGTCGCGGGAGTAGACGGCGATTCCGTTTCTGAAAGCTCTTTCAACCCGCGATTCTCGGAGGTGAAATCCACGATGCATCTGAAAGACCATCTGTGATCAGACCGCGAAAGCAACACCCACAGCAGCGATGCAGATGGCAGCATTCACCTAGTATAGCCTTTCCCATGAGGAATCATCAACGCCGAACCCAACGTACTCGCGACAAGCGTCATGCCATCGATCGCTATGGGCGCACTGGTTTTGACAAGTCCATCCACCATCCCCACTACGCCCGGCAAAGATCTGCCTTCCAATTTCACCCCCATCAGCCTCCTAACAGCACTGTGACCTCCATCCGCGCCGATGAGGTACCTGCATCGAGCGGTCGATCCGTCGCTAAGTGTGACTTGCACGACATGGTCATTGGGTCTGGATTTTGCGTCCTGATCGATTTTGAACTCGATGAGACTGATGCCCCTCTCGACGGTGACGCCTTTTTTCGCCAACTCCTGAGTTAGGATGTTTTCTGTAAAGGACTGCGGAATTGCGAGCGGGCCTCGCGAGTAAGTGCGCTCTTCTGTGGGATCGTTCTCGGGGACCGCGGTTTGCATTGAGCCGATGAGTTTGCCGTTGGCGATGAAGTGGCCGTGAGTGAGGGGCCAGCCTTCATCTTTGAATCGTGAAAGAAGGTTGAGTTCGCCCAGCACTTCTTGTGTTCTGTTTCCAGGTGTTCGATGGTGAGATATTTTGTTCAAATCGTTGACTTCTACAGGACGACCTCACATACCTCACATGCAGGACAAAGGCCCGTGAATGCTTTGCTGGTTCGGTAGCTTTGTCTGATCGCGGATTCAGTTTTGAATCAAGATCTCGGAAGCGCCCCAATACATTCACTTGACTTACCAATGATCCTAACAGCGACACCCATTCGCTTCAGACTTAAAGCGACAAACAGCCCAACAGGCCCAGCCCCTATTTGCGCAGAGATGAGAGCAAGAAAACGTCAACTGTGTCGAAAAGTAAAGAAAGACCATAGCGCTCTCACTCGACTCACCTACAATCAAAACGTCGAGTTCTTTTTTATCGCCTTTCATGATGTATTCAACGCCGGGTGGCAAAGCTGTAGCCGAACGTCGGACCTTTCAAGCTGCTACGCGAACTTGGCCAAGCTCAATGACGGAAAAGTCTAAGCGTTATGCTCTAAGCACTTTTTACAACTATGGACGGGACTCCACAAAACTGGATAACAACAATGGAACCAGAATTCAACCACTTCACCTGTGTGAGTTTCTGGGCTGGAGTTTCTGGGCTGGAGATTCCCTGGGATGGAGAAGCGCACAAAGCCGATATCCAGTCACATTAGACGCGCTGTCGAATCTGCAGATGCGTGCTGTCAACTCCTAACAGAGATTTCTGGGGTCGGTGAGTTGAGGCATCAGTCATAAATTTTGGTCTTTCGGCAGAACGGAGAGCCCAAAGATCGAGGGTATCATGAGCCAATTAGGGTTGCTATTGGTTTTTTCTGCTTTCGGAGGCAGCATTTCGCTTCATGTTCAAAACACATGCTTCAAAGCCAAAATAATTAAATGCAGGCCAGCTTCGGCGAAGAGGAGAGAGGCGAAGGCCGGCGCCATGTCGTGGCATATTCTGGGCATGTCAGTTGGCGATACCGTGGGTGGCCACTTTGCATGGAATCCGTGTCCTTCGCCAGCGCCGCCGAGCGGCTCACTCGGTGTTCAGTGTCTTTAAACCTTCGTTGTCCGAGCCCATGTTGAGGCAAGGAATAACCGTGATGGGTGTGCCTGGGAAAACAATTGCCGAACAATTACTAAAAGGCAGCACCCACGCAAAAACCGCAAAATCAACGTGACGCGATCGGCGGTTGCTCCTGTTGCTCCTTACGGTTATTCTCTCTGATGCAATTGGCAAGCAAGCGCCAATCGCCAACCTCATCAGACTGACCCTGCATAAACGAGTTTGGCTGAATGAGGTAACCACGCGTATCCGCGGATAATCCCCGTCATAGCTTGTTTTCCCACGGCAATTTTCCAACACTCTCAACGTCCGTCTTTACCGCTCAACTCCAACATTCGCAGGGTAGAACATCACGACGCACGGAAGCGTGGGAAAAAAAGAAATGGATATGGTATATAAGGCTTCCGGGAGGACAGAGATGCTCGCTTCTCCACCACCACGTACCGTCGTTCCTTTGTTGCCTCGCTTTCCGCCGGCCACTCTTTCAGTTGGTCTGTTCGACGCTACGTAAACCGTCCCCTGTTCCACGGCTCGCAACATGGTGCGCCACAACGAACTCAAAACAGGGCCCTCCGTCACCATTCACCAGGAACAGGCTTCTTCTCCAACCATCCGCAAGCCGAAACAACGTAAATCGAGGCCATGGGCACCATATGTGGAAGACTTCGATCGCATCCTTCGGCACCAATACCCTGGGAAGGGAACTTCGGAAGACCCGTACGTCGTAGACTGGTTGGACGCCGACGAAGGCTACGGGCGTGACCGCGAAAATCCAATGAATTGGCCTTCGAGTTATAAGTGGACCTTGACATTGATCGTGGCCGTGGCCACCCTTGCTGTCGGGTTCTGCTCTAGCGCGTATACTGGAGCTGTGAAAGGGATCATGGCGGAATTCCATGTATCCACGAGAGTGCTCACTCTCGGTGTCGCCATGTTCGTGCTGGGATTCGCACTTGGGCCCCTGATTTGGGCTCCTTTCTCCGAAGTCATTGGTCGCCGTCCTCTGTTTGTGTACACTTACTTCGCTCTCACCGCTTTCAACGCTGGAGCAAGTGAATCCCCATCGATGACTGCTCTCATATTGCTCCGCCTGTTTGCGGGTTCCTTTGGCTCTTCTCCGCTGACGAATGCCGGAGGCACCATCGCCGATATCTTCCACGCTGACCAGCGTGGTGTCGCGATGGCCATCTTTGCTGGTGAGTTGATCATAATCCCGTTTCGCGATGACATATTCAGATTGCTCACATCCGATCCCCTTATTTAGCCGCCCCTTTCCTCGGACCCGTCATTGGTCCTATCGTCGGCGGCTTCGCTGGCGACTCAATTGGCTGGCGGTGGGTTCACTGGATCATGACGATCTTCACGGGAGTCATGTTTCTCGTTGGCACACTGTTCCTGCCCGAGACATATGCGCCGGTCCTCCTTCGGAAGCGTGCAAAGATCTTATCTCTAACCACCGGCATGGTTTACAAATCAAAATACGACGGCAAAGAACCTTTCCGCTTCGGCAAGCTCATGAAGACGAGTCTGTCTCGCCCGTGGGTCCTATTGTTTCGCGAGCCGATCGTCTTCATTCTGTCCATCTATTTGGCAATCGTGTACATGACGCTGTACTTGATGTTCGGTGCTTTCCCCATCGTGTTCCAACGCGGGCGCGGATGGAGCGGTGGTATCGGCGGGCTGGCTTTCATCGGAATTGCCATCGGCATGGTTTTCGCTGGTATGTTTCTGTCGACCTCTCCGCACGAGCACTCTTGTCTAGTCACCTCATTCAGCTTTTATTCACCATTAGTTACGTACGTTCTCATTGACAACAAGCGGTACATCGCCATGAACAAAGGCGGTAGGGCGGCGCCAGAGGCACGGCTACCGCCTGCTATAGTTGGGGCAGTGGCCATTCCCGTGGGCCTCTTTTGGTTTGCGTGGGGCAATGACCCTTCTCTTCACTGGGCCATCCCGATCTCCGCGTCAATTCCCTTCGGTTTCGGCATGGTTCTGGTTTTCTTGGCATGCATGAACTACTTGATTGACAGTTATGTCATCTACGCGGCGAGTATGTATTCTTTCTTTTGCCAATCGACGATATTCCAAAGCGTTTTTCTCACCTGCTGTTTTCGTCCTCACCCAACCCCACCAGGTGTTCTGGCTTCCGCTGCCGTCTTGCGATCGATTTTCGCGGCCATCATGCCACTATTCACAGCCGACATCTATCAGAGTCTGGGTATCCACTGGGCGTCATCGATTCCCGCATTCTTGGCTCTGGTCTGTATGCCATTCCCGTACCTCTTCTGGAAGTACGGAGCATCGATCCGCACCCGGTGCAAGTACGCGTCGGAGGCCGCCGAGTTCCTTGACAGGATCAACGGAGTGACGCGGGAAGATAAGAACGCAGGCGCGGACACGAGTCCAAAGGTCAGGGATGAGGAGAATGCCAAGGAGGAGGAGGAGAAGGATTCAGCTACAGATATACATCCACCGCCGTTGGCCGTTGTTAACGGCAGCTTGCCACGATCGCATCCGCTTGACTCTGAACGCACGCTCGACTCTGAACGCACACTGTTCGGTATCGCGGATATTACAACCGAAGATGAGGAATTAGCTTACGAAGCTGGTGCCATTGATCGTGTATAACAAGAACACACCCTCGACCTAACTTGGTGCCCGAAGTATACACCAACAACAAGTAGCCGGCGCAACCCGCTGTACCACTGTCTACTCGTGCTGGAATATCCACCCTTGTGGATCCTGGTACTTGACAGTCGGCGTATCTCAAGGTTGCGGAGCCGTGATAACATCGCGGCTCGGATGATCAGAGACAATACTTCACGCTAGCGGGTCATTCCGTCTCCCACCACCACACAGGCTAGCTTGCGCGCTGAACTCGGAACACGAACGACAAGAGTTGTCTGTATCTGATTCAATCCCAATTTTGTACAGTGTAATAATTTATATACAACTTATATATACTTGGATGCGCATTCCCTGAGCGTCCTTGCATACGACTTTCATGGCTCGTCTTTGTCAACGTGGCGATTGATGTATACCTGTCATGGCCATACTGTGCCTAGTCCCAGCATTTCTTCCACGTGGAGCCTTCAAGCACCAAAGCTCAGGTTCACCCCGCTTGTCGAGAGATGCGTTCCGTCCGGGCCTAGGGTGTCCAATCCGGAGGATTCTCTAAGCCATTTTATCGGAGAATAAGTACATACACGAGAAGAGAGCGCGTCCTCGCTACCACGCATGGAATCCGTTTCGTGAGTCGTACTATGCATGCCCTTCACCAGCGCGCTGAAGAGTCTGGTCACCGAACCTATACATCCCATTAGTGACATCGAACACTCATTCCGCCGGCCCAGACCAGAATGTTGTCGCCCACTCCATCCCCTCCCGCCGATCCGGAGTGAGTCCCAGGAAATCTGGACATCCTGAGCGCGTCAGAAATATCGTTGAGCGGGATGTGTGCGAAGTACCGAGGGGCGACGGATATCCCGATGGTCCCGGAACAGAGTGATTCGGCCAAGGCGGCTTTCCATGGAGAGACGGACCACAGACTCCGGATCCGGTAAGCGCTTTCAGCTCGGTTCGGCGTTTCACAAATCCCCCTGGCGCTAGGCTTCCTCAAAATCACCCCCGCCGAAGCCCTATCCCCTTATGGCGATGACGAGCTGCTGTCACCTGCCATATCCGCTCCCAGATATGGCACTTCCTTTCATCACCTCCCTTCTATTGACGGCCCCAGTCTCCAACATGACTTTGGGTCCGCTGTGATTCGCTGTGATTTTCGCCGGTGGATTTTCGCCGTGATGCAGCTCGCCTCGCCGTCCGCCCGTCGGTCGGTCATGTGGACGAAGCTCGAGATGGCGGCTGTCGAGTTCGCTTGTTGATGGTTATGGCAGGGTCGGCTGGAGCGTACAAAGGCCGTAGCCGTGTTTGTGCTCGAGGAAGCTGTTCACCAACTGCCCAACGATCTGCCGCCATTCAGTCCCAATCTCCGTCGCTCGCATCTGCCTGCATTCAGTCATCGATTACGACAGCGCGGTGGCCCGTCGTGGGTAACTCGGGTAACTCGGGCGTCTGGATCAGTCTAAAGACACTGCCGACCGGCGCGGCGGATTCTCGAGAGATGTTCGAAAACGTGTGCAAGGTTGTGACTTGGGAGTCAAAATTAATCTACAGTCGTCGCCGCTGAGATCTGCGAACGAAAGATTCTGTGCTGTGGTATAGAGATCCTGACGGAACAGGTTTCGAACTCCAATCGAATGAGGCAGAGATCACGCAGTTTCTCCAAAACGCCAAAGAGCGAAAACTGGATGTGCAGATACCCTAACCCTAACCCTAACCTTTGGGCCGCGTGTCATACAAGTATCAAATACACGTGACGTTTTTGGAAGGGGCTTACGCGTGACTGCCCCACTCAACGGGGCAATTGAAGTCAGGCGTCAGGACATAAACACCAAAGCACTCGCCGAAGACGTCCTGGAGGCTATCGGCTCGCTTGACAAACCGGACTTTGGTGAGACATCCTTGTCGACTTGTGGTCAAATGTGCTGCAGAAATTGAACGCTAGCCCCACTTCTCTTGTTTAGTTATACAGGGCAGCGAAGGTGTTCAGCCCAACTCAGCAACATGGGACCAAGGTTCGGTCTCCGCATCAGCAACATACGCAGCCGCAGTAAGGAACTCGCAGATGCTATCGAACGGGCGAAACAGAGTCATGAGCAGCGAATCGAACCGTTGGTCAAGGTCTTGCTGGAAGATATAGCTGTCGAAGCGGCAAACATGACCTCGGAAGTGCGAGCGTTGTGGGACGATGCTGGGGACTCGATCACTGAGCTACAGAATGTCACCGAGCGCATGTTCGACATCCTGCGCCAGCAGTCCCAGCACAACGACATCATTTTGAAGCTCCTCGACGAAATCAACACAGCCTTCGAGTATGGAGAAGCTCGTGTGCAAATCTATGCCAAATACCGAGACTGGGTCGGCGACCTTCGGGACTATTTGACCGATGTCCTCAGTGAGAAATTTGTGGGTCGCAACTACTCGCTGTGGGGACAGATAGCCAAGGACATTCGCAAAGAGCAGAAGACGAAAGCGGAAGCTCTCCGACGAGGAAAACCGGCACCCCAGTGCGTCGTCACCGACGCTTTGAAGGCCATCCTGGCGACGCACAATCTGACGCTGGACGAGCTCCAGGCGGTGCTCCATATGAAGGAAAACAGCAACATCACCTTCCACCGCGCCGAGAATGAGACTTCGGAAGCCGCCATCGCTGCGTTAGAACACTTAGCCTTTCCACCCGATCTGAGACCGCTGAAGGATGTGCTCCGTAAGACCATCCAAGCGGTCAGTGAATTCGACAGGGCTGAAATCGAGCCATCCCAGTAGCTTTCTCGTACACTATAATAAAAGCGTATTACAACAGTGTAAACGAGTTCATCATTTTGCACATGGGCTTTAGAGAGCTGCGGGTTTTGCACGTCGAATTTCAGCGAATTTCCGCAAATCATGCCCAATCCCACCGATAGCTTCCAGCAATCTTTCCCGAACGTCAACTACGAACGCTTGATGGGTTTGCTTCCAATCGGTTGGGTTCGGTCGCAACGAAGAAGTCAATCAGGATGCAGAGCACCAGCATCTCCGTGTAATGTAGTGTCTCCTCTTTACCCTGCGATGGGCTTTTGGATATGGTCACGTCTCGGTTGTCGAATATCTGCTGAACAATGGCGCGAAAGTGCACGCATTGAGCCGTTGAGGGGCCGGTATTCCTCCTGTGGTATTGCTGGGCAGAGATCACGGCAGACGACGACTTCGCGCTGCGACAGGCTTCGAAAAACGGTCACGTCTCGGTTGTCGAATGTCTGCTGGTGGAGCGGACGTGCACGCCGAGGACGACTACGCGCTGCGAAATGCCTCGAGCAACGGCCACCTACTTTCGGTGGTGGAATGTCTGATTAAGCACGGCGCAGACGTGCGCCGGAGAATTTAGTCTATGATAAGTCGGGCAACCTTCCCTTTCGCACGCCGAACCCCCTAATACATGACGATTTTACAGCAAGGACATGGTTAGGGTTAGCGTCGCTCGGGAAAGTCTTTGTAGAAGCTGCGTGCTTGTTGGATCCAATTCAAATAATCCAATAACGATGCCTTATCGCGACACGTTGTTTGGCGTGTTTTCCAGCCGGCGCGGTATGGGAAGAAAGCGTGGCAACCGGAATGATTACGCAGCACCGCGACCTTGCGACTGCGTCTGCAGCACCCTGACGCGGGTTTCAAACTCGGTGAAAATGTCGTGGACACTCGTCTGCTAGCGGACGTCTATGATAGGACCGTCTTTGAGCAAGCCTTGAGAATAAGGGTGAGACCCCAGGCCACTCCGCACGCCGCCACCAGTATTCCAAACACGGCTAGCGTACGAACGTTCAACGGAGGGAGCGTGTTACGAGGGCCGGCTTTTATTCCTTTGAGGAGGTGCGAGTGACAGAAGGTTACACAAGACAAAGTACAGGGGAAAGAAGGCCCGGGGTCTCCCACCCTTTGACCTTCAGCCGGTCACGGCCCTATAGATATAGTTAAACTTGCCACGCACCCCTAAAACCCCTCTCTCAACAACCTTTTTCTTCCGTTCTAAGTCGGTGAGTTTCTTCGCCAACCACTCTTTCACGTTCTTCTCCAGCTTGTTATTATCATAGATGAAGTCGCCATCTGCCCAAGAGATACGCCAAGCACGGTTGACGAGCTCATCGTACAACCTACACACACTACCCTCAGAGTTAGGTAGCGTCTTCAGCAGATTCCACACGGCCTCCTCCTTTTCCGCCTTAGCTTCCGTAGCTGTGATCTTAGGTCTCTTAGAACCTGGTGATCCACTCGTATTCGTATCCATATTCTCCGATATGCGCCTTTTCTTTACTACCCTTCTCTTCCCGAGCAGTCTTGTATCCAGCCCCGACTGGATCATCTTTCTCTCGACACAGGCGTATTCCTTGTCGACGGTATCCGACCCTGAGCGATATGCGTCCGGCCATGTGAACGTGGTAATCTCCCCATTCGTTTGGATATAGCGATAGAGCCAAAGTTCTAAGAGAAGGCTTTCGAATCTGTCGGCATGGGTATCCGCCCGGCTCCTGATCAACAACCATGCCGGTGGCGACGCGTTGTTGAATTGACGATTCTTGAATACCTCCTCTTGACCATCGTTCGTCACCAAAAAGAGGCGTTGATCTGCAGCCAGTTTCATGCGACAAATGACTCCATCATTGTCACGAGTGGCGCTTCCGATCTTGGCCATGAAAACGTCGTTAGAGGTGTGGGCCGCGCTGAAGTGTGGGCCTGCGTTTCTCTTGCCTGAGATTGCACGCGAGGGTTCGGCAGACGTGAACTCCACGGACGAATCCCAGGAAGACCAAGATGGCGAAGCTGACGATAATGACGATAATGACGACGACGACGACGACGACGACGATATTCTTCAACGCTTACAAGCCATGACAAGCGATGGTCCTCCTCATGAGCCGATGTCTGAGGATAATGACGTCGTGTACGTGGAACACCTGGAACACCTGGTCTTCAATGAGGAGCTGTGGGCACAGCTTCTGGAGAAGGGCTCCGCCATAGCCAGGAATCGCGAGCTTCCCGGGGACTTTCCCCAAGTGTTGACTACGCAAGAAGACGTACTCGATGCCAAGAGGGCTCTCCTCACGGTACTAAGCCCTTCGGCGGAACACTCCTATCCGCTGCAACAAGATCTCGTCCGCCGTTGGTTGCGGGAGCAAGCCTACAACTTCTTGGACACGCGCTTGCTTATGTTGAGCGGACAAGATCGACGACATGCGCTCAAGAAGTACGGAATTTTGTGTGCGAATGTGGAAAGTGTGCGGAGCAGAAGGGGAGCGAAGCGTGACTTGTAACACATGACGCGCATAGGGTTAGAGACATCGATGTCATGAATACTGCATGCACAATCTTGCCTTCTCCGAGCCGATTGCTCGTAAGGCGACTCGTGTGTTGATACCAGGAAAGCAATAGCGGTAACTTGCTACAGGCGAGGTTGAGGCTTTATCTGCTGCGAACCTTGTCTTGCTAAGGAGTCGTTTGCATTGCGCTCGGAAACATTCTATCGCTTCTCCGCGTCTCACAGTGATGTCCTCACCGCCGCTGGAAACGTCGCCACATCCAGACCTGCCCGCTTCTGCCATAGCGACAGCAACAGTCTCAGGAGGAACACTTGGTACATACCGTCCGCTCGCTCACCTCCAACAGGATGACCTACTCCGAATAATCGCGGAAGATGGGACCTCCGCTTCCTGCGGCCTCAGTACTCCGTCTCCCCCACCCAGTTCGCCTGCTGCCCTTGCGTTCCATGATAGACTCAGGAAAGGTCCTCAACCCATGGGGCAAGATGGAGGCAGTCCGGAAAGAGAGAGGTTCGAAGTTGAGACGAGCCTCGATGATGCGACAGACGTCAAGACGGGCGATACCAAGCATCATCACCCGCACCGTGAGCTCTCGCAGCCGCACCACAGACGACACAGTGTCAAGAAACACAGTGCAGTGCCGAAAGGTGAGCTGAGAACTCCGACTTCTGGTCGGCGCGAGCAAGTTACGGGAGCTGTGCCATAAGGAGCTGATACATAGTGATGGCGCTTCATGCGCACGCCCTCCGTCGCGGAACATGGTGGCGGCGGCGTAGTGCTGGACGGGATCGGGAGGTTCCGAAATGATCATCGCAAATGCCAAAGCTGACGGTCGTGATTTCGATCTTCAATCTCCAATTTCGTCTCGAGGAACAGATATCTTCGAACAAAAGAATGAACTAGGTCCAAAGCTTGTTGTCTTCATGGTTGGCCTACCGGCGAGGGGGAAATCGTACATTTCGAAGAAACTGGTACGATACCTCGCATGGAGTGGATTCAACACGCGGGTTTTTAACGTCGGGAACCGTCGTCGAGTTATGGCGACGGAGAAGGATGTGCCACAAGCATCGTCCGAAGCGACGTCGCAAGTCACTCGCCGGTCAGAAAACGCAACAGCAACGGACAGTGATGTTGACTTTTCCAGCGACGGATCCGGCGGCGAAACCTCATCCAATACCTCGCAATCGGCAATTCTCCACAGGCCCATTCCTAGGATTCTGCAGCCATTGAGTGCGGGTGCCAAACATTCGTCTCTCGCCCGCCTCATGATGGAGAAGCTCAATCCGGCGTACCACGGCCCTGTACCCGAACCATGTCCGTCCCCGGTGGTGAATGTTCCTGCTGGAGGTACCACCCACGATGCCAAGTTCTTTGACCCGGACAACCCAGAAGCAGCCGCGACCCGCGACAAGCTGGCGCTGGAAACGTTGGAGGAGGTGATTGAATGGTTGCACAGGGGTGGGGGCAAGGTTGCGATACATGACGCGACAAATTCGACGGTCAGGAGACGCAAGATGTTGTTCGAGAGGGTTAGGAAAGAAAAGGGGATCAAAGCATTATTCATAGGTAGGAGTTGCGTCCGTTTTGTTGTCGACAGGTGTTGATATCGTCTGCTGGAACACGTTCTAAAATCAGGTCGTCTCGTGTTCTAGAAAGCATATGCACGGATAGCAAGGTCTTGGAACAGAATATCCAGATGAAGCTACAAGGGCCTGATTACAAGAACATGCCTCCCGAAATGGCCATGCGGGACTTCATGGCGCGAACGGCAAATTACGAAAAAGCGTATCAAACAATATCCCAAGAGGAGGAAGAAGAGGACGATCTGGGGTATGTTTTACATTCTCCATGCCTGGGCGAAACCTTGCGTGACCTCCTACATTTGGCTGCCTACTCCCGAACACATCATTCTTTCGATTGACTGTGCTCGCATTCCTATAGCTTCATCAAATTAGTCAACGTGGGGAAAAAGGTTATCGCTCATAACGTGCACGGCTACCTAGAATCGCAATGCGTGTTCTACCTCATGCAAATGCACATTAAGCCCCGCACCATCTGGCTTACACGTCACGGCGAGTCGGAATACAACGTATCAGGCCAAATAGGCGGCGATCCACCTCTGACAGATCTGGGGCGAAGATACGCGAAAGCACTGGCGAGGTTCATGCGTGGGTTCCATCCACCGTCGGCAGTGGCTAGTCGTTCATCAAATGAACAGTTGAAAAGCACGGAACGGATCCCGCGATCCTCATCCCCTTCAGCAGATCGGCCCGCAGATCTGTCGACATTGGGGGATCGGCAACTGTCGACGTCCCCATCTCACTCGCTACCGGGTTCAGCTTCATCGACAATACCACTGTCGTCATCGGCCACAATACAGCAATCACAGCCCTCCACTGCCACTCTCGCTACCCCATCCGAACCATTCAAACGCTCCTCATCCATTCTCGACGATGATTTCGGTACGGATAGGGGCATGTCGTTGAGCATCTGGACGTCGACTCTTCGGAGAACTTTCGAGACAGTAGAGTGGTTTGATGACGAGGAGTATAACATCAAACGCATCAAGTTCTTGAACGAGATTTATGCCGGTGAGTTGACGACCCTTGTCGATGTTGGCTGGCCGTCCCCTTCCGTCAGAGTACTGATAGATCGCATGGGCTTACCCAGGAATCTGCGAAGATCTCACGTACCTTCAAATCGAGGAGATATATCCGGACGAGTATCGCGCGCGGCAGAAAGCGAAACTCGTCTACCGGTACCCAGGCCCTGGCGGCGAGTCGTACGTCGACGTCATCGAGCGTCTGAGGCCCATTATTATCGAGCTTGAGCGGATGCAGACTAATGTCATGATCGTTACGCATCAAGTGGTGAGTTCAACGACATGATAGCGGGTTGGAGGTGGCCAACCTCGATTCTTAATTGACCTTGTCGATTTAGGTTCTGAGAACGCTTCTGTCGTACTTCGTCGCCGTACCCTTGGACCAAATGCCAACGCTCTCCGTGCCACTCCACACTCTATACTGCCTGAAGCCTAAACCATACGGCGCTGATCTCATCAAATGTGAGTTGGTGGGCGTTCGATTTGATTAGGGGACTGGAGGAAAGACGGGATGGAGGAAAGAGGGGAAAGAGGAGTCACCGACATCCGAAACATAGGGCCACTCTTTCCATTGGCGAGCTTTAACATGTCCAATTACTGATTGTTTTTCTCTCCGGTGATTTTATAGATCGATACAATCCAGAAACGGACTGGTTTGATGAGATTGGAAACAGCCTTTGATATCCCGTCCTCTCCGGTCCGAAAAAAAGCCCCAAGCGAAGAAGCATGTAGTCGATGGATACTACTAGTATCCGTCCACAACAAGCTATCACTACTACCACATCATAGTGCTAAAGCACAATCACCTCTTGCTCGTGTTGCCGCCTCGGCCCGTAACAACCCCTACCATGGACTGCACGATTGTCGCGATGCTAATGGATTGACGAACTGTGTTGGTGGCAAGATTGGTAGGTGAATCCAAGCCGGCGCATCAATCAACATGGCGACGGGTTGCTTGTGTGTTACATACTGAGATTGTTTTGTTGTACGTAATTGGTTCTCTCATTGGCGCAAATATGTTTTTTTGGAAGGCCCTGCATAAAGCACACGGTGGATTGAATAGTTCCACCAGCACATTTACTCTATTGAACTTTTACATTGTTCTGGCACGTCGCCCGCTCTAATGGCTCGGCCGAACCCCTGAGGCGTATCTCGGCAAACAGTCGTGCTACGAGTGCTACCACCTTATATTTTCTGAACTGACTCTTCGTCAGGTGTTGCCGTCTATGCATAACTTCGTTCATTCAGACCAAGCCGGTCCCGAAGGAGTAGGCGTGCATTCGAAGGGATATACAGTACAGCTACAGGCTGAAATGCCATGAATGCGAACATCTATACGAAAAAAAAACGGCAACTTTCCAGGAAGAAAAAGCATTCTGCGGGGACTGAGCTAGGCAACAGGTGTATGGGTGGGAAGTGCAATACGCCGAAGACGTGTGACAGAGTGTGCGGGATATGCGCCGAGATGCGACATGGAACTAGAGCTCGATCTATATGTACGCCGCCCAAAAAACGGATCCAAAAAGGAATGTCCTGCGAGAAATGTCCTGAAAACTTTCCCCCGATGTCGGGATGCGAGGGGGAGGTGATGGGTCCAAGAAGATTTCCAAAAAAGATATTGAGTGAAGATCCCAGAGCAATGAGATGAGAATCCCCATCCACGGCGGGTGATATACCGACTCGTGAGAAGCGTGGCCGGTATGATGCGTCATACGGCATAGAGGGCGGTGAGACCGCCCATGATGGAATTGCGCTCACAGACAGCGCCTGGCCTTGATATGGCGGTGCAAGGCATCAGAACGGGTGAAAGTGGTCGCACAGTTGTAGCAGTTAAATGGCTTGAAAGTCGCGGAGTGCGTTGCTGAGTGGCGTTTAAGATCTTGGCGACGAACGAATGCACGCTGTGGGGTGAGATGGGAAGAGAAAAAAAGGATCAGAACCGTTGCCGTAACAGGACGACGGCGAAAATCGCCGAGAAGCAGAATAACCATACCTGGCAAACTTCGCAGACATGTGAGCGACGATCCACCTGTTGTTGCTGGCGCGTCGCCGGCGGTGCATGCATTTTGACGTGGGCGTTGAAGCTCGTCTCGGTGTCGAACGTCATCCCACATCCATTGGCGTCGCACGTGTGCGTTTCTTTGCCCATAGCGTCATGGCGAGCCCGCGCATAGTCTTCATCTTCCTCCTCCTCACCGTAGTAGTAGCCGTCGCCCCTCGTCGCTCCAACTTCCTCGCCGCTCTCGTACAGAAGCGGTGGGCACGCGGCGCCGCCATGGTCGTCCGCGGTAACCCCACCTGCCGAGATTGTAGCGCTCGTCGTCGCCGACGTTATGTTCCAGCAATACCCGTCGCCCCAACCATCCGTCAACATCTTATCCGGCGAGAACAGGGCGGTTGATGTCGCAGAATCGAGCCCGAGCGCATTATGGTGGTGGTGGTCTTCATAAGACGCCGCGGAGAGAACACCAGTTGATATCATGTCCCACTTCTCAATGGGCAGCGGTGATGGGACTGCAAAAACTGACGAAGGATCGAATGGTCCGTCGGCGGCGGATGCCAATGCGGGCGAGCCGAGGTAGCCGGAATTGGTGTCCATGTTGTACATGCCACCGGTGGGTGTCGGAGTGCAGATCGTCGACAGCGCTGAGTTCGGTGGCGGAGTAGGTGTGGACGCATCGTCGAATGGGGAAGATAGCGAGATTAGCGGTGTGTGCATTCCGTCGTGGATGTAGGGGGCGGTGAGCTGATGGTACAAAGGCGCGGATGTCACTTCCTCCGGGTAGTACATCTGCAGGTGGAGATGCTGCTGCGTTCCTGGCAATGCGCTCATGTCCGGCATGAACGGCACTGAGAACCGGCGTTGGAGCATAGTCATCGCGCCTGGATGGTGCATCGGACCCGCCGACATGGGAAGGTACATCTGCGCCGGGTATTGCGTGTACGTCTCGCCGCTCGACTTGGGGGCCGCTTGATGGAGAATGGTGCCGTGATCCAGCGAGCGCTTGCGGCCTTGGCGGTAGCCGTTGTACGGATGGTATGCGGTTGCCATGTTTGAGGTCGGCGGCGTCGCCGGACCATGGTTGGGGATGCCGTAGGTGTTAATATTGAATTGCGAGTGTGATCGATTCAGCGTAGGTGTAGTACCGACACCGGCGGAGACCGCGGAGCCGCGGCGCCCCATTGCGTACGTCTCGCTGCCAACAAAGGATGAACGGCGCATTGACGGCTTCGTTGAAGTGAATTCGGTGTTGAGATGTGGTAGGTCAACTCTGCCTGCAACGGTCGGGGTCGAGCTGATGTGGTTCGATTTCCGCCTCGTCATTCGAGGGTAGGGAGTCATCGGGTGTTGGTATTGTGACGGTTGTTGCTGTTGTTGTTGTTGCGGATCCTGCGATGCCTGCATCGGGCCTGATACGGGTACAGAGAGGGTTGGGACTACGATAGGATGCAGTGCGGCGGCGGAAGCACGTCTCGCCATCGGCGCGTGGCGGACTCGCGGCGAGTTCTGGTGAGCCATGGGGCCAGCCGTCAGGGATCCACTCGTAACGAGGGACTCAAAGCTGTGAGATCGAAGGATTGAGTGAGGGAGTGGCAACGCTTGCCTCTGCTGCTGCGGCGGTAGTGTTGGATCGGTAGTGGCTGCGGCGGTAGCAGCATCCTTGTGCATTTGCAGCTGCATCTGAATGTTCATATTCATCATGTATATGTCCATATCCATCACACCGCCTCCGCCGCCCATCGTGGCGACAGGCGCCGGGCTGGTTAGAGAAAGGTCCCCAAATCTGACTTGCTCGGTATCGACTTCCTCAAACACGCAGCACAGGTTGGACGACGACGCCGCGGAGCTCGACCCATCGTTCAAGAAAGATGATGCGCCCGATGACCGGCGGCTGCCGCCTTCCTCGGTGGTGCTGAGTACAGAAGAATCGGACTCGCGGCGGTGAAGGAAGGTAGAGGTTGCCGGAAGGGGTGCGGTGGTAGTCGATGAAGTGAGCTGGAGACTGGCTTCAACCTTGATGGGCGTCGGCGGCATCCCATGGGCTGCAGACTTTGGTACCGTATTCGGCGAGCCGATTACGGGCGGAGCGGTCAGGACGTTGACCATGGCTGCCGATATCGCAAACTACTCGAAGAACAAGCAACCGAAAAACGCAGGCTAGGAGCTGCCGACCGAGAACACTACACTTGCAACGACGAGAAGTGGAATCCGACGCTGCGTGGACAACCGACGACGTGCTTTGCGAATCGGAACAGAACTGACGGAGAGCGAGACTCAACTTTCAACCTACACAACCACCGCGACCGATTTTGACTTGACTGCTGCCTACGGGCGTTCCGTCGTTGATGGAGAAACTAAGCTCGACAGGATGAAAACTTGCTCGACGGGCAAAGAGGCGGGACCCAGCGCCGCCCCGAGTCGTATATATGAGGTGGCTGCGTCTAGTTAGCGGAAGCTGCAGCGAGCGGAGTTCTGGGGAGTCGGAGAATGATTGTCTGTGTACTATGTTTATGACCAGGATGTGAATACCCGTGCCCACAATAAGCACCTTGTTTTCCCGAATGCGAAAAGAACAATGTCTATAATCAGAGGTTTGCATGAAACGTCGGGGCAGCTTATTGATGTTTGTCGCCAACCACAGGCATCGCCCTGGGACAACCCAAAAAAAAGGAACACCCAAGCCGTCTTGCGAAGATCCCAGGGCCACAACCTTGGGAAGATCGAACGTTGTGGCCCGTGCGTGATGTGCCAGAACCTAAGATAACCAGATAACCCACCGGCACGCGAGCCAACCACCCGCCTGATTTGTCACTGAACCCCGGGGGTGGGAGGCATGGTACCGGAGCCAGATGGAGTGTTTTATGATCTTTGCGATCTGATTGCCAGAACAAGCACCACTACCCGCTGTTGCGAGACGGTCCACGGAAAAGAATGGGGTCACACCTTCCTCCGAATACGAAAGACTACCCGCGCTTGCTTTCGCAGAAAAAGGCCACGGCTGTTATAATCGGAAGCGCAAGCATGGGGGTGTCTGTGTGTGTCTGTAAGCCACGACAGCACAGCTATTCGCCAAAAATACATGCATCCCGGCCACCAATAACAATACTCGAAAATGGAGGTGCTGAAACGAGGCTTGCGGCGGGTATTGAGCGGAGTGATCGACGCGTTCCCTTTCTCTGCCGTGCATTGGCCGTGTCAGCCAAGGATGGCGTAAACTGTGCATATCATCATGGCTTCCCATTGACCTTCACATCCGCATCACCCCATTAGCCGGTGCTGGGAATTACCGCCCAGACTCGTAACCCATCAGAGGAATATCTTCGAAGGGATCCGTTCTAAATAGTAATAGTATCATAACTTTCTCTAGACGAACCAATCGGGCCCCTTTAGCTAAGTGGCATAGCGTCTGCCTCGTAAGCAGAAGGTCGCGTGTTCGATCCACGCAGGGGGCATTTTGTTTTGTCAACTTTTCCATTTTTCGTTCATCATCATGCCGACCATATTTTTGATTCGGTTAGCACTAGTAGAATCAAATTTATCGGTTGTTGGAACCTCACCATAACCATGGGACAGAGTGCAGGAGAATCTTTCATTAATGATCAATGTTTCGATGGCCAAGTGGTACTGTCGTGTCTGTGTCAGGATGAAGTGGGAATGATACACAGGGCCTTTATACGCCTCAAAAAAATCTAATCTAGGGAGGTCGAAAATCACAACTACTGTAAAGATGGGATGCGGCTTGTGTCCGCACTATATACTACGCGTCTATGTGGGAGAGGTACAGCGTACGTACGGTAAGTTGATATCGGGGGGTTGTGACTGTGGATGGGGTCGTGTCTAGATGTAAGGGCATATTCTATTCGCATGATTGGGAGCGGGTGTTCAGGCCAGCCTGTCGATCCCAGCCGAGTCGGTTGCATGTGTACATCAGCAGTCACTTTGTCGAAATCAGGGGTCGGGTGTACTCCGACAATTCCGCGACTTCCAACCCGAGTGGGCTTTCCCATCCCGTCCTCATACGCCGAAGATTTTGTCCAGTTCATCAGCTAGGCTCGATGAGTCGAATAACGAGCTCGCAGCGCCGTCGTTGATGCGCGGCAGGGCACGGTCAATGTCAAGGCCGAGGCCGAGAGACGAAGACGAAGGGTTAGGACCAAAGATGTCGTCTGTCTTCAAGGCAGAAGGACTCAACAATGTCGACGACGCGGTCGACGTGGGTTGTGGGGAAGGGGTCGGTAGCGCCGGCTTGATGGTTGTGCTCGCGGTGGCGGCCGCCGACGGTCGAGTGAGAATGGGCGCCGGTGTGACTTTCCTGGCTTCGGATTTTGGAGCAGCGTCGTTGGAACTCGGGAATCCGGTGGTAACGTGGACTTCACGAGTGGGTGATCGGATAATGCTGGCGGTACTGGGGTCGCTGATGACCGAGGAAGGGAGCGGAGTGAGGGTTACGGTCTTCGCGGCAGGGACGGCCGCGACGAAGCGAGCGCGAGTGGACATTTTCGGGGGTGGCACCGGTTGGGAGGATGGGGCAGAGCCGGTGGATGTCATGGTTGACACTGCAGATCCTGTCCGAGCGGACGATACCGATGGTACGGGAGCGATGGCGGCGATTGAAGCCGTCCTGGAGTCCTGATCCCTTGGAAGAGATATGTCACGCACGGGAGCGACGGGGCTGGTCATTCCTTCGGTAGGCGTCGAAGGCGCCGCCGGCGGAGGCACGAATGGTACGTTTCGTACACCCTCGATGGTGGAAACAGCCAGACTGCGCGGAGGGGTGTTATCCGGGGAAGGAGGGCCGCTCTGCGAGAATTTCGAGGCATTGACGATTGCATCCGTGTTGGTAGCAGCCGAAACTGTCTGTTTCGCCTTTGTCGCGCTCAAGACAGCAGCAGAGGTGTCGCAGGCGACCCGAAGCGCGTTTTCGAGAGCGGCGGCCCGGTGCTGCAGCGCCTTGATTATGTGATCCCGGTCGTTGACGGCCTTCTCCATCTCGTTCGTTGTTGCGGTGGGCACTGCGACAGACACGTTAACCGGGCCGTTGACTTCACCATCTCCATCGACCATAAATGCGGGAGTACCACAGGTCATGCACATGACGTGGGCATCAACGAACTCGCCGGGAGAGTTGACGACATGCCCATTTCCAGCATCATGTTCCACGTCTTCCTCATGGTGCCCATCAACTTCGTCGAACACAAACTCGGTTTCCGCTACAAGTACAGAGTGAATTGTTTGTGTAGATTGCGACCGCATTTCAACCGCCGACGAATCGACCGAGCTCGACGCCGCTGTGTTGTCGTCTGCTTGATGTTCCTGAGCAGACTCCTGGGTGATCTTTGAGCTCGATGTAGCCGTATCGGCAATGCTCGAGGGTTCGAGCGGGACAGGCTCGTCCACGATAGTTGCATCCTTCATCAATTCGTCCAGGTTCGCAAACGCCGGATCCAACACCACCAGACGATGGACGGCATCGACGAGAGATGTTGTCGCAATTCCAATTTTCGCAGGTTCTTCAGCTTCCGGGCCGCCTTCTGAAGTGATTGAGCGCAGCTCTTTCAAAGGGCTTGTAGGCGACACTAGTCCCTGCGCTCTACCACCAACAACGAGTCGATGGACCGAGGCCGGTCGTGTGAGCTGTGGGCTGACTCCACGAGTTTGCGAAACTAGTGCGGGTGTTGATGCGGAAGTAGTAGTGGATGTTTTGGGTCCTCGAAGATGAAGGGTTGTGAACAAGCGTAATGCAGCACTCCGTCTGCCCTTGTTGCCATTGCTCTTCTTCCCGTCAGTTATCGGGGCGGCGGTCACGGTGGTTTGCGTAGACGTCGACGGGGTAATGTATCTCGAGTTCAAGGGAGGAGGGGTGGGAAAAGCTGCGGCCGGGGCGCTGGATACGCTAGGCGCCTGATCCGAGCCGGCTCGAGCCAAAACATTTTTGGCTATCGCCGACATCACATCCGAGTTTGACAAAGTCCTAGTGCGACGTGGAGAGCCGGCCTCAGACGAGTTCGCGGAGCCAGGGCGTCCCGGTGTTGGGGAACCTGGGGGACGAGGGAGGCTGGTGCTTACTCGCGGTTCCGTCGTACTGCCGTGAATGGGATGATCACCTCGGACAGGTGTGGAGCTGCCCGTTTTGTCTTTCGGTAGAGCACCACTTTCCTGGGATGATCGGTTGGACAATGGGGGCGTCGGGAGTGCTTCCCGGTGAATATCTTCAGGGCTTGTGCTGTTCAAGAATTCGATCCAATGCGTTGACCGGGCCTTCCCCGGCTTGCTCCCCAAAGGCTCATGTGTAGCATCCGCGCTCGCCTCTGCGGCTCTCGCAGGTCCTGCGGCCGGGTTCCTGCTCGACCTCAACAGAGACAAGAGCGCCGAGTCGTCTTCAAACCCAGCAGCGGCCTTCGCCTGCATTTTCGCTCTAGGTTGGTCCATCGACATTTTCCTAATCTCCAAGTCCTTCAAGTGGTCGGGGGTAGAGGACATCTTCTTGGTCTCGTTTGACCGGAGAAGCGTCTCGAAATCCAAATCTCGGCGTGGAAGGGACGCATTGCTGGAGTCTCCACTCCCTGCCGAGAGTGGCGACATTGGTAGCGGCTGAGGGGACTTCTGCGCTCGCGAGAGGCTCGAGGTGGTCAATGGCTTCGTCAGCGAATTCACCAGGTGAGGCGTCGACGCAGACGGGGTGTTCCCTTGCAGGGCCGCGTTGCGGCCGGTGATAAGTTTGCGGACGTCGGCCATGCTCGCTCGATTATGTAACTGTTGAGTCCCCTGTGTCCTTTGCTTCGGGCTAGCGGAACCGACACTGGGGTCCGTGTTCGCGGAGGGGCCGCTGGCGGCATCGCTTTCAAATTCCTCCACGCCCTGAAGGAATGACCGGCCGTAAACCGGTGCGCTGCTCATGCTGGCCGGCGTTCGTCAGGCTTACTTCAAGTTGGTGTGCTGTGTTCAGACTCTCTGTTCGTTGTTTTCGTCGCCTTTGCTACTCGGTTCGTTGCTGCTGACGGCCGAGAAGGAGTCAGATTGACTTCTCCGACTAAGCAAGCACGTGCGGTGTATGAGCTTTTCCTGCGGCCTGACCGAGTGCCCCGCAGTAAACGGTTCTCTGCGTATATCTGTGAAGGCGGTGTTCAGGGAAATGTTGGAAATGCAAGGGTTTCTTGCGGTTGGCATTGAGAGAAAGGAGCGGCATGCTTTGAGGGATCCCCGTCACACTCACACACAATAGGCGGCCTTCCCTCAAACAAGCAGCCCAATACTCTCGACTCAAACATCACCACTCAATCACACCCATGACTAGGAATGCCCTTCTCCACACTCCCGGTAGATGGGCGGCTCTAAACAGGGCTGGATCTGGACCCCCGACGCCGCTCGGACTGCGGTATGCTTTCCCAGGCCATCCCGCAATGCATCTGATGAATCCAGGTCGAAGGAAACCCGCACGTTTTCCGGTACCGAGCGCCGTTCAGAATCTTGCGTTTGTGTGACATTGCCGTCCGTGGTCAATTTCAACAGGCACAGACTATTTCAACAGCAAGTATACTCAACAGAAGCTGCGATATTCAGACAAAGGTGGGCGCTGGCCGATGGGCAGGCAGCATGTCTATTCCGCATTCACGGTTTTGCTTGCAAACCGCAAGCGAAAACAGACGTTCCGTCTCGGCATATGTACCTTCAGCGTCGACGTTCAACCACGCGGTAGGGATTTGCCGATAGTGCGCAATAATGATTAGAGTAAGTTCGAACGGGAAGATGTCAGTTCCCTTCACCTAGAAAGCCTTCCTGTCGTTCTTCCTCTGAATGCAGGAGAGGATACATTACATAACATCTGCATATCCCAATGACAAAGGCCGTGTGCATGTAGCTCATACGTAGTTTATTATGGAACGGGGAGGATACCGACCCCCCGGCTGACCTCTCCCTGCCTTTGAAGGACTCGTTCACTTGCACTCTTTCTGATGAACGCTGCTTCTCTTCTTCATCCTTCGCCCATGTCCAATCGTGCCCTTCTAGCTCGCGCACTTCTGCGTCATTATCGCTGCCGCATCCGACATTTCGACAATATCGTAGACATCAAGGATAGCAACCCTCCTTGCATTTTCCCTCTCTCCGTTATCCCCTTCTGTTTTGCGACACCATGCACACCTGGTCAATCGCCAGGTTTTAGCTAGTGTTTGCCACTTCCGGGTTGCTTGCAAGGAGTGCCCGTTGACACAGAGCTGGCGTACTCTTCCCTACTCTCGACCCAATGTTCCCTTCCGCTTACCTTGTGGTGATACCTCTATTGGACATCAAAGGTTATAGACCTTACTTCCGCGTGTCATTCCGAGCAGATGGCGCCGGAGTTGACCATTCGAGGCCGAGCGATAGCGAGCGAGAGCTGCTTCGGTGCGAAATGACAGCGCACCGAGACTGCTTTGACGATCAAGAGAATATATTTAACAGCGTGATGATGTCAGATATCCAATTCCAGTTAGTATATTGGCTAGTATCTCCGCCTGTCACGCGGAAGAGCCGGGTTCGATTCCCGGACTGGAAGCATTTCTTTTTCCTTTTCTTTGGCTTTCGCACAATTTCGGCCCTACATAGGTGCTTGCCCTACTTTTTCCTTCTGCCATCTCGCGCGCCATCTTCAGAGACCTCGGCAGGCTACGACAGCCAGCCTTTCACGCCCTCGTTTGCCGGGCTCTTCTCGTCGACCCCGTCATGTGAAGAAGACGGTCCCTTCACATCTGGCCGTGACCCGCGCGACGGAACACAATCACGGGCTTTCATTCCCAAGGGTAGCCGTGGCGATAAGCGTTCTCGTTCGGCCCCAAGACAACAAAGAGGCTGTCGATCGAGACAACGATCCCGTCTGTGACGCAGGATCTCCCGAAAAGTATTCACCCGCTGTCGCGACCGGGCGGTGACCTAGGCGGAGGGGTAACACCTCGAAGCCGCATACACCACAGCGCGAGGAGAGGTGGGGGTTGGTACTTTTCTGGGTCGGTTTGCGGGTGAGGTTGAGCGTTAAGCACGGCACCCGGCGCTGACAAGACGGGCATGGAGCCAAAGAGGACACGGGAGCAGGTGGACTTGGCCCTGCGGATACCCCGTCGTGGGCGCACACCACTTCGATCATTGGCCCGTGAGGACGTTCCCAACAGGAATTGGATCTCGACGACGGTGTATATGGAGGCCCCTCACAACAAGCAACGAGAGCGAGCCCGCGAGTCAGATTTTGGCCGGGAAAAAAAGTCCGCGGCTGTGGCGGGCGGTGCAATGAAGCCGCGAGAGGTTTCAGTGAAGATTTGGATGGTCGAACAATGAAAGAAAGGCAGAGACAGTTTCAGAATTGCAGAAGCATACTCTTACGCCCGGTGGGAGAGACGCGGTCTGTACCGGCCGTGGCAGGGATGGTGCACGGAGATCCGGCCGGAGTCGAGATGTGCACGAGCGCGGACTAGGAAGAGGACCGTTCTCATCAAATATGTAAATATAGGGTATAATTCCAGCACCTCTCCTCATTATCTACAATGAAAAACCACATCGCCCATCCCAAACATCTATCCGCACCACATCGTTCAGCCCCAGAAAGCCCCCCTCAATGGCGTTCCGGGCCATTCCTAGCAATCAACGGCGTGAGACCTGATGCGGGAGTATATACTCTACGGGTTCTAGATAACCGTCCGTGCCCGTTCCGAATGTGTCTTGAAACCGGGTGAAGTGGTCTAGGATAACGTGGTCGACGGTGAGGGTGATGTGCGGGTGATGAGATGACTGAGGTGATGTGTGATGCGGCGGTCCGGTATGCTCCTCCCGATGCTGTTTGACCGCAACAGCGCTCATGCTAATATCCCACCGCCCCTCGCCACATCATCCACCCACCCACCCAACCGGCGCGCGCCGCGAGAAAGCATCCGAAATACACATCCCAGTCGTGTCCCAGAATCTCTGCGGGTTCGATCGGGCGTTTGGGATTGCCGAGTTTTGATATGTTTTTTGGGGTGGGTGGTGCGTTGTTTCGCGTGGGGCGATGAATGTGTTTGCGTGCTGATGGGTTCGGATGCGGTGAGGTGGGTATACCGCGATGCGATGCGATGTGACAGATGCCGGCTGAGGAGTGTAGCTGAACGAGTTTGAGGTTTGCGGTATGCGGTCTTGTCGGGTGGGTGTATGGGACGGGATGTTTCGGTTCTAACCAGCATTGCTCGTTATGGACTGACTCGTCGCTGGCTCCTCTTCTCGTATGACCAACCCTACTCAATCCCCAACCACCCCTTCCCCCACTCATATGTAAAAAAGCTCACAGCGCTCATCGGCATCACCTTCAGATACCCGATACTCAGCCCAACAAAAAACCCTTTGAACCCTTTCCGGCCATAAATCCACTTCGCCGTCGACAGGGTCGTTTTGCGTTGGGCTAGTTTCGTCGAAGTCGTGGAAGATGTTTGGGATGTGGTGGTTGAGATGGGAGTTTTTGAAGCGACGCCAGCGACCTGCATGTTCCGCCGGATGACTTCGAATGGGTATGCGGTGGTTTGAGCGATCGCGCCTGAGAGGGCGCCGCAGGCGAGGTAAGCCCACCATGTTAGTTGTGGGGGGCGTGCGGGTGTTGTTGAAGAAGTTGGCGTGGGAGAGACGAGGGTGTATCGGCCGAGAGTTGTTTTGGCGTACGTTTTTAGGCGTTCATAAACAAGGAAGGATACTCTGTATGGAATCGAGGGATGTCGGACGTTGGTACGCAAAATAGAGGAGCCACGAAATACATCCCGCCCAGATGATACGTACCCCGCATAGGGCACAATCCCGTAAATCGTCGGCATGAACCCTCTATAAAAGTTCAACACGCCCGGCACCCTCGACCACCCCTTTCTCTCCACCCCATTCCCATCCGCAGCAAGATCCTCTGCAAAGAATGGATTCGGCTCGTGGTAGATCATCTTGACGACGCTGGAGAGACTGACGGGTTGGAGGGGCACTTGGCTGGCGGCGGTTGTTGTGCGTACTTCAAAGGCGAGACGTACGCGGAGAAGGTCAAGAGGGTATGAGAAGAATACTGATATGCAGCCTAGGGGGAATGAGGGAGGGTGTCAATTTCGGTCGAATGCTCACGAAATCCTGAGGCGACCGTTACAACAAGCTCGCTTCGCTCGCTAGAATATCCAACGCTCGCCGGTGTTCGCTAAGAGCCATGATGATTTGGACTATTGCGCCTTTGGCGCACCGGGACTCCCTTCGCTCGGGCTCCCGTGCGCAAATCAAGCGCTCACTTCGTTCGCTCTCGCCCACTCCATTCGCTTTCGCTGCCGCTCGCCGCTCGCGGTACTCACCAGCCAGCGATCCCGCAACCATATTCCTGAAAGCCTGTTCCGTATGCGATACACCGGCTTTCCCAACACCGAGCCGATGCTTAATCTGCTCATAAGCCATAAACTTGATGGCGGCATACGGAAAAATCCTCAGCAATGTCGCACTATGGCCCTGAAACAGCCCTCTAACGCCATAAAGCCTCTTGATCTCGGCGCCGGCATTGAATATCCCCTTGAAGCTGCCGGCATGCCTCTCGAAATGCGGATTATTTGTTTGAAAGAGGATTTTGACTCTGTCGAGGGGTGCGACGGCGGTTTTTGCGGCACAGCCTGCGATACCCCCAGCGAGGAGGGAGCGCCATATGTAGGAGTAGGAGTTTTTGTCGAGCTTTTGGTGGGTGGTGTTGGGATGGGATGGCGGTTGTGATGGTGACGTTGGTATTGGAGGTGCTGTTGCGGTGGTGGATGGCGGTATGGATAAAGTCGACATTTTTGCGAAGGGTTGGAAGGGCCGCGGCGGCAGTCGAGTGCGGGTGAGTCTGCTGAGGGAGGACAGACGCCGAAAGGACAAGACCGCACCACCCGGCTGTGCTAGTGTCGGTGAGAATATGCAAATAAGTTACTGATGCCCGATGCAGAGCAGAGCAGATGCCGACTCCTGAAGGACGCAGATGCCCACCGGCGAGCGAGTCTGGGGGAGTTCGGGGGCGAGGGGTTACACGAACAATGTCACGGGTGAGTCACGCACAAGGAGCGCGCACCCCCGCGTTTCTCTCTTCTCTGCCTCATTCGGACTTAGCGGGAGGGGAAGCTATTCGTGCCCTCGGACCATCTGAGGACTAATCAACCGGGCAACATTCCGTACCCGCCCGGCTAATCAAAAGCTGAGGGAGACCCCGCAACTTTAGACCCTTGCACTATACTTCCGTGACTTTTACATTAGGGCCGTGATCAGCATTCGAGCGCTTTCCAACCCACAAGCGCTAATCAAACCCATTTGGGATCCGCCATAAACGACAAACAACGCGGCGGGCAACTCATAACGCGACCTCATCCAGAAAACCAAACCCGCAAAACAACCGGCCGCAAAAGCAATCTCAACCCTCGAACGCACGCAAACCCACCAAACCACAGCTTCCACCAACACTCAAACATATAGCAAAGATGTCTGACGACGTAGCTGCAGTGAGTACCTTCCCTCTTACCCCGTGCTCTCTTGACGACGGCGTCGGGAGGATTTGGTGGCGTTTCCGCAAAAGCAATCTCAACGCGCGCATAGCACGCGCAGATTCTAATTTAGACACACAGCATACTGTTTGATGTTGGGGAGCTTGTGAATAGCGGACGGAAGATATGGGAAGGACGGTGATGCGTGGTTAGGGCGGAAGGACTCGGAGTAGAAACGGCGCAAATATGAGGCAAAATCACCAATTTTCCGTCGGTTGCAATCTCCTACGCCACTATCTCGTTATCTGCGTTACGGCTTAACACACACCCTCTTTCTTCACAACTACAATAACAACATAACAACAACCACTAACCCATATTTCCTCCCCCCTCTCTCTCTCTATTCATTTAGCTCGTGATTGACAACGGCTCCGGAATGTGCAAGGCCGGTTTCGCCGGTGACGACGCTCCTAGGGCTGTCTTTCCTTCGATTGTCGGAAGGCCTAGGCACCAAGGCGTTATGGTTGGGATGGGTCAAAAGGACTCTTATGTGGGGGATGAGGCCCAGTCGAAGAGGGGTATCTTGACTCTTAAATATCCTATCGAACATGGTATCGTTACCAACTGGGACGATATGGAGAAGATTTGGTGAGTGCCGCGAGCAAAGGGAGCGCGGGAAAAGCGAGCCCACTGTAATACCGAGCGCCAGCGAGTTCCCCGCCGCAGCAACAATCGCTGTTCCTTAGGCGAGCGTAAGCGAGCCCCTTTCTTGAACTGCGAGCGAGAGCGAGCGTTCTTTTTTTTGTAATTCTTGCCCAACATTCTCGTCGCGAGCGTAAGCGGGCAAGATGTTTGTTGCACATCCATCCCGTCAACCTACGAACCGATCAAAATTCGCTTCCCTCTTCATACATGCTTCGCATTGGCTCATCCAACTCACTTCATTTCGTCCACTTCGTTCGCGGTCACAGGCACCACACGTTCTACAACGAGTTGCGAGTTGCACCCGAAGAACATCCGGTTCTCTTGACCGAAGCCCCGCTCAACCCGAAGGCTAACCGCGAAAAGATGACGCAAATTATGTTCGAGACCTTCAACACGCCCGCCTTCTACGTCGCCATCCAAGCCGTTCTCTCTCTCTACGCCTCCGGTCGTACCACAGGTATCGTCCTCGACTCCGGTGACGGTGTCTCGCACACGGTGCCCATCTACGAAGGTTACGCTCTGCCCCACGCGATTCTCCGTCTCGACCTCGCCGGGCGTGATCTCACCGATTACCTGATGAAAATCCTCACCGAGCGCGGATACTCCTTCACGACCACCGCCGAACGTGAAATCGTTCGCGACATCAAGGAAAAGCTCTGCTATGTTGCTCTCGATTTCGAGCAGGAGATGCAGACCGCGGCGCAATCGTCCGCCCTCGAGAAGTCGTACGAGCTTCCCGATGGACAGGTCATCACCATTGGAAACGAGCGTTTCCGTGCCCCCGAAGCTCTCTTCCAGCCTAGCTTCCTCGGACTCGAAGCCGCGGGTATCCATGAGACGACTTACAACTCGATCATGAAGTGTGATGTCGATATCAGGAAGGACTTGTACGGGAACATTGTTCTGAGTGGTGGAACAACCATGTACCCCGGCATCGCTGATCGGTAGGTTTTCACCCACACTTTCAACATGCTCACCCACTCCTTCACCGTGATTAACACACCTCTTCCTCCCAATCCCCCAGCATGCAACGCGAAATCACCGCCCTCGCTCCCAGCTCCATGAAGATTAAGATCGTCGCGCCTCCCGAACGCAAGTACTCCGTGTGGATCGGTGGTTCCATCCTCGCATCCTTGTCTACGTTCCAGCAGATGTGGATCTCCAAGCAGGAGTACGATGAGAGTGGCCCAAGCATTGTGCATCGCAAGTGCTTCTAAGCAGAAAACTCTGGGGATGGTGCGCCTGGATTTATGCGTGGAGCAATGACTTGGTTGGAGTCGTTCGTTGGCGTTCTGTGATACTCTTTTGCTTGTTGTTCGAGATGAAGCGTTGCTTTCACGTTTCGTTGTGTGCGTCTTTGTAGTTTGTTCTCTTTTAAGGAAACTTTCTGTTTTACGAAAAAAAAAAATGGGAGTTGTAAAAACAATCATTGGGAAGAGTGGACATCGTTGCTGTTGGACATCATTCAGTGGCGGTACATGGAACTTGGCAGTACATGCGCATTAACACTGCACCACACAGAGGCAAAAAGGGGTAAGAAGGGGTGGCTCCGATACTCGGCGGTACTAATTGTTTTTCTATTTAAGTACTGAAGAACAGAGTGTGTGGTAGACATTTAAAACTCTAAAGCACCCAGATGAGGTTGGCACTGCACCGGCATCTAGAAGAGTGCCTATCTGAGGCGTGGAGACGGTCTGGTTGTCTAATTCCTGCTGCCTAGTCCCCGGTGAAGGTTACCAGTTACTGCAGTCAATCCCATGGTAAGATCCACCAGTCCCATCAGGAGATCGACCAGCGCCCGCTCACCGCATACCCGGATCGGAGATCGCGGGGTGGTGTTCATTCTCGTCGTGCGGTGGTGGTTCGGCCATAGACGTTTCCGGCATGCTGTTTTCGAGGGCGACCAGATGCCGACGAGTGCACGAAACCCCAAATGTGAAACCACATTTTCCTCTGCGAGCTTTTCATGGCATCATGCAGCAATCCACTGCACAAACTGCAAGGGGCGCCACAACAATCAAATACGCAAAAACGTATACGGTAGGTACATGAGGGAGCGACGCCGAGATCTACGCTGCTCCCCGCCCTACGCGTCAAACCGAGTCAGTCCTGTTGAGCCCCGGTCGTTGGGTCGGCGGAAACGCACCTCAACCCGCCGCACGCACCTCAACCCCGCCGCCTACTCACCCCACATCACTCCCCAGCAACATCTCCTCCACCTTCTGGTTGAAGCATCCCTTCCCCAAACCGACGCCTGCAAATGCACGTCACCCGCACATTACGTCCCAACAACGTCTCCACCGCCCTTTCTTTGGATTTCCCTTCCCGCTTTCCGCGCTCGCTTCGCTCGCTTCCGGCTGATGTGCCCCCCCGCTCGAGTCCCATGTCCGTCAATCCGCCGCCGCCATCCGTCCCCGCGGGTCAAGGTACTCAAAACAGCGGTGGCTTTGCCGAGAGTCGTTAGGTTCAAGGAGGGCGTGCTTCGTAGTATCCGTTTTCGAATAAATATGTCATCGTTGTCTCCTTTCGTTTTAGTTCATGATGTGTTATGTGTTATGGTGATACTTGTGAACAAAATGCGTCCCATGTTTGCACTCGGGAGTCGGGACGCTGTGTGCAAGTTGGATTCGGACCACAGTGGAAAAAGGCCGTCAATTTTCCTCAACTCCGCTGTGTTCAATGTTGCCTCACGCAACGTTCCATCGACACGTAGAAAATTCTCGCGCGTGGATACACTTGATCAACATCCTACGCCGCACGGCCACATGGGCTTCCCGTCATCCTGACGACGAAAATCATCCAGACTCCAGAGTCATTTGCAAATTGCAAATTGCAGATTGCCCGTTCGTCGCCAACCCGCTGCTGCGCATTGGCGTATGGGACCCATGGGACATTGCAGTGGGTGAATAACTGTTGACAGACGGTGGATCCTGTTTGCATTTCGCTTTTTGGCAGATCTGCCAGGAGGTCCCCGACCGGCCGCTGACCGGCGGATCCCATCCGCCTCCGAAATTACGACCCTCGGGAAGTCCGTCGTACTGTAGAGAGTGGACTCAACTTGGAGTACTGTCCACACCGACCTGCATCAATGCGGCGCTTGGAGTCTACGGAAGGACGTCATCGCCCGTCGCCCAAAGTTACACGCTATCTACCGTGTGGGATGTGAACTATATGTGCTCAAAACCCCATGGGTATCACCGTACGTATCACAGCGTTGGGGAATAGACCTAAGACTCGGCGAGTACAGGGATTCTGGGGATGCGGGATGACGACGCTAGGATACTGCAGCAGGGCGCACGATGCGGCAGAAGGGAGTGATAGCGCAGTTGGTTGTGGTGTGTTCTGCGGATTCCAAAGTTCATGTCCAGTGGCCACAACGGTCGGGCTGGTGTCCACGCGCTTCCCGGCGTGAGCGAAAGCAACGTGCAGTTTTCTCTCAACGCGCGTTTCGCACACATCCCGCAAAGCCGCTGCTCCGCCGCATTTCTCTATTTCGAGTGCGGAGACACCCAGGGTTGCTTCACCCGAAAGACGAGGATCCTGTCGTCGCTGTCGTACGTCCAGCACGTCGGCACATGCCGCGTCTGCGATCAAACACACCGTGAAGCCCCGCGGTGATCGCAGGATGCACAACAATCCCAACAATTTTCGGATGTCGTAGTATCTGCCATATCGTAGCTAGTAAAGTCGAGCGAGTGATACTGGACACCCCGCGGCACGCAGGAAGCACTATCACACACAGTATCATACACAGGATGCAGTATCATACAGGTTTTGTGGGAGATAACGAGCCCATGGTGCACTGTCTGTGATTGTGAGGCGAGGGTGTGCACTGGGATGAGGAGGTGCGGGTATGCGTAATGGAGAGAACGGGTTGCTGCAACGAGCAAGGCCCCTTCTGCCGAGTGGGAGGAGCATGGTTGTGGAAAGGCCTCTGAAACCTATAAAAGCTCACGTCCCTGGACCACTCCCCTTTTCTTCTTCACCAGATCATCAGTGATCACTCCCATCCTTCTCTTCTCCTGGGAATCGCGACGAGCCAGCAGTATTCACACAAAACCCCATCCTTACCACCCATAATCAAACAATCACGATGATCGCCCGCATCGCTATCGCCGCGCTCCTCGCCACCCCTTGTGCGCTCGCCGCCGCCGTCCCAAAAGCCCCCTCCAACCCCATTGTGGGAGGAAAGGATGCTGCTCACCACGACTGGCTCGCCATGATCCGCATGAACGGTTCTCCAACCGCCAACTGCGGCGGCACCATCATCGCCGAGAACATCCTCCTCACCGCCGGACACTGCTCCGTGGACGAGAGCGGCAAGCCCTCTAACCCCGACGGCATGCTCGTCTCCGCCGTCCGTTACGACCAGAGCAAGTCGACGGCGGAGGAAGGCGGTATCGACTACGATGTTACCAAGATCATCCCCCACCCCGAATTCACCCAGAACCCGGTGCCGTTGAACGATCTCGCCATCTGGGTGCTCAAGCGTAAGACCGCCGGCGGCAAGACGCAACCTACCGCCTCCCTCTCCACCGATGCCACCACACCCGCCTCGTTGATCGTGTCCGGGTGGGGAACCCTCTCCTCCGGTGGCGAGCAACCCGACATCCTGCAAGAGGTCTCCGTGCCCATCATGGACCAGAAGAAATGCCAGCAGTACCTCGGCGGTGCTGAAAACGCGCCCGACTCGACCATCTGCGCTGGCAAGGACGAGGGAGGTGTCGACTCGTGCCAGGGCGATTCGGGAGGCCCGTTGTTCTCCACCAACGCCGGCCAGGCTACCCTCTACGGAATTGTCTCGTGGGGTAACGGATGCGCCGCTGCCAAGCAACCGGGAGTCTACACCCGTGTTAGCTCGTTTGCCGACTGGATCAAGGAGCAAATCGCTGCGAACTCTGGTGGTGGTGAGGAACCTACCGACGCACCGCAGCCTACTGAAGAGCCTACTGACGCGCCCACCGACGTCCCGCAGCCCACTGAGGACCCCGCCCCGACGGATGCGCCTGAGCCGACCGAAACCTCTGTGCCGACCGAAACCTCTGTGCCGGAGCCTACGGAGGAGCCTACCACCGGTCGCCGTCCTCACCGCCGCCATTACTGAATCGCCCGCCCTATGCCCTGCATCCCACCTTCCGATGACATACGGACGTATATTCACACCAACGGGGCGATTGTGCAGTGTAGGATGCCCTTAGCACGGGCAATTTAGGTTGAGCGACCGTTTCTTGGGTACAGACCGGCTTTTGTCTTCATCCTGTACATACGGGCATACCCATCCTGTCTTTAGATTTTCCCCCTTCTTGTATCTACATACCTTAGACCTTCTTTCTGATGCGACCTTTTTGAGCTTACAAAATACCATATATCTGATACCGCGCAAACATTCTTGACTTTTGGCATCTTGACCTTCTCTCGTTCTTGTTGCTCCTGGTCGCTCTTTCTCCGGCGAGCGATGTGCGCTGTTCGCACGTCAATGCGGCCAAGCTTATCGTAAAGGAATGAGGCGGAATCTAATGCAGACTTTCGCAAATGGGGGCTGTTTGGCTAGCCACGCTCAAACAACGGTGGACATGCTTGCCTAATGGATGTGCCCGTTCGACCCGTACTCGCTATATATACGCTCAACCCTCCTCCCTGCGTTGCGCCGTATGTCAGCAGTACACAAATCTGCTTGGGCTCGCTCATGCGATCCTTGTCGTTTCTCCGTTTATCTGCCTGTCTCTGCTTTTTCTTTCCATGGGGATGTCCTCTGCAAAAATCGATGACTGTTGCAAAACAGGAGTGATGTCGGGAACAAAAAGGCAAAAACTTCATGCCTCCTGCGAGGATCGAACACGCGACCTTCTGCTTACGAGGCAGACGCTATACCACTTAGCTAAAGAGGCTTCGGTGTCAGGTATTAGCGTTGCAATTACATTTCGGTGAAGACACATATGCGTGGCATGTGGTCGTGCCCGATGTGGTCTCGAACGAGGTGAACCTTCTTTGCATACAGCAGAGGTGGCCACGGAACGGTGGCGGACTACACTTGCAACAATAAGAGCGATGCAATAACTCCACCCATGTCTGATCATAAATTGTTCGCTCCGCAATGAACATCGGCATCGACCGCAAGCCCTCGCATCCAACACTTCCGTTCGCACAGTTCGGTTCCTAACCTCCAAATTGAGAATGGCTGTCAAAATACGTCTCCCGTCGCGTGACGCTACAGTTGACAACAGAGACTAGCGCGGAGTGACGGAGGTGCCAAATTCCGAACAATCCACTGAAAGCCTTACACGTCGAAAGTTCCCCTTGGACCGAGAACGCAAAGCGTGTAAACGTTGCTTCCATTGAAGAAACAAAATGTACGGCGCCAGGACAGCGGGGATATCACATGGGAAGTGTGAGCGACACAACAGAACACTTACATATATGTGCAGGGCAGGCAGCGCAGCAGTCCGACCCCATCACCGTAGCGCACTTGCACCAAAACGACCAAGAACATGACCCCAACCTATACACCCCCAAAATCCATCGCCATAATCGGCGGCGGCCTCGGCGGTCTCTGTCTCGCCCAAGCCCTTCACTCCACCGGCCTCTCCGTCACCGTCTACGAACGTGACTCGGCCCCCAGCGCCCGCGGGCAAGGCTACGCGATCGGGATCAACGCCGACGGGTACAAAGCGCTCATCGCCGCGTGCCCGTCGCTGCTCACCAAACATGATATCTTTGACGATTGTCCAGTCAGGACGGTGTCGCTGACGGACCCGAGGTTGGATGTCTTGGTGAAGTTTGGAACGAATGTGTCGGGGAAGAAGGAGGATGAGGAGCTGGGGGGGACTGTGAATAGGGTGTTGTTGCGGGAGGGGTTGACAGAGGGGCTGTTACAGAACCAACAAGGGGATGGGCAGAACGCGGGGATCGTATACGGCAAGCGGTTCTTGGAGTACGAGGTCACCGACGACGGCACCAAAGTGGTAGGCCAATTCGACGACGGCACCACGACGGGCAAAGTCGACATCCTCGTCGGCGCAGACGGAGGGCACTCACCAGTACGCAAACGCCTGTATCCGCAAATCAAGTACGAAGCTCTCGGCGTGCTCAACATCGCGGGTGCACTCCCGCTGGCCGACATTACCGGGTGGGATGACCCCGAATGCAAACTGCGACGCGCAGTATTGGACGGCGAGAACAAGAGTAGTCTCGTCCGCGCGCTGGACCGTAACGGGGGCAGCATGCTGTTCATACGCTCAAGGGACCCGGCGACGCTCGAACCCATCTTGGCGTGGGTCGTCACGCGAAAACCTGGGCAGGACGAAATGGCGGAACTTACGCAGCGGATGCTTGACCCGACCACGTCCACGATCAAAGTCAAACAGATTTTACACGACTACTGCCTCTCCATCACCACCCGACATAACTACCATCCGTCCATCGTCGCCCTCCTGCGCGCCACCCCAGCAACGGGTATGCTAGCCTCATCATCGCACGACCCTGAGAGCCTACAGTCCCGGTCAACCCGCATTCCCGGCGACCTTCCCACACCGCCCACCCGCATCGTCCTCCTCGGCGACGCAGCCCACGCAACGACCACACACGGCGGATTGGGCGCCAACACCGCTTTTCGGGACGCCATTGAACTCGCGGACGCTATCAAGAAGGTTTTGAAAGACGGCGGGGATGTACCAGTGGCAATGGGAGCGTATCATGCGAAGATGTTTGCGAGGGGGAAGGAGGTGATTGCATTTAGTGTACGAGGCACGGGGATGAATACGATGGGCGGTTTCAGGGCGTGGCTGAGAGATGGGATTATGAGGATTGTGGCGGCGGTTATCTGGGTGAGAAGGTTGGTGAAGGGGGTACCTGGGTGAGTGAACGATTGCAGGACGGTGGGATAATGCTGTACAGTGCGGGGGTTGGGGTGAAGATGCTTCTTATACATTATATGTATGTGATGTATTCAGAGGCGTCGTTCATAGAACCTACTGTGTTGGCGCGAGGACCATCAGGTGGGAATTGGCGGTATTTGCTCTGAGAATCCTTCCCATAGGGCTTCGTCAGATGTCAGTTCGTCGGCTTTTTGTTGTCACGATCATATAAAGCATTCCTCCTTTTGGTGAATCATTCAGATACAGAATAAATTGACAAGAAGATATGAAGCACTGTACGCCGCACGTTTGTTTCTTTTCCTATGTATATGGCTACATATGGGTATCAGGCAGGAAGTGCGGCAGAACCAGTGTTGAATCCCAAATGTAGCCCATCTGAAGCGGGCCGTACCTCACTACAAAACTCCCGTTTGCAATAGTCCAGGACGGGCGCCATGACCCCCGCCTCTTCACTCACATCGATGATACCTGTCCTGAAGCAGAACCCGTTCCAAAACAGCTCCTCATACTCCTCACAACTTGAGCAACAACTTGCCCGTCGTTCCTCGGCCCTCCAACTCCCTATGCACCCTTTGTGCTTCCTCCAACGGATAAACGCCATGAATCTTCACATTCAACTTTCCCTCCTTCAGCAAATCGAAGAGCCAGTTGGAGTAGAACGCGAACTCTTCACGCGTAGTGATGTATTGGAACAGCGCGGCGCGCATGATTTTGGTGTTTTTGGCGGCGAGGAGGGGTAGGTCGATTGGTGGGACTGGGCCACCTTTAACGAAACAGACGGAAGGTGGGAGTTAGATGGCAAGGCGCAGAATAAGGCTTTCGAGAAATGAAAACGGTGGTTGACGCGATACTTACTAGCATTCCCAAAGAAGATAACTTCTCCCTTCCTCTTCACGGCCTCCAACGATCCCTCCCACGTCGTCCTCCCCACCGAATCATACACCACATCCACGCCCTCGCCCGATGTGAGTCTCATTACCTCCTTCACCCACTCCTTATCCTTGGTGTAATTGATCATGAAATCCGCGCCGTTCGCCTTGGCAAGAGCACACTTTTCGTCGGTGGAGGCCGTGCCGATGGTGATGGCGCCGAAAGATTTGAGGAGCTGGCACATGAGCAGGCCGACGCCGCCGGCTGCGGCGTGGAGGAGGACTTTGTCGCCCTTTTTTATATGATGGGATTCGTTGACGAGGGCTAAGGATGTGAGACCCATAATGAATGCGCCGAGGGCGGTCTGTGGCGGGATGCCGGGGGGGAATTTGAGGGCCCGGGTTGCGGGGACGGCAGTGTATTCTGCGTAGGCTCCTAAGAATTATTGAAGAGGGCGGGTGAGAAAGATACACAGCAAGCGACAAAGCCGCCCGTCGAGATTCGAACTGTGGACAACCACCGCCGCCGAAAGAGAAAATGTCGAACGAGATTTCGAAGCGTTCAGCGGCCGATTAAGGAAATTGCCGAGAACCCCGACGCTCGCTTCGCTCGCAAATATCCGATCTTCGCTGAGGTGGCCTGACAGGCGTAAGCGAGAGGATCGCTGCTTCAGCGTACGAAAATCGCTACGCTCGCACTTCCCCCGTTCATCCTCGCTAACGCTCGGTATACATTGCGCTCCCTTCGCTCGTCGCGCTCCCTGCCGCTTGAACTCGTTTGCGCAAAGAAGACGCACTCACTCCCTTCGGTCGTTCACGTACCAGACTTGAGCCAGACAACCTCATCGCCGACCTTCAATCCCTCAACGTCACCACCTCCAACCGCGACAACCTTCCCAACACCCTCCTGTCCAATAATCATCGGCAGCCCAGTCGGCGCCTTATACAGCCCCGTCCTGAAATACGTATCGATGAAATTGACCCCAGCGTATTCATTCTTGACCAACACTTCGTTGTCGAGGGGTGTGGGTGTTGGCTGGGTGTCTGTGTAGGTGAGGACTTCTGGGCCGCCTGTTTTGGGGACGAGGATGGCGCGCATTGTCTTGGGGACGGTGGTGGTGATCATTTTGCGGTGCAGGGAGACTTGGCTGCGGGGTATGTGAGTGAGGGGGGTGCGAAGTTGTTGCGTGCGAGATGCTGATGCTAAGTGCGGGAGTGCGGTTGCAGTTCTTGCGGTGAGCAAAGATGACTTTGTGTGGAGTGGGAGCAGTGGGGAAGTTATGGACATAAGAGCTGAGTGAGAGTCAGAGCGTTGAGAGACGGGGCGGCCGGGTGGGTAGTTGCAGCCTTTTATGCGGGGTTTGGGGACGTGTGGAATGCCCGCGAGATGACGGACGGCCTTTCCGAGCTCTGGAGGACATGACCAGCGAGACGAGGCAACAACCGCTAAGATGACAAATGGCTTTCGTTTCTGACAGCGCGTCTTTTTGACAGCATTTGGGGACCCCTGGAACCTCCGACGCCCAAGACGGCCAGACCACCACCGACATATGCCAACATGACAGGTCAAAGGCGAGGAGGATGCGTTCTACCGACTAGCCGCGCTATGCTCCAATCTGGCAGAAAAAATCTGTGGGACTGAGGTGTGGGTCGCGCTCAGATATGTTTCGATGCCGCGGGGCTCTTCGTATATCCGTCAATTCGAAAGGGTGGTCCCAACTCTGGCGCGGTGTTGAATACTTTCATTTCAAAAGAACGCACACGCAGCGTTGGTCTGATTGCAAACCTGCTGCTCTGTTGACCAAGGGCAGTGCACCTCTTTTTCTTCTTCGTACAAAATGTAATGCGAAGTTTCGAGGAGTATAGGGAGGCTTGTTAAGAGTCCCTATCAAGAGCTGTTGGATAATAACGCAATCCCGTCAAGACTCGAATGAGGTGCACACCTGAGGTAAGCATGTAAATAACGACGTCTCCACCCCCAACGGAGGCCGATGGAGTTTCCAAACGTATATCACTGGTCAGTTTCCTTCGAAAATCTCTCTCACGGATCCACTAGAGCAGACCTTTCTTATTCTGACCTATTGATTACACACAATGCCCGTTCAGAACTTTGACGACTCGCCACTCAATCAATTGAATTGTTATGCAACCCAAAAGGCACCCACATTTGACGTTTATATCTTTCCCTCGCTCGTTCACGCGACTGCGAGACGCTCCGACACACAGCGCACATTGTGTCCCTACCCTAGAGCGTAACGTACAGTGTGTTGTGTGCGGCAATGGCGAGGTTGCTGAAACGTTGGGATGTGTTAGCGCAAAGGGCAGAATGTAGATGATTGGCTCAAGCGAGGCGCGAATCAAAGAAGGTTGGTTGGGAAATCGTTGACGTATGAAGTGTGGGGATGATGTGAGTGAAGTGTTTACTGACTCTGATATTCTAGATTGCTGTAAGAAGATTGAGACTGAAGCTGGGAGCTCGTGAGAATGCAAAGTCCCCACCAGCATCATTCCCCAAGACGCCAGGCTTTTAACCATGCCCCCTTGGGCCTAAGCGGTAGCTTGATCCATGGCTCGTCTTCTTGCTTGTGAGCGAGTGTTGTAAGGATGGTAGGAAATGACTTGGCAGTGCTAGTTGGTAGGTTATCTTTCCTGATATGACCGCCGCCGCACACCTGGCCGCATTGCGGCAGATGAGCGCCGTTGCTTGCCAGGCCGCGAGGCGCAAACATGAGCGAACGCGCACCTAACTGGAAGATGCCCGCAGACAGCTGAAGGAAGTGGATGCATATAACGCGAAATTAAGGAAACACATAGAGGAAGCGCCGGGGAGACTAGCCCTCGCGATTAGGAAGCGGAGACGCAACGACGACAATCCAGACCACAACTCGGACGACGAGCCTTGCGACCGACAGCGCCACCGTCTTTGATGGATATATCAGATGGGCGCGCCTTGAAGACGCGAGCGTAATTGCTTCCGGATTTGAGGCGTCTGCCTTCCCTCAATCATGGACCGAATACCGACTAACAAGGCAGAGGGTGGTCTTTTTGGACCACCTAACGTCTATCAATTCACCAATGTCCTATAGCCAAATGGGAACGTACAAAGGATTGCTGCGGCTTCCTGTGATCGAACTGGGGCTAATACGGCGTGCTTCTCTCAAGGGCTATGGAGTTTTCTGTACCATGCCCGCGGACGTAGGCTGCTCATTGCAGCTAGGTACATTTTTTGCTTTATGAGATGTCGCACGAGATGTTCACCATTTTACCACGACTTTTTGCATGTTTGCGTCAGTGAGCGCTGTATTTTCCAGTCAGCAGAAGTAAATGAACCAAACCCCTAGAGCATCGTAATCGTCCCCCCATGTCGAGAAGCATTCGCATATCATTGCGCCCCAGAAGATGTTCAACGCGAGGGAGCAAGGGGGAATTAGGGATATAAGAGCGGACGTACTCTTTTGATTGGAATTGAATGAACGCGTCCCGATTCCCTAAGACGTTGATCTATGTACATGTACAAATGTTCTATGAAGATGAAGGGTCTGAGATAACGGAAACAGTGACGAGCTTCCTTTCGGGCGAGAACTGGTCACTGAGTGGGGAGGGAAATCAGGACGGGGAACATCTAGCACATCCGATGAATGCGGGCGGGTATGTTGCGCCTGTGCGGAGTGACGGTTCTACTAGATCCAACATCGCTTCCCGGTGCCTTCGCAGCCGTAGCACGGTTTTCTATCCACAAAATATTCGCATCTCTCAGACTCCGGCGGAACGGTGACCGATCTTGGCCAATATTCGGTCTGCACTCTTCCGCACCTGCGACACTTGAACCGCGTTCCCCAACCCGTCGTCTGGTGAAACTCAAGTTTCCCCCGGCATTCCGTTTCTAGGTATGCGGCGCCCCTGCATTTGCTGCAGTGTGTACCACCTTGCCGATGCTGCCAGAGAGTCAGCTCGGACGGGAAGACTTTTTTGCAGTTGCAGGTGTAGCTGTAGTTGGGTGGTACTCCGGGCCGTACACTTGCCGGGTCAATGCTTGCCGCCTCAGTGCTTGCCGCCTCAGTGCTTGACATGTCTGAACAGAAGAACTCGTGCGCCACACAATCATACTCCTTGCTGAATACTTTTGCACAGGTGACGCAACTGATTCGAGGCATTCCTCCGACGCGAGTGACTCGAGGCATTGCTGCTCCGGGAAGGGGAAGACTGTAAGCGTGGCATTCAAGCAGGGTGTGGGTGAAGTACAAAGGGACAAAAGGCTGATACCTTGTAGTGCGGTGCTCCAACTTTGCGAGGGGAATGCCGATGCTGATGGGTCCGAGGCGATCTTGCAAGGGAGCTGTTCGAGAGTTTCGAACTTCGATCGACGCGCAACATAACATCTTTGGACGGCTTCCGACGACTTGCCAGAAGTGTCGTAGGGGTTAGGGTTAGGGGTTAGGGCGGACATGGTAACGCGTTGGGAGTTGCACCCACTGGGGCACGGCGTGGGGCTGGCGTTTTACAGCCGAGCCATCGGCGACCTCTGACGATGCGAGGTCCCAACCTGGGTCCCAACGCTGTCCAATGCTCAAAATGCGAGCCAACATGCTGCAAGAGACAACCGAAGTCCGTAAGTAGGCACTTTGTTCCAGAAGACAATGGGAACGGCAGCCACAAAAGCAACGCTTCAACTGTGTACCCTTCACAAAACGGCAGATTCAGCGCAAAAGGTTGGCAATTGCGAAAGAGCCCTTGCGTCTCTTGCGTTGGCAAAAGTGGGCCAGAAATTCGGTGCGATGAGCACAACCCTACTCGGCAACGTTGCCCTTGAAAGCGTGCTTTCCTACCCGCAGTTTGTGACGACCCCGAACAACGCGCTCCAACTGTTCTACCGGTCGGCCGCGCAACCAACGCGACGACGCCCAACATCGCGACTTACAACGGCACCAAGAACGCATGGACGGCGATGGGAACGTATGCATCCAACACGGGTTCGTACACAACACCGGGGGGGCAAGACGAGCACGGTCTTCCACAGTTTCATCCCGCACGGATATGCGTATGATGTGGAGAACACGTTGCATGTCTATGGAACCTTCCGCGAGAGCGACACTTCGCTTTTTTGTGCAATCCCGGCGGGCTAGCGAACCACGACACATTCTATGTACATCGTTTCCAACGATTACGGAAGGGCTTTCAACACCTGGAAAAAGCCGCAGATCGGAGTCACGGGAGGCACGCCCACGTTCCGCGTCGACGACACCAACGTCGACATCGACACGATCGGGATCGACCAGGTGTTGATGGACACAGAGGGCACGCCCGTGGTCGCGTACAAAACGGGCCTCCCGTACACATCCACCTCCTATGTGCCCCCAATCTCTTCCTTATGTTCAACGAACTGGGCGAACGACCGCATCGCGAAAGGCCAGAGCTACCTCGTGCCCCGTATGGCGGGCGGGTTCAACAAAACGGCGATCCCGTTCCCGATCAACTCATGGTCGACGTCCCATCTCGTTCTTGACAGCAGCGATAACGCGTATGTGATCATCAACGACTTGCCCGTTGTGCGTGGGACTGCGGCGAGTACCTGGACGAGCTGGGAGTTGCTGGCAGACTTTGGGCAGGAGGTAGGTAATACGGGATAAAGCCTTGAAAGTTAATTTGGCATAAACTAAATACAAAGTCGGATAACGTCGGGGAATCAGCCTCCGTGGGATGCGAAGGAATCTATCTAAAAGTCTCTATTTAACTCAAACATCATGAACCTGCCTAAAGAAAACGTCGGATAACATGGGGGTGTCACCCTCTATCTAAAACCAGCGGGTTTCCTTGGCTGACCATGTTTGCTTGTTGACATGGTGGACTTTCCGGGTTGGGGGACTTGCTCCACCTTGCTGAATTTGCTGGGCTGCGTTGCCTGGGTGGGCTGCTTCGCCTTCTTGGACTTCTGGCCTTTCCTGGGCTTTGCTGCTGACTTTGTCGGCGCTCGCACCGTCTTCCATGGTGTGTAGTAAACAATGCCTACGGAGCTTTCCAGAGAAGAGAGGTAGGATCCACAGAGCTCATGACGCGCCCGCCGAATCCGGTTCAAACTCGCCTCTAAGACAGTGGCTTCGGTCGAGATAGGGGTCGGCATCGGCCTCGGGGTTAACATTGAGGTTGAGGTTGAGGTTGGCGCTGGGGTTGACGTTGGGATTAGGGTTGGGATTGGCGTTGGGATTGGCGTTGGGGTTGGCTTTTGGGTTGAGGCGGCGGTTACGGCCGCAATTGAGGTGGCGGATTTGGCGCGTTTGCGTTTCTTGGGTTTCCAGCGTTCAACATCTGGTTCGTTCGCCGGAACGGCTTCGTCCATGTTCACTGCGTTAGCGGCGGCGGTGGGGCCGGCGTCGCGCTTACGTACACGTTTCATGACCGGTGGAGAGTTTGGTTTGGAGTTGGCCGCGACTGCGTTCATGTTCACTTTCGATTTCTCCTTCTCTTCCGGTACCGCGGCAGTCGTCGTCGACGCATCAAAGGCGGCGCCGCGCTGACGTTTACGCTTCTGAGCAGTTCCCGCTCCGTCCAACACCTCGCCGACGCTTGATTTCTTGGTCGCTTTCTTCGATGCTTTCTTCGACACCTCGACCGGGATCGCTTTCTCGTCAGCGCCCGCCTCCTTCGACACCTCACCAGCGCTCGCCTCGCCTGAGCTCGACACGTCCCCAGCACTACCTTCTCTCGACCCCTCACCAGCGCACCCTTCGTCCGAGCTCCCTTCGTCCTCGTCCGAGTCGGCCGAGCTCGCTTCCTCGTCAGCGCCCACTTCCTTCGACACCTCGCCCGAGCTCGACGCTTCGACAGCGTTCGCTTTTCCAATGCTCGACACTTCCCCAGCGCCCGCCTTCTTTGACACCTCACCAGCGCTCCCGTCGTCCGAGCTCGACCCCTCGCCAGCGCTCGCTTCGTCCGAGCTCCCTTCCTCCGACACCTCGTCTGCGCTCGCTTCACCCGAGCTCGCCTCGTCTGCGCTCGGTTCACCCGAGCTCGCCGCGTCTGCGCTCGCTTTGCCCGACGCGTCGCCCGAGTCCATCTCGTCCGTGATAGCTTCAATCAACCACCCTTCGCCCGCTGGCGCTTCATGTGAGTCCACAAAGGTCCAAATCTCGGAGGCAGTGCTCTTCAACGTGCGCACTGGAGGACCTCCGCCGTTCCAATACGTCTCCGCAGTCACCGCTTTCCCCCCCCCAATGTCGAGGAGATGGGTACATCTCTGCTGCCATACATCTAGATTTGTCTCCACACAATGGTCCATCTCGAAGCACGGCTTGCACAAACCCACCCCACAGTGGCCGGCTTCAGCGGGACAGTCGCGACAGTGGACAGCGATGGGATCCTTGCTGCAGATTTGGCAGGGGATTGGGATGCGAGTGTGGTTTTTTCGTTTGCCGCGATGGCGCTCGTCGTAGCAGGGGCCGCAAACACCGTGGAGCGGATAACAGTGCGCGCAGGTAAGCGTGGGTATAGAGGGACAGTGGACGCATCTTTCTGATCGCGTTGGGGAACTGAGACGCGGCGGTTCCTGGTCGTTGCTTGCAAAGAGGTCGATGAACTCCTTCTCAATGGGGATTTGCCCGGCCTGGAACTGAGACTGAGACTGCGAGGATTCTGCAGCGGGAGCCGGAGTGAAGAGCAGTAGCTGGGATTGGTCCGGTGACATGGCGTCGCGGAGGTTGCCGATGAGCGAGATGGTTGCGGCAATCCGGACGAGGGCTTCTGGGCTTCCCACGCCGTCCGAACTTGGGAGTCTTGGAGGTAATTAATCAGTGATTAATCCCGCAGGAATGTCTCGTAGGTCAGGTGACCAAAAAATGACGGAAACCATCTACGCCAAAAAGGAACTCAGATTACGCCAGAATGATAACGCAGTCCTCTACTCTAAATACGCCAACGCTACTTCTATTGGTATCATCTCACGCCCCTACCTACTCCCTCTATTGATGCACAAACAGCGTCTGCCTAATGATCGCCGTCTTCTGCGCAACGGCTTTCGATGCCTCAATGAAATTCCCATCCGCATTCCAAAGTTTCGCTTTGGCTTCCTCGCCTTCCATGCCTTCCGTAACCCCCGCAATCTTCAAGAACCTGAACCCATGCTTGACAACGAGGTCAAACCGATGAATCGAAGCTCCCAGGTCAATCGCAGCCGTCTTAAACGCCACAGTAAGATGTTTCATCGTTGCGTCGTCATATATGCCCTGCGCGGGGTCTGCAGCACTGCGTGAATGCCATGCGTGTCCTGAGATCATGTCGAAGCCTATCAGGTCGGTTTGTGACGTGATGTGTGGCGTGATGTGTGTGCCGAGGCGGGAGGAATAGAGGTTGTCGGCGTTGGTGAACATGATGTAGTCGCATTTGGGGAAGGTCGTATGGGGACTGGAGTGGGCTGCAGCCAGTTTTTCGATTGCCACGTCTGTGTATGCTGTGATAGTAATGAGAAGTTAGTTAGGATCCATTCTGCGCGACCCGTTGTCCCAACCCAAATCATTCACTCACCATATCCATAGTCACTCCAGCCATCTTTCAGCAAAGGATAAACCCGCTCTGCCTCCTCCTTCCGCACGTCCAGCGTCACAATCTTCGGCCTCGGGTGTCCGCCCACCATTGCCGCCTCCTCCGTGACCCTCAATGTGTCCCTCAACACCTTCTTCTGCTCACGCGTGGTTTCCTCCGTCACAACCACCACGACGGTCGTATCCAGCGGCGCCGAGTGGTCAGTTCCCTTCACAACGCTGAGGAGGAAAGCGGGAAGGTAGGTATATTGTTTTGGGTAGGTGCGTGCCAGCACGCAGAGGTGTGAATTTGTAGGTGATGGTAAATTGAGCGTTGGCGACGAGTTGTTTTTGGTGAAGTCGGTGGAAGGGAGGTCGTAACGCAAGAGGATGAGGCACAGGAAGCAGAAGAGAACGACAAAGGGGAGGAGGATCGCTGTTGGCCGCCACCGGGCTGCTACTGTTGTCATTGTTGGGGTGGTGAAAGGAAGGTAGCGATGCGGTGTGCCTAATAAGGAGGTGTGCCGCTGTCCGTTCGAAGAATTACCAGCGCTCGCTATCTCCCCTGTGAGACTATAACTGTCCGACGTGGGTGTTGCTTCTACTGCTGCTTCCTCCTCAATTCAAGGTCGATGTTTCCCTAGGTAGTATACCCGATTTGAGCTTCCCTTTTCCGGCGAGAAAGGGGAGGAAACACGGCCTACTATTTGCTAACAGTCCCTAACACCGTTGTCCACATTTCAAACCTGGAAGGAGGTTAGGGTTACGACTGTTTGTCGCCTCAGCTAATGGAGAAGAGCACACTGCAAGGTACTGTACAGTACGGATATATTTCCTCACGAGGAAAGGAAAGGAACGAGGAGAAAAGCAGAGGCAGGTTACACAGAAGCTTGAGTAAAATCTTACTCAGGAACAAAAAATATGTCCGGTACATCCAGTATACAGGTCCATATCCCATCATCGGAGTTCTCAACGCAATCCCAAGGTTCGAAAACCAACTCATAGCCATACAAGTCTAAACCGTCTCCTTCATCGCGGCCGTAGCCCCACCAGCGGGTACAGTCCCAATGCTATCCATACTGTTCCCAGTCACCAGCGCCCCATTCTCTCTGAAGTCCCTAACCCGAATCCATGCCTCATTTGCCAAAAACAAGGTCGCGAACAAGATCGCGCCGGGCGTCTCGAAGCGTCTGTCGTGACGGATGGAATGTGCCGACGCGAGGTAGGCGATGATGAGGGCGAGGTTAAGGAGGGTTAGAAGGAGGATGGTGAGCGGGTGGGATGTGTGGGGGGTGTGGCCCGTGGAGAGGGCGGCGACGTTGTTAGAGGATTGGGTGTGCGGGGAGGTGGCGGCCGTGGTGCGCGGGCGGTATTTGTCAGACCAGCCGGCGTTGCGGGCGTGAGGGGTGCGGACCTGCGGGGAAGGAGGGAAGTTTAGTGCCAGGAATCGGCGCGAATACATGATGCGCTGGACCTCCCAACCGCAAATTCACCCGCCGACGTCAATTCGTATAACATACCTCACGACTCAACCCGTAAACCGCAATCAAAAAGTACCAAATCGGCAATCCCAGCGGCAAATACGCCGCGCGGTCCGATAACTCATAGTTGATCAGGTCGCCTTCATAGTCCTGCGTATCCATAGAGTTGCAGATCATGGCCGCAAGCCCAATTGCGAGGGTCACGAGGACGGTTGCGATGAGGAGGATGCGGCGGTGGGTAGGGTGTGCGAGGTTGCGGCGGAAGCGGAGGGCTCCGGCTAGTGGGGATGAAAAGAGGGTTGGGATGGGATGGTTAACGATGCACGAAGGGACGGGGCGGTTTGGATACCCTTTTGTCCGAAGCTCATCACAAACTACTCACCAATATTGAGCGCCATCAAAGCACCAACATAGCCCACATATCCAATGATGAGCGCCCCCTTAGTCCTTCCCTCAAATGTCGCCAGGCTTTTAATCAGCGCTCCAATGCAAAGGACCAAGAAGAGGAACCCTGCCAAAAGCGCCCACGTGCGTTTCTTGTCCACACGGCCACCATCCGGCCCAAGCTGATGCTGCGATGTGTAACGGGTGAAGAAGAGACGGTGGAGGGCGAGAAGGATACCGAAGAAGACGATGGGGATCACGCAGCCGGCGACGAGAGCTGCGGGGCCGAATGTAGAGACGGCGGTGCTGACGGCGCCGAGAGCGCCGATTTTGCCTTGTGCTACGAAGAAACCTTTGCAGTTAGGGTCGAGGACGCAGGCGAGGCAAGCCGGGTTGGCGAGGCATGGGGCGTTATCGCTGGACGCCATGACTAAATGTACCGTGTGGAGAACGAGCTAGTGTACGGTGGTGGAGTGTGAGCTGGAGGTTTCCTGCTATGAGGGTACTGATTGGCGCTAGATGCAAGGGTAAGGACGGGAGGTAGTGACAACTCCGCAACTCGGGTAGGCTGAGAATGGTTCAAGAAGCAAGAAGAATATCTCGTGAAAGTACGGAAGCGCCTGCTAATTCCAAGTATATCAACGAACAAAGCAAGGGCGAGCATGGATGCCACACTTCTTATATAGCCAGAGAGAAGGCAAGGCGCAAAAACTCTCTCTCCCTGCCGCGTCAGCCACGGCCCACGGCTCACATCATCTTTTTTCAGGACCAGGCAAGGGTCACGCTACCCCCCGGTGTCTTTCAAGAAACAAGCTTCGTGACGTCTGATGGAGCCTGAAACCTTCAAGCTTCTCGTCCCCTTCCTACGTATTGGCAGTCACGCATGGCGTAGCCAGGGCCTAAAAGTACACTGAGGTGAGGTAAACCACAACAAGATCAAGGTTAAAGCAGGATCAAATGACTCTTTAGTCCCTGCTCTGTTGATCGCGGGACGGGCCGGATAGACGGCAGGGAATGGTTCAGCACCAGGATCTCCTGCATTGTCCCTTCCACCATGTGAATGGTCTTCTCATGTGGGTTTGTGAGCGGCCGCTGTTCTTCTCACTTCTCATTTCCCTTACCTCGTAATAAGCTTTTCGGGCGAGAGACTGGGCCTCACGCCTACTGTATATGTAGGGCTTCGCCGAGACTCCCTTCAGGAGGGCTCAAAAACCTGGTGTTGAAATTGTGATGATTCCGCGATGATATGCCGTATGTACGTAAGACGATTTTTGCGGCGAGCGGGGCCAACTTTGATTTTCCAAGCTGCCGCGGGGGAAAAAGCCCTGCTGGACTTTTTTTGGCTGGAACCCGACGTAGGACGGTAACAGGCGACGTCCGCGTCCCGACACTCCAGCTCATCCATCACGTTACCCCACGCCCACATGCCGCGGCGTTTTTTCACTAGGTGCCTGGCACTGCCCGCTCGAAGATCCAAGACGACCACAAGACATGAGCTTCGAGATAACGCGGCTGTAAAAACGGGAGATCAGAGTCGTGTGATGCGGAGAGACGGTTTATGACACATTACGATTCGAATGGGTCTGGACTCTGGACCGGATGGGCATCTTGCCGTAGTCCGACGGAGGTCGCCTGCAGTCATTTGCCAGAAACTTGCAGTCATTTGTCAGTCCCGTTCGAGAAAGCTGCAAAAAGAAAGACTACGTACGAAACTGAGATCCGCGACCGACACCCGCAAACAAAGCTTCGTCCGGCGGCGGGCTCAGCGTTGAAGCCGTTCATTGAAGCAATTCTTTGCCGCTACGAAGCGCGGAAAATCTGACGGAAAACTCCCAATGTGTCTCTACTCTCCTCCGTCAATGATTTCACGGTGCTGGCCACTTCATATGCGGGGGGTCGGACGCCATGCATTTGAATTGACGGCCTTTGAGATAAAAACTGTTGAAAAAAGACTGAGAAAAAACGGTCAAACGGCCAAACGCCCAAATTTCTCACTGGAATCATGGCCATACCGGCGGCCGATAGGCGTCCGATATGCGGTCTAGACTCCGGTACTAGTAGTCGTCGACCCTCTGAAACGTCTGCCCCGCCATATCGACGTCCAAGTTCGTGGAAATTCTCTTTGATGTGCGGTGCGATTTGTAGATGTTGTAGCCGACGACAGGGTTTGCCGTCGAAATTTAAATTGCCCTTTCACTTTTGGCGTCCGAACCAACGGTACAGGCTTTCTCACTGTAGAACGTCCACGGTCTTTTCATGCCGCCTCGCAGTACTACACATCTCACCGGTATCATGGGAAAGTTTTCTCTGTCGGCGTGGAAGGTCTGAGGATGGAAATGCCGTGCCTTATGATTTCGGCTATAAAGGACAGGACACACATCTCCCCTTTCCCTCAACCGCCGCAAACATTGAAGCGTAACACGTCTCAGCGACCCAGCAACATCGCCGCAACCATGAAGTTTACAACATTGGTCGTCTCCACCGCCGTCCTCGCCGGTTGCTGCACCGCATCGCTCACCTCCAACAACGAGCGAGTCCTGAGCAAACGTCAGATCACTCACCACCGACCCATCTGTCCCAACATCCCCAACGTCCCTAACCCCATCGGATGCCCACCCAACCCTTTCATGCACACCAACCCCAGGCCCAACCCCGTCACCGTCCCGGAACCCTCCGTCCCGACTACCCCGGTATTCTCGCCCGCATGCGAGACTTTCTTCAAGCAATGCACCGAAACCGCCACCGCCGCTGCAGCCGCGCAAGGGCAGACCTGCCCGACCGACTTCGGATCTATGTGCACAAAACTCACCGCGAACCTCGCGACCGATGTCGGCATGTGCGCCACCTGCACCACCGGCCTGCCGCTCTTCATCAAGGACGCCGGCGTCCAGATGCCCCAGTGGTACAACATCTCCGGCCTGGCGCCCACATCGCTCGCCGCCAGACAGGCGTTCAAAGATCTGTGCACCAAGAGTTGCCCTGTGGATGGCCTAGGACCCGTCATCGAGGTGGATTCCTTGGTTGCGACGTGCCTGTGCGCGAAGGGGACGGTGCCGGATTTCGCGACGCTTCCTAAAGTCGAGTATGCGAATGGAGGTGTGGCGAACACCGTTATGCTCCCCGTTGGCGCAGCCGGCAATACTACCACCTCCGCACCTGTGGTGGCGCCCACGCCGGTTGCAACGCCCCGTGTGACGGGCCCGAGCGCTTCCGTCTCTGTCCCGGTTGCTGTATCGTCTCCTTCAACTGCCGCCGCGGCCGGCGGGAGCGATGCGACCATCCCAAGTGGGGCCGCGACTGTCGCTCATGGTAGTGGGCTGGGCGTCGCTGCGTTGGTCATGGCCGTTTTCGTGTCCTCGCTGTAGATAGATTCTCTGACCCGATGTCCGCTGTTGATGCGGTGCGATGAAAGGATAGAGATAAGTAGAATCTTCTCATAGATCCAACGCTGATGTAAAAATAATAAACTATAGCCTTACCACTGCACATATCAACTCTGCGATCGTTCCGTCTCACGTTCACCTCGCGACTTCTGGATTGCCGGTTAGGAACCTATTATTCGTTTCTTGACTGCATGTTGGAGGAGCGCACGCCCACGTATATCGCTACGCATACGTACTGGGATGTCTAAGTTCCCAACAGTGACACTCGACATACAGTAGCTCATCGTGGCCCGTCCGTAGCGTTTGGAATTTTGGAATGAACGAAACCGTGGTAACGCGCGCCCACATTTTGCGTGGAAGACCGTCCATTCGGCAGTGTGCACGACGGCACATCCGGCATATATGCGGCATGTGCAAGGGCAACGGCATTACCCGACAGCGAATGTCCAGGTATCCGACAACGATTCACGCACGAAACAATTGGTAAACGTGCGGATTGTATGTTATGCATCAACTTTGGCTTCCAGTAGTACAAAAGAACTCGATGGGCACACAAGATATGTGGGGTGATATTGCTTATACTACTATGCGGGAGGGTATCCCCTCCTTCAGAAGCCTCCGATCCCTCCACTCAAGCCATTGAAGTATCCTTCGCAATCTCCACAAGCTTAGTGCTCTTTTGCATCGTGCTGTTATTCGCCCTCTTCGATCCCGTGTGCTGCACTTGGCTCTTCTTCTCGCTCTCCTCAGGCGCTCGCTTAAACGTAAACAGCGCGATGCCATGCAACCAGCAGTAGTCCGACATGATGAAATCCAACAATAGCCAAGCCCACTCATGCATGAACCACTGCACGATCAGCAATAACAAAAACACGGGGATGAACCCGGCGAGGAAATAGAGTTGGGTGTAGTAGATCCGATCCACGGGGGACATTTGGGTAGTCTTGGTGAGTGTCGACCGTACGTTGCGCAAATGTCGTCCAAGATGCATGATGATAGGGATGGAAATGACCGCGAACGACATCAGGAACAACGAATTATTCACCGTCGTTTTCCACGGCGTCAACTCCTGCGCGCAGAAACTTGCATCCGTAATGGGCGCCGTCAGCATATGCTCCATAAATGCGATCGAGCTCGCGACCCAAAGTGCCACCGATATTGCCGACGCGGCTTTCGAGTACACATCGTTCTGCCGCATCGAGCGGTACAGCGCGCCCAGCAGATGCAGCAGCGTGTACCGGTACGCGATCACCCCAAGCAGGTTGCCGAAAACAATCAGCGTCGTGCAGTTGCGCGAGATGCTATTGTCCATGTAGAACATCATCGTCACGCGTTGGATTAGGTGCGTGAGGCACATGGCGATGAGGAAGGAGCGGTGTCGCCAGGCGAGGTCGGAGCGGGTTAGGAGGGTGTTGAGGTAGACGATGGTGTGGGACACGGTGATCGAGGTTACGGTGCTGGTTACGAGGCTCATTGTGGGACGGTGGGTGGATTGGATGGAAAGCAATAGGTGTCAATGGTGGATTTGGGATGCACAGTTTGTTTCTTCACCCGATCGAGCTGGGCAGACGTGGATGTCGATTGTTAAATATACACTCTGCTTCCTTCAAGTGAATGTTCTTGGGACGGTGACAAGGAAGGCTTCACCGGCTGACTTCAACCCGGTGTAAAGAGTTTAATGAATCGGAACGGCTGCCGGTAGCCGTTCGTCCCTTTTGAATACCATTTGAACCGTTTTCATGCACGTTTGGGCCCCTCCAGGGCTGATAGGCTTACTCGCGGGTCGGAGTTTGCAAGGCCGCCTTCTGCAACATTTGCAAGAGAAATCCCATTGTTTTACCGCTCGCAATGTCACATCGCCAATACACTACTTGTCGCCGTACATGCGAAGAAAAACCGATGTGCCAATGTTTTTGTTTAAAAAAAATTGTTTAGATAGCCCTCTTTTGACACGAAATTGGCAGAATGGCCCTGTTTCCGAAACATATTTTTGAAATAGCCTTTTTCTAGGGACCTAACGACGCTCCCCGTGTTTGCTATCCACGCTACCGTTGAGCACACATACTCTAATGGTTAAGTGCCCCAGCTAGGGTTAGGGTTAGGGTTAGTGACACCCAGGCCTAACCGGCCGAAGGCCGTCCCGAGTTGTTATGGTAGGTCAGTTACCCAAAAAGGGGCCATTCTGGCAATTTCGTGTCAAAACAGGGCTATCTAAAGCTCTTTTGTTTATCTCGGCGACCGAGTGCAAATAATCACGCCTACACCCAGGGCAAAATCACGGTGACTTCCTCGATCCCTTGATATTTACTACTCGGTATGGTGCGCCAGGGCATGAGAGTGAGCGGAACGACCGGCATCAAAAGCAGCGATATGTCCCGTGCGAGCGCCTGCTTGATCTTGCGATCTGACACCCTATCGTCATGGGATTAAAAGGGTTACGGATTAGGGTTCACAACCCTACGTAACGGTTAGGGTTAGGGATTACGGTTCATAACCCCATCCCTAAGTTCACAGTCGCCCACGTGATTGCTAGATTAGTGAGCCCACGTGATTGCTAGATTAGTTTATTAGTTATACAAAACCATGCTGGAGAGATAACTTGAACTTTATCGATCGTCGGAATGGAGAATTGTGCGAAGCATTTCACTAATAATACTTGGTGCTTTGGCATAGTTGAATCTCTCTTTGTCTGCAGACGTGCAGGCAACGGGTTCACTCCCAGACACATTTCTTTGCTCCGATTATGACCCCTGTCGCGCTAGGCGCGGCGTGGGCGTTAAACTGGGCAGGGCAGAACGACGAACACGACAGAACGACGACCTATAAACCCAATCTCATCGACGCTCCTCGACGCCGACACCCGCCATGTTTGCTCACGCTCCTTTTCTTTTTGTAAAAGTACCATGGAAGTCGTCGGTTCAGAATTTGCGCGCCGAATCTCCTCCCGATTTCTAAACAACCTCGACTCGCGAGCTAGCGGTTGAGAGAACCGAGTCACAACAGGAATACGCCGGAGGACATCAGCTTTCCGTGTGAAGCCACTGAAACCAGTCCACCACCAAACAGGAAAAGCTCTTGAATTGGACAAGACGACGGACGAACGGGACGGACGCTCCTAGGATAGGCATAAAGGGCGCGGGACGACTGTGGACCGGAAGGGAGATCTGGCGGAACTCTGGGAAGAACGAGGGAGCGATCCTGTAAGGATATGTTCGATCAGCTGGCGGCGGAGCGCCAAGAATGTTTGTGAAGAACATGTTTGACTCTGCTAGTGGCGAAGCGGGCAGATATTTGACAACGGAGGAAAGGGAGTTCGTGGTTTCCCCCTCGTTCTGCGAGGTTGGAATCGATTGTATTTGAGAAGAATCAATGCGCGGTATATACAAATGCGGTAGTGACAGGAAATGCGAGACATGTATGAACTAGACTGCCCCGGATATGCATAGGGAATATGAGATGTGCCGAAATGGTAGTGCGATGCAGATGAGCGGGATGGGATTTCGATTCTTGATAAATGATGCATGCTCTGTAACCCTGCACGCCTGAACGGGGTGCCAATGACAAACCTGATGTGATGTATCCTATCGGCGTGCTTCCCCTCCTTCTCCCTATCCAACAACCTCACAGATTCCCCTAACAACCTCCTCAACAACTCTCCCCAACTCCTCCTGACTCCTATGCGTCCCCTCTGGCGCGACCGACGGCACATGCACGAAAAACACCGGCGGTGGGGGCGCCGTTCCATTATTCGAGTAGAGATGAGAAGAGCAGGAGAGCCCGCGGTAGAGGACGTATTCGCAGAGAAACAGGCCTGCGTCGGTGCCGGGGTGAATTTGCCATTGAGGGCCGGGCGGGACGCTCAATGCGGTAGTGTTCGAGTCGTGTGAGACATCCACTTTTGCGGGCGCGGGTGATTCTGGCGTGGATTGAATCGCTTCCTCAATCGTTTCGTTATCCCTTCCGTCTACTGGGGCGCTGGCGTGGGGGAGACCAGCAGCGTTCCATCGTTGTCGCACTCGTTCCACGATCGCCTGCACAAGTTCCGCGGGTGGGTTCAAAGTCTTGTAAGCATCTGGATCGTTCTTTTCGAGCGCCAACGTCGATGCAGATGCCGGAAGCGCGATGCTAGTCGTAACAAGTCCCAGTGTCTTTAGATCAACCTTCCCACAGGGATCCCTACCCTCGACAAGCTCCCATTCATCCCTCCCTGGATTCGCATTCGGGTCATCATCTTCCTCGCCCTCGTCCGCACAAACATTTCCGGGAGGACACCGACCGATGACATCGCACTTCGTATACGGTCCTCGCCTGGCAAAGGTTTCGAGACAGAGCGTTGCGGGTGGAAGGTAGTGACTGACGCCGACATGGAGAAAGAATTTGGGTGCGGGATTGGTGGTGTAGATTGCGGGAATCAATGCTGTTCAACGGGGAAAAGATAGGTCAGGAGGAGGCTCGAACGTATGAGAGTATATCCTCGCTTGCCAAGCGGGCGTATGAGCGGTGAGTTGGCTGTAGGGCTCTTGCGCCCAAAGTATCACCGCATCGCCCACAATCTCGCCCTTCCCACCGCTTCGCCCTTACCATGAACTCTATCGTACTCGACGGGCAGCTCATACGCCAAGATCATGACCTCCTCCCTTTCACTCCCCGCAGGAAAAATACATCCCTGCAGCGGTCGCACCGCTTCGTAAGAGGGGTTCGTGCTGTATGACTTGAACGGCTGGTGGACCAGGAAGAAAGCGTCAGTGAAAAACACAAGCAGGTAGGGTGTTGAGAAGTGCGGGACTAGAGACCTACACCATAGCCGGTGACAACGGCCGTAGAACGCCGGAGAGGACGCTGTACCGGTGTCTGATCAGGGGAGTCCATATTGGTTGCGCGTGCGGCGACGAGTCGAAGTGGGAGAACGAGACGTATTCCCTGACCGCTTGAAGGTTCCGAGACGGCCTACATGTACAATTGAGCTAACAGCTCTGACCTCGCTCCGAAGGAAGGCGGTTGCGCAGGTGGCGGCTGTGACCTCAGCGCTCACATATGTACGTTTGCGCAGTCGCGTCGCCGACCATCGCTACCGTCGCCAGGCAGCTGCTCAAATACAGTACATCCCCCCTTTTTGAACCCCACGGCCTCTGCACACAGGCAACGGCCATCCCAAGTATTGTAAAACATAATGTGCGCAAGAGGCTGCTCTTCAAAACTGTCTTATTACAGTTTTTATTGTTACAAAAAAAACAAATGAGACACTAATCTAAGGAAACCTGAGCATCACTTTTGTTGAATCCCGCAAACTCCTCATCGCTCTCCTCCCCAGGGGTCCCAGTACGGCTCCATTCCTGTACTGCGGCCTCATTGTGGGCAAGTATGGCTTCATCTCGGAGCTGAGATGTCTGAGTTCGTGTCTGTGGCCTCCAACCTCCATCCCGCACCGCACCGGTATGCGAGCTTCCTGCGTCAGGCTTTGGAACGGATATGGCAAAAGCTGCGTATTCATTTTGTTCCTCTCATGTTACCATAGATTTTTGGCCCCGTTTTGGCCCCGTTTTCCCTCTGGTATAAGAGCGTCTGGGATCCCACCAGCATATTTGACATGTGCTTTCTTTCGAATCATGAAAGAGACTGGACTACCGTGAACATCATACTTTCAGCGCAAAGCCCTTCTCGTGCATTACGGCATTACCGTGCGGCATTGTCTGGTCATTTGCCATGACCGCGGACGCAAACTTCATACGCCCGGGAGGAGAGTCGTCGACTGCATTCACTGGGACTGGGTTTTTGATGATACCTGGACGATTGGAGACCTTTGGGAAGCTCCCAAACGATGCAGAGTAGCAATATCTCAGCATCAATGGTTTGATGTCACGGGCTTTCATTCCCAGCACACACCTCGAATCACAAGTATTAGGGGTGACGCCCATCTTCTCACCGATCGCACATTGAGGAAGTCCGAGCAATCTTTTTCCACCTAATCCGCGACCATAAAGTTATCGGTATCCACCTCGTCCACATAGAGAGTGGTTGAAGACTTTACCGCCGACTTCTGGGCGGCACCGGTATTCGAAATACGGACTGTGGTTGAGTTGTATGGTTGTCTGGTCGAACGGGTAAGCGTGTTCCACTAGGGAAAGCCAATTCCAATGCTATCCTCCCGGAAAACCTGAGCGGACGACTGCCCTCCTCCTTTTGATCATACTCCTCTTCTTCGACGTCCCTGTCATCTTCCATCATTCGTTTACATTGCGGTCCTCTTCACGCCGTTTGCGTATAATCGTGACGACATAAGAATATGCTGCCGGGGTGAACCCATAACTCCCCCCAATTCCGGTTCGCTGGGCACCTGCATTGTTCCTGCCAATGTATGTCCGAAACTCATTGTGAATAGATGCGATCAGGAGGATGTACTCAGATTGTGTAATTGAGGACGGGGCAATGCTCTGAAGGGACCCTTCCGAATCAGGTATGCTCGCAGCTTGTCGCCTCCCGCGTATTGCATGTGGTTGAAATGTTGGGAATTGACGCACCTTTATTGAAACAAAGGAAGATTGCAACATGCCACATCTGCCTCACAACGTCTGCAGCCCGGATATTCTTGATCACTTCTAGTTTCTTTTAATTTATCTCCTGATTTTCATCAAGCCTTTTGAATATAAACCTTCTAGGCATCCTCCGCATGCGCCGCTCCAACACCGGCCACCCAGTCCAGTACCTCTGCATACTTTGACCGCGGGCCCTGAAGAGCCGAAGAAGATACTGTCTCGTCGCTGCCCTCGTGGCAACGAGAGGCGGCCAGGAATACGGCGTCGTCGTCGTCGTCATCTGCTTCGTCGTCCGTGTCGAAGTGATCGGCAGCGGCGCGGAACAAGAAACCTCCATCCTTCTGCAATTTATCCTCCAAGTCTTTCCGCAAACGAGCCAGAGCCACCAGCATTCGCGCAACGCCAGTCGCCTGCCATGAACTCTCGAGGTCCAACCGTCCAAAATCTAACACCCGCGTATACACCAACTGCGCTGCGGCCGGATTGTCGGGATTGGGGCGCACAGTTACTGCTCCAAAAACGACTTGCCATCCTCCCAAAGTGAACCCAACGACGTAAACCTGATCGGCAGGTACACCTGCAGCTAGAAGCATAACCGCTTGGCCGCCAAGATACGAGGCTAGTTGCGGCTCGGCGCTCACCGGACTGACATCCCCTTTGACTTCACCAATTATGGCGGCTGGAACGAACCTCTCGTGTCCCATGCCATTGGGGCTTAGACCGCTGTCCAGGGCAGCACCGCGGCAATTGGCGGCGATATCGGGGATGCCCAGGCGGTATCCTGGCATACACGCATAGGGGACCTTGTTCTTCTCGTTTACGTTGACGGCGTAGTCGAAAAACTCTCTCAGTATCATGTAAATATGAATTTGAAAGACCGATTCTGTCCTTGGCGTCACCACCATCCATGGAACACCCATCAGCGCACGAGATTTGTCGAACGCCGCCTTCTCCTGTTTGGTAAATGATACGACGTCCAACAGCGTTCCGCATGTATGGGCTTCAGGGAGGACGAAGGGCGCAAGAAGGGTTTGCGTTGCCGGAGGGAGCTCCTCATACGGGACGCGGGCAAAGAGCTGTTTGCAAAGAAGATGGTGCCACCCTAGTTCGCCCACAAGACTGTTGGGGGCGTCGTAGTCAGCAAGCTCCAGTCCGAGCGCCCGCACGCGCGACAGCAGATCCTCATCCGTTGTGCCGTCACGCGAAACGCACCGCTCTCGTTGAGCATTCCTGAAGTGAGCGGTTTCCTCTTTGGTTTTCAATGATGTTGGCGAAGAAGAGACGACAGACGCGGTGGGCGACGCCGGGCGGGAACCAGCTCGATTCCCTGTCGGATTGAATCTCGCCCTCGCCGAGCGGCGTGTTAAAGACGGGGAGGTCGCTGGTGATGAGAGGGGCGAACCGGCATCTGCAAGGTCGCCCGCGGCGGACTGGACGCTCCGGGGGCTGTTCGACATTGGTCGGCAGGAAGTTCACGGACAGAACGTCAAGGCAGGCAGGCACAGAGTCTCTGAACAAAAACTAGAGATGCATTCACGAAGGTGATATGGGTTGCTACAACAGGAAAGGTCCTCCGCCACCTACGGTATATAAATGTACATAGGACACCTATACAGAAGATAGGATAGGATACATCTTTTCCGACCGGCAACAAATTCTGATACACAAAATTTAGGAAGTCAGGGGTGGCTTTTCCGGAGGGCCGGTCGAATCTGGTTACTATCCAGTGTCCACACATCTATTACCGATTTCGGCATGTCGGGCTAAATTTTCACGCGGCTCCTGATCCGCGGTAACCACTGCGGCGGGAACCCTCTCCTAATCGAATTCAGTGTTGGGTCACCCACGTGAACTATGATCGTTGATTTTAATCCCAGGGAGCGAGGGCTAGTAATATACCGTACAGGTATAGGCTGCCAGATATCAGGTTACGAGTCACTTACGACGCCCGAAGGACACATCATTCCGAGCATGGCCACCGGCTCATGTTGCCGACCCCCATGCCAATCCTTTCAGCACGACCGCTAGCCCAGGGCTGGACTGACAGCAGGCTCTGGGGGTTGCGCAGGGAGGCTCAACAACCCGTCGTAACCTGATATCTGGCAGCCTACTGTACTGTATAGTACACATTTGTCTCGGATTGATTCTGGAGCTTGGACATATCGAAACAAAATCGCACGCTAGCGTGAGCGGTCCGCAGGCTTTGAATAAGTCTGACCGACAACCAGCCACTTTTTGCAAGGCAACCAAGCTGCTGTCCCATCGTATCAAGTCCTTCGTCAGCTGGTGTCCTGCTGAGAACGAACCCAGACTCGTTAGCTTTCTGTCTTCACGTTTTTAGGATCCTTTTCCCCTTGCTGCCTTTCCCGGGCTCCGCTGCATGCAAAAAGACAACGAGCCGGGAAGTAAACGTGGGGCTGGCTGCGGAGTCGTGAGGGTGCTAAGGACATTGTATGACACTTTATTTAAGAGACGAAGAATGGACTGCGGAACAGGTATACACAGTTTGCAACTTGCACTTGAAACGACATCATCATTGACTTTGCTGCACAGATATGGGAAACCATTTCCGAACGAAGCCGGGGAAGGCTGCCATTACAAACTCTGGAGACAGCATTTTTTCAACCCTTCAGGTATCTCCAGCCGTTGCTGACGAGCCGTTATGTTGCACGAGCAAATCACGTTCCGAAAGAAGGACAACAAATGCCACCCGCTCCACAGCATGTTGTTGGGTACCAGCTTACCGATAAGCAACGTATTCGACGCTTTGGCACTGGCGTATACTCTGTTCCTTCTAGTCCCAAAGAATCGCGCCACCATTACCGACGACGTCGTAGTTCAGAACCATCTCGGCCAACTAGCACTCTGGATAGTCGTATTACGGCCGAAGCACGCCTTTCAAGGCAAGCGTCACGTGGTTCCAGACACAAAAAGGATACCTGGCTCTGTTCGGCGTCTCGGCCTCCGCGCCGGCCAAGGACTTGAAGGAAGAACAGATTTCCGAGCGGTTGAAAGCCTTTCCATCCCTGCACCCGAGGGCCGAGAGCGGAGCGCCTCTGACGAGCACGGAAAAACACGGGTGGGCCGCTTGCGGGGAGAGTTTTCCTTACATGGTGGTCGAGAAGATTCAACCAACGTGCGAGGTCTTCACGGCGGCTGTGAAGATCAGGTCCCCCCGTGCAAGGTTCGATCGCCAGTGCACGAATTGCGACCGTCTGCCGGTGGCACAGAATATTCCATCTTGGGGGACACACTTGCCAGATGGGGAATGATCACAGACGTCGTTGTGGCCGAAGGGGATATGTATTGGGAAGAAGTGGGCAAGGATTATGGCATCGAGGGGTTCTTGCCGACGCACAGCAACGGGTCGGAAGACGTTTTCCTACTGATCTCAAAGTCAGGGGATGGGTACATATGGTCCGCAATCATGTCGAGTCTGACAGCCGCGGGTCATCGCTCGCTCCCAGTTATGCGCTCTTGTCAACCTGAACCCAATGGCCCGGCCAAATCGCTCGAGGTCACTCGTATGCACTGTGGAGTGTCACTAGATGATCTTTAGCATGAATAAACGGAATACACCTATGGCAAACTGTTGGATACAGTACGTAGAGTTGTGACGCTCGGGGCCGCACAGTGAGATCTCGAATGAATACATTAGGGCGTTTCACTAGCCCACATAATCGGACTTTTGCTCGGATTATCTCGCGATTATCTGCCGATTATTCCAGCGCGCACATGAACGCGGTTGCTACGCGCTCCCCGATCGGCCCCCCAAGACACGTCATCCGGGGCCCAGCGCACCCCCCATCGCACCCCAGAAAATCGACAAAAATTGGCGGTTTCGCTGATCTGGGGTGTGCAGAAAAAGCTGCGTTTGGGGTGTTTTTTCTGCCCCACATAATCCGATTATCTGCACACCCCCCGATTTTCTCCCTGCGGTGCAGGGTCCTTGCGGCGCAGCCCTGGACCCTGACCCCACATGCCCCTCACCCCATGGGTCCCAGGAGTCTGAGGACGCCGAGCAACAGACTGACCTCAACCAGCCCAACATGCCTGGGACGTCTGACCGTCAGCGGGCGATCGCGGAGCTCGCCGAGCGCATTGTCCTCCAGGAGGTGGTGGGATACTTCGACGGCGGGACTAGCGACGAAGACTCGTGGGCCGGGTCGTCGTTGGAATCGGAAGCCAAGCTCGAGTTCGACATCCTGGTGCCACTCATGAGCAAGAGGTACCTGGCTTCGCTGGACCCCGTCCCCAAATGGTTGTCTCGGGGGCTCCTGCACACCCTGGACGACAACCGGTGGCTGAACGAGGTGCGCATGAGCCGCACAGCATATGGACAACTGCTCGACCTTGTCAAGGATCACCCAGTCTTCCAGTCCAGAAATTCCGCCATCAAGCCGCAGGAGCCCGTATCTTTTCAGCTATTCGTCGCTCTATCTCGGTTGGGGCAGTATGGCAATGGGGCCCGCGTGGGCCGCATCGCTCGCATGTGGGGGGTATCCGAGGGGTGCGTTGGTAACTACACCTGCTGGGTCCTCGCGGCCATTGAGGAGGTCGGTAGCCGCGGCGGCTGGCTTGACTGGCCCACGGCCCAAGGGAAGGAGCTCATCAAGGAGCGCATCTACCGCAAGTCATTCTTCAAGAACTGCATCGGCTTTGCGGACGGGACACACGCTGTGTTTTTCCAGAAGCCCGGTGTAGATGGGGAGGACTTCTTCAACCGGAAGAGGATACACAGTCTCAACGTGATGGTGGTCAACGATGACACGGGACGGATTACCTACGTTCACACGGGAATGTGCGGGAGCGCCCACAACGTTGTTCAGCCATTTGGCTTTGGCGCTGCAGCCAGACCTGTACTTCGGAGAGAACGAATATCTCATCGGGGACAGCGGGTACACCAACACCCTTACCGTCCTTGCCAGCATGAAGCGACCGCACGCGGACAACTCCGTGAACAAGGAGTTCAACACTTACATCGTGCAGTTGTGCATCGTGAACGAGCACACAAATGGGCGCCTCAAGGGTCGTTTTCCGAGCCTGCGCAGACTCCGCGTCGTCGTGAAGGACGCGGACTCCGACCGTTACGCGAATGCGTGGATCCGGGCGTGCTGCATGCTGCACAACTGGCTGATGGACGACGGGTATCCGCAAGAGTGGGGCGAGCGGGACCTCGATGCGTTTACGGCCGCCGGTGGTGGTGGGGTGCCGGACGTTACGACCCCCGCTTCGCGTCGGGAGGCGGATCCCCATAGGCACAGCATTTGGGACTACGTTCTTCGGAAACGCCTGGAGGTGGAATGATAAGGGTGCGTGGCGCAAGGTGTATTGTATTTGTTCCTGCAAGCGCTATAACTAAGAATGCTGTTTCTGCCGACGATATATTCACGTTAGGGCCCGTGACGCCCGGTCTCCTCTCTCTCCCACCCCGTTTGCGAAGCTGCCACAACTCTCTCCTTGCTAGTAGCGCTGGAGAGGTCTCCTTGCTCGCTTGTCGCACCGGTTGCCCACGTGCACACCGCTCGGCCTCCGCAATATTCTGAAGCTGTCTTGGACGTCAAAGGGTAAGTGTCTGCGGGGCCCGGGCGTACGACCCACATGGTAGAGGAATGTTACTTACGGGCGTTACTTCTTGGCTTTCGCGCCCGTGTACTTCTTCTTGCCTTTCGCTCTTGTGTCCTCCTTCTTGCCCGCTCCTGTGCCATGGTACGGCGTGCGGACCCGCTCAAATGGACCTGGGTCAAATGCAACCGGGGCGGCGGGAGCGGCGGGAGCGGCGACCGGGGCGGCGGGGGCGACGGGAGCGCCCGGGATAGCGTCTCTCTCAGCGTGGGTCAGGCCTGACCCACCCGGCGCTTTCGAGTAGTAGTCGCGGGGTCCGTTCTTGCTTGTTGGGGGAGGGGTTGTTGCGCGCCGTTTACCCTTCTTGAGTCGCTTTCGTTGACGCTCTTCCTCATCCGAGTTCACCTCGATCACTTCAATCGCCCCTGCAGGACCGTAGTTCGGGTCAACATCTTCGGGGTCGCTACTCCCCAACTTGATCACTTCCTGGGCCGTGATCCTGCCACTGCTCGCGGTGGTTGCCATGCGAGTCTCAATGGCCGCGAGGAGTTTCAACCCCGTGCCAGCTGGTGCATCTTGGTGGTGTGACGCCGCGCGCCTCGGGGTGACAAGCAGGCGCGCTATCGGAAGACGGGGTCAGTGGGGTCCGCCACACACAAGGAACAACACAAGGAACGAACTGTCTGACGTACCAGACGGCAAGGACTTCAAACGCGCGATCGCCAGGTCCCGGGTCACCTTATAGTCAGTCGTCGCGGATCGTGCAATGGCCTTGAATATCTCGTCCGTTGGTACCCATTCGAACATGTCCCGCAGTTCTGCAAGCGTCATCAGAACGGCCAGCAGGACCCCGAGCAGGACCCTCACTCTTCACTAACAAGAGAGCTAGGAGGTGCGCCGTCACATGTCTCCGTATGACAGGGGCGGCGGAGTCAAGTCTCCGCCCGTTGTGGCAAGTTGCTTGGACATACCTCCAACTAAAAGCGTTGACTGGCCTCCTCTCTGGCCAACCGCCTCTCTTCAAGTATCTGCTCATCCAGCACAGATTCCCTTGCCATGCGGCGCTCCTCCATATCCATTTTGAGGCGAGTTCGGTCTCCCCGGCCCGCCATCACGTCACTGACGACAGTCATCATCCCGGATTTCGCCCAGGCGCTGCAACTACTACCTGCCCCGCTCTTCCCGGCCTCGTCATCCGACGTAACGGGGTCCGCGAGATCCGATACGGCGGAGCTCTTTCGCTTCCTAGTGGCTTTCGTAGTCGCCTGCGCGGGCGTGTGCGGGGCGGACGCGGCCGCGCTAGCGGTGGTAGACAGACTAGTTCGCACCTGGTACAGAGCCTTACGAGCGCTGGAGAGGGGTTGCGCGCCAGAGGCCTGCCCCCCGGATGCTGTGGCAGGCACTACGGGGGTAGCGGGGACCACCGGAACAGGAGGAGCGGGTGTATCATGACTCTGCAAACCGCTAGACGGCCCCCCATTGGTTGGGGACTCCCCATCGCCGGCCGTGGACCCCTCCAGTATGTCCTCCAGGGCCATTTGCGACTCCATATGCGCAAAATCTCCCAGTTGGGAGTGAAGCTGCGACCCCAGCTGCTCCTGCGTGTCTGGCGGCGTGTCTGGCGGCGTCTCCGACGGGTTCTGCGTCTCGGACTGCGTGTCCTGCGGCGTTTCATGGGACCCGCGGTTTCCGAGTCCTCCGGCGTCCCGGCCTCGTCCCAGCGTCCCGGCCGCATCCCGGCCTCACAAAGCGAAGGTGACTGTGGCGGGGCCCCCGGGACCAGCGCGGCGGCGAGGTTCGAGGGCAAGATTGACAAGGCGGCCATTGACTCCTGAGACCCTACCGAGTGCAAGGCCGTCGTGCCAGCGCGGGACCAATAAGGCTCAAGCTCAAAGAAATACGGAAAGATCTTGATGATATAGGCCTGTATGTTGGGGGTATTCCTCTTCTCCTCCTCCGTGAGACCCTCCCCCGTCTGATTGAATCGAAACTTGGCCTCCTTGAACTTCTTATCCCACTGTGCAAGCTTGTTCTTGATGCGAGTCTCGGTCATGTCCTTTCGGTTCTCATACATGAACATTTTTATCTTCCGAATCACGTCCGTTCGCCTATCCTTCTTCGAGCTGTTGACCCCGTTGGCCTCCGGGGTGTCGCGATGCTGCAGGGCCTTGGAGTTCTTGCCCGTAGAGAGCCAATCCACCAAGAGCGCCTCTTCTTTGGCGTCCCAAAAAGCGTATGCACCGTCCGCCTGCTGCTTCCCCGCAGCGGACTTCGCGCTTGGCTTCTTTGCCTGGGGCTTGCGGGCCCCGGGAGCCCCGGCAGTAGAGGGTCCAGCGTCAGCAGACGACATGGTGTCGGGGGCGATGGGGGGGTGTACGGTGAGGGGGGTTTGTTGTTGGTGCGGGCGGGGAGGCGGAACACCCGCAGGGTCCTGAAGACCCCAGGTTTGCTGGAGGCCTTTTTGCTGCTCTCCCCCCGAGAATCCTGTTTTTCTACACCCTGGAGTAGCGGAACTGGGGAGCGGGGGCCTCACTAGCCCCAGAAATTGGGAGAAGCCCGACAGATCATCGGGACGTGATTGGGGGGAGCCTGCGCGCACGAACTCTGGAAGCGTCGCCAAACGCGCTCGCAGTTTCGCTAATCTCGCGATTATCTGCCGTTACTGTTTTCGATTATTGGGGGCTAGTGAAACGCCCTATTGTAGTACAGTTCTTTACTCTCTGTACTGTAACATTGATAAGTGGACACGGGGTGAAACTTCAACCTGCACCGGCACGTAGCTGACGTCACTCTTGCCAGTACAGGTGTATGTAGGTTGAACCCATCAACGAGAATGTCCTTCTGAGCCGGGCAGCAGACAGAAATAACTATTTGTACAACCTGGATCATGACGGGCCTGCATTTCACATGACATTTGACCTGCGTCGCATCTCCATCTGCACTTCCTTTTCACATCCGTTCGCACATGTTTTTTCCTTCTGGGTGCACATGTGTTTTTCACTTCCGGCGCACATCCGACGCACTTCCTGCCGGACACCCCGTTCACATGCATCGGACGTGTTTTTCACCTCCTTTTGTCTGGAATGTGCACATCATATGCAGCTGCACGTACTTTGGAAATGCGAGGGACGTGATATTCACATCTTTGGGCGACATCCGAATCACGCGCTGATGGACGTGAAAATCATATCCAATATCATATATGAACATCTATTGCAGAATCAGGGTTAATACACGGTGCAATATGTACAAATTTTCAAAGTCCCTCAAGGCGGGGGCAAAAGAGTGGTCCCACCCGAAGCACAGGAAGCTCCCCCAGACACACAGCTGACACCGATTTGTCGTCTCCACTCATGGATGTGTGTAGACATCTACTCGTGATCCGATGATGTTCTGCGGTGGAGTGGCGACTTGGAAAGCAAAGGGCAGCAAGGGTGTAAACGGGAAATACACCTCAATCCAGGAGTCCCAAGTGCGACGAAGAGAGTAAGACTTCATGAAGGAGAGTTGATACCGTGGGTAGTACGTGCTGGGAAAGAAGCCGCCTTGTCGTGGGTTGTGGAATGATGGAGTCGTTGGTCGTTGGAGGCAGTGGTTGTGAGGTTGCGACCGGATGCACTTACGACAACGCGGGAGGCTACTTTGGGCGACGACACGGTTGCGGGTTTATTTGGGGGACTGTGGGAGTGGCGAGGAAATGGCGACGAGCTGAGTGAGGAGCAACGGATGGTGGTATCGTCCTTTAAATAAGTGGGAGTGTGTTGGCGGTACCGACGGAGGCTGCGTACCCAGGAAATGACGAACATGTTGATATGTGCACGTAAGAATTGAAGAGGCATTGCTGACGGATTGCTGGAAGATCATTCACGCAGAGATACCATCGTCATCACTGAAGAGGCCGTCTTCCTCGTCGCCGAAATCGTCAACGTGGTCGGGCACCTTCTTCTTAGTGACTGGCTCTCCGTCTCCATCAGACTGATTGGGATCATCCTTGTCCTCATCATTTCCGTCAACGTTGAACGACGGAGAGCTGTCGACGTAGAGCATTCTGTCATTCTTGACACATTTGTCAATCAGAGTCTTGCGAGCGGCTGGATCCATCTTGTACATGGCCTCCAACTTCTGTAGTTGTGGGGTGTCATTGCTGAGTTAGGGGCACGTTGTCTCGTCCGCATTTGTGCGTAGATTCAAGGCGGTCACCTTAGAGACAGCTATCCAGTATTGCTTGGGTGCACGGTCTGCTGCATTCATCTCCCTTGTGATGGCTTGAAGGATGGCTGCTCCCACAAGGTGATTCTCGGTTACCACTTTTACTCCAAACAAATCGTGGGCAAAAACGTCTAATTTCGCCCTGTTGATGGAGTCTGCTTTGTTGTCCCAAATGACGCGCTTCATATCAGCCTTCACACGGGAAAGTGCCGTACTTGCGCGTTTCGATACCGCCTTGAACCGAGCGGGTACTAGACCACTGGTCTTGGTGACGCCCCACTGTTTATCGAATATTTTTTGCGTCAAGGTCTTCATATTGCCAACGTAGGATTTTGTGAGCGGGTTTCTGGTGATGCGATTGGCTTCGCGGCGAACGTTGGTCTATTTGAGGTACAGAAGCGAATAAGTGCGCTGGCATGGAATCCACATGGCACGTCCATGCAACATTACCTTGAGCTCTTCACTAGGTTCCCAAGACTCCGTTTGCAGTTTATGCGCCGTTTTGTTATGCTTTCCGATTTCTTCGACTGCAACATAGAGACGAAGTAATTGCTCTCCCAGGCTTTTGTTAGCAAAGCAAAGGGCTTTCTCCTGCAATTCCGCATCCACTTTCATCGCCCGAACAATT